CCAGCAGGTTGCCCTCGGCCAGACAAATCGAATCCATTGCATCAGCTTCACAAGCAAGGGCTTTTTTTTTTTTTTTTTTTTTTTTTTTTCCTTCCGATTTTTTTTTCCCTTTCCGTCCCCCAGTTCTCACAGGCACAAGGCCCTGGAACCCGCCCTACTTACCTACTAGTTTGGGACCAGCAGCGCTGTAAGGGCGTGCTTCCATAGGCCCGCTAGGGGCCAACTGCACTCCGTAATCCAGCGCCAATTCGCTCGCTGGGGACCGCTGTAACTTAAGCCGCCCAGCCCGCTCCGCTTTCAGGACGCTGTCCTGGGCCCAAAAAACCCGCCAAACCCGCCAAACCTGTCTGGGCGCCCTATCGTCTAGGAAGAGAGGGGAACCAAAAAAAAAATTTATTATTCACACAACGCAAAAAAATTATCAACTTGCCTCTTTCGTTTGCCCTTTGTGCCCTCTTCATATTTTTCACCACCACCTTGACCAGTCAATTCTGAAGAATTGCCGCGCCGGCTGGCATCTGTTTGACCGTTTCCTGACAGGCTGCGCTGCGACCTGTTGAGGAGCGCAGCTGGTTTTTTCTTCTTCTTTTTCCTTCTTCTTCCCTGCATTGCCCGCGTGCCACTCCGCAACAGTTGTTCCTCCTGCACCCCGGTCACCTCGACCCTCAATCCGGCAGCCTGTTGTCACCTCTCCCTTTGTCTGGCCTGGCTGACTTGTTGCTCGGCCTGCTTCTCTGTCCTTCCACCCGTACGTGTACGTGCGACGCCTGGAGGCTCTGAGTGTGCGACAGCCACCGCCTTGAGGCGCCTTTTGCCGACCGGCCGCCTTGTGTCTTCGACCGGTTAATAGTTTCGGGCCCCTCCGCCACCTACCGACGCGATCTTGATCCCTTCGCCTGGGCTCGAGAGACGACCGTCCCGCTTTACAGCTACGGATTCTACACGCTTGCTTCTCCTTCCGAGAGGCATTCAAAGAGAAACAAGTCGACTGCCCCCCAGCCTCTAGCAGGATCTCTGTGTCTGGTGCCTCTTTAGCGTTTTCCCACACGCCGAAGAAAATCCTCTGGAACTTTCCGTCTTCCAGAGATACCTGATACTTTTTCCCACAGCGACGTGCGACTCGAAACCTTTGGGTCGAGTTATCACGCCTTTTGTGTTTTATCAAAGTCATCGACTTCGCAACCGCATCATTTCTTTTTCTTCTTTTTCACCATCCCCTCTTACGGTTCCATCGAAAATGGCGACCGCTTCAGCCTTTTCTTATGCGCAGGCCGCCAAGGGCCAAGGCACCGTGCCATCAAATGCCTTGCCTGGACAGGCTGTCCAGGACTCCCAGCCACCCGCAGCCGCGCCCAAGTCTACCGTGGACGCCGAAAATGCGACCGAAGCCACTGATGCCGTTCGAAGCGCCGATTCTTCTGCCAACACGGAGAAGCAGGATGCTGTCAGCAATACTGGTTCCGAGGTTGAGGCCCGATCAGAGGATGTCCAGGAGACGCGCCGCGAGCCCCTACGGGATGATGACTCTGGCAGACTAGATCGCCCATGGCGACGAGGCGACAAAGGCACGAGGTCTTCGAGTACGACCACGCGATCGGTCGACGAACAAGATTCCAGGAGGCCGCGGAAGTCTAAGAAGTCCAAGGCTTCAGAAAAGCAAGCCAGCGAGCAATCAGTAACAGACAAGGACCAGGAGTCTGAAAAAGAGGCTCCCAAAGTCGAACTGTTTGAGGCGCCCATTCCATCTGTCAACATCTGGCGGCAGCGAGCGGAAGCTCATTTGGCCAAGGCCAAGCCGTCTCCAGCCGGCTCTACGGAGCAGGCAACCAATGGCTCACCAAAGCCTGACGTATCCCCCAAGGTGGCTGAGAACGGCGTTCCGGCCGCTGCCCAGCGTGATAGCATACCAAACGGCGTCAAGCCCCCTCGCAAATCAGTCGATGCCCCTCGGACTGAGAGAAACGCCAGCCGTGGCTCAAGAGCAGCAGACAAAGACGCTGGCAATGCCCCCCCTTCAGTCGCGGATACCACAGCTTGGCCCACTCCGGAGACGGCTATCCAAGAAGAGAAGAAGAAGCCTGCGGAGAAGTCTGATCGTCCTGAGAAGGATGCCTCAGAGGACGGGTCCCAGTCAAAGCCGAGACAAAAGGGAAAATGGGTTACCATGGACTACGTGCCGAGCGTTAACTTTGAAACGCAACTCCCTCAGATGCGTAACTCTAAGCCTCGCGGCGGAGCCAGAAATGCAAATGGCTCTAGGACTACACCATCCCACGCCGGCGACAAGGCCGCCGCTCCCGTCGCCAACCAAGGCAAGCCCAACGAGAACACCAGCAGCGGTAACAGCAACAGCAGCAACAAGGACCGCCCTCGTGACGGTGCCAACGGCCCGAACCGCAGTGCGCCGGCACCTCAGACTAAGCGTTCATCTACAGACATGTCCAACGCACGTGAACAGAGGAAAACTGCAAACCACGCTGGTGGCGAGAAGAACAAGGATGCTGCATTAAACTCAAATGTAAGTGATATCTTGATCAACACGATTGCAATCGAGGAGGGGGTGGTGGAAGAGGAAACTCCCATGCCAACCTCACCGCCATTTTTCCGGAATGATGTGCTAACACTCGTGTTTAAGGAGCAGGGCCATGCTGTTCGTGAACGAACGGAGAACCGCAATGATAGACCACGAGGTGGATACCGCGGACGTGGCGGACACCATCCCGTCAACGCTCAGCACCAGCATCAACACACCGCATCCAGCTTCTCTGCTTCGGGCGCTATGGGTGGACGAGCCCAGGGCCCCTACAGCCCACCACCCAGGCAAGGTGGCCACGGTCAGATGTTCATGCCATCTCAAAGGGGTGGCAGAGGCGGCCGCAACAACGGTGGAAACTTCCATCGGATGTCTCTGCCCAATGGATCAACACGCATTCCTCAGGTTCAAACTCAGTTTGGGCCGTATGAGTATCCAATTACGCCGATGACGGCAATGCCCTTCCAGCCTCAGCCCTACTGGGACAACATGCTGGTGCCAGTCCTGAAGAGCCAGGTTGAGTACTACTTCTCCATCGAAAACTTGTGCAAGGACGTCTATCTCCGCGCACGAATGGACTCGCAAGGTTTTGTGCCTTTGCACTTCATTGCCTCTTTCAAGCGTGTGCGAGAGCTCTCTGCTGATATCGCCATGGTTCGTGCGGTTTGCGAGATGTCCACTGAACTCGACCTTGCTGTTGGTGAGGATGACATTGAACGCGTGCGACGAAGCCAGGCATGGGAAAGCTTCGTGTTGCCCCTTGAGGACCGGGACGAGTTTGCTCGAAACCACGGACCAGCCCACCTCACATTCAAGAATCGACCATCGCAAATGCCACCACAGTTTAACGGAGTGCCCGTTCCGTATGGCATGGCATCCCCCCCTGCGTATGCAGCCCACCCCGAGGCTCCGTTCCAGCAGCTCCCCGATGATGCTCTCATCGGCCAAGGAGTCAACGGTCTCGCAAACGGCCATGTCAATGGCCATGTCGGTGCCAGTCAGCTGTCAGCAGATGTGCCCGACTTTGCTCCCTCGGGTGCTCTTCAGCTCGACGGCTTGGCCAAGACTAACGGCCCAGTTGCTGTGAATGGACACGCCGAGAAGCCCGTTGACGGCGCGTTGCCAAACGGGGTACACAACGAGCAATCGGTGTAGGGGAATCTCTGATCTTAAGCTGGTCTTGCAGCAGCGGTACCAACTCCTGGCCGTCCGGGAGTTTCTTTCGTTTGTGGTGTCTTGGCGAACAGCCTTGAAGGCGCTTCCTGCATATCTGTTTCTTGTGCTTGGCCGGACAGCTCAGACAGCTTGTCATGGCAATTCCTTGGCCGGTTCAAGTGATGACGCATTTAACCTTTTCATTTTTCTTTCGTCACAGTTCTGCCTAGCTGTTCTTGGCTAAGGCTCGGCAAGGGAAACGGCAAAACAAAAAGCGTTGCAACAAACTGTGAATTATTTAAGGATTTTTGGCTTTGTAAGATTCATTTCTTTGCCCTTTGATTGTCTACCTATGCGCAGATGAAGGCGGCAGACGACGGAGACGGGGCGTTTCGCTACTCTAGGAGGGCACAACCAAAAAAAGGGGGAAAAGATACCCCTGGAAATTTGTGTTTTTGTTTTGGGTCCGGAACCTATAACGCGGCAAAAAGCGTTTGGCACTCTGGTTTGGGTTTTCCTTTTCTAAAAAAGAAGAAGAAAGAAGAAAAAAAAAGAATGACACATGGGAAAGAAATAGGGGAAGAGGAAAAAGGGAAAAAAAGTTTGAGAGAAGGAAATAGAGCCAGCGCTTAAGGGCGTGGGCATTGGAGACCTTGTGTTGATATGGAGGTCTTTTCCTCTTGGCTGGGCAACCATCATTACTCTGACATGGTTTTCGGTAGAGGGTGGGATGAGATTTCGCACACTTCTGGGGCTCAGGAGAAGATGTTATTTCACAGGATTTGGATTGGAAAGGCATAACTAGTCTTGCACCTGTTGGGATCTCGGAAGGCTTGTAAAAGGGCCATTCCATGTTTTCACTCCTGAGCATAGTTCAAGATTGCTCCAGCTACCATGCTATTGATGAGAAACGCAAAGGGCTTCCGTTACGATCTTTTTATTATTACTATTATTATTATTGCTAGACAAACGACGGATGGACCGCCCAAAAAAAGTGAGGAAAAAAAAAGATGATGAAAAGCAAACAAGATGATGAGCAAACCGCTCAAGGGCATTTAAGTGGGATGGATGCTAATTGGCAAAATGGTTGCAAAATGAGATTTTTTGATCTGGTTTTTTTTTTCTCTTACGCCTTTTTTTACTTCATCAGCTTCTTGAATCCGTATTTTCGGGGGGTTGTTTTCAGGGCTGGATTGCCTATGGCATTTGATGCGAGACAGCGTAGTACCATGTTGCTGCAAAACTGTTCAATTTGTACGATAGGATTCAAGAATAATACACCAAAAAAAAAGTCAGTCATCGGGTCTGAGGGAAAAACAGACTCTTTCTCTCTCCTCTACTGAATTATGAAGAAAACTACTTGTTGCTGGCGTGCTAGTTACAAAATTTTTTGGATCGTCTTGGTCCATATATAAAACGAAGCTTTTTTGTCATCCCTTTGTTTTCATTTTTTCCTTTTATATTCCACTTCTAATTGACCTCTCATCTGCCGTTGGAGAAGAAGAAGACGGTATCAGAAATGGTATGAATTGGCGAGATGGTGCATAAACGCTCATAATGCCATTGCTAGGCCGACAATGGCGATGAGGCCGACGGCAGCGTTGGCAAAGGCTGTTGGCACTGAGGCCGGGTTTGATGTAGATGATGGCTTTGTGGCGTGAGTTCCTGTTATTGTGGTGAGGGAGGGAGAGCTGGATGAGGCGACTCGTCTCTCTGCATGGTTTGTCAATGGGGTTGATGATGATGATGATGATGATGCAAATGCCGTGGAGGGGGCAAACGATGCGGAAGATGAAGATGAAGGCGATGTGAACGAAACAGACGGCGTGAATGGTATGGGCATAACAGTTTCGGTAGGGTCAATATCTTGAAAGGGCACAGTGGTGTCTTCAGCGGTTCTGGCAGTATATACAGTTAGAATGAGATACTGCACAAATAGCAGGAAACAAATAGACAAGTATTTTTTTCAAATTTGACAAGAGCAACTAATAAAAGGGGAGGAATAGGTAACTTACAGAGGCAAACTCAACGTGCTTTCAACATCATCAAAATCCGACTCACTCGGCGTGAGAATAACGAGTGGTCTGGGAGTAGTCAGGGCAGGATCATCGGGGAAGGCAGTAGGCTGGACAGGAAGTGAGAAGCGGCGAGTCGGAGTTCTGCAAAGAAGGGAATACCGGTTTCGTTAGCTAATGTTCATGGAGGCTTGTATAGAGTCAAGGTAGATTTAATGTAGGTAGATAGAGAACTAACGTTGAGTGCAGCGCTGACGCGAGGGAGCTTGTGGCGAGCGCAATGGCGATAAAGTAATTCAGCGTCATGGACATTTTTGTATCTGGCAACCTAATACTTCTGTTTGATGCGAGAGCCTCATCAAGGTAATTGAGTAATCTGCAAAGCAAATGAAGAAAAGAAGAGTATGAAGCAATGGCGAACTCTGTCAAGTTCAAACGCCAACAGGCGCTTACGGCTGGAATGTAGATAGTTGCCCAGGCCGAGCCTCGTCACATACGTCGTCACATAACGGGGCAGGCAACCGGTACTTTTTTTTTTTTCTTCTTCTCTCTTCCGGCCCCATTTATACGCTGTTTCTATTCTTACATGGGTACTTCAAGGCAAGGCTCTGTATATCTTTGGATAACAAAGCGATACCAGAGTAGCATTCGGCTGCCGAGTTTGGAGACTCGAGGATTGTGAGATGCTCTTGTTAAGGCAGTGCCACGATAAGGTGCAAGTGGCGCTAGACTGGAAAGGGAACGTGGCCTTGTAAAGTGGTTTGCTGTATGTGCAAAGTACAAAGTACCCCTGCTCGTACTTTTAACAAGAACGAGTGCAGAGTCATTTACAACATACAAGAACAGATGGTGATTACTAAAGACGAGGTCTTGGGCGATGTGCTAGAGAAAAATATTCATCCTTGGCACAGACAGCGTACTCGTACAGCACAGTATATTGTTGGGGGCATTTCATTTTTTTCCTGTGCGCTGGAGACATGACATCATTTCCCCAAGCGGCCACCACCCCGCCAACAAGTGGCTTGAGCGACAGCCTCTGTTGCGTCCAATCAATCCCGTCACGAGCCACACCCAGGGCGAATGAGGTCAAGTCACGGGTGGCTGGCGTTTGTGGCTAACAGAGTCGAAAAAAAGGCGGGTGAGGCCTCGGGAGCGAAGCGGGGTCGAAGCATTGCGCCGAACAGAACAGGAGGGAGAAGCAGCAAGAAAGATGGAATTTTGTTCCAGAGGCGCTCAGGTTCAAGATTCAGGCTCACTGTGGCGTTGGGGCTTGTTCTAGGCGGCGGGTGCCATGGGGCTCTCCCGCGAGGTTGTTGAGACGGCAGGGCAAGGCAAGATGGAGGACCAGAACGTCCAATGTCAGGCGATGCAATACTCGTATGCTCGTGGAGGAGAGGCGTGGTGAAATAGCACCTGTCCGTCACCCGGTGTCCAAGACAGGCATGAGGCGGCTCAGCTGGCTCTTGTTCAGTTGACCGAAGCTTGGCCAGACATAGACCAGCCTAGAAGCGCTGCGCTCGCGCTCTGCCTGGCTGCTGAGGCGGCTTAATGTGAACAGTACCTATGAGGATGGGAGGGATCGGGGCGTCCGAGTTCTGTGGTGTGCCAGATGCGTGTGTGTCTGCTGTGGCTTGACGTTTGACAGGAACGAGTATCGAGTACCTTTGGAGGCGCTGAATATCTTACTCTTAGCAGGTTGTCAACTCTACTATACTAACTGAACTGCACAGATCGCCGCATGTACATACAGGCGCAAAGCAAATGCCAGCGAACCATGAGGCGCAGCTGCTGTGCCACAGCCCTTGATGCATGGCATGTACTCCGTAGATACCTGTATACTGTCACAGCACAGTAAATGCTTGCAGCTCAGCAATTATGCCGCTCAGACCGCCTTGCCCTATCACATCGCCAGCGCCCGAGCGCAAGGCAAAAACCAAAGCAGGGCAACAGCAGGGGTGCTGATGCCCCCGGTCACCTTCATGTGTCGCCATTACGTCTTGCCCCGCCGCTTCATGCAGGCGCTGCGGCCAAGTCCCTCCTTCCAAGGCCCCCAATTCGACAATATCTTTTGGTCCTGCTCCTCGCAAATCTTGCAGCCAAAGTTTCTTTCTGCTTCTTCAAGCATCCCGTCGATACCCTGCGTATATCTGCCGCAAACACCAGCATAGACGCGCCAAAGCCCAGCACAAGCCCTCATCAGCTGACTCTTGCAGCGAAGCAAAGCATAGTATCAACAACACAAGGGCCACATCGGCAGTTGCTTTCGCCCGCAGCTTTGTGCGGCATATTACCCAGTATAAAACCCAGCTACCCCGCCAGCGCACTTAGACGCATAATCTCTACGAATCAACCATCCTTTACAGGCGGCACAAGGCAGCCTCAACTCTCTTCTCCAAAATGGCGAGCCACAGCCCGCACGACTATGAATATTCCCGGCGATACTTGCGCGGGGACATCGTGGATGAACGCGATCCTCGCTACTTTGACAACTATGGCGAGCCCAACGTTCGGAACCGCGATCTCGTTCCCCGCGCAGACCCTCGCGACAGCAGCCTCTCTGTAGAGGAGGTTCGCCGCGACTTCCCCCCGCCCAGTGGACGAGACTATGTTCACAGTCAGGATGTACGCCGTGCTCGTTCTGCAGAGCCCGGCTACTACCAGGAGGACTACGAATACCGCCGCACTTATGGATCGCGGCTCGACGCCCGGGATAGTGACCGTCACTCGAGGTACGCCGGCAGCAGCCACGGAGGCGATGACCGTGAAAGAAAGCCCAAGCATACCAAGACTTTGTCGAAGCAAGAGAAGCTCATTGCTGCTGTTGCCGGCGCTGCCCTCCTTGTGGGCGGCAAGGAGCTCTATGACCGCCATGAAGCAAAGAAGGAGGGAAATGGCACCCCGATTCAGCGCAACGCTCTCCAGTCGGCTGCCCTCGCCGGTTTTGGTGCTCTCGCTGCTTATTCAGGTGCCGAGTTCTACAGCAAGCAACAAGCAAGGAAGGATCAAAAGGCAAACTATATTCTCCAGCGTGGCCGAGACGGCCGCCTTGATGAGTACTACGAGTCGGATGAGGAGAGCGATACCAAGAAGGGCCACAAAAACTTCCTTGAGAGTGCGTTAGCTGCTACCGGTCTTGGAGCGGCCGTCAAGAGCCTCACTGGCCTAGGAGACGACAAGCACTCTGATACCAGGAGCCGCGGTGGAAGCCCTGGCTCCCGCAGCGTTCGCTCCCGCTCGAGCTCCAGAAGCGGCAGAGGTGCCAGCAAAGTTCAAAAGGCGGCTATTGCCTCGCTACTTGCTGGAGCCACCGAGGCTTTCCGGGTTGCCAAGGAGCCCGGCGGCTGGAGGGGAGAAAAGACTAAGCGAATTCTCACTGCTGCCGCCGGTGCCGCCACTGTGGATGCCGCTCACGGCGCAGACCATGGAAAGCTGGGTCTCGCCGAGTCGGTCATCGGAGGTCTGGTCGGTAACCGCTTGATCAACGGCTCCAGGAATGATATCGAAGAGGACCGTCGCACAGGCAGAAGCCGCTCCCGATCTCGTGCACGATCAAAGGATGGCCATGGAGGCGTCGGCCTCGCTGCACTTGCAACGGCCGGATTGGGCGCCCTCGGTGCCAAGAAGGCCTTTGATCGATCGCGATCCCGTGGACGCGACAGGAGCGATTCTAGAGACGCCTCGCGAGATCGGGATCGTCACCGCAGCCGAAGCCGCAGCGTCGTGGACAAAGCGCGAGACGGTCTTGCCAAGCTAGGCTTTGGCAGCGGCGCTCTCGTCGCTGCTGATGACCGTCGCCGACGCGACTATGATGACGACTATGATGACCGGAGCTCACGCCATTCTGGTCGAAGAGATGATGACCACGTATACGACGATCCCAGATACCGCCGCCGCGGGCACCGTGGGGAATCCCGTGATCGCTCCCGTGATCGCTCCCGAGACCCTTCTCGATCTCGGGATCAGTCACGCCGGAGGGGCGGTTACGGATCCGAGTCCGATCTAGGAGACTCTTCTGAGGATGAGAGAAGGGCCAAGAAAATGAGAGGTAAGCAAGTTATAACTACAGGCCTTGCGGCCATTGCTACAGTTCACGCAGCACATGGAGTCTATAAAAGTATGGAGCAGAGGAAGGCTAGGAAAGAAGCGGTCAAGGAGGGCCTTCTCAGTTCACAAGAAGCCAAGAAACTCAGGGCAAAAGCTATTATGCAAGACGCGGCTTCAGTTGGCATAGCCGCCATTGGTATCAAAGGCGCACTCTCCGAGCTCAAGGAAGCCAGAGATATGACCCACGAGTGCAAGGAGTGGAAGAGCGAAAAAGTTCGCCGCCATGAGAAGCGACTGGAGAGACGCCAGAAACTTGGAGAAAGACGACGATCTTCAAGTTGGTCAACTCCATCGCGGTCAAGAAACAACGGGTACTATGGAGACACTGAGGAAGAACTATACATCCTCGACCGCAGATACAGCGCGGTCCCTCAACTGTCCCAACCGCCTCTTAGGCGGGATAGCCGTTGAGCGACAACCACTCATGAGTCTGAGCGCCAACCAACAACATTCCTATATGGCATCTTTGATGCCACTTCTACGTTTCAGGGCCCACAGGCTCGCTCTTGGGCTCCTAACATCAACACTGTTTATGGCGACAAGTGTCGCTGCACCGCGCCACTTCTATCATCCGTCCTTTGAGTCATTCATTTCACACTCGCATGGTACAACCAACTGCGGAAATGGTATTGGGTGCCCACTTCCTGATTGGAGAATGTTGGGACTATAAACTGAAACTTCATGTGCTGCGTGACGCATACTACATAGATTGATTGAGCTTCAAGCTTAGCCAAATTGTTTTCTTCAATACTTTTCATCTATATTAAGAACAACTGACTAATAATGATCGATTTACTACAGATCACCGACGCTACTGAGTGCTTGTTCTTTCTGGAGAATAAGGAATGCATCCGAGAGGATGGAAACATGGTCATTGCGGAGAACCAACATGCTCGAGCACGGCCGAATCTGGCAATTTGCATGGAGGGTTGCACATCTTCATGTAGGTCAGCATGAGAAAGGCGCGGGCTTGACGAATCCTTGGACAACGGCCATGCTAGGTAACGTGAGAAACTCTGGCTTTGGCTGAAGCAGGATGGGATGGGCGGCTTCGGCAACGACGGCCCGACGTGGGCGATGGCGATGAAGGGTAGATCTACGATGATTGGGACATTTGGGCTGGAAAACAGGTTGAGGGACGAAACTCTCGGATGGCTTAAACTGATTTCCTTGGATGTGGGGGCCTGGCAAAGCTGGACCCCAACTTATGAATCATGAATGCTGACGTTAATGATTGCTTTTATGTTTGTTATATAATGGAAAGGTAGAAGATAAAAAAAAAAAGTGTGTGATTAATATATGACATCAAGTAACTAATCATTCGCATATGAACTAATACAATTGTCCTTTTCGTGGCCTTTGGCCACTCCAAAATCCAAAATATGCAATCTTTCTTTGCACCCCCTGGCAAAATCTCTAGGATTCAACATTCCGTAAGTCTATGACATCATGACTTGTGTAAGAGGCATCCAACCGCATCCAGATCTTGGACACCTTGCCTCCCTTTTTTGGCTCCTAGTCTGAAACGTCACAATGCGGCCCGAAAACCCCACCGCTGCATGTATGTGAAAAGTGGTGACGTCGTTGTGCGTCCCTGGAGCAAATGGGCCTGTTCTGGGGGTTTGATATGGTGATATTGCATGTTCATTATGCGTGTGTGCGCGTGGGCATGCACAGATATGGAGTGCCCCGTCCCATGAGTCCCTCAGCGTCCCTCTGTGAGGAGTGCATGTATGTGTGAAAATCACATTGGATGACAGGGTGAGATGGGGAGGGGGAGTGAGATTAGACAAGCCATCGGAGTATTAGACGGGGTTTCTTCTTCTTTTTCAAAATATTAAACAGTGTAAATAGCAATAGTGGGGGGGCAGTAGCGCCCTCACGAAGCCCCCGACAAGTCGCCTCCCGTCTGCTTCCACTTCTGCGCCATGGCCATGATGTTGGACAGATTCTTGGCCTGCTGGTCGTCCGCCGGGAAGACGTAGTCAAAGTACTCCTCGTAGACGTCCTCGTTGTCGCCGCCGCTGTCGTCCTGGACTCTTCTCCGGCGCTTGACTCTGCGCGGCATCTGCTTCTGCACGGCGTCCACGTCCGCCTCGGTGCCGTGCGTGCGCTCAAAGGACAGCCAGGCGTTGAGCAAGCTGACGCGCTCCTCCTTGAGGTCCTTGTCGCGCATGCTCTTGTGGGCGCGCTCAAAGACTTTGCGGGCGCGGGCCTTGGCCTCATCGCTGACGGGTTGTTCTTCCTGCTCCTCTTCGGCCTCGTCGTCTTCGGGGATGTTGATTTCGAAGTGGGCGTAGCTGATCCAGACCTTGACGTGGTCCGTCTTCTCGAGGAGTCGCTCGTATAGGTCGCGCGTCTTTTCGTACTCGCCCTCTTCCTCTTCAAAGTCGATGTAAGCCTTCCACAGCAGCTCCGGCATGTCTAGCTGCGGCTGGCTGACAGCCAGTTCGAAGATGGCTCTCGCACGATCAAGATCATCTAGGCCGCGCTCCAATTCGGCAAACTTGATCCACGTCTGGCAGTTTGTCGAGTTGTACTGGATGTGCTTCTCGTATAGCGTCCGGCAGCGCACGAATTCAAACAGCTTCCGTTCTATATCAACGTATCCATCAAAGAGCTTGTCCTTGGGGCACATGCCAATCGCGCGCCCCAGAAGCTTTCGAGCAGCTCCCAGGTCACCCTGTCGAACCTCGAACTGCGCCGCAAGCAGCCATATCTTGGCAAACGTAAACTTCTTATGGGGTATCAGGTTCAAGCATGTGGTGTAAATCTGCCGGGCGCGCTCAACATCCTGGCCCTCGAGCTCTTCCCATACCGCGTAGAATATCCACAGGTAAATATATCGGCGCCAGTGCCGCTTCTCCTGCGTCGGAGGGACTTGGGCAATCGCTCGCTCGTAGACATCTCGAACACGGTCTGCATCCCTGGATGCCTCCTCCAGCCCAGCATAGTCGAACCACGCATCGTAGTTTTTGGGGTTCTCGCGCACCTGCTCTTCGTAATACACCCGTCTCTTGGACAAGACCACATCCTCCACGCCGTCCTGGTCGCCAAATTGCTTTTCAAACGTCGTGTATGCAGAGTGCAGCAGTCTTGATTTTGATCGAGGCAGACGGTCGAGGGCGTATTTGTAGATGGCTCTCGCCCGCTCATATTCCTTGAGCTTGGATTCAAACCGAGCATACGCAATGAATAGCTTCTCGTCGACAAAGTCGTCCCCTAGAGTCTCAACCGCCGTTCCAAAGACCTCACGAACCAGATCGCTGGTTCCGTATTCCTCCTCAAACTTGGCCCATTTGATCCAGTTTCGGGGCTCGGGGTGGACCATGGTAAATGTCTGAAAGATCTCGCGCGCTCGGTCAAACTCGCCATATCGCTTTTCCAGTTTAATATATGCACTCCATGCCGCCTCGCTTGGTCGCCATTGCATCCACCTGTCGAAGACCTGTCGCGTTCCGGGGATGTTGCCCAGCATCTCCTCCATGTAAACGTATTTGTACCACATTTTGTCCACTCGGGGCAGCCGCGTGACCGCGCGGTCCAAGAGATTCCGGGCATGGTTGATGTTTCTCGACTTCATCTCGGCCTCGATGTACCGCGTCCACACCTGGACATCGTTGGGGTGGACATCGAGACAGCGCTCGAAGACTGATCGAGCGCGGGCAAACTCTTTCTGCTCCAGCTCCCACTGCGCGTACTGCAGCCAGTTGCTGAGCTTGACGCGATTCCGCCTGACATAGTCCTCAAACTCCTTTCGCTTCCGGCCCTGGTACTCGTGAAGCTCTTCGAGATCGGCGAATCGCTGCGTCGGTGCCTGGATCTGAACCTCCTGTCGGTCGACGGCTTCACGAAGAAGCTGCTCGGCACTGATCTGGATGGGCGCTGCCGCCTTGTTTTTGACCTTGGGCGGGCCACGCGACGACTCCATTGTGTGGGATGGCTTGTGCAACGCTTGGTAGAGACGATTGTAAAGAAATCAAATCCGAGGTTCGCTTCGATTAGCTGAAGCGAGCTCTTGCGGCAGCCAGACCTTGTCCAAAGAGCTCAAACCAGCTGGCGAGGCTCTGAAATTTGGGAGAGGCGGAACAGACAGACTTGCAGCGAAGGTGCTTGAAGTGGGTACAAAGTACTTGCTTAGTGCCGCCTTATCGCGACGATAAGAGATTGATTTGGTGTTATAGTGCACGGGCCACCGCCAAACTTGGCTACTACGTCTTTCGTTTCTCAGCCTCGCAGCTTCATTCAAAACAGAAAAAAAAGAAGCCCAACAAAGCTATTTGCAATCCAGCAGGTTGCACGTCGCCTGATCGAGACAATTCTTTTCTATTCTTCTTTTCAATTTTCTAAGATATAACCAAGATCAGAGAGATAGGCTTGTCAGCCAGCCAGCCGCAACCATGTCGACAGTCGCCGACGACCTGCTCAACGACTTTGGAAGCTCAGGAGACGAGGCAGATGAGCTGGACAACGATGGCCTCGTGCTCACAGAAAAGGCGGAGAAGACAGCAAATGGCGACCGCGATGCCATGGATGTGGACGATGACGACGACAATGACGAGGCCTCGGAGGATGAAGGCGCGGGTGCGTTGAACGACATGGAGGATACAGAAGCAACCAAGGCAAAGGTCGAGAAGATGCAGCTGGGCGCCGTCAAAGACGTCCGCAGCGTGGCCAGCTTGATGCAGACGCTGGAACCTGTCCTCGAGGTTAGTAGATCCCCTACCCTTTGCCCCCAAAACCTCTTTGGATGGCTTGTTTACATCGTTTTCGAGATGAGCAATTAGCCCTGACGTGTTGGCTCGACTCCTACAGAAAATCACACATTACCAGTCACAACCGACGGCGCAGCAAACCAGCGTCGGCAATATCGAAGACCACCCCGAGTATCACCTGTTGACGCAGTCCAACAGCCTATCAACCATGATTGATGGCGAAGTCGCGTTGGTGCACAAGTTCATTCGCGATCATTACTCGACACGCTTTCCCGAACTAGAACGCCTCGTCACGACTCCGTTGGAATATGCCAAGGTGGTGGCCATCATTGGAAACGGCCCCATGGACTCGGAGAGCATCAAAGCGCTTCAGACTTCGACAAACAATCCTCTTGGAGTCGGGCTAAAGGCCGTCCTTGACGGACCTTCTCTCATGATTGTCACGGTAGAAGCGACAACCTCGAAAGGTCACGAAATGGTGGCGGAGGAGCTGCAGCGAGTGCGACAAGCCTGCGAAATGATGATTGCCCTGCACAGAGCGAAGCAGACTCTTACAGAGTACGTGCAGTCACGAATGAACATTTTCGCACCCAACTTGACCATCCTCATCGGCTCCCTCACGGCTGCACAGCTTCTCAATGCTGCTGGAGGCCTGACAGGTTTGTCCAAGACACCGGCATGCAATATTCCTTCCTGGGGTTCCAAGAAACGACAGGCTGGTCTAGCGACCAACATTGGAATCCGTCAGCAAGGTTATCTTTACAACTCTGAGATTATCAGGGGTATTCCCAACGACTTGAAGAAGCAAGCCATGAGAATCGTGGCAGCTAAGCTCGTCTTGGCCGCGCGAGTCGACCGCATCCATTCAAGCGCCGATGGCTCAACAGGAGAGCAACTGAAATCTGCCTGCCTGGAAAGGCTGGAGAAACTTACCGAACCCCCACCTAACAAAGGACAGCGAGCACTCCCGGTGCCGGATGACAAGCCCGCCCGAAAGCGAGGTGGTCGCCGGGCCAGGAAGGCCAAGGAGGCGCTCGCCATGACGGAGCTGCGCAAGGCCCAGAACCGCATGGCCTTTGGCAAGGAGGAAAAAGAAGTCGGCTACGGCACTGGCGAAGGTACGGTGGGCATGGGCATGATTGGCCAGTCCAACGATGGACGTATTCGTGGCATGCAAGTCGATCAGCGTACGCGAGCCAAACTCGGCGTCAAGAGCAAGGGCTGGGGCGGTGCCAGCACCTTGGGCGGAGGCACGGCGTCATCCATTGGAGGCTTTGGCATGGCTCCCGGCATGGATCTCCGCGGCAAGGGGCTCCGGACGTCGGGCGTGGGAAGCACCGTCGGCTCTGCGGCTGGTACTCAGTCGTCGCTGGCCTTCACCCCCGTGCAGGGTCTGGAGCTGGTCGATCCCAAGGTGCGCGCCGAGCTGAGTCGGAAACGCAAGGCAGAGGAAGACCGGTGGTTCAAGGGCGGCAGCTTCACACAGGTTGGCAACGGCGGAGGAGGCTTCAAAGTCCCGGACCTGCCGGCCTCGAAGCGGGTCGACACCGGAGCTTCAAAGATGGGCCCGCCTCCGGTGCCGAACCGAAAATGAGTGCCTACCCTGGAGGAAAGGAAGGTTTAGATGCAACGACTTTTTTTCTTTCACTTTTCTTTACTTTGGTCATATTGCGTATTGATGTTTGTTCACCATGGTATTGGAAGGGGGTGCTGTTTTATCCGGGCGTTTAAACTACCAAGGCTTGTTCAAATGATGTGTGTATATAGAAATACTACCTGCTACCTTGTCCTTTTGTTTTCATTCACTGACCGGAAAGGGCAAACGCAAATCAGACTGTTGAACCAACAAATATACATAGAAAGACGCGTTCTCTACCTCTTTATTATAAAGTCAAAGCCGTAGAATAATAGAACATTTTTCTCACGTCAATCTTGTACCTCACCGGATGACGATCAAAGATGTGCAATCGAAAATCTTCGGAAGGGGGGGCCATGTGGATGCCACGCCCTGTCGATTGCTTCATGCTGATGCTCCAATGCCGCCAAAGGCAGTCTAAACGGCTATTTAGCTGCCAGGGACCAAATTAAAAATTTTTTTTACGCTGGGCGGGGATCTTTTTTGTGAAATGTGACGGGACGTGTGTGATCTTTGGACGAGTAGGGGAGGGGGCGTGTGGGTGATCCTGATGACGATTTGCGCTGTGATGGGCAGGTTTTTAGGTTGCATTTGGCTCTGTTTGGGCATGGGTGGCTGCGAGTTGAGAACACCATCTACAATGATTTTTTTTTTTTTTTTCGTTTGTATTACAGATGACAGGTATCGTATCATTCATTCTCGAAAAAAGTTAAAAAGTAGCCTGACACACGCCCTGATACGATCGATACTGGAGATTAAAAAGGGTTAAAGAAAAAAAAAAAAAGGATGAGACGGGATGGATGTCGTAACAAGTCACAGGGCAGTGTAAACTGTGGCTGCTTCATCATGGGAATAAAGGGTGATATCCAAAAGCGAGAAAAAAAAAAAAAAATACAACCCTGGAGTGAAACCAGTGCTTGTATCATTCCTCGCCCCCCCCCTCCCTTCTTCAGACAAATAAATCATTGGAGGGACCTTTTCTTCTCGTCCACCCATGTGCTGGAATTTTTGTCTTGTCCTGCATGTGGGCGAGGTGCATGTACGTATGTATAACGCAATGCGCACTTGGAATTGGAATGGCAAAAAAAGCACGAATATTCAAAAGGATGCCGTGGGTGTTTTTTTCGTATACAAGAAGTTGCAGCCAGCAGCATCTCTTTGCGGATACAAAATGGAAAATCCTCCGTAAGGGGGGGCTGTGTGACTTTCCAATCACAAGGGGGCCAGTTGAGTATCCCGGATCTCGATGGAGTCGAATTTCACGGTACTTGCTGCTCCCTCCCTATTTTGTTGGTCTGCTCAGCGCGGCAAACATGTTGTATCGTGTACATGATACGCGGGCCTCTCTCTGTAGTGAGACTTTGTGTGGTCTGGCCCCCAACGGAGGCATCTTTTATTGGAATAGGGCATACCAGCTACCGCACTGGCGGCGCCGGGAAGATGCATGTCAACGCCAGGGGGCCCAAACATCGTGACTAATGATGAGTTGTTGTGTTGGTGTTGTTGGCCGTGAGACGTGCCAATGCGTTGTCACAAGCCACATTTGAACTCTGGCTGAAATAAGAGCCGGGAACAAGGGACTGAGAAAGGGGTAGAAATTAAGAAGCAATGCGGCAAAAAGTTAGAAAAAAAAGAAAGAAAAAAAAGGAGACCGCTCGATGCACAGTATCAATGGCCTAGGAGACAATTCTCTCTGCTGACCGGTCAAAGAGGCTTCCATCTAACTCGGAGAAGAAATAGAGAACATAAACACCAGTGGTGCTCATGGGGGAATGCCACGGAAACATAGCATCTCGATCTCCGCGATTCATGGCATCGTGAAGATTCCTCATCACGAGAGAATTTGATCGCAAATCTAGGGAATGCAATAGAACACGGTCCCAGCGCAGAATCAACGCGAGTCCCTTGAACAACACCCATAGGACTTCGTACATGCAGCACTCGGTGGCTGCCAGAAGACGGAGACGGAAAGAGCAATGATCAACAAGTCTTCATAGTCTCACGCCGCTGGGAGAAAGACTGTCATGTCAAGGCAAGCAAAGGTACACGCCTTGTCCACAATATTGAATGCAGCAGTGCATTACGGAGCAGTACGGAATACGGAGTACTCCGAAACTACTTTGTGCTTCCGAGGTACTGGCATCCTTGATCTTTTAAAGAACCATGCAGCGCTTTCAAATTCTAACTTGACATCACGCCAGTGGCAAAAGCTTGACAAAGTTCCCATTCACAACAATTATAGTCTTGCGCTTTTTTTTTACTCTCTTTGGTCCCTTAAAAAAAAGAGAAGAAAAAAAAACGGAGAACTTGGGAAAGGGAAAAAAACGCAGCAGACCTCGATCGATTTCTTGAAAATGTCCATTGGGGGAAAGGGGGTGTAGGGGAAATCCTCTTTGTCTTATCTGGCCAGAGAAGACGGTGCTGTCGATCACAGACAGGGTTGGCGTCGAGTTGACAGGCGATGGGTCTGGTCGTGTATACTTGATATCCAGTAGAAAGTTGCTGACGAGCGTGTCAACGACGTGAACGAGTAACGGCAGACTTGTTGGGGTTGCGACTTCGCACTGCGGCTTGTGCATGGCGCATCGTATCTGCTGCCAAAGCTTCAGTTCGTCTCTTGTCGCTCGTATCACATCCGTCCGGCACGTTTGCGTCGGCATCTCGTAGCTTCAAGAGCTGACACAGTCGCATGCAGCCAGCAAAGCAAAGCAACGGCTCCCCGTCCAGCTGGTCCTTGTACCTGTGGCATTCGCTAGCTCGACCTCGTACATGTATGTACCATCCCATCCCATCCAGCCCAGCCCAGTCAAGCCCAGTCAAGCTTTTTCCTCATGGCCATGTGGGGTCAGGCGGAGTCCCAGGGCTTGGTCTGGGGGAGACGGTCGAGCGGCTTCTTCTCTCATGGCCGCCCGGATTCAACGATCCCTCCGCAAAAGTCGAGATCCTCGTAGCCATGCGCGTGGAGAGGCAATGGGGGATTTTGGTGATCGACAGAGCTTGCTGGGTCGTCAAGACGTCATCGGCAAAGGGGTTCAACTTTTCTTTTTTTCTTTTCTTCTTCTTCTCATCCTCCCTCGCTGGCAACCCCTGTTGTTGTTGTTGTTGTTGTTGCTGCTGCCGCCCCGTGGCCTCCGAGTCGTTTTCTTCCTGCACTCTTCTGCTATCCATGTGCCTGACAAGCCTGAACTCTGCGGGCGGAGCTAATTGCTGTTGACGCGCGGGGAATGCATTGGTAGAGCGTCTTGATTTGTTTATCCAAAAGCTAAAGCTTGTAAGAATGGAAGAGGCCCCGTAAGCAAACCCAGGCCCTAATGCATGAAAAGGCTAACCCGGGCCGGAGATTGAAAGGGGATAAAGAGACGACGGCCATTCGCTACCATTTGCTACCATGGCTCGCATGGCTCGTCGTCGCCTTGGAGAGGGAGGGGACGAGAGTTTGGAGGCGCATTCGAGAGAGGCCAGGCCAGGCAACAAGGGCGGTGGGCCAGTGCTCAACAACTAAAACAACCTACCTAGTACTCCGTAGTGTGCAAGGTAAACCAACGATGCCGCGTGCAGACAAATCACTGCCACGAGCCATTCTCGAAAGGGCGAATACGCAGCAAGGTGCAGGTGCAGGTGCTTGGTTCTGGGATCTTGGAGGGAGCCGAGGACCTGCATTTCTGCAGGAAATTGCTGGGACGAGGAGGTAAAACAGCCAGTAGTTACCTTGATGCCCTCAGCAGTACATACAAGTAGGCGAGTTAGTACCTACAGCCTACAGCCTACAGCCTACAGTACGGCGTTCGTACTTGACTCAAAGTATGGCGACCTGCCCAGCCACACTCAACTAGCCCGCGGCTGGCAATGATCGCCTTTAGCTCTCTTATCTTTCCCCTCTCTGTTCCTTTTGCCGGCCTCCCTTTTACAGTACGAGTACGTACTCGTCATTTATTCTCTCCAGCTATCTCTTTTCTCGCCGAATTCTTGTTTTTGGGCCACAACTGGCCGTGCTTAGCATCTCGCCTCTTACTTTGCGTCTCTTGGCTTCTCCTCGCCGCGCAATTACGGCGCGATACTTTGTTGCGCAAATCAAGAAAATGTGTGCGGCGGTTCTTGTAAGCATCTCCAGGCCAAGGTACTAACAAGTAGTGTGTGTGCTGCTTCTCCAACTGCGGAAACTCGGGACTTGTTCTCTGGCTTCTGGCTCCCCCCCCTGCCCTACCACGGATGGATGCCAAAAGTATCGCCGCTCCAGACTCCACCCCTCATCAGCCACACTGGCCCAAACGCTGGCTTTGTAAGAACCGAACTACTCTACAAGGACAAGGCACGAGTCGGGAAGCGCTGCCTGTGATTACAACAACATCAACAATCAGCGCAATCCTTCAATCCAAGTGCCGTGCGTGCTTTAGGTTTTGCCTGGCAGCTGTGGTCGACAAAGCCGCTAATATGATTCTGTGCGTGGCATCAGCGCCACTGGCCTGGCCCTTGGAAGAAACGGCTATTCCTTGCCGGCTGGTTGCGGATTGCTTCAGTCACCATTCTCTCATGGCCCTTCTCGCCATCTCGTGATAAACACAACAAGAGCAAGGCTCCGGAACTGTGGTAACGCTTGCTTGGTGCAAAGCCTGGGGCAAGCCACGCAGAACATAAACCTTGCGCTACGCTGGACCCGGAGACGTCCTTCCGTATCAGTCAAAGAGGCGTCACTAAACAAACTGCTTGCACAAGTCCACGTACGAGTATTACCTGGTATGAGTACTGCTCCGTACTAATTCCCAGACTCGTAAACCATACAGATAGATACTTGGATCGTTGGATCGTTGGGCAGGGCAGAAGGACAGGACCCTGATTGCTCCTAAAAATAAAATCAACAAAACAGCCCAGCGTATCGAGAGCTCGCGCGTATGAGTACGGGCAGGCCAAAAACCCCCCTTGATCGCCCTTGTCAGCACAAATTCTGGTTTCCCATGTGGGCAGGTCAACCAACAGTAAACAGTGCAGACAGTGAGCAGATGCACTCATGCACTGCAACTCTCGGGCGCAGCAGAAGCGACGACGAACTCTGGAGAGGGGCAAATCCGGCACCCCATGAAAACCGCATCCTCGTCCAAGAATTGCATCTTTGCCCCTCAAGCTCCCAACGGATCTAGGGCATTAGCGCACGGATGCGTTGCGAAGGGGGCCCAAGTCCGTTGAAAGTCCGTTGAAAGTACAGCCCATGTTGCGCTGAGTCTTGTCCGTCGCAGTTCGCATGTACCGTGGCTGCCATCGTCAAGTACCCGCGCGGTGTTTTCTGCCTCTGCGCGCCGTGTGATTGGCCTGCGCCGCACAAGAGAGTTGTGGCTAGGGCGCTCTAGCTTACTCGTGCCCGTGCATGTGGTTGCACTCCAGAAGTTGTCCGCTGACAAAAGAAGAAGCAGGGCCGGACGCGGCGGAGTACGAGTACCAAAATCCTCTTGAAGCGGCACAGGCAACCCTTGAAAGTTGCAACTTTGCTGAGGCCGGGAGATGCTGTACTATGTAACTTGCACAGGCATGGCGGGGTGTGCTGCGGCCGTGCCCACAAGTTAGTATGGAGGCACGTAATACCTAGGTAGGTATGTAGTACAGTACTATGTACCTTGAGTGCTAGGAACCGTCTCCGGACGTCCCAGGAGATCCGCAGCCATGCAGCCTGTGCTGGACGGCTTGCTCGATCTCTCCGATAATTGGCTATTTATCGCTGTGCTGTCTCCGTTGCATGCGAACGACCCTGGATGAGGCGCTAGCGTCTTTCCCTGCCCTTACGCTGGTCGCCGTGCCCCGTTCCAGTACTGCCTTGTAGCTGCAGCATCCTGTCAGCGCAGAATCAGACACATCAACTGGCTCGGGATACTTGCCAGTACTTGTAAGCTTGGGCTGCCACTACGAGTACGATACATGCAAGTTAAGGGCCCTTGGGACCCCTCAAGACCCTTGTCCTTGGGCTCCTCCCAGGACCCGTCTTTTCTTCCAGTTGACCTCAGCCGGCTGTCACTGCACCCATGCTTGAATAACTCGAAGGGATCCGAGCTGTGGGTGTAGCTGCTCCAGTTGCTCCAGTCTCCTGTGGGATCCTTTAGGGCTTTCCACAGTCACGATGACGACACCATGAGGTCAAAATGGCCGAATGAGCCTCTCGAGATGCGCATTTTCGCCATAATCACCGCCTTTGCAAATTGTGCATGACTTGTCCGTGTTTTGAGGATCCGCGGCGCAGGTGCCTGGTTGCAAAAGTCCTGGCCTTTTCCGCCGGGATGGCTGTGATTTGATATCAAACTTGATAAGTAGAGCGACACACTTTAATGGTCATGGCGCTACGGCAAAGTTGGAGCAAGGCTGGCTGCCTACTAGTCTAGTACGAGTACATAGATTAGTAGGTAGTAGCACTTCGCAATCCATCCAGCAACAGCTGAAGCTTAGCCTTGGCGTTTACTTTGTAAGCGCGTCCACCATGTCTGGGGTACTTGACTTGCCCCATCTTCAAACTTGCTTTGCACCTAAACCAAACTGATACATGCACCAGCTTAGTATTCTGTGCTTACCTGCTGATATGATACGTGCTGCAGTATACCTGTAATCTGTAATGCGTCGCCGTATTACGAGTATCGGCCGCCCGCTGACCTGACCGTGCACAGTACGGACAGTTGAGTACTTTGCCTTGTGGTTGATATTTCGAAGAAGAATTCAAGGCTCCGTAAAAAGGGACCCCCCTCCTTCCCCCCCCCTTTTGAAGTAAACCTCTCGTGTCGTTTCTTTCAAGAGGAATTGCACCGAGAATGGAGCGGCGCTGCTTCTTGGTTTGATGGGACACCCTCTCCGTCTAATGGGTCCAAGGGTCGGAGAGTGGAAAGTTGAGTTGACGTGACCCTTGGGTTACCGTGACGTCAACCATTCAGAGCATTGTCCATGGAAAACCAGCGTTCCTTGTCCCTTGTATGAGCACAAGGGCCCTGTGATCCACCATGGTGTCGTAAAGTGCCTGCAATCGAGATTTCGCTGTTGAGGGTCCTCCAACTTCGCACATGCTTGTCCAAGTGCCACAAAAGCCAAGAACGTGTGTTCCGTGCCTTGACCAGCCCTCCACTCACAGCCCTTGGTCGAACGCCAAAGGACAAGAGGAGACGGGGAAAGAAGGGGAAAAGAGGGCCCCCAATTGGGAGCAGAGTGGCCCATCGTGATAGCTTAGTACAGTATTCGACGTCGGATGTGTGCTATGGGCCCAAGTGATGAGACGGCGCAAAAGTATCGTGGCTGAAGCGCGCGCAGGGTGATGCTGGGCTTATCTTGCGCTTCAGCAAAGCGAGGTGCGGAGACGAGACATGCTAGAGAAGCGTGGTTAACACTGTACAAGAAGGGAAAAGAAGAGAGAGATTTTGGGAACAAAACAAAAATTAATTAAATTAAAATCAATAAAGACGGGAAGGGAAAGCGAGGCGAGAGACAATTCATCACAAACCCCATCGCCATGCATGCTGCTGCTGCATGGAGCAATATTCTGCTGTTTCCAGGCCGCAGACACGCACGTTCCGCGCTTGTGCTCAGCGCAACCCCAAGGCGCTAAAGAGGCAGGATCTTCACCGGCTGCACCTCGACAGCCAAGCGAGACAGAGGCGGACGGTGGCGCATGCACGTGTGGTCGGGCCAAGCGACGGAGATAGAGATGAGAGAAGAGAAGTGAAATATGAGAAAAGATGGGAAAAGTGACGAATCGACCTCCGTTGGTGCCGTATTTCCCTTGTACACTCGCGAGTTCTGTTTGCAGCGCATTACTGTATGACTGTACTGCCCAGAGAGAGAGAGAGAGGTACGAGTACCTGCCTGTAGTAAGCTGCAGGCTCGAAGCAGAAGAGTCAGCGACGTACCCCAGGTTGGTACATACATGCCCTGCGGCATCCGTGGTAGGTACTTGCGGCCTGGAGCGAGGGTACTCGTGCTCCGTACAAGACCCAGGTAAGCGTGCGCGTTCAAGCCACACGAGGCGTGCCCACGGTACCCGCGACTCCTCCAAAAGGTACATACTCGTACAAGGCGGTACGCCAGGGTGACCGCATCCCCTCTTCTCCCCTCCAAGCGACTCCACACACCCCTCCAGCCTGGCCCCGCTTCCCCCCTGCCGGACCCTGGTTCCCTGCCCGGCTAGCAAGCTGTGGCTGCTGTGGCCCTACTACAGCCCGCTACTGTAGAGCCTCTAAGGGACCCCCCTGTCGCCGCAGCTCCAGCGCCCGAAGCTGGCTCCCATGCAGCTCGCAGGGCAAAAAAAGCAAGCTCGTTGGGAAGGTTTTTTTTTTTCTTTTTATTCTTAATATGACTGGGTGACGACTTTTATGGCTCTTGGGCTGCGAGCAGTACGGAGTACAGTACAGTACTAGGTACTCTACTAGTACGAGTACTTGTACACATACCTGGGGCCACGCAAGGTACGTACCTATCTACATGTACATCCGGCCCAAGAGATTACGGAGCAAAAGTGGGAGTGGACTTTGTCACTCGATCCTCGATCGATGGGATGGATGCTCCCGTTGCGCCTCTCCGGCTTTGACAAAAACTCCATCGCTCCCTCTTGCGCCCTTCTTCTCTCCCACCTCCACCTCCGATCTCTTCGTCTCGTCACTTATTACTCTCGGCCTCGCCTTACCTTGCCTTTACCTTTCCCTCTCCTCTCCTCACCTCACCTCACATACCTTGACCTCTCCCATTGCGTCTCTTCTCCCTCCCTACCTCATCGCAACAAGACAAGCTTCCATCTCTCTCTCTCGTCGCCCTTCGCCTGACCCTGTACCCAGCAAGCGTCTCTTCGTCGCCTCGTCTCTCGTTTGATAGCACTGGCAACGGCAATCGTGCATACAAGTCGGCGCCATCTGAAATTGGCCTGATTCTGATTCCGACCCTGTTGATACTTATACATCCAATACCACACCCCGTCGAAGGCTTAGCGCGCGACGCAGAGCTGCCACCACTCCTGCCATCAGCCACCTGCCTCGGTTGACTGAGGAGATCAATAAGTGAAAAAGAGCGGAAAAGAGAAAGAAAAGAGACCTCCACAGCTGCGCAGATCCAAAAACGGGATCTAAATTACCATTTGCGCCGCTTCTGACCAATTCGCATGTCTCCGCCGTCCCTCTTTCCTTATTGCGACTGCTGCAGCACCAACGGCTCCTGCCCTCCGTCTTAAACGACTTTAAGCGAAGCTTCGACAAAAGCTGCCACCTGCTGCCCATTTTTCAAACTCTTGGGAAATTATCTTCCTTTTCTTTTTTCTTTTCTCCCCATCTCCATCTCGCATAAATTCGCATTTCTTTCTCAGGAATCAAACAGTGGTTCCTGAAAAACGCCGTTGCGCAACTCACAGAAACGTCAAGTCGGAGAGCCATCTCTAGAGCGGCAACTCCGGAGCTCTACAGCTCTCTTGACCAGAGACCTCAGTTTCACTGCACACGGCGCAAACGCAGACAACGCGCACCACCGACTTTTTTTCACCTTGTTCGAAACGACATATTTTACCAATCTTTTGTCGCAATGCACGCTCGTGACGCCGCAGGCCGCAGGGTCTCACTCCTCAACGAGGAAGACTTTGGCACCATCGACACGTCCACTTACTACCACTCTGTGCACCCACAGCCTCCCTCCCGCAGCGATTCATCGTCACCAAATACACCCGCGCTCCTGCGGTCGGATTCCTTTGATTCTCAGCTTAGCGAAGTCATTTCACCCTTGACGCCGCCTGTGGATTACAGCTACGCAATTATGCGCGCTCCCAACTACGCTTTCGGGCACGAGTACACCGAGGGCCCTCCCGCTAAGCGCACTGCCTATGGGGCTTGCAGTCCCTCTGCCTCTTGCGAAGAGGACAGCTCCGCTGCGTCTTGTGTTCCCGAGCGCCCCGTCAAGCGGTATCCCTGCCGCTACCGTGAGATTCATGGATGCGAAAAGACCTTCACCACCTCGGGGCATGCTTCGCGCCATTCCAAGATCCACACAGCTGAAAAGGCGGTCCATTGCCAATACCCGGGATGTCACAAGAAGTTCACTAGAGCCGACAACATGAAGCAACATCTGGAAACCCACTTCAAGGACAAGACCCGAAGCTCGTCGGGCGCCCAGCGCTCTAGCAAAACCTCCTTGGCTTCCAGTGCGCGCCGCAGCTCAACTTCATCGAGCCGAAGCCGCTCCTCCACCACAGGACCTGATTCCTTTGTTTTCTGGGACTCGAGCGAGCTTCACCAGAAGCAGAGCCTCTTGCCGACGTCCCCGCTTCCACAGCCGACCGGCACTGCGGGTGACTGGGATACCACTATGAGTGGTTTTGACCTCCCATTACTCAATCGTCCTTCCGCAGTTGGTCGCACGCCCAGTGGCCTCGACACTTTGGCCATGGCCATAGCGTGCCAGGAAGGTCGGATGGCATTGTGAGAAGAAATAAGACCTCAAGACCTCTCTCCTCGCCTCATTTACCCCTCCACCCTTTAACAAACTTGTCAGCGAATCCACTCGGGCGCAGCCCGGGCGCTGCGGTTACATTACATGGATACCAGAGAGCGAGAAAAACCAACACATGCAAAAAAAAAAAATTACAAAAAAAGAGAAGAGAACAAGAGAGTAATTTTTAATGCCCCACCGACTTGCAACGACAAAAAAGAAAAGAAAAAAAAGAACGAAACTCAGATACCGCCGATTTATACTATGGATCTGCAGACAGGGGAATATACGGAGCACACTCGGTACATATACGATCAGGGGCAGAGAATTATACACTGGAGGCTGCCCTTGCGGGATGTCAAATGGCGTTTGGATGCGATTTGCACTTAAGCATCGCCATTTTATCATGATTTGATTTCCTTCCTTATTCTTTTCCTTTTTTTTTCTTCTTTGCTCATTTTTTTTTTCCATTGCTTATCCCGATGTTGCCAACGTGGGACCTCTGAGTAAGGAACTACGGCTGGCAATGCGGAGGCATGCAATATGAGAGGTCGCGAGAAACACGAATGGCGCCTTGGTTGACTTAGCTTCATTGTTCTTTTTTCCCGTATCTACTTGGCAGTTGCCGGATTTTCTTTTGTCAGGGTCCTGTTTTTTTACGCTTCTTGATATCCCATGCTTTCATGCACGCCTCGATGATTGATGAACCTTTTCGAAGATAGCAGTGGAGGGGGGATGCTTCATCTTGTCACATGGCGTTTGGCGGTACTCTCCCCTTAGATATGACGCGCGCATGGGAAAAAAAATCGAGATGGTGTGTTAATGGCTGTATGTATATACAAATGGTAGCTCGCTTTTGAGCCTGGGATGGGATGGGATTCAATTGATACCACTTTGTTGTTTTGATACCTGATGACTCTTCTTTGTATTGGTGATGAGACTACCGCGTATATACTCGTAGCAGCGCCTTGAGAGATTAATGCATGAATGTACTGAGTACGTGTAGCCGGCCCGATGCATTAAGGCCCAGTCACGTTTCACGAGACGGGCAGTATAAGTGCGCATACGAGTATCCCATAATGCCATGCCTTTACCTATGCATGTGTAAGCTTAGTACCTATATGGGAATGGGCCGTTTGAGCTCCTTTTTGTTTTCCTTTATTTATTTAGGTACTTATTTTATTCTATCTTCTCCTCTCTTCCTATCATAAACCCCCCTGTCCCGTCTTCTCGTTTATCCACCTATCGACGGAGTTGCCCGATTTTTTTTTTTTTTTTTTTTTTTTTTTGATTTTTTTCCCCCTCGGTTGAGTAACTGCTTTGAGTATTGGCTTGGCAGCATGGCACGGACGATACTGATTCGGCGGGCTGCAGATAAATTTTTTCTTGGGGGTTTTCAGCTTTCGGGGGAGGCGGGCGGGCGGCTCCGGTTTTCGGATCTCTGGGAGGAGACGAAGACGGAGAGGAGAGGAGGAGGAGGAGGAAGGGTAGAGTTCTTGCGGTGGTACTGGTGATGTGTGTGTGTGTGTGTACAGGGTATTTGCTCGTTTTCCTATAAGAGATTTAGGCTGTGGTCTTGAAGAGACTTTTTTGGGGGGAATCAGGAAAGGAAGAATAGGCTTGTTGAATTTTATTTTATAGATATTTTTGGGGGGTTTGCTAGAATTTGTAGGGAAATGTGATGTATCAAAGCGTTCCAAGAGAACAATACTCGAATATTTATTCTTCTTCTGAAACGTAGTGCTGGTAGTAAAGAAATATATTGCCAAGTATCCATCTATCAACCAGAAGAATTGCAACAGTGAAATGTATTATAACGAGACCTGCTTCTCCCATGATGAACGAGTAAATCACAGAGAACATGATAGAGAAATAGAGAGACAGGGAGATTCTGTTGCACAAACAATCCTTTCCAAGTCCTCAGCTCTCGCCCTCCTAACCTACATACCCTATATATCAAACCCACCAACAGCCCATTCGAATCGTATAATGACTCTTTGATCATTTCATGTACAACCTATGAATGCAGTAGCTTTCTAGTCTTCTACCCGGTAGCCCGTTTGTAAGGTTACTTACAATCACCTCCCCATGCAACAACCGGAGTAAAGACTGCTATTGTATACTACGCTTGAAGCTATTCACTGTCGAATTCCAAAACCATCTTGGCCGAACCATGGCTCGCAGTGAGATCCCTATTTTGCAAAAGCACATCTCATAGACACTAGTAAAGCCGTCAGAATTTACAATGTATATTTCTACGCACATCTACCATCTAATAACTGCGCCTGTTCCCCCCTCTCTTACGCCCAAAGTGCTTCCATCTCCGTGCATGCTCTAGCCATCTCAAACTGTTCATCTGTTTGACACACGAGGACGCTATGCTTCGAGTCCTTGCTGCTTAAATCTCGAACTGTTGCAGCACCGGCAGCCTCGGCATTGTTGAGCGCCTCGTCAATGGCAAAGCCCAGGCACCCAGCTTGCTCAATCACGGCGCTGCGAAGACGGGCGCTTCTCTCGCCGATTCCTCCAGCAAACACGATTGCGTCCACCTCGCCCTTAAGCGAGACATAGTAGCTCCCAACGAAACCGCAGATGCGGTCCACAAATAAGTCGAAAGCTAGGCGATGCTGGGGTTCATCTGAGGCGGCAATGATGCCGAAATTGGTAGTGCCGGTCATAGACTTCCAACCGCTCGCCTTGTTGAGGATCTCTTCAGCCGTGGAGATGTGGAGATGCTCTGTTGAGGCTGGAGAAAGCTTGCCTACGTCGCTGGCGTAGTGGAAGACCAAACTGTTTATTGACCATGTTTGTCAGCTCCAATTCTCACAAGGGAAATTTGGACACGGTTGAAGACTGAAATAGGGAAAGGAGAATGCTACTCGGAATAATGCTCGTAGTAATACGTGTAGGAGCATCATCTTCAAAGCAGGATTGGCTCACCTAGGATCGACGCTTCCACTACGGGTCGCGCCAGGAAGTCCGGCCAACGGAGTCAGTCCCATGCTCGTGTCCCAGCTCTTGCCATGCTTAATTGCACAAGCACTGGCGCCGCTGCCGAGATGCAGAGCAATAATGTTGAGTTGATCGGGCTTCTTGCCGAGGAAGTTGGCCACAGACCTCGAAATGAAGGCGTAGCTGATGCCGTGGAAGCCATACTTGCGCAGCCGGTTCTTCTTGGCTATTGTTGGGTCGATTGGGTACGTAGAAATGTGTGGTGGTATGGTAGAGTGAAACTGCGAATCAAAGCAGGCAACGTTAATGGCATCGGGGAGCTGCTTCATGCACGAGTCGACAATGGTCAGCGCGGCGCCGTTGTGCAGGGGAGCAAGGTCGCTGAGGGCTTCTAGATGGTGGTATGTGTCTAGGGTAATGACTTGGGATTCGCCGTAATCGCCGCCGTGGACAATGCGGTGGCAAGCAATGGCCACGTCCGATTTCGAGCTGATGTCTTTCAATTCAGCGTCATCCACCAGCGTCTGGAGCAGCAAGGCAAAAGCATCATCTTGGCTGTTGACGGCAGTGTCCACGTTTTGGTCTTTGATAATGGTCTCGCCACCTCGCGAATATTTCAGCTGAGCTGGCGGAGCCGTAAGACCGTTCACTTGAGCCTCAGCAATCTGGCGCGGCGCTGTTTCCTTGTCGGCCAGATAGACTGAGATTTTGACGGAACTGGAGCCAGCGTTGATGGCGAGAATGACCCTCATGGCAAGAGAATCTTGGGTGAGTAAAGTAGTAGTAATTGTGTGTTTGGGCTGGAATTTAGTAGCAATGCCCGACAAGGCCCGTCTGTCCTTGCTCTTGTGTGGTTGTGTATAATGCGTAAAATTGGGATGCTGGCGTCTTCAACAACTCTGGAATTCAGCCTTTGCGCCGCCCTTTTATTGGATTGTCTTCCTTCTTTTGTTTACCCCGGCCCTCGCAATCTACACAAGGAAAAGTAGGAAAGATGGGAAGAGAATGTCTGCCGATAAGGTGCAGAACGGGTGAGGTTTGCTCATGACGACACTGAATATGTCGATGGCCTGATGATCGCGGGGAGTTTTGGTGGTGTGGTGGGGGGGCCAATAATAGACCTCTCTCATGCCACGCCATGCATATCAGCTTTTGGTGACGTCCTCAATTCAACCGGCCCGGGTGTGGCGCACCGGCGGACAAAAGAGAGACACCCGAAGCTCTGATGGGTTGGGAAGAAATTTGGGGATTCAAAAGGAAAAGAAAGATTGATGAGACTTCTTCCCTGGGGGGCACGCATGGCCATTTAACGATTGCGGAGCCAATGCCGACCGATCCAAGGCGTAAAATGTGCGTCACATATGCCGCTGGGCAAAACGTAACAGAATACGAGCTAGTGGAAGCTCCAGCTCAGCCGGTGTCCGTATCTCGACCAGGGAGGATTTCTGGTGAAGGCAGCTCGAAGTGGTTGGGAGGAAACGGGACGCCGTTGAATTCACGGTCGGAGCTGTGGGCAAAGGCCCAAGTCTCGATGAATCGCTTGTAGTCTGCAAATGCTCCGCGTTAGATGTTTACCTTTTCCCACAAAGCCCCGATTTTTTTTTTTTTATAACTTGAAAAGCATCTCTCCTCTTACCTCGTTTGTGAGTAAACTGAATAGAGAGGTAGCGAATATCTAGAATGGTGGTTGCATACGAAGGGCCCAGCTCGGGACTCGCCTGGCTGGCCTGACCAGCAGACCGGACTCTCTGGCGGATGCGAAAGGTTCGGCGCGATGGGGTTTCGTCGGGCACGCTTCCTCGGCGGCCGTGGACGTTGAGGCGGAGCGTCTTGGCGCGGTCATCTCGGTTCCGCAGCTCGCCGTCGAAATGGTGAATGTCATACTCGCGGTACTGGTTGTCCGTCTTGTTGGCCAAGACGCTCAGGGAGTGGAAGGTGGTGTATCGGTCCCTCCAAAGCTTGAGCCTCTGAATGGCACCGATGCCCTTGACCTTGCCGAAGCTGTCGGTGCGGCTCTGCAGGTTGGACCAAACCACGTCGACGTCGTAAAAGTCGACCAGATCCTTTCGACGCAGGTCGCCCTGGAACTGGATGGAAGCTTCGACCGTGGTGAACTCGTACCTAACTGGGATGAACTGGTCATGGATGCAGATGCCCTCGCCCGAGGTGTACCTGATGCGATGAGGTTCGTTGAAGGACAGGAAGCGCTCCATGTCGGGGGGGTCATTGAATTGGCGATGTCGTGAGTGGAGGGTGTGAGGATGGATGTCGGACGGTATGTCTGAGGGGACTTGACATCATGATAAGCTGGGGCTAAGAGACAAGAGACAGAGAGTGACGAGATGACGCAAGAGCAAAGCAACACAACAAAATAATGACTGCTTCTGCTTGGGACTTACGAAAGTGTTCGAGCAGCTCACTCTGATAGCTGCACTGCCAGCGGATACGTCGCTGCTCAGACCCCACCACCTCCCAGGGTCCCAGATACACAGTCCGCTCGTCGGGCGTGTCTTGATATAGGGTTCTATCGAGGAGAAAAAGACAGGCATTGTCAGACGAGACTTGCAACGAGCACGGAAGGGCCCCAAAGCCAGGGCATCACGGAGGCTGATCGTACATTGTGGCAGTGTAGCCCGGAGGGCCGAGATCGAGAGGCCGGAGCGAGCCAGCGGGCACAACGGACTCGCTGGTGGAAGTGGCTGATATCGTGGAGATTTCCGACGTCTGCGTCCAGGTCGAATCTACGGGACTCACATAGGAGCGGCTGTACGTGGGCGGGCGGCCGAGCGAAGACGACGTGAATGAGGAGCCGGACGAAGAGGAGGCGGCCATGCTGGATGAAGCGGCAGCCGGAGGCGTTTAGAGTCACCGGAGACGACTGGTCGCGGGCTGGGACGTCGTTGGAGAAGCTATCATGACACTGGCCACAGGATGAGGAGAGGCTGGCGGCACGGCACGGCTTACGGAGCCGTCACGGGCTGAGTCTAGACAAGTCTGAGGAATCGTTGTCGCCATGCCCCAGCTCCAGAGGGGGGGGGGGAAGGGGGATCAAGACTGCTGAGGGCGGTGGATTGGGGGGAGGACAGGACAGGACAGGAGAGGATTTCGGGATCGAAGAAACAAAAAGAACATGAAGCATGTTCCTGTCTCTCGGCTGCATAATGCTTTACTACTACTACGTACTGCTACGAACTAGTCCCACGTCCTGCTGCAGGTGGATAAGACAAGGTTCAAGCTACTAAAAACTCTTAGCACCAGATATTACCGTCTGGCAGCGTGCTGGCAGTTGCTCTGGAGCTATGAAGAGGACTAGGACTGGGAAAAAAAATTGTCTTGCCGTGCTTGTCTTGTCTCTCTCTTTCGCGGGGTCCAACACAGCGCAGCTCGAGACAAATTCTGCGCGGCGTGTCCAAGACATCAGCCATCCATCAGATCGGCCTGGCAGGCAGTAAGACGGTGTCTATACTATGTACACGCATGTACACTACCTGCTGGGCACTATGCAGTATATTGCCCTGTGATGACAGTATTTGGGGGAAGCTCCAGCGCTCTCGTCCTCTTCTCTGCTAGGACAGGACCCCCCCTGGCCCCGGTCCACAGCTCCTCTGCAGAGCACCCGTTTGGTAGAGCGGCCTGCAAACCCAATGCACGAGTTTCTTGAGTGAACCTGCAAAGGGTGGTGACAGTGCATTGCTTGATTTGCTTGCTTTGTACCGGGTACCAGCGCCAAGTCCCGCCGCTCGGTTCGTTGTCGTCCGGACTCCGAGAAAGCTGCGGAATTGGCACGACGACAGCGCGTGGGGACGTCCGGCTGGGCAGGCGGCCTTGTACTGGGTACTTGGACGGCGTGGAGCGTCTGTCTGATGTGATGAGGCGTCTAGCTGCGCGGGCGTGGGTTTGGCGCGCGATGCCGCAACACAACAAAAGGCAGCGAGTACTAGGCATCTGGTGTATTAGTACTGGCGACTGCAGGTATAGTATGTATCCGTAGGGGAGAAAAAAAAATGGATATAACTCGTACATGGCTCGTCTTGCGATGCTAGTTCTAGTCGCTTGTCTCTCTCGGAAGAGGCTCAGGACCCGCTCCACTGGAAGCGAACATAGCGTGCACGGGGAGCTATGCGGCGGCCTGATTGGCTGGTGAGCCGCCGCCATGCCCGTCCAAAAGCCTGCGGTTGGGGGCCGGGCTCTCGGAAAGGCTTTGCCCACAGTACCGAAGGGCTCCAACACCTTATCTTCAGCGCGACATGAGTTGATGGGCATGGCGTAGCAGCAAAATGCCACGGCTGAAAAAAAAAGTAGAGACGCGGCGAGGCAGCCGGCCAATCAGTGCGGCCGGGAGAGGCTCCATGTTGCAGTGGCTGGGCACTGGCTGGACACTGGCTTTTCTGGGGATTTACTTTTCAGCTGTGTCCAATATTGTACGAGTACAGTAGCATCATGGCCACAAGTATATATAAGTATCCTGGGTCTTTCTTCAGGCAGGATGCGACAATGCGATGCGATGCGATGCGATGCGACGTCCCCTCCCCATAACGTGCTCGCCCTCAGACCCCCCCAGCAAAGGCCTAGAAGCGGCCATGAGTGCCAAGGAGGCCGCGAGTATTAGCGCAACAGCAACGGCCCTCTGGCTGTTACTCGCCACTGCTGGGCGCGCCCAAGAGCCTTAGCGGCTGGCGGCTTCGCACCGTTAAGCCGGTACGGAATCCAGGTTCGCGACAGCCACCTTTGGCCACCCCCCACTTGCCTCCAGGAACCGTCTCCAGCGCCGGCCACCACGTGCTCTCCCTGACACCTCTGGCCGGTCTCATTTCTGCGTGGGAGGCGGTTTGGCTTCATCTCGATGCCTTTTTTTGTTTTGGCTGCGATGGCAAATCGAGAGCCCCATGCCATGCGGGCGGAACGAGCACGTAGCACGGCCGGTAGGCGGTTTGCTGACCCCCGCCCTTGTCGGCGTGTGTGTGACGATGACATTCTGCCCAAGGGCCTTTTCGATTCTGGCTTTGATTTGCAAGTACATTGATAGTATTACAAAACTGGACGAGGTTTATTAGTGCCAGCCATGTGCAGTGGTTTCACCCATCGCATTGGTAGAGAGGTAGTAGTGTACTCGTACTGTTTGTGATGTAGTAGTAGTATAGTATACTCCGTAGTATAGTCTGGATATAGGTGCATGTGGCATTTGAAATGCAAATTCATGCCATAAACCCACAAATCAAATCCCCCAATTCCACATCTCCATCAAGTCACATCACATCGTCCCGTCCTCCGTATTCGTCGTAGCATCTCCTCGCTTCCTCCCCGAGTCTGGAATCGTGCCTCTTCAAGACAAGGGACTTAAGTGGGAATGGCTGAGGTAGCGTTCGGCACGGGCGATATGGAAAGGACTGGACCCTTTTTTTTTTTTATCTTGGGAATTGCACCGCGCAGATGACCTGACCTGACCAGAGGTGGGCATCCGCATATTAAGCTACCTCACTATTGCCAGTCTAATCTGGAGTTGCAGCATTAGCCGTTTTCCATGTCTCTCCCAGGTTCTTCCCAGGTCCCTTCCCAGGTTCTGTAATTAGCATCCATTGATCCTTTACGGCACATTACAGGCCTGTTGCCACCTCACCTGCTGGGTAGTAGGTATAGTACCTATACGGTACGAGCGGTGCTGCTGAGCTCTGAAGCTAGCACCAGAACATTCACTTGGCTCAGGTATTAGGTATCAGGTAATACCACCCCCCCAGACGCTGTGCCTGCTGCTAGTCCGCATTTCCTCAGCCTCAGATGCATCCTGATCTTGGCAATGCTCCAATACTTGGGCCACGCCTGTCGCTGCTGCTGCGAACCGCGTCACTCTCTAACAGCTGCGATGGCTTCTTTGCCCTCGCTCTCTGCCCGCTCGCCCTAGAAAGCCCTCGTTTCGTCTTCCCTTTGCCATCCTCGTCGCCTCGACTGAGATCCCGTCACCTTTTGTCCTTGCGCTCCTTTTTTTTTTTTCTTCTCTCCTTCAAATCCCTTCTTCTTCACTTCCCGCCAGTTCTCTCACAGTTGATGCGCCCGCCATGAGATGCTAACGTCAATCTTGTCTTTCGTAATGAGCCAGACGCTGGCATCGCGCCCTTTTCTGCCTGTCGCTCGACAACCGTGCCATTTTCCCTCTTCTCTCCCTCGGACCCTGTGTCTCAACTAAACCGCTCGCCAGCCAGGGGGAAACAAAGAGACAAGAGATCGCCAACCCGGACTGTCTCAGACACAACAACAACCACTGCAACCCCCCCGCCTGTCTGCTTGGGCGCAACGCCCGAGTGAGTCTCGCAGCCAATGCCCTTGAATCTGGGGAACAGCTCCGGGCGGAGAAATCGAGGGTTTCTCGGCGCCGACAGCTCTGCCTTGTCGTCCCAAGATGTCCAGGTGCGCCTTCTCCCTCGCATTTATCCATCTCTTTAACCCCCAATTCCTTATCATTTACCATGGCCATTCTCCATATCCCGCATCCTGCTTCTCCATCCTCGCTGCGACCGCATCTGCATCTGCGTCTGCGAATCGCAAGATGGGGACTCGCCCCACAGCCGCGCGCAAACCGGATGCCTTGCCATTGCCACGAGCTTGCCGCCTGCTAACATATGGATGTTGCCTGCCATAGGATCGACATCAATTGCGCTACGAGCTTGACCTCAACTCTTGGAACCTCCGCATTTGGGGCGTGGCCGCCTCGGGTTTCCTTACCGATTCGTACGTTGTTCAGCCTTGTCCTTTTGCATCCCCCCTCCTCTTCATCCTCTTGGTACTACTACATGGGCCATTGCTCCATCCCATATAGAACTTGTTGCTACTACAAAGTACCTATATACAACTTCCCTCCCACTAACCTCGTTGTCTTACAGATATAACCTCTTCTCTACCAACGTCATCCTTGCTTCTGTTGCCTTTGTATATTGGCCTCATGGAGGGGAATGGACGAGCCTCCTCATCAACTTCTTTACCCTTTTTGGGTCCATTGTCGGACAGGTCCTCTTTGGCTACCTCGCCGATCGCTTTGGTCGTACCCGTCTCTATGGAATCGAGCTGGTTCTCGTCATCGTCTCAACCATTGGCGTAGCTACCAGCAGCCATGGCTACGGAGACATGTCATTCCTCGGCTTGTTCATCTGGTGGCGCTTTGTCATGGGTATAGGTATGCTTCGTCTCCCTCACCGCATCATGGCTCTCCCCCCCCTTTTCATCTTGGACTAACCATCTTGCCAGGCATTGGAGCCGAATACCCTTTGAGCGCCGTGATAACCTCTGAGTGGTCCAGCACTCAGTCCAGATCGAGCATGCTTGCCAGTGTGTTCCTCATGCAGCCTGTTGGGCAAGCGCTGGCTCAAATTATTGGCTTGCTGGTTCTGATAGGATTCAACAACACCCACAAGCTCGAGGAGATGCGGTGCGGCCTCGATACCTTGCATGAAGAGGAGTGTCGTCGAGCAGTTGACGGCATCTGGCGCATTGTCATCGGATCAGGCGCCGTACCCGCTCTCTTAGCCATCATTTTCCGGTTTTTCTTGTTCGACTGCGGTCTCTACAGTCTCGAGGTGAAGAACAAGCCCGCCGTTGCCATTATGAACACGCAACGTGTGTACGGTGCCCCATCTGGCACCACCTCTAATAATGTCCAAATGAACCCTCCCAATGCCATGCATCCCGAAAACTCCCCCGGGCCGATGCCGATCCAGTTCTCCAAAGAGGATCTGCACAACTACTTCATACGAGATGGCAATTGGTACTATCTCCTTGGAACGTCGGCGGCTTGGTTCTTTTTGGACGTCAGTTTCTATGGTCTCTCGCTCGATAACCGAGGAACCCTGGCCGACATGTGGGCTACGACGAAACCAGCGCACATCAACAGCCAACTTTCATGTTGGAACTCGTCCTTGCCAGGGGGAAATTCGACGGTGCCTAGTTGGGTGACACAGGGGCTCCCTGCTTGGCAAACGGACAAGACGGAGCCGTGTAACACCATTTACGACGTGCTGATACAGCAGACAAAGCAATATATACTGACTGTTTCCTTGGCTTCCATTGCTGGAAGCTGCTGCTTCATCTTTTTTGCAAATCGCATCCCGCGCAAGCGATGGCTCACTATTTCCTTTTTCGTTTTGGCCATTCTCTTCATTATTACTGGAGGAGTCTACTACGGCGTCCACCAAGAGTCGGCTGCCCCTGCGACAGTGGTGTTTGTGGCCATTTGCCATTTCATGTTCAACCTGGGTAAGAAGCCTTGAAGATGTGGTTACAATTTCTTCACCGACTCAACGCTAACATGTATTTTTTCTCCTTGTTTTAGGCGCAAACACACTGACATTCATCATACCGGCTGAGATATTCCCCACCTGCTATCGATCGACCTGCCATGGCATTTCAGCGGCAGCGGGCAAGTTTGGAAGCATTGTCTCTCTATTGATTGTATATGGCATCAACCAGTCGTACAAGAGCGAAAGTCGCCAAGGTCTGATATTCCTCCTCTTCGGCTCAGTTGCCGCCTTTGGCGCCGTCTTTTCCTGGGCCTATTTGCCAGATCCACAGAGGTGGGTGGACGACGGAGAAGGAAAGAAGTATCTCGAGACCAAAGATCTCGAAGAGCTGGGCGAGGGCCGTGTCAGGGCCCGGCAAAGCGGAGATGTCGTCACATTTGGCGAGAAGTGGGCGGATATCCGGAGACGAAGAAGGGACAACCATCTTCGACGCTCGTCTTCATGAATTACATAGCTGTACCTATATACTCTTTCTTTTTCCTTTTCTTTTTTTTTTTTTCCTCCTCGGACCGGCATTTATGGATTTCAGCCTGGATATGAGATGATTTGGGATATATCAAACATGTTATACATTGTATACTGGGCTGGGCGGATAGCGTGGGAATATTTTGCGATACCACTTTTGAAATTGCACTGAACGACTATATAATAAAGATTTCACAATAAAGGACGTTTTTAATGATGGGACAAGGCATGTATTCAACTACTCATTTCGCTCTCTTTTGATATTCGTACATGGACCATGGAGTCGGGTAGAACATCAGCCTCCCTCATTCGACGTCTGAACCAGCAAGTCAATCGTCTCTAGATAAAATTCGTCTGTGCTTGTCGTCGCCCTGATATGCGGATCTCTTTCTAGGGCGCCTAGCCAGCGATGCCAACGCGTGCCTGGGGTGGCATCGGCCAAAAGGGCACTCGGATATCTACGGCGGAGGATCCTGCTAAGGCGGAGGGCGAAGGGCGCGAAATGGATGTCGACGAGGGACAGGGACGGGCCGAGAAAATAAGGGCCTTGTTCGTCGGCGGCGAGGATGAGGGCCGTCAGGTGGGATTGCAGGAGGGCGAGAGAGGCAGTGGGAGTTGAAGATGAGGGCGTTGCGGATGCGTTGATAGATTGTTGGGAGGGCTGTGGAGGGGTTACTGGTTGAAGAAGGGCGAAGAATGTTGGGACGAGGCGGGTGTTTATCTTGAGAGGATTGGGTGGGTTAGTTAGGATTCAAAATACTGGCCTTTTTTGTATGTGTGTGTGTGGTCAAGGGAAAATAGGGGGTTTGAGGATGACTTACATGATGGATCCAGAGGCGGCAGTTTGCTCTCAGGCGCGGGTCAGAAGGGAATAGGGGGATGTCAGGGTAAATGTCTTCGAGCTAATATGCCAAAAGAGACTTGGTGTTAGCACACACATCATAATGGGCCATTACATTGAGCTTTTCTTCGTACATATTCTAGAATGACGGCACTCTCAGAGCAAGCCCAGTCTCCCTGCCGAATGGCGGGAACGCGGCCTCGCGGGTTGGCCTCAAGGAGCGGCCTCGGAGCAGGGCGTTTGAAAGGGTCCGTCTCAATGTACTGATATGGTTGTCTTTTGGCCTCGAGGGCGATCCAGACGCGCTGGGAAAAGGGGCTAGGAATTCGAGTATGGTTAGAAACTACAAAGAGGATTACGGAAATGGATTAGAGTGTCTCATTGGTACCAGTAGCTGGCTGCATATAGCCTCAAATCTGCGTCCTTGCTGTGTATCCGAGCCGTCTCCTGTGCAGCTCCAATGGCTTTGCTCTGAGGTGTTCTCTGTAAAGAGGTTTTCAAAAGTTGCTAGTTAGCCTTGCTCATTTGATATTGTAAGTTTTCCCCCCTTTCTGCTAAGCTTACCTGTATCTTCTTCCCTCCCTTGTCCTTCTTCGCCATGAAGCGCTGCACGCTGCTCTTCTTAATCTCGTCGCTCCTCTCCAGCGTATGCCGGTGCGGCCCAGCCACTCCGTCTGCCTTGCCGTTGCCACCATTTCCATTCACCCGTTGAATCGTCCAGAACCGCTCTCCCGCACTGACGACGGAATGGGCAGCCGTGCCGGCGGCAATGGCAGCGGCAACGTCCCGGTCCAGCGCGGCCTCGGCGCCGGCATCCGGGAAGTACTCGGTGATCTTGATCTTGACGTCGCACAGGTCGCGCTCCCGTGCGCTGCGCTTGCGCTTCTTCTTGCTCGGGTCGTCGGACTTGGGCGTCCCCGGCGGGCGGCCCTTCATGCGGCAGTCCCAGTAATGCGAGATGAAGGGCTTCCGCTTGTAGCGCTGGGTGGAGCGGTGCGAGTAGACGTTGTCGATGTGCGGGAAGTATGTTTCAAACTGCTCGTGCGTGAGGATGATGACATCGTCGACGTGGAAGAGCCTCTCGCGCCATGCTTGGAGATCGGGAGGATCGATGACGAGCTTGGCTTGACTTAGTTTGTAAGGCACTGGAGCAGCCGCAGGAGGAGGTGGAGGTCCAATCTGATGGCGATGAAAGCCATGGTCTGCGCCTGGATGTCGAAGTGTCGAAACATTGTCCTCTGGCATGGCGGCTGGCCGGGGAGTTGGCGTCAGAATGCCAAACTGGCCGGCTGGGGTTTGTCTCTGCTGTAGATGAAGGTGATGGTAGCTTTGATGAAGACCTTGGGTGGCTGGAAGATGGCGCGGATGCTGTTGTTGTTGGTGTGTATGTTGCTGTTGTTGATGCTGATGATTTTGATGATGTTGCTGCTGTTGTTGTTGATGCTGTTGATGCTGCTGTTGATGCTGCTGCTGCTGCTGCTGCTGCTGCTGCTGTGCCATGGCCCTCTCATGTCTCGCATCTCGATATCCTCCAAACCCACCACCTCTCCCTCTCCTTCCCTCCATCACACCCGAGCGTCCATCGCTCTCACCACCGCCTCCATTGCCGCTGCCGTTGTTTTTTCTATTGTTGTTGTTGCTGCTGTTGCCATTGTCGTTGCCATCATCATCATCATCATCCTCATCGCCATTGACGCTGCTCCTCCCGCCATTCCCACTGCTCCCCCCAATTGCATCATCATCATCATCATCGTCATCATCACCTCCAGCATCAACATCCCCTTCACCCTCATGATACGCCCCCTCCAGCCCGGAATACGCCCCCATCCCCACCGCCGCAAAATCCAATCCCACACCCAAATAATGCCCTCCGTGCCCCGGAGCAGCGCCAAACGAACCCCCCGGTGCCGCCATTTTTCCCTTCGCGGGGCGTGTGTGGAATGAAACACCCCCAAAAAAGGATCCAATAGGAACGTAGACGACGGCCCCGTTGTGTTGCCGTCACCGGGCTAGCAAGAAATCCTCTTCCTTTTTTTGCCTTTATTCGTATCTTATTTCCTGGGCGCTGCTTTAAGGTCGTCCTTTTTAAGTTGTTTGTTGCTTCTCGGGTTTCGTCCAATGGAGGGGTTTCTGGCGGGGGAAGTCCAAGCAGGGCGCTGAAGGGCGGCAATGCGTGCACGGACCACTGGCTTGGCTTGGCTTGTCTTGGTCGTTTTGAGTTCTCGTGTGGAATTCACCATAATGCCTTACTAAGGTACAGGTGCCTAGTAGTTAAGATGTGCCAAACAACGTATTTAGACAGATTCAAGTATTACTACAGTCGCTTTCATTTATTCGCTATTGAAACTTATCGTATTTATTCAATATCTAATCTGTTCACTGACGCTACCCAAAAGACAAATGTCACAGTACTTTTGCGGTTCTTCACACCACCTTAAAGCCGTATAAACATCATATCCAAGACGAACTGTCACTTCTTGCATCAAACACACACAGCCAACAAGACATGCAGTAATCCAAACACTGAAGCGAGAAGACGTCAAAAATATTTGCAAAGAGACATTCGTCATTGCTGGGTATTAACTAGAAAAAAAATTGTCCGGTTCCATCTTCCATCCTGACGCCGCCAAGTTCCCAAACTTGCAAACCCTCAGCCTGAGATGGGTCATTTGCAGCCAAGAAAGGGCGGGTTAGAAAAGAAGCAAAATATGAAAAAAAGGAAGTTTGAAAGAAGAAAGAAAAAGGGCAGAGGAAAGAAATAAGAATAAACTGGAATAATAGAAGAGAAGAGAGAGGGGGAAGAAAAAAAAAAGACGACAACAAAAAGACAACCGTATTCGCCCAAATGCCTTACACGCCCATAATATCGTCCAAATCGTCCAAGCATCCAACAAATTACAGATAACGTTTAACCGTAGAGCGAGAGTAAAGAAAAAAGACCGTGTGAACCTGTCGAAACGTTTTCCTTCGTGCAAGGCAGAGAGACACCCAGGATAAATAAAAATTCCCAAAATACAACCCCCCTTTCTCTTTCAAATCCAGTCTACCACAAGACTATGCTTTCCTTCCCCTGTTGCTTCACTTTTTACATTGTAATTTTTTTTCTCGATATATGCGGGTATATGTCCGTTAGTGATGACTTAATGTTGGTTGCCAGAGTCCCACGATGATAGATCCATGGCGTCCATAGGTCCCATGTTCATTAGCGCCCTGAGAACGCCTTCTCCTCCTACTGGTTGCATCCCGGCGGCTGGTCCGTTTAGACCTCCCCATCCGTTGGTCATGCCGTATGCTGCTTGTGGCACACCCATACCTGCAGCCATCGTAAAGCTGTTGGGGTCGCCATAGAAGCCTTGGTTGCCGCTGTTATCCATGCCTCCGTGATTCATCATTGTTTGCTGCGGTGAAATAGGGCTTGCCCGGAATGAATCATGGCCCGATGCCCCATTGGACATTTGGCCGGGTACAAGATGAGGCCGTATGTCGGATCCGGTACCGCTCGAGTTAGGAGTCCGTCCAGCAGATTGTACATCGGGGGATCCAGAGGCATCTTGGTCCAGTCCATCACCAAAGCCGGATAGTCCACCGCTTCCAGGAACGTTCTTTTCATACATGCTGCCGGAATTGGGCGTTAATACATGCATTTGCTGGTCAGCCGAGAGCCACGCTCCATTTCCAAAGTTGTGGGAGTTTGACGTCGACATGCTCTGGGAATCGGCAGACGTTTCTGTGATATCGGGGGCCGTGGCAGTATTGCCGTCATCACCCACTGCCTTCATGAAGTGGCATTCGTTTCGGTAGGCTAAGATGCCCTTGACACCCTCTGGGTCATCGCAGACAGCTCCAGCCCGTACGGGGAGTCCCTTGGGGGGATCGGCAGGCTACAGACACAGTTACTAAAAGTTTATTTCGGCCACCACGACCTCCCATGCAATAAAATATAGAGCAGCGAGGGGGAAGGGGAAGCTTACGCTTTCGCCAGGCCGAGGGAACGCGCCCCTCAGCTTGGGAATCTTCAGCGCTAGAGCCTCAAAATCAACATCTAGTTGGACCAGGAACGACTCCGTCAGTGGGTTCCGTCGCTTCAAGGCATTCATGGCCGAGATGAGGAAACGCAGAGAATCAATGGTCTGCGCGTCATCAGGCTTGCTCTTGAGATACTGCACAAACACTCGGGCAGAGACGTAGAGGCAAAAGGCAATGAATGGGTTCATCTGAAGTATTCGTGTTAGTAATCGTCGCTGCCATATTATATAATGTTGCTTTCGTCATAAAAGTCTGCATCATTCATTAGAGGAAGCAACTAACCGAAGATAAATCCATGTGCGAGATTGTCCTCATAATGCTGGCAATCTCGTTTGCGGCAGTGATGCACCGGACTTTGCTCTCTGCACTGACTGATGCTGGAAGCTTGTTCGCTTCGGCTTTGAAGATGGCTGCCTGGTGAAGGCAGATGGTCGAGGTGTGGATGCTCATGTTTGTGAAGACGACGTTGGGGTTGCCCAGGCCGGCAGGGAGCTTGAGGTGGGAAGGGAGGCAAAGAGAGGTGTTGAGGAGGATGTGATCCATCTGTCGGTGGCGCTTCCAGAACGGGCCATTGATGTCGTGGTCAAGGTCGTCGTCGTCGGGGCGGTGCAGATGAATCAAGTTGCGGCCGAAAAGGCAAGCCATCAAGATGATGCCACCAAATGAGGAGAGCTTGCCGGCTCCAGATGGGCCCATGGACTCCTCAAGAGTCAGCGTCTGCTCCGGGCGGCTCATGTCAAAGGCCTCGTCTGCTGATGGCATGTTTGTCTTGATGTCCTTTTCATCAATCGTCATAGGCCAGCCGGTACCGATGCTGGCATAGCGATCCTCGCAAAAGGCCATCCAGAACGTTCGTCTGCGTTCCTCCTTTTCGGTCCAGTCCTTGGGGGGTGGCAGACACTGCTTCACATCCAAGCCACCACCATCCATACGGTGCAATCCAATCCTACATCTTGTCAATCCACGACGGGCTTGGTCGGAAGGGAGGTAGACGGGGCTTCTTACATTTGTGCTAGACGGACAGCAGAGCCGGTGTTGATCCAGGCTCTGGGAAAGTACATCATCTTCATTTCGTAACTGGCCAGCAGGATGTGTGTCTGGCAGTGAGCGACGGAGATCATGTGCTCTCCAAAACCTTTCATGTAATCGGCCTCGACATACTTGCGTGCTCTCTGGTAGAACAGATCCTTCAGATCTGTGTACTTCTCCGAGATGGAACACGCCAATGTCCACATGGCGTAACGTAAGCAGACTGGGGGTCGTTGACTTGGTGCCCTGTGCGAATTGTGAGCCACTTTCATATTCCAACCTCCCGTTTGTTGGTTCAGTTCCATCTCAAGTAGGTATCATCACAAGGGGCAGGGGCCATGTCGCAGATGATGACTAAAGTCAGGAGAGAGGGGAAAACGAGGAACTTCAAGTCAGACTTACAAGTTCATTGCGGCAAGATAGCGGTATCTGTGAATCATGGGCATCGATGGATGGACCTTTTCAAAGTAGATTTGATGCAACTCGTCGATGGTCTCCTGTGGGGGTAGCGGCTCCTCCAGTCCCAGGCCAATCATTTCCCAGGTGAAGTTTCCGGGCATGTTGTTGACGGGCATGCCCATATTGGCGTTGAAGCTGAAATCCTCCATGGGTGCTGCCTGGGGCGACTCGCCGTTGTTGTTGAAGTGCCAGCGCTCCTCGCCATTGAGGCCCATGTTGGCGTTGGGCATGGGCATGGACGCACTTGCATTGGTTTGGTTGTTGGGACCGGGAATCTGGATGCCGACGCCTTTTGTCGGACTCTTTGCTGCTGGCTCCTGGGTCTTTAATAGCGTCTCAACTTGTTCTGTGTATCTTGATTAGCCTTTTTGTCTCATCGATGCCGGCGCCATTGATATCGACATGTCGTTATCAACGACCATCTTGATCGCATGTCCTCTCCTCCCCCATCTCCTCCTGCTCCCGCGCATCTTCAGAAATACGCAAGTCGATCGATGGCACAATGCTGAAAAAAAGAAAAGGGACGTTGGCAGGGATTCTCACTGAGTCGTTCCTCCAGCGCCTTTACGTAGCCGCGCTTAGGACCGCTCTTCCTTCGCTGCTCGTCGTAGGCACAGTTGTGTCCCAGTCGCGAGCAGGTGCTGCAGCTGGGTCGTATGCCGTCACACTTGAGTTTGCGCTTCCTGCAAATCATGCAGGCAAGGCGCTTGGGCTTGGGGACGCTGGCGTTGTCGGGGTGCGCATCGCGAGACGCCATGTTGTCGTCGTGAGAAGGGCTCTGGCCCGAGTGGTTCCCGCCGTTGCTCGACGAGCCGTTGTCTGAGGAGCCGGGCATGGCGCTGGTCGGAAGATGGCGACGGCGCAAGAAGCGCTGCGGCAGGGTGTGGCGATGATTCTTGGGTCGACGGGATTGTTTCTTGGCGACGGCTGGTGTTTATTTCCCCCCCCTTGCTGGCTTTCCCAATTTCTGCAACGCAAATCTCCTCCTGCGGCGTGAGACGGATGTTGGGTGGACCGATGCAAGAAAGATGGGCAGAGAAGCGAAAAGATGATAAAAAGGAAAAAAAGAAGAGCAGCGGAAACCTGTCGGACCGGTGCGGACGGAGGATGAAAAGCAGAGACGACGGTTGTCGAAGAGACTGCCGAAGGTTGTGGATGCGGGAAGCCGGGCACTGAGGCGAGTCCGCCGAGAAAGAATCCAAGGATCCTTCTTTGGGGAAAATGGGACGTGGGTTTTGGTTTGCCTGGCCTGAAGTCCCGTAGCTGCAGCAAGGCATCATCGAGCGGATGTGCGCTGCATGTACAGCAAGGTACCCTGTACCGCCTGGCTACGTCCGGGGCTGTATTATTAATGGGCCGCTGCTGCTATATTTAGCACGCCGCGGGCTTTGTTTGCGCATGCCCGCGTGGGGCACGCCAGTGTGACAGCGGGGCGGCTCAGTGCTGTCCAGGTACCGGCTACATGTGCGATTGCGGGCCACTACCAGCGCTACAGGGCACTACAGGTACATGCAGCGCTGTTCGCTGTGGAACTGCATCCGTTCTAGCACCCTACGGCGCAGTACAGAGCAATAACGGATCGTCGTTCAATGGGCTGTGGACGCTCGGGCTGGGACTTGATGAGAACCGGGCAGACACAATTCCAACGGCGCTGCGCCCAGGTATACCGCAGGCATAGGTATCGGTACAGATGAGTTGCAGCAATCAATAGTCGTCAGCACGGTACCCTCCACTACGAGTAGCAAAAGCTAAAGACTGCTCCCCCCCTCCCCCTCCCCATTTGCAAGCTGCCAAAACCCTTGGACGAGCGACAGACAGCAAGCCTGGGCTATGCCGCATCCGTGGGTCGCTTCGTTCTAGGGCATCGAGGTAGAGGGTACGGGGCTGCTGCAGCGGCACTGGACGGCGCTGAGATGGCGCTGAAAGGCGCTGGGCGGCGCGCTGCAGCACAGGCTGGAATGAGTCGCGGCAGGGCAAAGTCTGGGAAAGCTTGCGAGGAGCCACCCGGCGCTTTGGCGAGGGTCCTGTCCCCCTCCTCTCAATCTCCATGATGCATCAGATCCCCCTTGTTTTGTCACGCCGGCCCCCCTCACTACGGATTGATGGGACGAGATTGCCCATGCCATGCTACTACTACTTGTCCAAGGCCTAACTGATACAAGTACAGGTACTAGCACTAGCACCATCACGCGTGGTTTGTGGGGATGCGGTCGTGCTGCGAGGGCGCATGTTTGGTTCCTTGGCGGCGATGACGACGCTGGCCAGCCTATTGTCTACAGAGTAGTTTTATCAGATCAGGCTGTTTTTTTGGATCATCCACTTTTGCCCATTCACGATTTATTTCATGCTATTTTGCTGGATTATCTGACCGGCTGAGTCGGGCGTAACTACTAGGTACAATGTAACTTTTGGCTGTAAGAGTGCTGTAAGAATACTGTACCGCGCGTATGTAAGTCGAAAAACGACGAAAACGACAAACGGCTTCCCAGATGGCGTTTTGTTAGTGGCGATGCCAGTTGATGGTGGCGCGTTTGGCTGCGCGTCATACGGCCGGTTTGCACGGCCGACGGGCAAAACCTTTTGAGCGATTCCATACGCGTACGAGTACGAGTTGTTTTTTGGTCGGAAAGATTTTGGCTGGTAAAAGCGAGTTTTGGTTGATTTAATTTTTTCACATGGCTTGCGGCTGTGAGACTTTTGGGATGGTGATGGGAGGCAGAGTCGAAAGGCAATGGGGGGCTAATGCTTGCTAAGGTACGACTAAGGTAGGCCATCCGCCAGAACAGGTACCACCGCGCTGGGATTTCCGTGTCCCAAGTCGATTGTGTATGCTCCGGACCTTTCTTGCATGAAACGGCTCCTTTTTCGAAACGGAGCAGCCTATTGTGTGTAAGTAGAGAGGTGTCGAGGAGGGAGGGTTGCTGCATGTTTATGGAAGATGGAAGCATCCGAGCAGGCATTACTGTCTTGTAGTATTGCATATGTAAGCAATCAGTCATAACTACCTACCTGCAAACTAATGTACGGAGTTAAACTGTCTTTGTTTATGTGTAAGTACTATTCACAGCCTGTAGCATTACTTGCGTGATGATTCCAGTGTCTGTAGCATTACTTGCTGTCCGTTTGTCAGGCTTCCAGATGCGGCCACGCCACATGATGTGCCATGAGAAGTGAGCGTGTATCTGATTAGACCTCGAGGGAAAGACTTTGCGATCGTCCAGCATCTCTCCTGTCATCGGGTGCTAGTGCGATACAACGTCAGGTACATGGACATGGCACAGATGGGGCATTATTTCAAATTCTTTGCTCCTCAATTTCGTCCCCCCACAGGCGGCACATACCGCTCAGCTGCTACTGGCCCTCGAGCTTCCCGACAGGCCCGGCACAACGAGAGAAATAGGGCCTAGCTGACTTAGTACGAGTATAGTCGAGTCTATCCTACAGGTAAATTCGCAGACAGGGGACAGGGACAGGGGGGAGGGGGGGTCTTGGACCGTTTCTTTTTGAGATGTGGGCTGTGGTGCATATCTCGGCTACGTGATTCTGCAGGAGAAGACCAAAGAATATGCACGCAGCCAAATGGAAGCCTGTCATTGTCGGCGCTTTTCAGTTATTTTGTCTTGCCGTTGTAACAGTACAATTTCCAGGGCTTCTTCTCGCTTTATTAGGCGATTGATTTTCCTTTGTTCATCTACCTTATGCAAGACGTGTCGTTTGAGCCTTTATTCCCCTAATTTCCTCTACCACCACGTGGGATCATGCATGCTTACTACCACCTATGTATTGATGCCGCACAGCACCAGACGTCCTTTTGCACGCTACAAGAAGGTATCACAAAAATACATGTATAAAAGACGACGAAAGCCAAACCACCTACCTAATCCGGCTCCTCCAGCCCGAAGGTGAAGGTGAAGAATTCCGCCAAGGCTTTCGCCACCCAGAAGTACCCCGGTATTCAGTCGCGATCATCTTATGGGTACAGGTGGGAGTACTCCGTCCCTTGTACTCGATACTTCGGGAGCCGCCTCTGCTGGGGCTACAAACGACATGTTCTTCCAACGTCTACGGATATAACCATGTCGGTCAAAATCATTTTACACGAGCTTCCCACTCGTTGAGGCCGGATATAAGCCAGTGGCCTTTGCCTCTGAGCCTGCCTGCTTACGTATCATGGCAGCCAATTGCCGGCTTCCGCCCGCAACGATAGCATCAAGCCAAAAGCCATTGGACAAAAGAGAGAGCGAGAAAAGACGCCCTCGCTCAGACGAGATGCACAGCCCAGCTTCTTTCTGCTTTCACCGTTTCTAGCGCCCTTTGCCTTATGCACGAGCGTATTCGGATCTGGATACCACTGCTCGCTAGCAGCACACCTGTCTGTGTTCTTGTGTAAGTTTTGTGTCTTGTCTTGCTCAACTCGCGTCCCGTTCAAACAGGCATGGGGCCGCAAGGGATTCATCATGGCAGCATTGCATTCCTGGCCGCCCTCGGCTCGCCACCATGCTGGGAACAGGCCAGGGTTGGTTTTCCGTCTTGGTTCTGGTCATCATCCGCGATGAGATTCCCTGCTCCGACCCCCGCCCCCCCTTCTACATCCAGCTGCGAGTACAGCTGCTGTACATGCTTGTCCTGTAGCTTCCATTTGGATATGCCGTGAAGCACCCTTTGCCTGCCTACATGATGCCCATGTGGCAGCAGAAAAAAAACCAAAAGATGGTGGTATGAAGGCCATCGAGCAGAGAATCGTGCCGTGCTGATGGACGCCGCCCAGAAGGAAACAAAGATACTACTTAACCCCCCACTCAGCCCTAAGCAAGTCTGTGTTACTACTACGGAGTACTACTCTCTGTGAACGCCAAGTATATTTGACTCTCGAAAAAGGGTCGATGCCCGGGTTGCCAACTGCCGGTTTGGCCCTCCGGTTTGGCCCTCTGGTGACCGACCGGCCTGCGAGGTCTATCAGAACCTTGATGCTTCTATAAATAATCATCACCTTGCAACCCGGGGGCCTGCTTAACGCCTCGATTCTCCTTAGCCCGGCTAGTGCTTGTCTTTGTTCCTTGTGTCAAATCTCTCTCTTTGACCCCCCATTGAGGTCGTACGATCGCCCAAGACCCAGCTTCGGTAGCAAGTACTTGTACGAGTACATCCAGCTTCCACATCCAGCCCCAAAACCATGGGAGCCATGCCGCAACGAGCAAAAAACCTGCCACGGCGCCCCGGACCCATCATCTAATCGAGCCCGTCCCAATCTCCATCCCACTGCCTTGCCTCCGTCGAAACAAGAAAAAAAAACGGTCACTCGCCTACCATCACGCCCACGTTTCCCCGGCACCAAAGCAGAAAAGTCAAAGGGGAGGGGCGTAGCACTTCGTAGGCGGGATCCATTTTCCCCCGGCCCTCCCCTCTTCCCTCCCCAAGCCCTTCTCCCCAAAAACTCTCAACCCCATGATGCCGTCTTTGTTTGCTTCTCCCCTGGTAGCTCAGCCGGGAAACAACGCAAATCGGCTTACTATCGCCGGGCTGGTGAGCAAGTTCCACTTTGCCATGCCACTGCGGAACTTGAAGGTGGCACTTCCAGCCCATGCCCTGTCCTAAGTCAATAGTCACAGCTCGCAACGGAGTACTCCGTACCCTTTCCTGTTCGAGACTGGGTACACACTTCCGAAGCCGTTCTAGCTCCAGCACTGGAACGTGGGAGGATTTGGAGTCTGTTGCTTGGGTACAACGACCTCGCGTGGCTTCAAGCTCTTGATAGTTGCTCGACTACGAGGGCTAAGAGTCTGCCACAGGAACGCCCAACTGGACAGTGAGCCCAAACATGAGGAATCATCTGGATGAGTGAGAAGAGAAAATGAATAAACAGATAAATTAAAAAAATAAAAATAAAATTCACCTCTTATCCATCCAATCATGATCCCTCCATTCCAAGCTCCTTGTCTCAATCCACGTGCTGTTTCACAGCCTAGTGGCAAATCGGCTACCCTTCCTGCGACATCTCCAGCCTACTCTACCAAAACATGCAGCCGCTGGTCGTTTCGTCGAATCACTTCCCAGTCTTAGTCTTTACCCGGCGTATTACATACATGTCTCATGCTTACTGGGGAGCGGAAACGTAACTACCTTTTCCACACCATCAGGATACTTTATCCGGCTCAACTCAACACCTAGTGCCACATGCTAAGAGACATGCTGGAGATTTGCATCCTTCTGCCGACAACTCCGTGGTATACCATGTAGACCCGAGGTGGCTCTAGCTCACCTCGCCTGTTCCCGTATCCCGAGTGTCGGAGAAAAAAAGATGAGCGTAAGACGAGCAGAAGGAGAAACGGGAAAGACGACAACAAGGCCATGCCCCCCTTTCTCCCAACGTTAGCAGCTTACTTCCTGTCGAGATCTACCCCCACAATTCGCAGGACACCAAGATCGCTATACGCCAAACAGTAGCGGGTCGGCGCCCAAGCCACCACTGGACATGATCCGGCCGTCTTGAACGTGTGGACATGTTCCCCCGTCTCGACGTGCGTCACTTCCAGCCCGTTGCCTGTTGGGATGATGGATCAGTAGAGTGTCCGGAACTTAGCCAGCCAATACAAAGGGCATTGTGTCGGGCCGCCATTGTCATCCGAGACAGATAGCCGCGGCCTGCCAAGTCGCTGACTCACCTTCGTCACTGCCACCGACGACGTAACTGCCATCAAATGTGAAACCTGCGTGGTTGCATAGTGATTAGCCTCCAGAATCCTGCTAAGCACGGTCACAGCCTCCGGATATAACTCACTTATGCTCCTTACCGGGCCCGTCATCCTTGTGATCGTCCTCTGACAGAGCCAGTCTGTGGTATCCCATAGCGCTATAATAGAATTTGCTCCTCCGGTGGCGAGATACCTGCCCATGGGCTGCAGTTCGGCGGTCAGGCATGAAGCGGTATGGCCCTTGAGCGTAAACTCTGCGGCATCGTCACCGTCTCCCAGGCGCAGCACCGGCTCAAACTCGGGGTATGATAGAATCCGAATCTGCCCTTCTGACGTGGTGACAAATATCTTCTTCCCGCTCCAGCAAAAGGCGATCTGGTTTGTCTGCACTGTTTGCTGATGTGAGGCCAGGGGAGTCGACTGTGTTGGTGATAGAACAAAGATATTATCCGACTTGGAACGGTGAGCCATTGCTGAACAAGTACGATCGACACGATTGGAGAAGAGACGAGAACATACCCTGTTTCCGACGAGCAGCGTCTGTCCATCTGGGGCCCAGACGAGCGTCATCGCATCGCCTAGACCTGTAACTTCGTTGAAGCAAGCCTTGGTCCTCACATCCCAAAATCGTACAACTCCATCACTGCTTAAGCTGCACAACTCGGCGTCTTTAGTAGGATTAAAGGCAACCTTTTCGATGCCTGCCTGGTGGCCTTTGAGCTCCGTTGAAAATTTGACATTGGGTTTCTCTGGATTCCCTACAACGCGCGTCAATCCCAATTTCTCATTTTGATCATCTTTTTCACTCCAGTCACGCCCACTTACAGACTCGCAGTGTCCTATCTGCCGAACCAGTAGCAACTAGAGTGCCAGGGGGGTTCCATGCAATCGATCTCAAACTGTGCACCGTGTCAGATCTTGCATCTCAAACAAGCCGTTAAAACGTCACCTACTTCAAGGGGCCGGCCGCCCGTGATGAATTAGGATCAGTATATGGCTGACTCCTAAGATTGTTAAAGTAACTTGGGAACCTGTCCTTTGACAGGCTCATTCGAGGTCTCAGAATCGGCGCCATGGCCGCACGACTCTGCTCTGCTCAGCTCAGCCCTTGTCACCGAATCAAGGAGGTTGCGCGTGAGTCTGCTGTTCTCTCTATCGCAGTGGTGCGGCAACGGGAGGCAGTAGATGCCGTGTTTACGCGTCCAGAGGCCAATTGAATGAGATGTGAATTTCGAAGATGCTCTAACGGCTTTGAATGAGGCTCTTTTCAAGATGTGGGCGATGGAAGTAATTGTTCAAACATGCATGGCGTTCGATAAAGGATGGTGTAAAAGGCTAGGCCAGGTGAAGGCGGCGAAGACAGCCACTAGGTAGTGAGAGATGTGGCTAGTGCACAACTTAACATGTGTGGCGCAGCAGTCAATCTCGCTACTTGGGCTGGGGTAACAACATCATGTAGTACAAGTATTGAAGTCACCATGATGGGGGAGCAAAGCATCAAACCATAGGTAGCCAATGCGATTATTGGCAGATAAGATAATACACACAAACCATCAGCTACACGATTTAGAGGAAGGAAGATCCATCAGTCACCATCAACAACCTGACAACTACTAGCATGAGCAGCATCAATATATCGTAACCACTACGGAGTATTGTTACTTCTCAAAAGCATCTGCATTACCAGATTCTTCGTTATTATCAGTCTCGTGTGATTAAGTTGTGGCAAGATTCATCCACACAAGGGCTCATGAAATAGAATGACAAACCAAATGCTACATCGCGATAAGACGTCAAACAAGAGAAAAACACAAGCAAGCACAATAAACATGCATAACAAACAACGCCGACAGCAAACTTTCTAAGACTCATACAATTCAATTGTCATTCCGATTTGAAAGCCCTTTCCATAAACCAATCATGATATGTGTACACTTTTTTTTACCTCAGCCTTTGCCGGCCAAGGGGCGAACTCTCTGATTCCTCAATGGCCACAGCTTGTGAAAGCTCGTCCAACTGGATCGAAGCGCAGCTTCAACCAAGAGCATCAGATGCCGCAACCAGTTCTTTCTCCAAATGTTTGGGTCACTCTTTACCAGGGCCACCACAACAAGCCGACTCCAAGATTGGCAAACCGATACCTTTCCCTTCCATCGCCCATGACTCCAAGGCGCCTGTATCAAAAAGAAAAAAACAAACGCGAAACGGGATTTCCATGCTGAAATATTGAAAAACCAGACAATTGCAGACATAACCTGCTAGATATCAAACAATGAGAATGGTGATGCAATGTAGCCGAAATAATACGGCTCCCAGACCGAATGCTTCATAGTCGCAGTTAACAATGCAGGAACTAACAAGTCCTAATGCAGTACACAAGTAAAGCGACATATTAGAGCGTGGTCGTGCTCACTACCGTTGAACAATTAGGTCATGATATAGTCCAACGAATACTATTCGTATCCCAACTCTGAACGCGGCTCGCAGTAATTCAAGACACCAAAGTTGGGGGGAAACAATGCGAGTAACAGCCAGCGTCATCATGATCATGAAATTTGGTCCAAAGACAGATGAAGATCTTCGATACCAAACAAAGGCGCGTTCTTCTTGGCCCATTGGCGGGAAAGAATAGAAGCTAAAGCGGGTGTTAGCGGCATGAAGAAAACGCTGTCATGAATGGATAAACATCAGCATACCTTTGAGGAATTTTTTGGAAGCATACTTCTTGAAGAATGCTTCGTGAATGGGAGGTCGTGCCAGGTAATCAACCATGAGGTTGACAACAGGCTCAACCTCCTCCTCTGTGTAACCTGCATAATACGCAATAGTTGCATCCTATTTTTAAACCTGTTAGCTGGTGCACTGATACACAGTGAAATTGATCATTTTTACATACCCACTCGCCACGATCAAGCATGAGCCGTGCCAGATACATGGAAGCAGCAGCGACATGGCTGGGGCGGTATGCCATGAATCGGTGGTCCAGCAAGCTAATCTCCGTAAGATACTTGCCGATGGTACGTGATTGAATGTCATAGTTGTCCGCTTTTGAGACTCGGCGAAGGAAGTTCATGGGATTGGGATAGCTGAGATCATAGTTGAGGGTGCTAAGGATGAAACGCTCCGCACTCAGAATCTCAGCCTCGCTGAAACCGTCATCGGCAATCTTCTTGAAGTTCTCCACGTGGGGAGACAGGACCTCTTCGTATTTGGAGGCGATGAACATGGCTGTGATGCCGACGAGCTGGAGGCGGTCGAGCTGGACAACCTTTTCGGAGAGGAACCGATCGATGATGTTGACGGCCAGGAACAGAGTTTCGGGAAGCAGATGGAACCGAGTGTGAACCTCGATAAGCCAATCAATGAGGATTCCTCGCGTCTTCCACTCGAGGTCATCCTGGTGAGACATGTAGTCAGAGTTGGGAATTGACTGAACCTCAAGATCTCTCAAGTAGTCGAAAATATCATTCGCATATTCGGCAACCATAAGAGGGTCGTCCAGATCCTCCTCATCGAGACTCTTGATGTTAGCAAGCAGCTCGGCTTTTGCCAATTCCTTGGCATCTGGTTGTGGGGCAGCCTTGACTGGAGCAGCCTTCGCGGGGGCGGCTTTGGCAGGAGCCGCAGGAGCCTTGTTTTCAGACTCGACAACTTCAGAGCGAGCACGCTTTTCAGCATCCAGATGTGCCTTCTTGCGAGCGGGTTCCACCGCTTCGCGTACAACTTCCTCCTTGGGTGCGGCCGCGGGAATTTTTCTCTTGGGTCCGATAGTACCAGCCCCAGACTTCTTTGTCTCTGGCTTCTTCACCTCCTTGCTACTCAAAGTTGTCCGACCGGCGGTGGGGCGAGTGCTCTTTTGAATGCCTGTAGGCTGAGCAGCCTTGGACACCAGACCCTTGGCCGCAACCTTCTTTCCTTCAGCGGCTTCCGTTTTGCTGACATTGCTGACATCGCCAAGTGCAGCGCGTTTTCTAAGCCCGTTGGCAGTGGTGGTGCTGACAGCTGCCTTCTTCGTTTGAAGGCCAACTTTGGAGGGGGGTGCTGAATCGTCCACGTTAAGAGCCGCCGCCTTGGCTCTGGTCATACGCGTTGTGGTGCTGTTTTCGTCATTCTCGTTAGAGATAACGCGAGTACGGGGTCGTCCCTAGGCATCGCGTTAGCACTCTTTCGGTCCAAGGCAAGCTCTGCATGGGTTCCAAGAAATACTCACGGGAGGCATATTCGAAATTATGAACTGAGATGAAGAACTAGTGGTGGTGTAAACGGCTTCAAAGCCTAGCACTGTTTGCCTCGACATGTCAGCTCAACAGAACGCGTCGAGAAGAATAAAAATGGAAAGCGCGCAGAAGATCAAGATGATTTAATTCGTATCAAGGGAGTTGCGAGAAGCCCTCCTGAGACATTCATCTCAAGACGAGGGGGTGGGAATGTTACTGACCTCCAGATGGCGAGGTTAAATTAAAGAACCGACACGCCCAGTGTGGCAGGAATGCTGCGAGATATAGCGTCAATGACTGGCCTAAAGTTATTTGAATTGAACAGGCTCGATGCCAAGCAGAGTGACTATGGGTAAGTGTAAAGGAGAGGCGGCAGAAAGGGTATCAACAAGCACGATTGGGGATGATGCAAATGTTTACGAAAGAGGATGATGGTGAGGGTGAGCTGTGTTTTGAGGAGAAACGCACAGGGAGCGCGGAGTGGGCCGGCGCGGATGGGTACGTACCTCGACAGAGTTGGCGCGGCTCGCGATTTGAGTGAAAGGTTGCTAGGCAGGGGAAAGAAAATAACGGGCTAAGGCAGAAAAGAGCCTATGGCAATGCACTTTTTGTGTGTGAAGCTAGCCAGGGCTGGGGAACAAAGACAGGAAAATAGTCATGCGTTGAGGTGAGGATGAGGGCGAGGGCGAGCTCTTCCGGACGGCGGTGAAGAAGACTTTTGCTGTGCGGGTGCCCGGCCGGTGAAGAAATGCTGGACAGGCGTGGGATTCTGCCGATTGACTCTCAACGAGTGGACTGGGATGGAGATACAGGCGGTATAGCAGAGAGAGGACTTGTTGATACGATATGATACGATACTCCGTCGAGAGAGAAAAAAAACAAGACTAAGAGACAGCTTCCAGAAAGGTATCCTGTACAGTATTGAACAAGGAGCAGCCAGAAGCGGGCGGGCGACGAGTGGAGGCAAAGCGACGACTCACAACGCGACGTTTAGCGGAATCTCGCGGGGCCGGGGGGTGGCTGCTGGAAAAGGCCAATGTCAACAGTAGCAACCGCGGGGCAACGGGGTTTTAATTGGCCGGACGCGATCGCGCGAGCTTTTTTGCCCGTGGCTGGCTGCCTGGCAGATGTCGTGCCGAATAAGCCTCGCTGTGGCTGGTGGCGCCCTAGAAGCTGCCCTGTGCGGCGCTGTGCTGACTAAGGAAGCACTTTGTCTGTGCTTTGATTGATTAGGTAACTGTGCAATGCATCGGCACAACGTTCTTCAGAGCTCCGTTGAAATTTCAACGTGGGACATCGAAAAGACAGCGGCAGAGTCGTTCGATTGCGACAGCAAGGCCGAACTGCTCGACGACGACCGGCACGGCGCTTGCAGACTTTGTGAGCCGTTGGGGATCGTCCTGTCCAGCTCCCAGTGCACTCCAGCTCCCAGTGCACTCCAGCTCTCGTTTGAAGAGGCTGCTCTGGGCCAATTGCTGGGCTGTGAGAAGATTCAGCGCAGACAAGGTCCCCCACCACGAATGTCATAACGATCAAAATAGGAAATCACTCCCTCGATACCAAACCTGTACTCTCTTCTTTGCCGGGTGAAGTGAAGCAGAGGATCAACAATGTTACAGCCAAGGATGTCTATTGCCCCGGCTCTTCGCAGCCGCAACCTCCTGGCCGCCTTCAACAACCTTTCATTGAGGGCTTATGCCACCAAGTCAAGGACTGGTCCCAGCAATGCCGGGCGTACCAGTGAGACGCCGGCCAGTATCGATAGGCCCTCGAACCAATCCGTCATGTTGCGCACATACAAGCCCAGGACTCCCGGTGTTCGACACTTACGGCGACCTATAAACGATCACCTCTGGAAGGGACGGCCATTTCTCCCTCTGACAATTCCGAAAAAGGGCCAGGGCAAGGGTGGACGAAATGTGTATGGAAGAATCACCGTCAGGCACCGAGGAGGAGGTGCCAAGAGGAGAATACGCACAGTCGACTTTATACGATGGCGACCTGGGCCGCACTTGGTCGAGCGGATCGAATATGACCCCGGACGCAGTGCTCATATTGCTCTGGTCACGGAGCAGGCCACAGGACAAAAGTCGTACATCATTGCTGCCGATGGACTGAGAGCCGGTGACATCGTCCACAGCTACCGTGCCGGCATTCCACAGGATCTACTCGACAGCATGGGTGGTGTTATCGATCCGGGTATTCTTGCCGCCAAGACGGCCTTCCGAGGAAACTGCTTGCCAATGCACATGATTCCGGTTGGCACGACGGTATTCTGTGTTGGTTCAGCAGCAAAGAGAGGCGCCGTCTTCTGCCGGAGTGCGGGTACCTCCGCCACAGTGGTGAACAAGAACGAAGAGACAAAGGATGATGGTACTAAGATCATGACGGGAAAATATGTCGAAATCCGGCTTCAGAGCGGCGAGGTCCGCCGCGTGAGCAAGGATGCATGCGCCACCATTGGAGTTGCCAGCAATATCCACCACCACTACCGCCAACTTGGCAAGGCTGGTCGAAGCCGCTGGTTGGGTATTCGACCTACCGTCCGTGGTGTGGCCATGAACAAAGGTAATTTGCTCATATCCTTATACCTGCAATGGCGACTAACAGTTGTCGATAGTTGATCACCCTCACGGTGGTGGTCGAGGAAAGTCAAAGGGTAATCGTCATCCTGTGACGCCTTGGGGCCGACCGGTAAGTTTCACGATTCTCTCTCTGCTCTACAATGGACGGAGAAAAACTAATAGAAATGTCCCTACAGACCAAGAGCGGTTACAAGACTCGCCGTACGCACAATATCAACAAGTGGGTTGTGACTCCTCGGCCACGCAACCACGGCAAGCGGAGAGACAAGAGATCTTCCAAGGAGTGATTTTAAGACGGTCTAATAGATGCCGTGATGAAGGGAGAAATGACATGAAGCTATGTATATGCGCCGGCAGCAAGCACTATGTTGTAGCTCTGCGCGATTGTATATTATGTGCTATTATTGATATGCCTGACGAGGGCAAATTCTTGATGACCACACATGCGCAAAACCTGCTGAGTAAGATTGTATATGTTTTGAGTATGTGCAATTGCTTGTGAAATGAAAAGCTATCTTTGGTGCTTTGCTCAGTACCAAGGCATGATCTCGCTTCACGTACCTATTTCGCCAAATGCCTACTATACTACTAGGTAACCTTGGTAAGGGAAAGATCCGGGGGGGTCGAAAACAAGTATTGAAGGCTATCCCCGGCGAAAGGTTAGGTATTCAATGCCATTATTAAAGGGGTTCAATTACATGGTCTAGTACCTGAGGAGATTATGTTCTCAATAAAAGGGATGTCTACACCCAACTATCTACTACTTCGAATCAGCGCTCTTGGAAAGTGGTATCTCTCCTGCATAATCTTTTGTCTCAATATCAGCACCTCCCTCAATCAGCAGCTTGACTATAGCTTCATGCCCGTTCTGAGAAGCCCACGAAAGCGCCATCTGTCTTCCAAAATCCTTTTCCTTGATATCAGCGCCCTTCTCAAGTAGTAGCTTAACAACAGCCTCATGCCCGTTCTGAGCAGCCCGCAAAAGCGCCGTCTGCCCAAAGACTGTATCTGTTTTCTTAATATCAGCGCCCTCATCGAGTAGCATCTTGACTGTAGATTCACGCCCGCATTCAGCAGCCTAAAGAGGCGGCGTCTTCCCAATATCGTCCGGTTGCTCAATGTCAGCTATTCAGGGGTAGCTTTTGATGGATAAAGTATGGAGGTTAAATTTAATATTAAGATGAGAGGTTCAATGCTGTAACAGCTGGTTCAATAAAAGGCTATGCCCCAGCCTTTGGATGGATAAAGTATATATATTTAATATAAGGCTTCTGACGCTATGAGAAGACGGATGTGGCTGAAACTAGTGAAAATGTTCTTCTCCAGATATTAGGTACCCCATACTATTTGATGACTACAAAAGCCAATCCAGGTGACTAAAGAACATCTCCCCAGAGAGAAACGTTCACACACACTGAGCTCTAAGACTCCTGTGTAGCCAAAGACGCGATCCATATCGTGCTTATTGCTATTGGATTTAGTAGCATTAGGTATATAATGATATAAATAGGATTGATCACAAGAATATACGGAGTACTCACGTTGCGTCCTAATTGTAAGGGGGAGACTTTTAGCATGGCTATTCCAAGCTTCAACCTAGGACACCTCAGGGCCGTTTGCTTTCGTTTTCCCAAACCTTTTCCAATAATTACCCGCAGAAATAAAAATAAAATTTGCCCACTCACTGTAAACAAACCATGATTCGCACAAACACACAAACAGCGATCCACGTGATCTTTTCTGCTGTCTATATAATGCATCCCCTTCCTCTGCAACCTGAACCTTCTCTTCAATCTTTCCCCCAATACAACACACTATTCATCTTCAAACCGTAAGTAACTAGTCATGGATTTTTTTTTTTTTTTTTTTTTTTTCATGAATCTGAAACTGATTGGAACATTCTCATTTAGATTCAAGATATCAAGTATTTCATCATGGAGAATCGCCGACACCTCCATACGAGTTCGGAGATCTACCCGGCGTCGCCAACGCTGGAGAAAGAGATGTCAGCTAGTCTCACTCTTCCTTCTCTCCTAGAAGCCGTGACCGAAGAGGGCTCGACAAGCAATGTTCAAGCCCATGGACTTGCCAGCCAAGAGTTGGAGCTTCACAGAATGCTCTCACTACGAAGTCAGATTTCGACTACTTCTTCTAACGCCCATCGTTATGCCGCCCCTCAATCTCAAAGCGAGCCTACTTTCAGGAAGATTGGCGCTGGCGCTTGTGGTGCCATCTTTGGACAAGACGGCAAATCCATTGTCATCAAATTAGCCAAGACAGACGATGAGCTGTCACTCTGGAACGATTACCACAAGCACACTTTGATCGCAGAGCAGTTTCGCAAATGGGACTTCAAGGATATCAAAATCCCAGAATGCTACTACTTTGTTCCAAAGGATGACCCTCACTATTTCGGCCAGCATCCAGAGCTAGCTGAGGCAGCCAAAGAAGTATGCCATCTACCTACCAGCGCTCTAGTCACCGAGCGAATCTTTCCATTGCCCAAAAATACCCGGAATCTCTTAATACACAAGTACTGTGAGCCACGAATCAAAGAGGCTGCTCTTAGAGATGCGGCGAATAAGGATTGTTTGGTGAGAGTATATCTCGGTTCAATGCAGGGCAGAAGCGGAGGACAGTTTTTCTCTTTACGAAACTTCAAGATGCACCTCAACCAGATGGTGGAACTCCAGCTACTGCTAGATGTCAAGGCAATGGCCGGTAGGATGGGTATTGCCATGGCTATCATGCATTGGGCGGCCAAAACAGACGCGCGGGATATCGAATTTGTTCTCGGCAGCTCTTCCAACAAGGTTTCAGCTCACATGAGTGCGCAAGATATTGCGAATCTTCCACGTCCAGCATACACTGGACCACCCTCATACATTAATGAAGATTTCTTCTCTCGGATCACCGATCTCTGGGTCCTGGACTTCAACCAAGTCCAGCCCATTACCATGGATGAAGCTGGCGTTGCAAAAGCCATTGAGGCGGCCAGGATCAACGATCCATATCTTCCAAAGCCTCTTGGAGCGTCTCAAATTGAAAAACATGCCTGGAATACTTTTGCTGCCAACTATATCACCGCAGCTGACATTATTCTTGGAGAAGCCAACGACCAGAGGCTGCTGATGTTGCCCCGAATGTTTATTCGAGGGCTTATTGAGCTACAGGAAAGGAAGAAGTAGAGAAAAGGACAAGGAATATGGATAAGACTATGAGTATGGATGTTGGAGTAGTAGAGTGATACTTTAGTCAGTAATGTAGTAATACAAATCATAATGAGTCTCTACCACAACATAAACTATGAACAGGAGATATCTCTCCGTGAGCTAATCCCCGTTTTTAGCTAGCCATCTGCCACAGCACTTCTATATCCGCTCTAAAAGCCGTCGCTCTGGGAAAAATACTAAGACGTAGCAGCAGCACAACCCTCTTATCTATAAAGAACTGTTTCCATTTGGAGATGGCCTCGCCTCTAATGAGGGGATCGACAACTTCCCTTCTAACCTGTGTATAAGTCAAGTGCTTTACATTTGCCTATATGGGAAGAGGACAACGAATTCGCTGCCATGTACAAGGAGTCCACTTTTGCCTCTTCAATTATTAATTACCTTAGTACTTACTCCGTAGATAGCGAAAATATCTTTGAACATGGTCCCGCTTACATAAAAAGCAAATGATTTAACAAAAGCGGACGGGTATAGGTAATTTATACAAGAATGTGTACATTAAGCCATTGCTGTACAGTAGCTACAACTGTAAGGTACAGTGGTGGTAGCAAAGAGGGGCTGTTTACATTCAGGGAACGTCTACGAGTACAAACTCCTTCCCCTTCTGAAAAACAAAATAAAAATACAGCTAGCCCATGAAGAGTAATCTACACAAGGCGTCTCTCCTTTTTTGCCGTGTCTTGATTTCTGGCATCATAAAAGTGAGCTAATCCAATTTGTTCGTATATACGAGTATCTCCGCCCCATTAAGGAGAAGCGCATTTCGTGTAACCCTTGGCGCCTTGCAGAGAAGAGAGATTGCATGATGAGGTAATGGGCAAATGGGGTGCAAGGCGCAACTGCTACTCCGTACTAATACCTGGACAATGATTGGTGCTTGGTACAATTGGCCAACTCGCTCAGCCATGATGCTAGCCGGCGTCTGTGTACTTGGGACGGAGTACGCCGTCTGGTCATTGATCCGTAAATGGTGGGCAAGGGGCGAACAAGGCACGATTAGTACCTGTAGTTCTGAGGTGCCTCGACTAATACGTAAGGGGTTGGTGCAAGCACCGGGAAGGAAAACAATACAAAAGCGCCGGTAACAGACAACCAATAATCACTCGCTGTAAAATACCTACCTAGGTAGGTAGTAAGAACATTGAATATGCTTGTCAATTAACGTTGATTTAACCTCTTGCACGGTAAATCACGGACAGATACTCCGTACTACACAAAGTAGCCCAGCGGCAGAGCGCCAAGGAGCCAAGAGCCGGCGCGAGCTACGTCAGAAACAGAAAGAGGCAGGGGCCAGCGCTTGCCAAGCATTTCTGATGGTTCTTCCTCCCAATGGCCCAATGGCCGCTGGGACGCTGGAAGGCGCCAGCCAGCCAAGCACACGACCCACTTCCTCATCCAGATCCAACATTTTGGATACAAGTGTGCAGGTACTCCGGACTCCGTTCTCCGTACAAGGTACCTGGCTGTGCACTGCCAGCTTATTGTTCTTCCATGTTGCTAAACTTGTCCCAGCCAGCATCGCAGGTGACTCCGGAATACCATCAGAGCTCCATACACTGCCCTACTGAACCGTCACCTGCTCTGTATTTCCTGGGAACCGCCTGGCAAAGCCTCTTTGCGAGTCAAGTACTAGGTAAGGTAAGCATCATCTGTCTTTCCTTCCTTCCTCCAGCATGACCACATGTCCGCATTCCTGGGATATCCAAATCTTCTCTCCTCTCCACTCTTCTCCTTTCCTCAAATTCAAATTCAAGTCATATCAAGTCAAAGGCATACAAAGGTGACGATGATTTCCTCCAGCCTCTCTCTTCTACTGTCACCTACTGCTCCATATCTACATCGTCTCATCCCCATCTCCTCATTTCGGCCCCTCGCCGCTCAGGCACAGGCATGTAGCTATGCAGCATGACCTGTTAATCACAACAAGCTTCGTCCCCGTTCAATTCCCGCCCCCTGCGACATGTGTGAGACGATACAAAAAGAAAACAGCAGATCCAATTACTTACCACCACTAGCCACGTCCAGCGACCGCCAGCGGGCTGTGCAGTGCTTGCCACGCGTCCCCCTTGGATCGACACCACTGTGGAATCCATCTTCGCCTCGATAAAACCGAGATCCGAGCAAATCGATGTCCTTATAGCAGCGCCACATCCACTGAGCGGAGAGAGATCTGAGCCTGTCCACACCTCGCCAAACCCCGGTTCGGGCTTTTAACTTTAATCCTTCCCACCTCCTGAGACAGCCAAATTCAGCTATTATACTTGCTGTTAGCCTCGCCGCTCCCTTATAGGGACCCCCCGCCTCTTCTCAACTTTTTGTCTCTTGCTGGAAGCAGATGTCACCATATCGCAGGATGTCCCGCGCCGGCTCTGAGATCAAAAGGGGAAGACCCTCGATCCGACTTATCTCGTCGTACATTTTCGACTGGATCATCCTCATCGTGGTTGCTGCAGTCGGTTACGTTCTTGGTGTCATCACGCCTAACAAGCGGCCTTTTTCCCTTGTTAATCCAGACATCTCGTAAGTCTCCTGTCTCCTCTCTGCCAAGATGTTGATCAACCTTTCTTCGCCTAGTCAGCTAACACTAGCACCCTAGTTTCCCATTTACAGAACATGAGACTGTTCCAGACTGGCTGCTCTTTGTCCTGAGCTGCGGTGTTCCTGCAGTCATCATCATTATTGTCTCCATCATCTTCGTCCCTGGGGCCACAGTGCCTAAGAATACCCCTGCTTCGCTGGTATGGAAGCGTAAGCTGTGGGAGCTGCACATTGGTCTGCTAGGACTCCTCATGTCTGTTGCTTGTGGCTTCTTCTTCATCAGCGGTATCAAGAATATGTGCGGCAAGCCTCGACCTGATCTCCTCGCGCGATGCCTACCAGACATAGAGAACGCATCAAAGTACCTGATCGGCGGCTTCCAAGGAGAGTCCAAGTTGGGCAATAGCATTGGCCAGCTCTACTCGGCGGATATCTGCCAGCAGACAGACAAGGCAAAGCTCAACGATGGTTTCCGAAGCTATCCCAGTGGCCACTCTGCCGCCTCCGCGGGTGGTCTCCTCTACCTCTCGCTCTTCCTTGCCAGCAAATTTGCTGTAACGATGCCATTTGTGGCAACGGGAACCTCTTCGTCCAGTCACGATGTGCATGCCGCATTCCCTTCTCGAATGGGATCCGCTGTTGAGCAGTATGACGACGAGGCGTCCGCTCCTATGACGGGCAAAGGGGCAAACACAAGCATTGCATACAACTCCAGCATCCAGTCTCTGCGTCGCCAGGCGGCAGCTCCCCCTGTCTATCTCCTCGTCATTACAGTGGCCCCCTTTTGCCTTGCCATCTTCATAGCAGCCTCCCGCTGGTTTGATTTCCGACACCATGGTTTTGATATTTTGTTTGGCTTTCTCATCGGTGTTTTTACTGCCATCTTCAGCTTCAGGTTTTATCATTTGCCAATCACTGTCGGAGCTGGTTGGGCGTGGGGCCCTCGCAGCCCAGATAGGGCCTTCTGGGCTGGCGTTGGCCGACTGGGTTATGTGGGTGAAAAGGATGTTGAGCGTGGCATGGCCGTTTCTACCAACTATAGGGAGTCTAGGGATATTGAGGCACACGGTGCTACCCTTTCAGTGCCCGCAACGATGAGTTATCGGTCTCCAGCATCAAGGAATGACCCGTACCAGGATGTTGAATTACACAACTTGAATGAAGGAACGAGTCAAGGGGCGCAACACAGAAATTGATTCAAGAGTTTTAAATGATACCCATCTCCCAGCGGGGAGATTGCAGTTAGAAAACAAGGGGAGTGTGCCTCGGAAGAGAAAATATTTTTCTTTTTTTTTATAGTTCTTATCTTGTTCCTTTTTAAAGGGTTAGCCACATGTCAGGAATAGTTGTGGTCTAGTAATAACATATAGATTCCTTGTATTTTTCTGTTGCATCTCAAGATTCGTGGCTACGTTAAGGAGCCTGGAAATGTATCTACGAGATCAGATGGAGTGAAGACCAAGTTACATCATCTTTTACGATGATCAACATCTTGATTCTCCTTAAAAAATTATCAAGTTGGAAACAGCATACTAGGAGAAAAGCTCGTCACAATTGAAAAGAATAAATGCGTATTAATTTAAAAATGACAAAACAATGAGAGAAAAACATCAATGCGTACATAGAGATTCAAAGCCAGAGCTTGGTTTGTTCCCCCGCCGTCGCCCCCGCCGCCCCCTGCCAAAACGCCTGTTCGTACAACAAAAAACAAAGAAAGTGCCTATGTAAACGGGGAGATTTGAAAGAGTTGGAATGACGTTAGCTGAAAGATGAAGAAACAGAAAACAAGGGAGGGCTGGTGAGTATGTGTCTCTGTGTTTGTGGTAGTCGCATAAAAAAAGCATATCTTCGTGGGTCTCTTTGGGTTTTTTTAAACTTTCAGTCCCTTCCTCATGTCCCCATGAAAAATATTTTCCTTATTTCCTTTTTGTTTTTTTCTTCCAGGTGTATGAGAATGCATTTCCTTTCTTTTCCGTCCCCACTTGCTCACATAGGTCCTTCAATCAGCCTCATGTTGCTGTTGTTCCCATCCACTCCCTCGAATTCGATGTCGTCGTCTTCTTCCTCCTCTTCTTCCTCCATCTGCTCCTCTCTGAAGCCAGACTCAATCTCCAGCTTGCGCAGCCTCCTCCGCATGTCATCTCTCTTGAGGTCCTGCCACCGCACCAGGGCCGCAGCGGCGTGGACCTTGAAGCCGTAGACGCGAGGGATGTATCGCTCGATGCTCTTGGAGGGGATGAGCGCCGGGTAGACCTGGAAGATGATGTTGTGGAAGGAGGTGCCGAAGTAGGCGCCGTCGATGGAGGCGTGGCGGGACGACTTTGGGTTGTAGAGATCCTCGCAGCGGGCGCAGTAGAGCTTGACTGGCTTGAGGTTGGGGATGTCGGAGAGGCCCATGGGGAGGAGGGGGTGGGAGTGGCAGTTGACGCGAGGGCATTTTCCAAACTCGGCCTTTTTGTACTTGTCGAGCTGTATCGAGGCAGCGCCGGTTAGCATTGATTGGACATGTGGACAGGGGAGATGGGAAGAAAGAATAGGGGGATACAGTACCATTTTCGTCAAGCCGCGTGTAGTGACAATGTATCGCGCGTGCACGAGGCCGTACAAATGTCTGGCCGAGCTCTCGATAGTCTCGCGCATATCATCGTCGCAGTCGAGGTCGAAGACATCGGTCACCAGATCGAGCGCATACTGGTAGTACTGGACCTCGGTGTTGAGGCCCGTCAGGTTGAAGCGATCCGTCAGGTAATCCTCGTCGATCTCGCAAAAGTATTCGTTTCCTCTAGATGAGATGAACTGGGTTGGGTAGCGCGTTAGCTTTGTCTGTTTGCTTTGGTCTGAAGTTTTTTCCATCTTGTTTTCCCCTTGGATTCGTGTCACAATGGCATCCCGTCTTCGTCTCTTTGGCTTTGGGCATGCACCAGCAGGAGTTGTCGGTGCCCATTGAGCTATGCTTTTGGGCTGCGGTTGGGATGGAAGGGAAGGGAGGAGGGATGGAGAGCGGATAAACAAGCTGCGGGAAAGTTAAAGGTGACTCACCCAGTCCCGCCAATAGCTGGTGTAGTCACTATCAGACTCGCTCACGTAGTCATCCATCGCAGATACACGAGAAGCGAAGACGAAGGAGAAGCTGAAGAGGTCGAAGAAGGCAGAGGGACGAGGCTGCAGCAACAGGCAGCAAGCGTCAACAAGGCAGAGGAAAAGCCGGGCTGAAGGAGGCGATAATCGCAGAGTCAGGCCGCGATCATGCCCGTGAGGCGAGGGCGAGAGGCTCGATGTTTTCAGAGGCCGAGTCGCGCGGCAGATGCTGGATTCGAGGGCGAAATGGCCGTTGAGTATCTCGACTTTTGGGAGCGATGGCGGTTGGCGGTTGATGGTGGGGGTGCGGGATTGTTTCTTGGGCGATAACGTGACTGCAGTTGCTGCTAGTGGCCAGTGCTAAGACGAGGCGTGTCTGTTATTATTCTGTGCCAGCCCAGCCGCGATAACGTTTGGCTGAGTTGAGGTGAGGATACGGCGATTGATTCAGCCATTGTTTATTTCTAAACACCTTAAAAAAATTACATAATTCGCTATGATGAATATTAATTAAAATCCAGATTGAAAAGAGATGGCTTTTCCCTATATTGATTCATGGCATGGCATCAAGCTCACTCACACAAGGAACAAAGGACAAGCAGTATCCCGGCTCAAGACTCTTGGGACTCTCATTAATATCTAGATCCCTTTATAGATGCCACTTTATTCATCAAGAAAGGTAGCAATATATACACTAGAATGTATATCCTTTATACATCTTGTCGGCTTGCTGCTCCTTTTGCCTTCTTTACCCAAAACAATCCCGCATCTCATCCGTTTCGCCGATTCAAACCCATAAAAACAACAGCCCTCTAAGGAAATAAAAAATTGAAGAAGAAACAAGAAAAACAAGAAACCCGTCATCGTAATGATCGACATCTATCCATCCCATGCAGCCATCAGCGTCCCTGTATGCCCTTTTCATCACATCTTTCATCCGTCCAAAGGACTGACAGTCGAACCCATGCTGCTGGCGTCGCTGGGGGACCGTATATCAGATCCTGTTTCGTCGTCGCTACCATTCTTGCTGCGTCCGTTGGTAATAAACCCCAGCCCCGTTACCGGAAGCTCCAGTCTGCTTGAGATGCCATCTCGGCTAGGCACCTGCGTAACGTTGGCCATCTTCATGGCTTCTTTGAGAATCTCTCCGGTTTCATCCATGGCGGCGAGGAATCTTGCGAGTTCTTTGCATAGTTCCCAGTCTCCTTCTCTTATTGCTCTTGTCAGAACTCGGACAGACTGTTCCAAGGACGCGTCCAGCTCATCCAAGGTATGCAGAATGATGAGATATCCGCCCGCCGTCTTGAGCGACCCCCGTTGCAATGATTCTTCAAACAGCTCTTGCGCTGGAGGGAGATAGGCGAAAAGCGTCTTCCACTGTCGGACCTCTGTTTTTCTTGTGCACTGTAACACGATATCTAGGTACTCCTTAGAAGATGACAGTAGGGACAAGACACGCGGCAAGACAGCATCTTCCGGCTTCGGCGATGTGTCTGCTTCTTCGTCCAGCACACGATGAAGTAGCACCTCTAGCCCATGGGAGAAATACTCCAATCCTTCGTATTGCTGAGACAAATTCGCCGCTTCGACTGTCATGTTGTTGCCGAGATAGAACCGTAGCACATCTGGTAGAACAAGGTGCGTCTGCAAAAAAAGAGGTGTGAGTAATATAACTTTCGTTAATACCAGAGCCTTGCTGACTTACCCTGATTGCGAAGTGAAAGAAGGAAAAGTTCACATCGCGTCGCTGCACCAAGTCCGACTCCACACCAAGAACAATGCCCTTTTCCAGCAGGATAGACAATGGGTAAAAGTCGACGTCTACGGACACCGGTGCCGGCAAATCTCTCCCACCGCCGTCTCCGCCCGCTGCTACCAAAAGCTCGTTGATATCGGCCCACGCTTTAATCTCCATACCGTCAAACAGCCAAAGGGAGTCGCGGAGAGCTGGCGGTCCATACCGCGATTGGGTCTCTTCGGGGGAGTGATTGACGTTTAGAGGGGGCTGGTCTCGCATGCTCACATGATACTCTACGTTCTGCGCAATCATCCGCATATCGTACTTGAGTTGGCCATCCTCGTTGAGTGAGGGGCTCAACAATACTAGCTTGCCATCGACGAGGAAGAGCACAGATGCAACAGCCACATCCTGAGAAGGATCTCCGTCGCTGAGCTGGTTGTCCGGCAAGATCCAGCTAAGTCCTCGGACTCTGGCAGGGGATCGCACAATTCCGTGAAATGCAATCTGGCCCACCTGGATGAGGCGGACTGACCCGGCCGTCGGGACAAAAATGTAGTGATACAAGAGATTCTCGTAGGTATAGACGAGGAGGGAATCTTCACCAGAAGTCGTGATTAGAACCACAGGAGCAGGTAGCCGCTCGGTGTGCAGGATATGGGAGGTGTCCAGCGCCGCCTCGCGTGAATACAGCCGGAGCTCAAACGTCCGGTTGTCTTCTATTGCAGCGACCAGTATATGCTGGTACCAGCACATACCACCCCGGACCGCGAAGGCGTTTTCCATCGCCTCGTCGGTGAATGTCTTCCATCGCCCGCTGTTGACGCTGTAGTGGGCCAATCCCCGGCGACCAGCTACCGCAACATAGCGTCCATCCGGTGAAATGACTGTCTGGCGGATGGGCCACTGGTTAAGAAGGTATGACGATGGGATTCTTGAAGTGTGCCACAAAAATGGTTCGGCCGATATGCTGGTCAAGTCAGGCAGATCATAGCCTCGGTATATCATGACGCTGGTTGGCGTCTGTAGAACTGTACGAAAGACATTGGCCTCGTTGTAGCAGCCCGTGATGGCATTTTTTGCCATCTCAAGCGACCATACGGCTTCATGCTGTCGCCCTATCAGAAGAACCTCAGAGCCGCCGCTAGCCCAAACTGCGCCCTTGACGCCTGAAAGCCAGTGCTCGCCATTCAGGGTCGATATGCTGGGTTCCGCTCCAAAGCTATTACTTCCTAGCTTGCCAAACATGCTCCAGGTAGACCAGCCTTTTTCGAAGCCTGCAAAGAGACAGTATCCGTCGGGCGAGTACGCCAACGTCGTAAAGGAACCCGCCGTCGATATTGAGAAAGGCATGCGATGGGCGTGGGAATACACAATGTTGCCTTCGTAATCTCTGACCGAATAGACATGGATTGCACCATCCGAGCAGCCAACGGCGATGAGTGAAAATCGAGCGTTAATGACGGCGCGTACGGCTTGTCCCCTCGATTCTTGCGGAATATGGAAGCAGTGCCCCTTGAAGAGGCGTTTTGCCTCGGCGCTGTCGGGGTCCTCTTCAGTTGTGGTTTTTCGTTGCTGGCGCTGAACAGCATATGCTCGCCCATCACTTGTGATCCAGGTGGTCAAATTCATCGGCCGGTCATGGGTCATTTCCACGATAGACGCCCTCTTCTCCACCCAGCCCATGCGGCTCAAGATCTCCGTCCTGGTTTGGTTTCCGCTGCTGTCGGGCGTCCAGCGAATGCATTGCACTGCAGCTGGCTTTCTTGTTGCAACAACCAGTTCGTCGTCAAGGGCAAGAGCACTCTCGATGCCGGCGTCAACCTTGATAACCATGCGGAATCGTACGCTGACATCGCGAACCCCGCCCCCCTCGCCCGGACCCCAAAGAATCTGATCAGGTCGCAGATGGGACTGTGGGCCAATTAGGCTTTGTTTCCTCCTCTGTACGTTGTGGTAGTTTGCAAAGTGTGGTTTATAGACTCTCGACTCGCCATCGGTCGCTATCGAATAGGTAATGAGGTATCCCTTGGAAGTATGAACCACGAGAATGGCGGAATCAGGGCGCAGCAGAAGGTCAACATTAGTGCCGTAGGACTCCAAGGACGCTTCGGATCGAACAACTAGTGCGAGGACAACCGCAGGCTGAGGGAAGTTAGACAATGCAGCCGGCAATGGGATCAAGATGGCATTGAACAGAAATATACATACCTTGGTTTGCCATAGTGTGATGGATGTTGCCGTGATGACAGCAAACATCTGGCCGGTGCGGGCAATGCGCAGCGCAAGTATCGGGTCCTTGACGGGCACCTTTCCATCATCAGTCGTCTGGCTCTTCGCAGCAGCGCCATCTGGAAAGAATTCGTAGCGCTCAACCGGTTTGACGGCCGGCGTTTTCGGCGTCATGGGGGTTGGAGGCGGCTGCGCATCCTCGGATTCGTCGTGCTGCGGCGCCGTGACCGGCCGCGCACTGGCCTCAGGCTGGGGCGATGCTAGAGACGATCCCGAATGGCTCTGCAGGCCATCGTAGGAAACGAAGATGCTGGCATCCGAAGCTCTGCTGCTGCTGGTGGCATGGACGCGCGGAGTTCCAATGGGCCAATACATGGCGGAAAGCCCAGTCTCGTCAGCTATCGGGGGTTCACACAGCGCAAATGCTCAGTCATTTCCGGAGCTGCTGGTTCATGACAGGGTCGCTGCGCTCATTGGCGCCAGATTGCTGCAATGCGGAGGGGATTCGCTGTTGAGGCCATGGTTTTGGCATGGGCAAGTTGCAGGGAGGCTCCGTCACTGGGAAGCTTCGGTTGCATTATGTAAGCAGTGAGGAGTTGAAGCAGTGCAGTGCAGACTGCTACTTTCATTTTTGCGGGGGTGGTGATGGTTTCATTAGGTACATGTACTTTTGCATCAGTGAAATACCAAGCCATGCGCTTATCAGGATGGGTGAGCAGTTCCAAGGAATGGATAACGAAGCCAGTGGACGTTGTGTCATGGAGAAATGGTGTTGCGTTGCGTTGTGCCGTCCATCTCCCATCTTCAACCCAAGCTGCGAGATCTTGGTCAGAACTAGTATAAGCCAACAGACTTGGTTGAGATCTAAGTAATCAAGATGAGCCAATGAATATCATCAGCTGCCATCTATTCCATCCTCCCCGCCACGCCGATTATCAGGGGCACCAAGCCCATCAATGCCGGCATGTACAAGTCGTAGTATTGGTGTATACTGATAATCCCTGGCACCTTGTAACTGGATGTGGGCACAGGCATTTACTATCTACTTGGATACATTGGTATGCATTAATCCAGAGCTCAATGTCAGAAAATTACAAATAAACCATCTTCCCGTGCATGTAATATATCCTATCAAATCTCTGTAAATACACGTGTAGACAAAACATGCTCCGCAGATATGGAAATCAGCTGCCGCTGTCGGATGTCGAATCGTGCTGGCTTCATCTCACGATTACTACCCAAGTAGGCAGTATCCCACACACTCCCCTAAAATAGTCTCTCCAAGATCCCTCTCATGTTATCGTCAGGGCGCGCCACAGCGTACAAGTACGTAATTAGCGGGTCAGATCACTGTTGGAGAAGCGCCAATGCCGTAGCAGAGAATCGCGGGATACTGGCGGTTACAAACGGCGGAACCCCGATCCCGGCGCCTCCCCCGAAATGGCCGGCCGGTCCCCCCAACTATCGCGTAAAGGCTCGCTGCTAATGGGGAGGAGATGCCAATTATGGAGCGGTTGACAAATGCTTCTCTTCTACTATAGGCCGGGTTTATTGCATTATCGATATCGAGTTGGGGAAATGGGTTGGAGGGGCTGGAGATGCATATGCAAGTGTATCGCTATCAACGCCTTCCAAACCTCTACTTTGCTCACCTCCCTTTTCCTCCTTCATTCCTACTTGTCCGTGTACCACACATTTCCTGTGCGACACTGTCGTCAATAGCCTTCTCTTATTTACACAGTCTGTTTGCACTCACTCCCAGCCAGACATCTTGCCTACCCGCGCAGAGCAACAGCCCATACCAAGTGGCGACTTATAGCTGATATACACACATACACAGCAGACGAAGCTATAAGCATCCCGGCTGGATATAAGCCGCCACCATGCTCCCCATCACAAAAGCGGCCCGTCTCAGGGCTCTCATGGCCTCTCGCCAGGGCGTCGTCTCGATATCCAGCCGCACAGTCAGACCATTGCACAGCAGATCAAGCCATCTCTACAGCGCCGAAGCAGCTGCCACAGCTCAGCCAGCAACACATCAAGTTGATTATGCACCTTCACTGCTCGGTGAGATCGCCGCGAGAAGAGCCAAGGCGGGAAAGCTGGTAGCAGGCATTGCTGCTGCATCTGATAGTGACATGTTCAAGGGACCCGTATGTGTGATATGACTAAAATGGAAGTGAAGAGAGCACAGCTGACTTGCCACTTGCCTGATAGCAAACGGGAAAACCGAAAGCGAAAAGATGGGACAGTATGTCATAGACATATCAAGCATACACACCAAAGCATTAGTTCATTGGCTGATAATTACAGATCACCTCACTGCTGAGAGCAGATCGAGGGAGCCCTGCTCTCTCAAGCAAGCTGCCAAGCATCTAAAACAGCCCGGACTCATCTCCCTCGGCGGCGGCCTGCCCTCCAGCGAGCTGTTCCCCCTCGATGAACTCGACATGAAAGTTGCCATGCCGCCAGACTTTTCGGAGAAGGCAACGACCACTCACGGACAAAGGGTCACCATCGGCAAATACGACGCCCGCGATCGTGACGGCACCTACGATCTGTCTATCGCGCTCAACTATGGCCAGGCCACAGGATCTGCTCAGATGCTTCGATTCCTTACTGAGCACACCGAGATTGTTTGCAAGCCGCCCTACGCTGACTGGAGAATCTGCCAGACTATTGGCAGTACCGGAGCATTGGAACAGGCGCTGCGCATGTTTTTAGACAAGGACCGTGGTGATTCCGTCTTGACGGAAGATTTTAGCTTCTCGACGGCTTTAGAGACCATCGCTCCCCTGGGTGTCAAGGCTTATGGCATCCCGATCGACGAACAAGGTCTCATCCCCGAAGCCATGGACGAGCTTCTCACCAACTGGGACGAAACCGCAAGGGGATCCAGAAAGCCGCACCTCTTATACACGGTTCCCTCGGGACAGAACCCAACCGGAGCAACTCAGGGCCTCGAGAGGAGGCAGGCCATCTACCGAGTTGCGCAAAAGCACGACATATTCATCCTGGAAGATGAGCCGTACTACTTCCTCCAGATGCAGCCGTATACGGGCCGCGGCCAGCCCGATGCCCCTGCGCCGAGCAATGTTGAGGAATTCGTCTCATCTCTCATTCCCACATACGTCAGCATGGATGTCGACGGCCGAGTAATGCGAATGGATTCTCTTTCAAAGGTTCTGGTCCCGGGATCCCGTCTTGGATGGATCGTCGCCTCGGAGCAGATTGTCGAAAGATACCAACGCCACGCCGAGGTCGCCAGTCAAGGACCAAGTGGCTTCTCACAAGTCATTGTCCACAAGCTGCTGGATGAGACATGGGGCCACGAGGGTTATCTGCGGTGGTTGATGAACCTGCGGCTGGAGTACACCAAGAAGAGAGACGCGCTGCTAGCTGCTTGCGAGGATAACTTGCCGCGGGATCTCGTCAGCTGGACGCCTCCCGCCGCGGGCATGTTTGTAAGTTTCGGTCATTTCCTTTCTCTCTTTCAAGCTACTACGAATTTGAAAGTAACTAACTCTTTTCATAGTTGTGGTTTACTATTGACCACACCAAGCACCCCAAGGCGGACAGCAGCAGCCTTTTGGAGATTGAGCAGGAAATCTTCGATTCGTGCATCAAGAGCGGCGTGCTCGTCGCCCGAGGATCATGGTTCCTCACGGAAAAGGACTCTGCTCTGCCAGGCCTGTACTTCCGTGCTACGTTTGCTGCGGCTAGCGCTGAGAACATGAACGCGGCTATCGCGAGATTTGGCCAGGCCGTCAAGGATAGCTTTGGGAGGAAGTAAGACAAGGGACAATGATTTGTTTATGTATTGGAATTTACATGATGGAGAAGGTTAAGGCGTATGATGATGAAACGTCTGTTTTTTATTGTTCATTTTGTGTTCCATTTAACTAAAGGGGGGACACACAGGTTGCACTACCATGCATTACTACAAGATGTAGTTACAAACCGAAAATTAGGAATTGTTTCAAGGAACTCGCAGGTTCTAGTATCATCAAGACAAACTTTCCATTTTGATGCATTATTTGGCTGTTACATGTGAAGAATATGTTATTTTTACAAAAAGAGAGGAGAAGACTACTTACTACCTCACCCTTTTTTATTCTCCTTTTTCTTTCTTTTTTTTTTCTTTTACTTGATACAAGCAAGTGATATATCTGCTCATTAGTCATTCTTAGCCTCCCAGAAGGCCACATGCACTCCTGGTCCAGGAGACAAGACAATATCCGACTTCAATAGCGGCTGGCTGTCATCAATCTCGTGCATGAAGCTCTGGACGCGATCAAAGCGCTGGAAGATGCGGCACAGCGTATATCCAATCTCAGTGAGGGCAAACTGCTGGCCAATACAGAAGCGCGGGCCGGCGTTGAAAGGGATGTAGTCGTGCGGCCGGGGATGCCAGACGGCCCAGCGCTCGGGGCTGAAGATGGCCGGGTCGGCAAAGGATTCCGAGATCGGGGGGTAGAGGTCAGGGCGGCGTTGCATGACGATGGTCGAGTATGCGACTTGTGTGTCCTTGAGGATGGATAGGGGTTCGGTCCCGTCGGGGCCGCCGCCGCGGGGGAGGGTCGTGTCTTTGAGGGCGATGCGGACGTTGAATGGGACGGGAGGGTATAGGCGGAGTGTCTCGTTGAGAACGGCGCGTAGATAGGACATTTCCTTAAGATGCTCGTAGGTGGGCAGCTGATGGGTGCCAACGGTGGTGAGGATCTCGCTGCGAAGACGCGCGACGACTTCCGGGTGGCGGCTCAATTCGTACATGGCAAACGACAGGGCCGAGGCGGTGGTATCACGGCCAGCCAGCAGGATGGAGAAGATCTGGTCGCGCATCAGCTTGGGATCGCGGGTGAAGCTGGCGAGCTCATGCAGAAAGGTGTAGTCGCGGTCGGATTTTGTGTGGGCGGCCAGTTCGTCTGGGCTCATGCTCAGGACACCCTGGATGATGGGGTTGACGAGGTTTTCAATGTCTCTGATGGCGGCGTGGTAGGCCTTCTTGGGGATGAGCCAGCGCAGCTTGGAGATGCGGATCATGATGTTTTGGATGCGCTGGACTTCGTTGAAGGAGTGCATGATGGTTTGCTCAGGGGTTCTGCGGCAGGAACATGGTCAGCTGCGGCATATACTCTCCTTTTGCTGCGCCATGAAAGAGACAGATTATGAAGAGGAAGTAAACATACGTCAGACATTTGATATCGGTGCCCAGTAGAAAGTCGGCGGAAGCGTCGAGTGTATATCGATAGAAGAGATCCTTCATGTCGACACGTCGTCCGTCAGCCCGAGCGAGATCAACAGGCTGATCCTCCCCATCCAACGGGCCGCCATTGGCTATGGCCTTGAACAGTATCTGTACGTGCTTCTCAAAGCAATGCAAGTCGCTGACGCGGTCCCTGGAGAACTGCGGCCTCAGGAGCTGGCGGCTGTCGTGCCAGCGCGCGCCGTCGACAGTGAAGATGCTGTCGCCGAGGAAGTCGGACCACTCCTCATGGAACCGCTTCCCCTTGCCAAAGTCGTGGAACTGCGTTGCGAGCATAGCCTTGATGTTCTCGGGGTCACCCGTGAAGCAGACTCGCTCGTTGAGGATGCGCATCTCGATGGTCCAGAACTGACTGAAGAAGACGTCTCTCCATAGCTCGAGGTTCTGCTGGGCGATGGTGGAGCGAATACCGTGGTAAAGAAAATCCAGGCCTGTGAGATAGATTAGCAGATTTGTCCTTGTATGTTGAGAGGTTAGTGGGTATGGTTTACCAAACGGAAGAAGAGGCTTTAGAGAAGGGCCATAGTTTCCGAGGCTCTTGATTTTCCGGTGCTCTTGTATGCGGCCTATGGTCATCAGAGCTGCCCAAACGACAACCGTGGCGAGGGGAATTGTCTTGATGGAGGCATTCTCCACTAGAGCTTCGACGAAGCCCATTTCTTCTCTCGTTTTAATGAGAGCTGCTATATCGATCGTATACTGTTGATTATATGACGCAACCTTGAGCCATAAATGACTCTTGACCACAAGCTAGAAGCTACCGGTCTATTCAAGTCAAATCAGTCATGAGAAGCTCGTCAAGCGCAAAAATGAAAATCTACGATGAGCTTTTCTTACTCGCAGATTCACAATCACGGCTCAATACAGCCAAAGGACGAGAGAAAGAGTCACGATCAAGAGCAAGAACTAGTTAGACGAGAAGCCCCGGGACGAACCGCGGCTGATCCAGATACGCATGGTTAAGACTAAAACTAAGGCACATGTCCAAGGACGAGGTATTCTGAGAAGGGAAAGTATACGCGGAGCGGCTGGGCTACCAACATGGTGTCGATGTGCTTCCTTCGGGCCCTTCCGGGGGTGCTAAACTAGCGGGCGGAGGCAAACGGTCGGTTTTTGATGCCTCATTCGTCTCTACGAATATGTTATTACGACGAATAATGATACAAAGATATGTAATTCAGCTGTGAAGTCATTCAATTATGCCATTCATTTCTGAATATACATGTACATTAATACGGCAGAGGTGGTATCATGTACTTGACCCCCGCCGCGCCAAGTAACCCTGTTGGATGCGTGACTAGTATTTATCCAGTGAGTTTACGCGGGGATACGAGGTATAGGTTTGACTATTGTTATTAGCCTGTTCGCTTCGGAAGTTATTACTGCAATATCTGTACTGTGCAGTATGTAGACGGATCGAGATGATCTGGACACGGAGGATCGGGACAACTCGGTTCGGCTCCGGCGCCCGAACAAAGCACCGCACCGGCGTGGGGGATTTCATTTCTGTCAGAACTGGTTTCGGAACTTGATTTTGAACTACTTTAGTTTAACATGAGCTACAATTATTGTTGAAGACATGATATGCTTCTAGGCTATGGTATCTGACCTAGAAAGTCAGGCATTGGGCTGGCAAGCTTCGAGGCAGAGCTACCCTGCACTCCGCAAATAGTTGCTCATGACAAAGTAACTCCTCGCATGTCGGTGTTGGACCTTTTGTTGCGTAGTTCATACTATGTAGGATTCTTGCAATTGACATGATAATAACCGGGTAATATCCACACGAACGCCGCATAGCTTCCAATAAACTGCGATTCACAAATGAAGTGCCCACCACCTTGGATGTATGCTACGATCCTTCATCTTCCCCGCCATGACGCGATGGCTGGAAATCTACCAGGGTAATCCTTCCTTGCACAGTGTCTTTTCGTAGTCTATTTTAAAGTCGACGCCTCTCTCACCCTATGGTCCATAAGAACTTCCACAAGATGCAATGAATGACTCTGATAATACTACACAGCAGCGATTGGTGTCAGGACTCGTACACACGACAACCCCATGGCACAAATCGCCCCGAGACATCACTGTCCATTTTAAAACGCAAGAATTCCAGACCTGCCTCTTGTTAGCCCATGAATTAAACAGCACAGCTGTCTAGTTGTCTTGGAAGACAAACAGCCGGATCGGGAGAATCAAAACAGAGCAAAGTGGACCAGGCTTAAGACAAGATGAATCAATGCTGAAGACTTTTTTTGCCTCGAATACCTTTCCATGACCATCATTTTTAGTTTACCCTACAAAATACAAGATATAACATTTACAACATCTGATAAGATCTCAATCAATCAGATACTGAAAATCATCCATCAAGGCGTAGATAGAGTTAATTCGTACTAGTGCCGCCAGTCCCACCAGCCACGAGGCAAGCCCACACCAAGCTCCGTCATAGGCAATGCTTCAACCTCCAACCTCAACCTCATACTCTCTCTCCCTCTCTCTCTCTCTCTCCATATTCTCACCACCTCTCCCAGCCAAACCCCCCCTCTATACCACAGCCATGTCCAGCTTCCCGCCCGACTCTCACGCCCCAACACCTCCCATCCTCCCCCCCAAGCCCAGCAGCCAAGAGCCCAGCCGCATCAGCACGCCAGCCTCCGGCGCACCTCCGCCTCCGCCGTCGTCCTTGTCCGAAGCGGGGCAGCAGTACCGGACCTCGGCGATCCCAAGCGTCTCTTCAGCAGCCGGGCCGACGCCGCCTCCTCCGTCCGCCGTCGCGAGAGCCGCCGAGGTCCCTGATCCGGGCGACCAGTGGCTGCCGCAGGTGCTCCAGGACAAGTCGTGAGCTTTACCCTCATCCCGTTCCTCTTCTCCTCCTCCTCAGAAGAAAAAAACAGCTTGCTAACCGCCTCGAAATTGGAAACAAACAGCAAGCAAGACATTGCCGACATCCTCACCAGCCCAGCCCTCCTCAACGGCCTCACAAACGCCCCCTCGTCCATCCACCCCTCCCTGCTCGCCTCCCACCAGGCCCTCGCCGCCTCCCTCGCCGCAAACACAGACCTCGCCGCCCGCCTCGCCGACCAGGAATCCCGCCTCGCCCGCCAGCGCTCCGCCGCCCAGGCCCAGCTGCTCTCCATGCACGCCCTCGAGCGCCAGTGGCGCCAGAAGCAGTCCGACATGGACCTCGCCCTCGCCCGCTTCAGCCCCGCCGCGCTGTACCAGCTGCTCGGCCAGAGCGTCCAGGAGCAGGCCCTCGTCTGCCAGGCCATGGAGGAGAGTTTCCTGGACAGCGACGGCGTTGATGGCGGGGAGACGTCGGAGAGGGAGGCGGCCGAGTGGATACGGCGGTATAGGGAGGCCAAGACGCAGTTTTATCTGAGACAGGAGCGTAAAGAGCGTTGGGACGAGGGCCGCGTTGGCGGTTGGAGGTGAAGTGTGCTTTTTTCTTTCTTTTACTTTTGGGAGGTGAGCCTGGCGTTTGGGGTGAAAACAGCGGTTCTGTCTAGCCTCCTCTTTGGGCATGCACTCTCTCATTGTTGACGAACATCATCTTGATTCGTAATTAGACGGCGATCTGTATGATATATATCCCCAGGGCAGAGCTTCTACTTTCTAGTTAGATTCATTACGTCTAGATGTAAAGGAGAGACATTGGGGCTCGTCTTTACATAACAGTATACATGTAGTCAACTCTGTACAAGCAAGTACATGGATGAAAGCATCTTGCAGGAATCTAGACCTATATGAAGCTTCACTTAGAAGCAGCCAAGTATTGGACGCCACTATCTATATGGTGGATTATACATGTCGTTTTTTTTGTTCTTAGACAGAGAAAAAATAAAAAAGAAGTCTATCATCAAGGACTCTCTGTCTCTCTAATGTGGCCTTGATAAAAAACGATTGCGTTCAAGGGTATCGTATCAATGTTACAAATGTTGACAACAGGCTATGCAATGCTGGGAATTTGGTTTTTTTTTTTCTTTCTCTCTCTTTCTTCTCAAAAAGTCTCTTTCATCCTTTGTCAAGAAAAGAAAAAGAAGCGCTGTGTCTCAAAGGTCAAAGGCCCAGGCCCACACCCAAGGCACTAAACGGGCTCTTGATCATGTCTGGGCTTCGAGGGCTCATGGGCAGGGCAAACAGATCATCCTCGGCATCTTGGCCATCAGGCTGCTGTGGAGGAGCTGCGTTGCCTCGAAGGGCAGCATCAAGGGACATCGGGCCGGTTGGGCGGCTGCGCGAAATGGCCGAGAAGGATGAGACGGCAATGTCACCTCCTAGAGGGGACAGCATGTGGGACTGGCTCTCGGGGCTGGTAAATGTGTTTGCTGTTTCGGGAGAACTTTGTATTAGTCCGAGATCACGAGCACAAACCGCATGAGATAGGCATATGTATGAGATGCTTTTCTGGGGCTTACCTGCTGGGCTCGGCACCAGATCTGCCGGCGAAGTGGCCAGACGCAAGCCCTTGAGCTTGTCACCAAGGCGTCCAGTGACTGGAGAGCGGGGAGTCATGGTGGTAGTAGGAACGGGAGACGGGGCAGCACGTAAGAAGTTGTCCACGATCCACTGCTTCTCTGCCAGAGCCATCTCCAGGCCCACACTCTCAGCGTTTGCCCTCATCTCGGCCTCCATCTCGAGCTCCAGCTCCCTCAGGCGCTTCTTGGCCCATATCGTGTGTAGGACGCCCCGTGGCCCAGATTCCGCTTGGAAGTGCTCAGGGAAGATGGCCGGCAGCGGCTTGAGGATCAGGCTAGGCCGTCCAGGACGCGCAATCGTCACCGTGGCTGGCACCGGCGCGTCAGGAGGCAGCATGAAGTACACTCGGCGCCTGGCATCGTCCTCATCGGTGTCTCTGGCCGGCAGGAAGGTCGACTTGCCGGTCCACGACACCTCCCAGACAGCGGCGTCGACAACAGGGCTCGAGGGAACGCGGGCTGGCGCGGCTAATGCATCGCCGGCATGGCTATCATGAGATTGAGGCCCGACCTTATCGCTGGAGGCGACGTCGACGCTAGCATTCGTCGTATCTTGACCGGACAGGGTGGGGGCTGCTGCGGCGCCAGGATACCACTCGACCATCAAGATCTTGGTGCCGTGATCGCTAAACTCGAACCGAGCCAGATGGGTTGCGACAGGAGCCGCGTCTGAGCTTGCGTCAGGGGCTGTGAGAAGCTTGTCCTCGGCATCGTCCCTGGCGACAACAGCGCTGTCGACGGCGGCGGGCGAGGTCACAGCCAGGCCGTCAGGATGAGGTTGCTGCTGCTGCTGCTGCTGGTCCTGGTGCTCAGATTCGTCATGCTGCTGCTGGTGACGCTCAAGGCCAAGCTCAGGCTCGGCGTCATGCTTGAGTTGATGCTCGTGCTCAGCATCAGCAGCAGGCGGCCGAGGAGGCCCCGAAGATGGGTCCATAGCGAGAAAAGCTGATAAAGGGCAAAAAAATGAGACACCCCGTACGGCAGAGGCTCGTTGGGTCAGAGGTCCAAGTGATGTGTAGCGGCAATGTCCGCTCGCCCGGGGGCTCGGTGACACTCGGGGCAATGAGTCGGAGGATCTTTTTTTTTGTGGTCGTCTTGTGTCCGTTAGGGTCGCAGTAGCCAGTACATGATCGCTGCTTGTCTCTGGGGAAGGGAAAGATCTCACGGGCGGGCTTGTGGCAGAGAGATTAAACAAGGACAGAACACGGGCGATTGTGTGGATGGAGGAGAGTCGAGTTTGTGTCTTTCTGCTGACTTGATTGGAAGAGGGGGTCGGGGTTTAGGCCGTGCGGAGCTTCGGCGCGGTGCCACTACTTGCGAGTAACCGCAGCTTCTGCTGCTTTCCCACCGGATTACTTCATTTTAATTTTTTTTCTGCCTCTTCAGCGGTTGGCCACGGGAATATTCACTGTTGCTGGTGTCGCTCTCTTTGCTTCTTGGCGATGCTTGTACGAGGAGGTACGTACAAGTTAGTACTTAGGTACGGAGTACGTATCGCAAAATTGCGAGTGGCCAGGCAAACCAGGTTAGAGACGACATGAGCCCCTCCAAAAGACCGAGGTCTAGTCCGAAATACCTGCGCCTTGATAGAGGTGAAGTCAACTTAGACTCAGTCAGTGGAGATGGATGGAACAGACTATTTGCTTCTGTCTCTTCCATCCCTCCTTTTGCTTGTCTTTGTCTAGCTCCGGCTTCAGCATCGCGCATCTACTACAGTATCTACAGCATCTGCCTGTGTACAGAGCCATGAGTAGGTACTTATTTGCTTTCTCCGCCTCGTGATGAATACCCAATGTCACCAGCTACTACGTTTTATGTAGTTCCCTTTTTATTTTAAGCAGCTTATCAGTGGTGCGGCTCCATTTCTGCAGCTCCAACATGTTATAAATAGCACCGTGCATGGGAGGCCAATTCCCTTTCCAGCCCAAGGTGCAGCAGCACGCTGAGTCAGCGGATATAGTAGTGGCAGTTTCCAGCGCTGTTTTTTTTCTAGAGCGCAATGTTTGTTTGTTATGGGGGTCTTGCAGTGTTTTTGGCATTGTTACACCAGTTAATGCATTTTACGCCGTGAAATCCCCATCTCCACATCGCCACCGAAAACCGCCGAGAAGGCCTATCGGTTACCACATCAGCTGAGAGGGCGCTTAGAATTAGGGAATTTTTTTTTCACTACGCAAAAAAATTGGCTCTAGAATCTCCTCTGCAAAGCCACCGGAATGAAGCCGTGATTCCCGATCTCGCCATTTTCTGCATTGTGAGCAAAGTATTGGTGCGGGCAGTTTAGTTTCTGCACGAACCCGGCGGCCATGTGCGAACAATATGGAAAATGTGCCATCAAATATGCTCAGCTTCGGGCCTGGCCGGCTAATCTGGGCGGATAAAGGGGGTTGTGCCCCATTTCTCCTCAAAAGTTAAAAGGCGATCGAGAATGGGAGCAATGAAGCCACTGTCTGTCGACAATTGAGCCCCATTGCAAGATGTCATGATCAACGCGACCTCGGTAGTACTTCGTAGCCTGTGCGGAGAATTAGAAACCACAGCAGTAGCATAGCATCACAATGCTCCCACTCATCCCACTCATGCTCGGCCACTATCCACGTGCCCCGTAGATTAACATGAGCCGGCCCAGTATTCAGTAAATGAATGGCACGGGGGCTCCCCGTATCAAAGGTGGGCTCCCGAGGCTACGACGAAGACTTGAAAATAGTCCGCCCGAGACAGAGAAAGAAAAAGCGGAGGCTACGTTTTGGCGTCTGATAGGGCAGCGCTTTTCATGCAGCTTCGGATAATATTTCCGACAATTGTTTGCCATTGATTGATTGTCTGCTCGGAGGGAGCATTACGGAGTACAGTAGATGCATGTTACTCTCAAGGTTGCCAATAGACTCAAGCGACGCTCAGAGCGGGGTGGCACAGCTCTTGTGAATGAGGTTTCATCAGGAGACACAGAAACAATCCGAGTGGGCTCATTAACGTTCCAGCGCTGGACAATCCCTGGTGCGAGGACAAAAAACGAAGTAAAATCTTCCGAGAAACCACCAGCCCACGGCCCTGCATGGGAGAAGAGCAGCTCCAATGCGGAAGTTGGGAAGGCTGACCATATCGGTCCTTCGAACGAGGCGAGATTTGAATCTGCGACGCGCTGGGGGCTATGCCTAGAGCGGCCTCACCTTCACATTGTTTCTTGTTACGTCCTTCGCTGCGACTCTGACGCTGGTGCTTTGCTTTTTGCGTGAGATTGATTCAGCTCCGGATCGGTGCTACTGTGCCATCCTGGTAAGCCGTGGCTCCGTGCTTTTGGCCACAGGATTGAAAGTAATTTCTTCCGCAAAACCACACACCAGACACAGCGAGCACAGTGCCAGCAGGCTTCCAAACAAGGTTCCCGCCTTAGGTAGCATTCTGGTCTGGAGGTGAGGTAACCCCGACGCAGCATGATTTCTGATTACTGTCCTCCGTATTCTCGACCCTCTCTCTGCCTTACCGCTCCCGCGCCGTTCAAGGTATCTTTGCTTGCAGACCCGTCAGGGGGTTTTTCGTCGAGTTGCCAGTGCTTCCGGCCTGTGAAGAAGACGACACGACACCGCCGTGGCGCCATTCCGAGCTCCCCGACGCAGGTAGACGCAGGTATGCAATTTATGGAGACGGTTTGATAGGACGGGCAATCTCGGGGCAGCCATCACGCATCTTGGGGGCGACGTCACCGCGATCCAATTGGCAGCAGCAGCAACAAAAGATATCGAAAGGCATGTTGGGGCATCACGTGATGGACCTTGGAGCTGCTCCGATTTGACGGATCGAGGGCATCAAATGCAGGGAAGACAAAACTCGCCCTGCTGGAAGTACGGGGGTTTGATAAGATCGATGCCGGCCCACAGTCAAGAATCCGAAACGGCCACGGTGCTCCAATTCGCGCTGCTGCGGGCGATTCAAAGTCTTGTACTGAACTAGTAAGGGTGCTAATGCCGGTACGGTAGTATTATCATGGAAAAAATTAGAAAAAAAGGAAACATAAAAGTAAACAGTGCAGAGAAGGGAAAAAAAAGAAAAAAAGAGAGAAGAGAAGCCCGTGCGATGGTGCTGTTTCTTCGTTATCGGCGACAGCGACGGCCGAGGCAGCGCCAAGCGTCATAGGCACCACACTAGATAACTGGGGTTTTCTCTTTGCCTTTACGCGATTCATATCTTTCCGACTGCACATCGTTGTCCATATGGGGCATCTCCTCGTTTCCTACTTTGGATCTACGTTGACAGATTTGGGCAGGTTGCTGCTACTGGGGAGTCAAAACACAGGGAAAAAGGGAGGCGGCCTCGGTAGTTGTTTGATGCCTCCATGATTTCATGATCATCCCCATCTACCGAGCCGCCATGAAGCAAATTCACCGGCGCCAACTCCGTGATGCTGGCATGGACTCTAACGCAACAGAGGCAAAGGCACGGAAATGCGACGTAGCACCACCGCCATCACCGTGCTGTGCAACGTCTTCCCAATGACATTGAAAGGCCTGGTTGGTGTGGGGAGCTGCTTGTCGGGGTAGGGCATGGCTTGGGCCACTCACCTCCCGCTGCTGCAGTCCTGTCCTCTCGTGTTTGGATCGACAATTCCATGAGACACCAGAACGGCCGGAGTAGGGCCGCGGTGGCCTCCTCCCTCTTGTCTCGTCTTGCTTTCCCGCACTGCCCTGACAAAGACCACTGTGGGCGCTGGGAGCCTGCTATTCTTCTTATTTCAAGCCCAGTCTGCTCACACGCCCAGCCCTATCCGTAGTGAACGGATCGATAACGCCTGTATATCCGTGTCTTGATCTCCATCGCTAAGGGAGAATTCGGCCGGGACGGATTGCGGCAACGCCACGGCTAGCACACTGGGTAGCGCGGCGTCGGCTTCGTGATGCATGGACAAGAGTAATCCATGCATGTCGGGCTGGTGTACGGCATATATACCGGTAATATTGGGCGTGCCGGAGAGTGGTGAAGTAGGGCATCGAGTACGGAGTAGGTACTGTATCTATCGCCTCCAAGCGACTGGCGCGCCGTGTCGACTGTCATCAGCATGGTCATACCGACAATTGCTTGCTCTGTGCTCGTATGTTATCTTCGGATCAACTAGCCCAAACAGAGGATGACAAGATGAGATTGTTAGATAGCAGACCATTGCGTACAGCACAGCAGGCCGTCCTAGGTCCGCGTGGCCTTTCCGTCCAATTTCGCTCGATATCCCGCCTTCGGAAAATGGTCGTCGGGAATAGAGTCGAGTTGGCTGTTGGAGCCGAGTGGCACTGGCCATATGTACGGCGTATGTATGTAAGGCCATGACGGCGCCATGTGCGAATAAGCAAGGCAGACAACGTGATTGATTCTCACACGCATGGAGCTAGAAAATGACACTCGTAACATCCGGGCCTGGGGTATCGTGCCCTATTCGTCGTAGCAGCAAAGCGGTGGTGTGCGTTGTTTTGTTGTCTCCTCTCTGCGACGCACGGCCGCGCAGCAATACGAGCAGCGCAACGATGCAGAACAAACCTGCCTGCTACTGGACTTGCTCGGCCCTGCAAATGCGACGACGACAACCAAAAAAGCCCCCCTCGCACCACTGCCTGTTGCTGTACAGTATGTACGGTAGAGCAGACCCGAAGCTCTTATCTCTATGGAGTGGTTTGGCAAATGGAGCCGCGGCCATCTCGGGGATGCTGTGCGGCTGTGGATCGTGATTGTGGTCCGAAATGATTCAAAGGTGGGACACGCAACGCATGCAATCAGTCCAGCAGGTACCTGTATGTACGTACCTACATAGGCACAGTACTGGGTACATTCTGTACATGATAGACTCCGTATGGCAGCCAGCGCTACGACTCTGTCGGACTAGCGAGGCTGCGGTTCGGTAGGGAAAAGAAGATTGGAAGCGTCGCGAGAAGCGCTTTCTGGTCCCCTCTTGGGGCTTTTCTTTTTTCGCTTCCCAGCACGTTGCGCGACACCGAGGGATTGGGCTGACATGGCGGCGTACGGTTTGCGCACGGTGCTGTACCCAACGTGATTGGCCGCGTTCGGCTAAATGCCATTTTGGAAATCTCAGCAGCGCACGCGACGGACGCAAGTGCGAGTACCAAGAGGTCACTAAGAAAGTACCTCGGGGTAAAGGGCGTGCTAGCCGGCCCCATGGCGCACGGCCAACTGCTACTTCGTGGCCAGCCGCAGCCTTGGTATCGTGACCCTAGCCGAAGCTTTCCCACGGAACGACTTTCCCCTGCCTTGCCCACAATGGGGATTCGCCATCGTGCGGATTCGCTCGCGGCGCTACTGTGCGGCCCGACTGCCCTGGGCCCACAGAGGGCCGATTTGCTAAGAGCGACAGCCTAGAGGCGTTGTTTGGGGGAACGGAGTACGTACCAAAGACAGCGGCCCCCCTCCCCAAAGCTGCCAGCCCCAGATGCCCCGGACATTGCCCCAAAGGCAGACAGCGCACTGTACGGGGCACCCTGGCCGTCGCCGAGCAGGCCCTGTTTGGGGAGCTCCGCAGCGCACGCCAGGCCGTGCAGACACTGTGTGCTGAAGCCCCCAACGTTGCTCGGGTCACTGGCTCCAGCACCTTTTCCTCAGCAGATCCACTATTACGCCGGCCAAACGGCCGCCTGGGCGAATCAGCGCAACAGCATTCCCTCGCCCTTATTTTGCGATTTTGCAAAGGGTGCAGAGGCTCCGTGGACCTTTTTTCGCCCTCTCTCCGCTGTGCTTCTGGTGCTTCGTCCCCCAAACAGCGTTCCCAAATGCCCCGGGCGATCCCCGACTCCCACCTAGCGGGCTGCTAGCGGGTCCTGTTCCACTGTACGTGTTCCACTGTCCTTCCCACACATGCCAGGTCTCTTCCCTATCGCAATCCTCTCTACACTCCCACCCTCATTTTTCTCATCCTCTGCCCAGAGCCTTGCCCTGCTTTTGCATCGCGTACGAGTAGCTCCTTGCCTTGTTTTTTCATTTTCCCGCTCCTCGCCTTGCATCGCCGCGCCAAATCCGTCGCAGCGCATACTCGTACTTGTACTCATACATCATTTACACGGCAGAGCTAGACGCAGCTCCCAGACGACTCGAGACGACGCAAGACGAACCGAGACGAGACGAGACGAGCTGCCCTTGACGGCCAACCAACGTCGTCGTCGCCTTTCCATTCACCGCAATCCTTCGCACCCCTTCGCTTCCCCCTCTTCTCTCTCCCTACTGGGCGACTTCGCCATACCATTCCCCGCCATGTTAAGACGACTGCTCTCTCCCTGCGTCCGACAATAGAGACGCCTTCAACTCCCCGAGCTGGCCGCGGCCGCTCGTCACCCATAGAATTTTGTATCTCGTCGCTCGTTCACCTCGCCTCCATCGCCCATCATGGCTGAGTCCCAGTCTCAACGCCGCGTCGCCATGGATCCGCCGCACCTCACCGAGTTCGCTTCCGAGCGCTACTTTGAGAAGCTCAGCCAACTCAACGCCAGCCGCCAGCAGGCGGATCATGCGGAAGCCAGTGTCACGACGACGGCGACGACGTCGAGGTTCATCCTACCGTTGCGAGAGTCGTCCAAGCCCACGGATGTCGACGCCCTCAAACCTGCCGACTCGAAACGCGAGAAGGGTCGCTTCCTGAGTTTTCGACAAAAGGTCTCTCTAGGCTCAAAACACTCAAAAACCGATGTTGAGCATACGACAACGCTACATTCAAGAGCCTCTACGGAGTCGACGCGAAAAAGGTTTGTCATTTTCCCTCCAAGAAATTAATTCTCTCATCGCCGGGCAAGTATCTAAAAGAGTCTTCAAAACTAACTTTGTTTTTAGCATCCCTTTTGATCAACTATTCAGCGCATTACCGAGCGAACTACAGCTCCAAATCATCTCATCCCTCCCCTTGACAGATATTCTTAACCTCCGACTAGCCTCGAAATCATGGCACTCACTCATCACCGCAAACGAAACACCCATTGTCCGACAACATCTGTATAATCACATACCCGCATATGCTATTCGCCTATATCCCATACCTGATAACTCCGCCGAAATCAACTTCCACTATCTGTGTAGTCTGTGGCATCGTCTCCATGTCGCGGCCAAGCTATCGTATTTGATGTGCGAATGGATTACAAAAGATATATTTTTAAGACAGACGGAAGCCCAGAAGCTGGCATTCGCACCACAGCACGAGCGTATGCGCCGACGACTGATACCTTTACTGTTCACCACTTTCCACTTTTTCGAGACGTACCGGAAACTGCACTTGCAATATATTGCTGAACACGGACACGGACTGCAAAGGGAACCATACACGGTGAATCCGATCGAGACGCAAATCATGAACATGTATGACAACCAGACGCTACTGAGGGTCCATGAAGTATTCCCTCTCATCATCTCGTCCTTTTGCCGCCGCCTGCGACCCCCGACGTATGTTGGTCGAGTGGAACGATCATTACGTGGTTATCTGAGGGAACGACCGCCCGACGAAGTTCATGTGGCCATCTTGTGCCTAGGTGGACTTCGCCAGGTAGAGAAGCTGTGGGAAACAAAGGGCTACAACAACCGACGGGCTGCTGTTGATATTTGGTTTGGCTCTCTCACCAAGGAGCCTGTTGGCGAAGCCTCTGCCAAGGGCCGGCTAGGATTGAAGGGCTTTGGACGGAAGAAGTCAACAAGCAGCGATCGACCTCCGCACCGGACATCATTTAGCGAAGGCGGCCGCCGGAGTCCGTGGGGATCGGTAGATTCCACCCACAACGGGGGATTCATGCCGTATAGCGTCTTCAATACCAGTCTCTCGGCCGATGCGCCCATGGCACCTCTCGAACGCGACAACGCAAAGACTCTACTAGGGGATCTCCCATCGCTGCAGTCCATTTGGCTGACCACAGCCGAGGCCATGATTATGGACCGCAAGATTGTGCAACGGCCGCAGGACATCAAGCGGAACCAGCAGGTTATGCTGGATCTAATACGAGAGGATGGCCTGGACGAAGAAGACGAATGGTGCTACGGCCGCCACATCTCCGACTCAGTGAGGCCACCTGCCGCAGCCCTTGGCGACGATGCGGACTAAAGCCTCTCGCCTACCTTTTTATTATACTGCCCAATATATACACGGCTCATCTACATCTACCTTTTTTGGTCTTTATATACGCTTGCTTTCATCGGGCATGCCATCTTTCTTTTGAACTAAGCACAACCATCTGCTTATACCATTTATTTCCTTGTGTTTGTTGTGTCCCTGGACGACACAAAAAGAAGCATTTACAGGCGTTTTTTTTCTTTAGGGAAGGGGATACGGATGGAATCCACGCGATGTGAGAATTCCGGTTGTGGAATATCTTGGGGTTATCTGTGGTCTTTTTGTTTTTTTACCTTGCTCCTTAACCTCTCTCATATTCTTTCCCTCTAAAGATTTCCTTTATTTGTCTATCTCGACTTCCTGTATCCGTCTCTTCCCTTTTTTTGTGTCTGTGATTTGGACTAGTTAAATGGGGGTCCCCCTTTTTCCGTCCTGCTTGTCATATCCTGGGGAAATATCCTGCATTGGCACAGCTTTCAGCCGCATGCATAGAACCTGCGCAGTCTGTTCTCATCTTATCTGTCTGCTCTGCCTGCTTGCCTGTCTGTTAAACCTTTTTGTGTTTTTCGACTCTTCTCTTAGCAGCGTTATCTTCCTTTGTTTTCTTCGCTATATTTTTGCGTACTCTCATTTTGTAGCCCTCTCGGCGAAACTGGTATACGGCCAGCGCTGATTGCAAAAAAATTGAAGAAAAGACACATTCTTAAATAAATCTTGCCATGGAGACTCTTCCAGTGACTGTTTTTGATTTATTCGCACGTCTTATAATGAGAATCAAGTTGTAGATTTTACATATACATATACATATACATATATATATATTTTCCTCTTCCTTGCCCGTATTTCTACGGGATTGTCTATGGCTTTTTGCTCAACATGCTTCGCTATCCCTGCTTTGTTTCGTAAGAAGTAAAAAAAAAAAATGTGAAGAATGATCAAGAGAAAACGCCAACAGACTTCATATTATCCCATTCACCCCATGAATGCACCCGTCGTTTCAAACGTACACACATCTCACATTGTAAATGAAAGAAGAACAAAAGGTGGTAGAAAGGTGGAAAAAATCATAGCACCATCCACAAACGATCGGATCATAAGTCTCATCTGCCCCATTTCGCAAAGAAAAGATAAGAAACTCCCAAGAAAGATTGAAAAGTGAAAAACAAAACCGGGTTGCCTTTTGACTCCTTTGAAAATCCGTCCAGTTCACCTACACGCCTAAACATCAAAAGAAACAAACAAATAAAAGCAAATTTCTTTTCTGATGATGGATGGAGAAAAAAAGAGGAAACCCACCGGTTCCCCCACGTTGCGTAGCCCTTTTCTCTCTGTGTCTCCATAATAACGGCAAATGTTCACACGGTTATGCCAAATAACAAATCTACGAGCTGGGGGGGAAAGAGGAAATGCTATCCTACTAGCGATTAGCCATGGCCTGGTAAAGCCTCTCTCTCATATTCGGTTCGGCCAGCGCAGCCTCAAGCTGCGTAGAGTCGCCAAACGCGGCGGCGGCATCTTGGACGTCGCGCTCGTTCAGGCCGTAGTCCATGTCGAGGTAGCTGTGCTCTGCAAAGGTCTGGAACTGGCTCAGGCTAGACGTCGTGGGCGCTGACGCCGACGTTGCGGGAACTTGCTGGCCGTTGGTGAAGCCAGAAGACGGGTGGCGAGCTGTGGGCGTTTGCTGCTGTCCCGACTGGCTGCGCGAGATAGCTAGAGACGCTTGCTGGGACAAGCTGGCGGCACGAGCTTCGTCGGAGCTCTGCCTCGCCATGTTGGAAGACCCAAATTGTGATGCTTGACCGCTGCTTGCGCCTCTAGCAAAGCTGCCGCCAGCGCTGGTTACGTGCCCTAGCTGGCCCGGCAGCTGTCTTGTCTGGCCATAGAAGCCTTGTGTGGCCATGTTCGTTGAGCTGTTTCCGTACATCTGGCCTGGCCCTCTGGACCTTGAGGCTCCCGACGGCATATGCCCTCCTTGCTGAAGTTGTGGCGGAGGACGCATCCCTGTGGTCTGCTGAGGCCGCTGAGATGTAAACTGCTGGGACTGTTGCTGGGTTTGAAGCGATTGGTTTTGGCTCTGGCTCTGAGGCTGCGTCGGCGATCGTTGAGGGTGATGTTGCTGTTGCAGATGCTGCTGGCTCGAAGCTTTCCTAACCGCAGCACTAGCCAACTGGCTATCAAAGTTATTGGTGGCCATGGCCTGAGAGATGCTGTTGTAGGTATTGTTAAGTATGGGTGACGTAGTCATGCCGACTCGGCCAGATTGAGAATCAATATTGTTGAACATGGGGTTCTGAAGAGATTCTCTAGATACCCGCCGACGTTTCATATTATTTGGGTCAGAAGCAGCCATCTGTAACGAAGTCTCATCGCCGTGTCGAATCTGAGAGGAAACGTCGGGTGCTGTGATTGCCGAGAGTGAGTCCCTAGCCACCTGTACAGGATCGCCGACTTTTCTCTTCTTAAGATGCGAGTGGTTATTGATGGAGCGAAATTGATCCAGAGACTGCATTGCCGATCCAGCCCAGCTACTCACAGCCGGAATAGCACTTGTTTGGCTCGTCTGAGGAGTTCGCACAGCCATATGTCCGGTGTGTTGCGCCACTACACTCTCTTGCATCGTGGGCGAGGGGTGCTGTTGCTGCTCTACTCTGGGAGGCATCGTATTCGCAAAAGAGGAAATATTATTCAGACTCCCCGTTGTCTTATGTGATAAGGGGGAGGGTGCAACTGGATTGGAGGTTGTCGATGCCGGTAGCAGGCCGTGAGGGGTATCCGCAGTCACTTGGCCGGCTTCGGGGGTATTCTTTGGTCGATTCTTGGATCCTTTAGGTCGACCTCTCTTTTTACCCGTCCCAGGAGTGCTCATGATACTAGAATCAGGGTCGAGATGCGTTGAAATATCAGCATGATACGCGGGATGAACAAGCCCATTTCTAGTTTGCTCGCTGGATCCTGGTTCAGATTGGGATAGACCAAGTGAATTTTGCGAGCCGAGCGCGTCAACTTGGCTGGATGAATGGTGTGCCATATCAGACTTCTTGATGCCTTTGTCTATGCGAGGCTTGGAGCTTTTACTCCCCTTTGGCCGTCCTCGCGGTCTTTTGACAGGAGTGGCAGTAGCTGCATTCTGCGTCTCTGAGAGCTGTGAAGGATCTGCTGCAACATCCGTAGAGGATGATGGAGCGGCAGGGGCAGTAGCGGAATGAGATAGAGTTGGGGGTTGAGTTGACGAGGGTATGTCTGAGGCAGCAACAGCCACGGCAGCAGCAGCAGCAGAGACAATATCACTCTGGAGAGACGGATGTGGTGCTATAGCTGATGGATTCCCTTCGACTGGAGGGAATATCTCGGCGACCCAGCCGACGAAAATGGATCCCTGGCCATTGTTGTGTCCGCTTTCTGGGAAGCCCGAATCGTGTGATGAAGGAGCACCGGGGATGCCACCAAAGTAGGCCAGTGCTTTACAGAGCTGATCCACCACCACGACGGGATTCAAGCTGCGTAATAAAGTGAGAAGGCGAGCCTGCTCAGCCTTGGCCTCGTGCGGCAAAGGTCCCAGATTACGGGTAGGTAGAGGGTAGGAGGGATTCAGATAGCCGTTTTGCGAAGCCCCATAGGCCGGGGCGGAAGAGCGCGGATCGGTTTCGGTGGGCGGAATCCACGCCAGCTTGCTACGTTTGATAGATTGGTAGCCGCGCATGTTGGCCAGTCTCGCTGCCGCCTCCGTCTCCTCACTCGTGCGCTTTGCGGCAGCGTTTCGCAGGGCGGCCTGTGAGCTATTTATATCGATGTGCATGACGCCAAAGTTGCCGTTTTTGTTGTCGGCCTTGCCCTTGAGCTTGCTGGGCACAGGGTTCTTGACGCGGCCATCCGTGGTGTGAATAGAGGCTCCCTCCGGGGCATCGGTCACATCTGGGCACTGCAATGAGCAAATCCATCCGGCCAAACGGTACCAGATTCGAGGCCTGGCGGAACGTTGAATTGCGCCCTACATACCATGACTAGAGGTGCGGATCGGGGTCGAGGACCTGGGGCCCGGAGTTGCGGATGACTCCAGCGCGGCTTCAACCTTGGCAGGCGAATCCTCGGGCGGAGGAGATTCGCAGATGGCGAGCGTCGCAGAAGCTGCCAAGAGCAAGTCAGAGGCGAAACAGGCCGGGATGGGAGCGGAAAGATAAAGACGTAGGCAGAGATACGAGACGGGGAAACGAACCAGGAGCTGCGGCCATGGCGCTAGGATGATGCGCCTGCAGACCGCCTCATGCCCAGCGCGCGGGCTGGGGGAATTGGAGTTTCGGAAAGGCTGGCAGAGAGAGGCTGTGTCTCAGAGCAAGATGTTTGACGATGCCGACTACGGCGATGCTTGCACGAAAGGCGACGGTTGCAGAGGACGGAGAGCGAACAAACAGGCCCCAGAATTGCCGTCTCGAGGCGCTCACATGGTCCGGAACCGAGGGGCGGTCAGCAGTCCTTTGTATCGCCGTCACAGGCCGTGATGTCGCGCGTTGCAGGCGGTTGTCATGGCCATGGCCTGACAAAGAAAGTTGGCGGTGCACGGCGCATCGTTTCTCTTCATATTCCGACTGAACCTGTTGCTGAGACGGGACTAGCGCCGTCCGTAGCGCTCTGATTCCATATGCAAGTACGGGGGTGATGCATCGCGCTACAGAAAAACAACATGTCGTCTAGATGCATATCGCTGTACACAGGCGGCGGAAGACGTCAATGCCGAGTTTCTTCCATGCAAGGCGAGGGGCTGGCGTTTTAACGGGGACCTGGGCCGTGGGTTAGGTATCGGATACTTGATGACTTGTCCGACTCAGAGGCGGGATTGGGGGCCGTGGCGTAACAGGCCTCGTACTAGATACCTTAGTGCTCTTGCTGCTCAGCACGCTCCCCCCACTGCTGGAGCTGGGCTAAGCTGAACTGTCACTGGACTTGCTCGCGAACTGCTTCTGCTTGCCGCAACCTAATTTATACATGTAGCCAAGCAACCATTCGAGCTTGTGTCGGCGCCTTTTTTCTTCTTCTTCAAAGCCAGAGCTGCGATCCTTCCCGGGCCTTTTGCGTGAGAGAGATTTCCATCTGTTTATCCTCTCTGCCCTCTTGCTCTCTCTCGTCCCTTCTCTTTGCTCTTCTCGCCTTCCTCCTCATCGGGTCTACTTCTATCTCCGTCTCCAGCAGCCACCGCCATGTCGTCCAAGTATGCGCTGATATCGCTGCCTCAAAGCGCCTTCGACTCTGGAAGCCGTGATGAAGCCATCTCGTCCTTGAGTGCGACCATCACCGCCGACAATGGCTCAGTCCTGCCCTTCACCATCCCCGACTTCAAGATCGGAACGCTAGACCTGCTGGTCCAGCAAGCCGATGACCTGGCCAAGCTCGACTCGGCGTGCCAGTCGGTCGTCGCCAAGGTTGCGGACTCCTTGCGCACCGTGCTCAACAACGATGAAGACCGAATGGCTTCCTACAAGATGGTCAATGATAGTTAGTCGAGCCAAATATCGCTTCTGTATGGTGTATGTGGTGGGGGGACTGACGACATGCGGCAGAGCCAACCGATCACTATCTGCGCAACTTTAGCTGGAACAAGATGAGGTACCGAGCCGATAAACCCATAGCTGAGCTCATCAGCACTCTTCAGAAGGTATGCTTTTTTAATCCTTGGCCTAAACTTGTCAGGCGAAGCTCATACATCTTACGCGCGGCCTAGGAGCTCAACACTGTCGACAATGATGTCAAGTCCAAGTTCAACCAGTACAACACCGTCAAGACGAACCTTGCAGCTCTGCAAAGAAAACAAACGTGGGTATCATGCATCTACTCTGCTGCTCCTCGCTAATTGACCTGTCACGGCTGCAGGGGCACTCTCGCAACGAAATCTCTCACTCCGATTGTGAAGCCATCGCTCCTCGTTCAAGATTCCGAGTACCTCGAGACCCACCTCATCGCCGTGCCGACGAATGCGAAGAAAGACTTCATCAAGAGCTATGAAACCCTCGCTCCCATGGTGGTGCCCCGATCCTCTGTCGAAATCGACCACGACGATGAATTCACGCTGTTCGCTGTTGTGACGTTCAAGAAGCACAGCGCCGAGTTTATCCACAAGTGCCGAGAGCAGAAATGGACTCCCCGTCAGTATAAGTACGTCGAGGGTGGCCGGGAGGAAGAGCAGCGTGAGCTGGACCGCGTGACCAACGAAGAGCGCAAGGTCTGTGGCGAGGCTCTGCGTATGGGAAGGACTGGATGGAGCGAAAGCGTCATGATCTGGGTCCATGTCCTCACCTTGCGCGTCTTTGTTGAGGCCGTGCTGCGATACGGATTGCCGCTGGATTACGCCACGGCTCTGATCAAGGTATGTTGCGTTGCGCCGCTGCTTGCGATTTTATACACCCCATGCCCATCAACCATCTCATTAGTTAAGTGTATACTCGTACACAAAGACTAACTACATATGACACAGACAACACCGAAGCTCGCGCCCAAGGCGAAGGCAGCACTAGACTCCAAGTACTCGTACCTGGGCGGAAATGCATTTGGACGGGACAAGCACGGCAGGGTCACCAAGGACGACGCCAACCTCAGCTCAGAGATGGCTGCAGCGGGATTGGGGGCCGGCGAGGGACACGAATACACGGCTTTTGTTTACTACGAGGCCGAATTTCCCTGAGCGTGGCATAGAGATGTATTTTTTTTTCTAAAAGCGTCAGACGCCTGTATTCTATCATTATTGTCTGTGTCCTTAATGAGACTCTTTTCCCTTTTTCGTTTCACGTTGTTCTATATCAATCAATCCTTTGCAATATGAACAAAGACCAGGAGTGATTATTCCTGTGTCCGTACGTTGTTTTATCTTCTCCCTTTTCCTTGCATCTTTCCTCCCTCCTTATAATTCTCACTTCTAGTTCTTGACCTCACTCTTGATGTAGCCCTTGGCGCTGAGCCAGTTTGTGATTTGTGCAACACACTCCTCAACGGTGTTCTCGTGAGTCTTGATTGTGATCTCAGCGTTGGCAGGCTCCTCGTAGGGAGCAGAGATGCCAGTGAAATCCTTGATCTCGCCGGCGCGAGCCTTCTTGTAGAGGCCCTTGGGGTCGCGCTGCTCAGCAACCTCGAGGGGCACGTCGACAAAGACCTCGACGAAGGGGATGGGCTCGTCGCCGTCCTGGCTGGTCTGGGCGTGCAGCTCACGGGCGAGGTCGCGGTCGGCGCGGTAGGGCGAGATGAAGGAAGTGATGGCGATGGTGGAGGCGTCGGCGAAGAGCTTTGCGACCTCTGAGATGCGGCGGATGTTCTCGTTGCGGTCCTTTTCGGAGAAGCCCAGGTCCTTGTTGAGGCCGAAGCGGACGTTGTCGCCGTCGAGGCGGTAGGCGGCGAGGCCCAGGTGCAGGAGATGCTGCTCAAGCGCGGTGGCGACGGTGGATTTGCCCGAGGCGGAGAGGCCCGTCAGCCAGATGGTGAGGCCGCGCTGGTTGCGGAGCTGGTTGCGCTCGCGGCGGGAGAGGGAGGGATGCCAGGTGATGTTGCTGTTTGTTGGAGTCAGCTTTTTTCTTTGTGTGTGTCTTGTTTGGGTGCTATGCTATTTGAGGATTGCAGTGGTAGTGGTGGTGGTGGTGGTATAATTCAATGGTGGTAGATAGGATGGATTAATAGGTAGTGGTGATGATAATGAGATAGTGACATCTCAGTTGCGAGATGCAAGGCGGTAGAGGAGCAGAGGGCGGTTACGGTACGCACGTGGCCATTGTGTAATAACGAACGATTTAATCGATAAAAGCCGAATCGCTTGTTTGCTCTAAACGAGGAAAAAGGAAAAGCAAGTAAAAGGCAGACGAAGGGAGGAAAAGAGATGCAGAGACAAAAAAAGGTGGAGGTACAATGCGAGACATATAAATATGCAAAAGAGGGAGGACTGATGATGAAATCAAATGCGAGATGGGCGATCCGTTTAGAGTTGGTTCTGTGTTTGTAAGTGAAATCTCCCACTAATACTATGTATGCACACCTCCTCGGACCCTCGCCCGCCTTTACAGAGACGTTTCCCCCATTGTGACATTCTAAAGCAGAAAAAAGAAGAAAACGCTGCTGCTAGTGCCAGGAAAACCCCACATGCAACGTCCAATTCCCTCCAAGATAGGCCAAGGCGGATGATGTGCTCATTGGGGAGGCTGATGGCGACAGTCCGAAACCGCCGACTTCCGCTGGCCGGCCCCCGCTGTTTTTTTCCCGTACCTTGTTCTTCACTTATGAGTATGTACTTGTATGGATTCCTTTTAATTCTTTTGAATCATCCCACATAGTGTAAAGTCTTGCAATCATTGCACTATGTGTGCTCCGTACTTCTAGTTCTAGGGAAGGGGCTGGAGGAAGTAACCATCTCTAAATGTCCTGTCACATTGGACGGTTCGTATGAAGCAAGACAACATCTTGATGTACTCTCAAATTGCAGATACTGATAATATACGGCTGTGGTAACTCAAAATTACATGGCCATTCTGCTACTTGCTTAACAAGGCAGAGAAATCCCTTTTCTCGCAGTATTCTCTAAAGGATGTCATTCTAACTCCGTACTAGGTAGATATTTCAAGTCAGCTTATTAATCTCCTCTTATAGCATTGGCCCCCTAGTAAACTAAACTCACCTTTCCTGGCCCAACAATTCCATGTTCTTTTCCCTCATACCCAAATTCAAATGCAAATAAGACATTTGATCCGAATTCATGACCTAAGCCACCGGGCAAAAGCTCATTTATTTCATCATACGACAGCTCGTCGACACCTCCATATGTAAGGCCCTGCGTCTCGCAGAAGATGCGAAGATAGTCCGTCCAGGTAATATAATCACCCACAGCAAACAAGTTTGTGTTAGGCGGCGCTTGCTCAACAAGAGCTTTGACACAAGGCCCAAGGTCGCTGCGAACGTCTCCAAAGGGGATGGGCTTGTGGCCGGCGCCGGGGGCCATCATTCGATAAGTGCCATCTGGTTGCTGAAGACCAATTTATTAGCTGAGCTGTAGTAGTCAGAGCAGGAAAGAAATTCTGCGTTAAGTTACCTTTTTCGGAGCAATTGGTAGCCCCCAGTCCGTTACAAGTTGGAAGTAGATGGGGGCTTGAATCTGAGAGAACTTGTCTTTCAGCTCAGGAAGGCTTTGTGCATATGTAACAGCCTGGGCCTTGGAGTCCATGTGGTATAGCGTTTTAAACTTGCCACCACTTGACTTTGTTGCATCAGCCATAGAACTGAAGATGTACCGGTCTAACGTTGATGCTGTTGAGGCTGCGGCATCAGCAAGATTTTTGCCGTGTCGTAACTCGACTTCATAACAATATTCGACAAGTTCCTGATCAGGCTTCTTAAGCTCTTTACTTTGAGGGTTCCCAAAGATGTTCCAAAAATCGGTGACGCCGAAAATGACATTGGCACCTTGGAAAGCCCGCTCAAGAGACTTGACATCGTCGAAATCGCCCTGGACGATCTCAATGCCCTTTGCTGCCCATGCCTTGGCAGCTTCGGATTCGGTATTACGAGTTACACCGCGGACGGTATAACCCGGGGTTTGAAGGAAGGCGTCAGCAACAGAGCTGCCCTAGATATTAGATGTTGTGTTAGTAACTGACAGCCGCTTCACATTAAAGATCGCGCATTTATTTGGAGAAACCTGCTTGAACACCGGTGATGCCTGTGATGACAATGAGTTTCGTCATGTTGTCAAATTATTTCCTGTCACTCAAATATGCAACAGGTCTTCAATTGGTTGCAAGTCAGAATAAAGTACAACTTTAAAGAATTGCGGAATGCAATATGCAGAACTGGGTTTCAGAGGTATTCATATAGCTGTCTGAATTCATATCGCTAACTCTTCTTGTAAAGTTAATTAAAACTGTTGAAGCTGATAAATGAGACTTTTTCTTAACTATAACACCGTCACTGCTTCATTTCTAACCAACTTCTAAGCAATCTCTAACCCACTTACATACACAGATTCCTAAGGTTTTCACGCCAAATGTGACATATGTTGTCATCGCTCTGGAGCCCTATGCGATACAGGGAAGACCATTGTCCCATTGGAGTTACGGGTGGCTTGCATGAGCGTGTGGGGATTTGTAAGATTTCCGCACCAATTCGGCCTGTGCCTCTACAACTAAGGATCTACGGAAAACTGCGCTTGAGGAGGAGGACCGATGTCCTAATTAGGGAACGTGGTGGCTTGTAGAGATATCTTCGGCAACTAGAGTTGAAGCTACCACCATCAAAGATAGCCGTGGTTGTCATGCAAGCTGACGTCCCGACGCAGTGAACGCAACTATCTTGTTCGGACTATCTCGTTCAGGGCAAGGATCTGAAAGCCATATGGAAGCAGTTCAAAACCTTGACTAGCCAACTTCCAATGCTGTGTTAATGCTACTAAGCTCAGCCCATACTGTAACATTGCTCGGCATGTTCTTATGAAGCTATTCACGAACGAAGTAATAGAATAAGCAGCGAGGCTATACTAGGCAGTTTCAATTGATCCAATCCAAGCAGGATTTTTATATGTAGTGTGATATATAGTGGATAGTCTAGCTGTTATCGTTCTGTTATTGTGGTGTATACCCTGTATACGTGGGTGTAGATACTAAAAGTGACCTCAAGTGGCCCGTAACAGCTACAGGGATGCACTTATCGGTCTGACTGTCTCCCGCATTTGGGTCTTTCGTCAGTTACTATAGGTATCTATGAGGCAAAATTGTGTACTGTAAAGTCCTTACTGTCAATGTTCCAACAGAGAAGCTTTAGTAAGCATAATAGGGACGTACCTAGGTTTGGAAATAACTGTGCTCCATACTGTGGCATATCATTTTTTATCCTTCTGACTATGCCCCTGTCAGGCGTATATTTATTTATTATTTACATGTTGAACGTGTGCTGCTGTTTGCAAATGTTTGTACTTTGCATCTATTCGACATGATTGCAAAATATGCACTTAGAGGTATATCACGTAAAACATCCATCTGGCTCGATTCTCTCCGCTGTAAAAACGAACAAGAAGTATCCCCCCCCCTCTGCTTTCTAGCAAGGCATCTTATCGCCTCGCCGCATAATGTAAGTGTAGTTCTAGTAGAAATCCATTCCCGCCGTCGCTTTCCAAAGACATTTAAGAGAGAGAAAAAAAAAAGAAATAAAAGAATATGGAAAAGAATATGGACGCGAAAACAAAACGCAGCAGTTCTATAGGCTCGTCTTCTCATCTCGCCATTATTCCTCTGCATGTGTTGTGTAATTTAATTAATTCGGGGCATCAGCTGCAAAGAACAAGGGTTGTCAGTCACAGCTCGCCTTATATGTCTGAGACAGAGTTCATAGACTTACCGCCGCATACTTGGGAGAGATGAACAATCCTTTTGCCTCGACCAAAACGACGGGCTTCTCGCCAGGCCCCGGCAGCGTCTCGATGCATCCCTCGGCCCACGCCTTGCGACCCTCAACCTTGACCGTCTTGCCGCGCAGCACCAGGAAGCTGTTGGCCTGCGTCGGCTTGCGATAGTTAATCTCCAGGTTCGCCGTCACGGCAATCTTGTGCGGCAGCGCGTCGAAGCAGCCCCTCGCCAGGCCTTCGTCCAGCATCGTCGCCAGCAGGCCGCCGTGCACGAGGCCTGGGTGGCCGCACAGCTTGTCGCCGATATACGTGACGCTGACGATGGACTTGCCGCCGTCCTCGATAAAGGCCACGGGCGGCACCATGATCATGCCGTCGCCTTGCAGCGCGCCGCCTGTGAGGGTGCGGCTCCGGACCTCGGCCGACATCTTCAGGTGCGGCCGTGATTCCTTGAACTCTGGTCGTGATCGTAGCTCTTGGACCAGCGGGTGGTTGTTGATTGTCTCTTCGATCTGCTGCAGCTCGTCGCTGTCTGGGACAAACAACTTGGCTGATTCGGCGTCGGTGAAGGAGGCAAAGCCCTTTTGTACCATCGAATAGAATGTTGCCGCTGCTCCAAGGCCGCTAAATGCGACACCATATAGGAGCAGCCCGAGGCTTCGGCCGACTCGTCCTTTGGGGGCTGCTATATGTTGGGGAAAAACAACTCAACCGTTAGCAACATCTTCTTTTCGCTTGCTCCCCAGTCTCTTCCACAGGCAGCAATAAAGACAATCCACGAGACAACTTACCCTGTGCAGCCTCAGCATAGCATCGTCGTTGAGCAACTCCTCGCAGCGCAGCGAGTGACGGCTGCTGTCCGCCTCGAGCCATCTGGCTGATGCGGCGCCCGCCACGGGCAATTTGTTGGCTAAACATTTTGTGCAATTGCCTCTGTTCTTTTTTTTCTATTCCTCCTCTCTTCACACTTCTCCGCTGTAACAGGAAAACAACAAGAAGGAATAAAACAAATCAAGTAGAAACACCAGCAAAAAGAATGTAATTGCCGAGGCAAAGGAGACCCGCGCCATCACGCCTTTATAATCCTCACCAACATAATATGTATGCGCCGATAAGATAAACTGATACGGCTCTTATCAGCGGTCCGGTATCCCGATTCTAGCCAAACCACCGCCTCACTCCATCGGCATATCCGAGTTCGGGCTGCGAAAGCCTCGGATATTTTCCCCCAGTTCCTGTCAGACACACGCCACGGCTTTGGATCGGGCATTTCCTTCCCGTCTGACCGTCACTTTATTTATCATGGTTGCATCCAAATCGAATGGGAAAAGTCATTGGAGATCCCGTGGTTTTTCCTTCTCCGGTCCCATGGTGATGGCATATTGCCAAGAGTGACATTCACCACAAGCCACGAGGAAGAAGCAAACCGTAGTGGTGCACGTCAGACGTCACTTACACCTCTCCTCTCTGAAGCTCTAAATGCACCATGTAGACTCGTCCAATAGGCATACTTTCCGTATTCTTGCCGCCTTCCAGGCCCGATCTTTATTCATTATTAATCTGCTTTTGTCTATTCTACAGGTCATCCTCCTCTCCCGCCAAAAGCTCGGCGTAATCGTCCACAGACGCAAACGTAGGCAGACCCCTGAGCATCTTTCTTCTCGCCTTACGCTTGTCGCCCTTCTCTTCATCTTCGTCAGGCACATCTGGAGCAACCAATCCATCTTCATCATCTGAGCCTTCTTCCTCTTCCGAATCGTCACCAAACTCCACACTAACATCATCTTCTTCATCATCGCCATCAAGTGACAAGGCAGGTGAAGAATCGTCATCAGACGCCATGTCCAGGTCGTCCAGATCGTCAAAGCCAGCATCGGAGGCATCTTCGTCAATGTCAGGTTGAGCATTGACCAATGCCTTCCAGATCTCATCCTCTTCCGCTTCGCCCTCATCGTCTTCACCACCTGCTGTTGCCTTCTTCGTAGACTCCTTGGTCTCCTTGGCGACGTGCTGGAAGTATTTGTGAAAGAAGACATCCTCTGCAGCAACATCCTCTGCTTTCTTGTTCCAGAATGCAGCCGAGTTGACTTGCGTTGTGGATGAGCTAGTTCGCCCGCTACCCAGCCAGATATCACCGATATCCTTGGCGGCCTTGAGGGGTTGCATGATAGACGCACCACGTGCATCCGTAGCTTTCGCGTTTCTGTAGACAAACTTATCCAAGAACCTGATAAGACTGTGGCTCTCCATGTCGGGCTTTAGCATCTTCTGATTTCTGTCCATCAACGAAGAGGCAAATTTGCTGACGGCAGGGTGGAAATGGCTTTGAATAGGGACCTAAGGCAACGATTAGATATTGATAGCATTATTTTCTTATAGAAATGTTAACATACCACTTCCCACAGGCAACTTCTGTGGGCGTTGCTGTGCTCTGGATTCCTTTTGCGTCCATCATACGTTGGTCGATCTTCAGGTGCTTCATCATCAAACACGGATTCTTCAGGCGACTCGACCAAAGTTGAGAGATCAGGGAACGTTTGCCTTAGATGAGAAATGACATAGAGCAAGCCACAAATGAAAGGGGGCTGGTGAAGACCCGCCACCTGTAGCATTCGCTTGGCGAAAGCCTTGACTCTGCGCACATCAACATCGTTTTTCAGCGCGCGGAGTAGCAAGTTCAGGTAAAGCGCCTGCTTTGAAGAGGTCATGAGACGCGGGTCAAGTAGTGACTCGTACAAAGTCCGGTAGAAACGGTCGCTGCCAAGATTTCTGGCGGAGGAGAGATGTTGAATCAGCAGCAAAGCTTGGATGCCAGTGTTGAAGTTGGAGGAGTGCGCAATTTTGAAAAGCGTATCGAGATGACGCTCCATACTATGAAGAAATTAGCTACCTTCACGAACACATGTCATAACCTGGTTGAACATTTTAGACACTTACACCATGTCATTAGTGCCTACAAATGGAGCGGCGCGGTTTACACCGGTCAACAGGGCAGAAACAAGCTTATCAGCTGCCTCAGACTCTGGGACAGAAGCGGCTGTTGGTTTTGTCTGGTTAGCTGACTTTCCAGATGACGACCCCTTGCCAGGTTTCTGTCCTTTCTGGGCCTTGCTGGACTCTTCTTCTATCGGCATGCCAAGCTTTCCCGTCTTCAGAATTGTGGCAAAGAGGTCGAAGTAGATGCGAAGTAGAGACTCAGCCACAGCCGGCTCCTTGTTTGAAAGGATCGTTTGGTTAAGGGTGTTGATGGCGTAGTAGCGTGAGCGATGATCTTGCGAGGGTCGAAGCAAGATCTCCTGCTCCACCGTTCGTACGATGACTGGTTTCATGCCAGGGTGTGAGTTTTGTAGCTGTAGGAGGAGATAAGAGGCTCGTGACGAAATCTTTCGGTCACGATCACCCAGCTTGTTGACGAGTAGAGTGAGAAGGTTTGATTCTTGTTCCGGCTTATCCTTGAGCAAGGCGTAGACGAAGTCGACGGCTCTCATTCTGGAGTATTCAATCTCATCAGAACACCAGACTTCCAAGAGTTGAATAATCTTGAAATAAGTCTCCTTCAACCAGTCTTCATATGCCCAGGATATTAAATGTGCCTGTGTAATTTTGCCGGGCAGGGGTTGACTTGGGGCCCAGATTTTGGCAGAAGCCCGTTGAAGGGAGCCCAGAAGCCCTGGCTGAGCTTGAAAGGTTTTCAGTCGTCGATCGGATGGTAGAAGTGTGCCAGGGCCGAGCATATCCACGAGTGCTCCTATAGCTCCAATGGCTTGTGCTCGGCTTTTCTTGGAGGCTAGATTCATCAGAGTGTCGAATGCGCGGATATTGTGGACGGGAGACTCTTGACAAGCCAGGGTTAGAGCAGAAATCTTGTCTGTAAGAGTACCGGATGTCATAATGGTGGCAAGAAACTTGTGAGACGAGGATGCAAAAATGGTTGTTCTGTATTTGGCCGCCTCCGTCTCCAAGAGATATTTTCCATGCTCCTTCAAGGAGTTTATGGCAGACATGAAAGGGCCAATGTCATCCACCGTAGGTCCGGGTAGCTGAGCTAGCCTAGCAGCGTGCCAGTCTGCGCGAGGCTCGAAAATCTAGTTCACTGAGTTAGTTGTCAGAGATGCCGTTGAGACCCAAGGATATCGACTTACCAGGCCTTCGACACGACGCATATCATTCTCAGCAGGGCCCTTTTCTTTTGACTCCTTGTTGTTTTTGCCGTTTTTCTGGTTCTGGTTCTGGTTCTGGTTCTTGCCGTCGTCCTCGCTGACATCGTCGTCAGAATCTTCGTCTTCGTCCTCTTCTTCTTCTTCCTCGTCCTGATCGCCTTGGGCTTCTTCTTCTTCGTCATCACTAGCATCAATCGGTGCAAGTCCAGCAAAGCCAAGTTCCTTTGACAGAGCTGCCAGCTCCTCCTTCAGGCGCTTGTCTACTGGCACCTTCGACTCCGAAGCAACTGCTTCATCGTCGGAAGCGACTTCGTTGATCAGGCGCCAATCTTCCTCATCGCCTCCCAAAGCCTTGATTTCGGCGAGCAAAGCAACATCATCGGCGTTGGTGCTTTTTGCGGGCGGCGCACCCTCGGAATCGCGTTGCTTGCGCTGCTTCTGCTTGCCAGATGCTTCCGTAGGCGGATTCTTTCGCTTGTATGGATTGCCGTTCAATTTCTCCTGAATTTGAGAAGTGAGCTCACTTAGTCCATTCTTAAGCTTAGCCGCATCGTTCTCAGAGCGCTGGGGCCCTTTGGCCTTTTTGGAGTGCTTGGCCATGGTAAAGATGCTGCTGAGTGTGTTGTAGAAATCGGCTGCATCAAATTTCTGGATGCGATGCAAGTAATTTTTTTGAAAGCTGCTTATCTTATCGGCCCACAGAGATTGGTGGCGCTTGTCGCGCCTACTGTTAGCGCTGCGCGTTTACGGAATCGTCTCATTGTCTTGAACCCAACACAGGCTCTCTCATTGGTGATTAGTCTCGCTTCATACGAGATTCAAGCATTGCATTGTTATCACTCATGAAGAATTATGTAAAAAATTAGAATGAATTATTTCACCACTCACTAAACATGCGTGCTCCGGCCTTGGTCTCTCATGGCGGACTTCGCCCGCTAAAGGCCGTTCGTAGCTCGACTCACATTCGAATATTTTCACAGCCTCATTTTGCTCAGTCAATACGGCTTAGATCAACGCTGTCCAAGATATGGGTTCCCACTGGCGGCGTGTCAGCCACTGAAGGAGAAAGTATGGCGCAGTTCTTTCATCAAATTTGAGGAAATACCGGGCTAATTGATCGTAGCTGGTCATGGCAAGCTTATCCGAGCTGGATTTCTACGTCAGGTAAGCAGACCTCGTCTCAATTGTTAGCCTGAGTGTGTACGAGATAGTTTTGTTAATTTGGACCAATTTATCAGGCACAATCTGGAGTTTTCCAACTTCTCCCTTTGGGACTACGTGTTCAAGATAAGATTGAGCGCCTCGTTGACAAGCACATGCAAAACCTAGGTGGGTCGAATCACCACGCAATTCATTGGAGGGGATAGTTTTTCTCAACGACCACTTCATTTTAGGAGCCTCGAAACTAGCCCTCTCAACCCTCACAACTGAAGAGCTATGGCGTAAAAGTGGCCGCCTTGATAAAGTCTCTTCTGAGGTAAAACCACCATCACAAGCTAATAAGATGCGTTATGTTAACACTCCGCCAGCTCTTCCGGCTCCGTGACCGCAAAGAGGTGCCTATCATGCTATCACCCACACATGAAGAAGAGATTACATCCCTCGTGGCCGGCACTCTGAAATCCTACAAAGACTTGCCTATCAAGTTGTACCAAATCAGTATGAGCCCTTGAGCCGTTCCATTTATACCCCACGCACTACTCCTTACTGACCCTTGTAGCACGCAAATATCGAGATGAGATCCGTCCTAGGCACGGTTTACTAAGGTCTCGCGAATTTATCATGAAGGATCTATATACATTTGATTTGACGGTCGAAAATGCCGTGGAGACTTATCGCGACGTCGCCTCTGCCTACAGTGCCTTTTTCGCAGACCTGAAGCTGCCCATATTGGTAGCAGAGGCCAGCTCGGGAGATATGGGTGGAGAGCATAGCCATGAGTATCACCTCTCTCACGCCATTGGAGAGGATACCGTCGCAGCCTGCAGCAGCTGCGGTTATACCGCCAACGACGAAGTGGCTGCGGCCCGATCATCCAGGCAGCTCGAGGGTGCAATTTCCCCTTCATCCTTTGGCATCTGGCGCGGCATTACAAACGACAGAAAAACACTTGTAAATGTGTGGTACCCGCGCTTGACGAACTCACCGTCTGGGGACAGCTGGAATATTCATGCTGTCAAGTCGGTCGTTTCCGATCTCGATACCAGTGTCAGTGATGCCGCATCGTTCTGGGAGGAGGCCGTCCAACAGGCAGAGAGACATGATGGAAAACTTCAACTGTTGAATGTCATTGATTCGAGACTTGCAACGGCATTTGAGGATCTTCACGGCGAGCTCCCTCTATTTCCTGCGGATCTCGCAGGTAAAGAAATCCAGCAGTCTTCAATATCACAGACACCAGCCGGTGAAGACCTAAACCTCTTGCGCATAATGGATGGTGATGGCTGCCCTCGCTGTGATTCAGGAGAGCTTGAGATCCATCGCGCATTGGAGCTAGGTCACACTTTTCTCCTCGGAACTCGCTACTCAGTGCCCCTAGAGGCATCTGTAGCACTTCCGCAAAACCCAGGAGTGCAGGTTCCAGTCCAGATGGGCTGCTTCGGCATCGGCGTTTCTCGCATTCTCGGCGCCGTGGCAGAGCAAATGGCAGATGACAAAGGACTCAACTGGCCACGGGCTATTGCACCATTTGAGGCCGTTGTAATTCCAACGTCTGGCGTCAATGAGCAGACGTTAGAGTTCTACGATGCATTAACCAAACATGAAAGCTCTGCCGCGAGACTAGATGTTGTTTTAGACGACCGCAAGGAGGCTTTTGGATGGAAAATGCAGGATGCAGATATGACGGGCTATCCTGTTGTAATTGTACTTGGAAAGGCTTGGAGAGAAAATGGCATCTGCGAGGTGCAGTGCAGAAGGCTCTCTGTGAAGGAGAATGTGAAGGCGGAAGATGTGCCCCAATATGTGGCGGCTTTGCTGCAGCGGCTATAGCAAGCAGCGATAAATGTCAACACCTCTCCAATCTAGCCCAACTAAGAGAAATGAAGTAAAATTAAAGTTAAAAAACAATTAAAAATTAATTGCATAATTTATGTATGAAATTGATTGAAATTCTCGTCAAAAAGGCCCGTCCAAAGCGTTGCAAGTTCCACGTCCTCGTTACAAGAATCGACAGCCCCTCTAAAGTCATCCGCCGTAGCGGTTGCATGGAGGGGCTCGACTCCAAATCTCCAGCTCGCCCAAGCTTCTCATGCGCCGAAACATCGACCACGAGCAGCCATGTCGAGCGACCAGAAAGAAACCAGTAAGGCCTCAACTCCCTCCTCTCTCCTACTTTGTCCTTCTTCTTCCTATCTTAAAGCTGTGCAATAGCGCTGACCGCTCGCCCATGTAATGTTTAGTCAATCTCGACACTCTCGAGCCCCAGCAGCTCGCGCAGGTCAAGAAGCAGCTCGAAGAAGAGCTCGATCACCTGACAACCTCCTTCGCCCAGCTTCACGGCGCCCAGAACAAGTTCAAGGATTGCCTCCGATGCATACAGAACCGAGCCGCCGATAGTCAAGGTATACAAAATCCATAAGCGCCAGCCAGCGGGCGTCGCAACAGACGAAAGGGGGAAAGCAAGCAGAAGGGAAAGGAGAGGACACAGAAGCTAAGGTGGCAATGTAAACAGGCTCGAAATCGGTCTTGGTCCCGTTGACCAACTCTCTCTATGTCAGCGGCGAGTTGACAAGCCCCGATACCGTCTTGGTGGACGTGGGAACAGGGTTCATGATAGAAAAGGTTACTCTACCTTTTGATTACCCTGCTTGGCTAAAGATAGGAATCTGACAATCAACAGAAACTGAAATCGGCTGAGAAATTCTACGACACAAAGGTAAAGGAGGTTGGTAATAATTTAAAGGAGCTGGAGGCAATCGTTCAGAGGAAACAAATGAACGTTCGCACAATAGAAGAGGGTATGTCTGCCCAATCTTACCGAATCACTCCATGTTTACTAACCTTGAATTCCCGGCAGTTTTACGGAATAAGATTATGGCTAGTCAAGCAGAGGGCCAGAGTTGAAAAGTATAGACCGGGGGGGGAAAATCGAATAACAAATTACATCGCGCGTCTATTTGGTTGATAATTGCTATCCTCACACAACAAAACAGCCACTGCTGTGAATCTACTCATTGGCCGCGCTTGGGGGACCTTCGCGCTCCTCCAAAGCTAAGGGTGGAACATCCTCCACATGTTGTTGGAGCTGCAACACAACTTCAAGGAAGCTTTGGAACCTCTTCCCTAGGTCTGGATCCGTCCCAACCCAAACATTCCTTTGCCCCTCTCCCCAGTCTTTCCTCCGACTATGTGGATTGAGTTGATTCATCGCCGAATCCCAGTGCTTGCCATAGAGTTGAATGCCCCACACAACATTTGCCCTCAAATTCGTCTTGAGCCCTTTCCAAATCTGAGTCATGCTTATCTCCAGCATATAGGGTGTGTCGTGAAGTTCCACGGCAAATGTCGTCTTCAAGCGAGTTTCCGATATCCTGCCTTGCCACTCCTCAGCTTGACCAACTATCACCTCGCCTGGCTTAAGAAAATCACCGTCCTCTTCATATGTGGCCGGCCTAAGTTGCAACTCCTTGATAAGCTTGTCGATACCGGCTGGTACACTCTCAAACTCGTACGCGTCCGCTCTGATGCCCCAATCAAGTCTCCTAACGCGGTTTACATTAACACGGTGAGCGCGCTCGACGATGCTTGGGCAACTTACATGTCAGGGGTGGCCATTACCCAGTTAATCCACTTGGTTGGACATGCAAATCCCATCTTGGCTCGGGATACATCGAATCTGCCGTTCACGCAGTCTTCCAGACATACCTCTTTTCCTTGTAGCCTCAGCGCTAGGGAATACGTGCGCTTTACAGTCTTGTGATCCAAGCGAAGGCCACCGTCCCCGTTTAAGGCGAGTAAATGCTTTATAATATGATTGGGGAGCTTGAGCTCGTTCAGCCTTGAAAATCGGTCAGTAAGGAGTGTCAAAGGACGTTGGTGCGTAAGGATTACCTGTCATGAAGGCCAATGCCTCCACGAATTGAGAATGACTTGGCCGCGTCCATGCATTCATCATAGGTAAGTACATTGCCTATACCCTTGTGCCTCACAAACACCTTCAATCTGCCAAAATTCACACGCATTCTAAGTTCAGAGTCCACACTCATTGCGCACTCTGTAGAATTGATGAGATGCGGGCGAAGCGTTTGGAGGAGGCTCGCCGCAGTTCTTAGTACATCCGAAGATCCAGACAGCGGTGTCATCACTTCGGGTCTTGAATTGGGCTTCACTGATATGCGGGTGTCTTCGGTAACTCTGGAGCTTTTCTGAACGACAAGCACTGGAGCAAGAAGCTCTTTTTGCAGACGCAGGTCATGTACAGTTTGGTTGATTGCATGAATAGCTTCTTGCAAACCAGCTGATGACTCACTATAGACGTCCCAGGCTTTGGTCTCTTCAATTCTTGTGATCCATACTTGATGCTGTTTGCAGATTTCATTCAGAACATCTGGGTCGTCTATTTCAGAAGGATACACCTCCCAGTGGGAGGCAAGCACATATCGAGCCTCATGCAGAGTCAGCAGTTTTCCATCAATCACTTTTGAAATGGGGAGTACAAGTACGAGACAGGAAAAGACATTGGCGTCACTTACTCGTATCAATTCTCGGTCGTTGGGCGGTTCGCCAAGAAAGTCACCTTTGTTTGAAACTGAGGCCTCCAGCCGCTTGTCGTTGACTTGAGCTTTGGCGGTTGCCATTTTCTTGGGCACTCCCCACTGCTCCCTTGGGCCCTGATTCTGTCGATTTTGAGGATGGCCATGATTGCCGCGGTTGCCTGCTCTGGGAACCCACGAGGTCTCTCGACCCTTGCCTTTGTCCATGCTGCGTGTTTGCTGGTGAGCTACAATACAAGTATAAACTTGAATTTAATTGCAAGTAGCTGCAAAGACCGTTTGTAGAGAGGCAGAAAATGTTAAGGGGCAGGGAAAGTGGGAGAATATTGATAGTGTCGAGAGGAAATCCAAGCACTGGTGAATCAGGTGCAGGCGTGTTAAATACTTCTCTTGCTGCTAGGGGGAGCCTGAGGCACCGCTACTGGTGAGAGGAAGTGAGAGGAAGGAGAGAGATAAGTACAAGATCAAAGTACCTAAGGCACCTTAGTATATGCTGTGAATGAGTGGGATTTACATGCACGTTGCCTTTGAGATCCATCTAGCAAACGGGCGTTTGCTGCTTGTACACATATACACACGAGAAATACTTTTCATGACAGAATCAAGATGCTTTCTTCTCCAAGTTATGCTACTAATACTATTTAATTCTACTATATATTCCTTTTTTAGTTATTAGTGCTCAAGTTTGACTGCATCTTCTGCCACTATTGTCAAGTGTTGATCTCCGTCTGACAAGGCACTTTGCACAATGCTTCTCAAATTTTACACTATTATCTCATAAATTATGGCAGGTTAAAACACTAACCCAAATCAGCAGATTAGTCATTTACAAATTATTAATATTATTTTACTTCTCTGTCAAGGTGTTTGCTTATGACACCTGCTGGTCGTCTGTAAGAGAGACAAGTCTCCAGGTAGATTGAGATATGCATCAATTGATTATGCATCTATCGAGTTTCTTCCAACGCGTCTCCCCCAAAGCTAAACGCGTTAATTGATCGAGCTACCCTGCGACACCAAAAGCTGCGGCAGCAGTAGTAATAAGTTCTGCGCTCCATTGCCTGTACTCGAATGCTGTCACTGCAGTCATCAATTGCAACAGCTTGAGATATCACACACAACAGCAATATCAGGTTCCTCAAGCACTGCAGTGTTTTGCTCTCTACTCCGTATATATCGACACCCTCATCAATGCCAGCACAAACCATCTCTCCAAACAACACTCACTCTACCCGCGGTCGCAAACGGGCTCGAGAAGGTTCAGAAGATACTATCGAAAGCGAGGAATTAGAGTGGGAATGGATTTACAGCACCGATCAGTCAGAACACGGCGAAGATGAAGGCGATCGCAAGAGGAGAAAAGTCGCAACCGGTTCCAAGATTATCGGGGCTCGCTATGGCGACTTTGAATGCCATGTTGGGGACACGGTGATGCTCAAAGCCGATGGATCTAATGGAACATGGGTGGCCATCATCTGCGAATTCCGGGAAGATGTTGACAATGAAGGGATGGCTGCCAATTTTATGTGGTTTTTGACGGAGAAGGAGGTTCCTAACAAGGAGAGAAAGCGAAAGGACTTTTACTGGGTAAGTGCAAACACAATCACCTTGTGTCGCTGTGACATCCTTCTTCTTCTTCTAACAAATGATACAGAATGAGCTGTACATATCGCCATCTTGGGATGTGAATCCCCTGGCCTCGATCGACGGAAAGGCCAACATCATGTCGCTAGATGCCTTCCTCAGCTCGTATCCATCTGGAAAGATCCCACGGAACTCCCCCGACTTTGGAAAGACCTTTGTCTGCCGGCGCGGCTGTAATACCCGATCAACAACCTACACGGATGAATTTGTATGGGAGGAGGTGTATCAGAACGGAGAAGATGTGCCGGCACTGATTGAAATGGTGGAGAAAGGCACCAAGCCAACTCGTCGTAAAGCTCGAGCACAGTCACCACCAGATGGCGACACATATCTGCCGCCTCAAACGCCAACCAAAACGGGGAGAAACTCGGCAACAACCCCCAAATCGAAGCGAGGACCAAGGAGTGCTTCAAAGAAACTCGAATTCACACCATTGGCCACACGGAAGCTGTCGCCGAGCCAAGTTCAAGCCTCTCCGTTCCAGATCGCACGTTCACGCCTCCACGTTGCAGCAGTTCCCTCCAGTCTGCCTTGCCGTGAAGGAGAGTTCTCTCTCGTATACTCACATCTGGAAGCCGCCATTACGGAGGGTACTGGTAACTGTATCTACATATCGGGAACGCCAGGCACTGGAAAGACTGCCACTGTGCGAGAGGTCATCTCTCGCCTCGAGGAAGCCGTCGGATCAGACGAGCTGGACGACTTTATATTCGTCGAGATCAACGGCATGAAGATTACGGATCCTCACCAAGCGTACTCGCTGCTCTGGGAGGCTCTCAAGGGTGATCGTGCTAGTCCAGCCCAAGCCCTCGATCTTTTAGAGCGCGAGTTCAACAATCCTAGTCCCAGACGCATTCCATGTGTGGTGCTGATGGATGAACTTGACCAGCTGGTCACAAAGAACCAGGCAGTCATGTATAACTTTTTTAATTGGCCAACTCTCCGACACAGCCGTCTTATCGTACTCGCCGTAGCCAACACTATGGACCTCCCAGAGAGAACGTTGAGTAACAAGATCAGCAGTCGACTTGGTATGTCTATGAATCCAATCCAGATAAGAGAGAGAAATAAGCTAACCGTCTCAACACAGGTCTTACTCGAATCACATTTCCAGGTTACAATCACGAACAGCTTATGAAGATTATCCAGTCTCGTCTCGAAGGCGTACCAGGGAATATCGTCGATGCAGACGCCGTCCAGTTTGCCAGTCGCAAAGTAGCTGCCGTCAGTGGAGATGCCAGACGAGCTCTGGATATTTGCCGTCGAGCGGTCGAGCTCGCTGAGGGCGATGCCCCGGGAGACCCAATGACACCAAGCAAGAGAGCTCAGGATAATGGGGTTCCAGACCAGTCTCGGCGCGGAAGAGTCACAATTTCCACCATAAAGAGAGCCATCAACGAGGCCACGACGAACCCTATCCAGCAGCATCTGCGCGGCCTGCCCCTGACATCCAAGATGCTCATGGCAGCACTGATTTTGAGAATTCGGCGGTCCGGCTTGGCCGAGACGACGCTTGGCGAGACTCTAGATGAGCTCCAGCGAGCTGCGACTTTTTCGGCCAGACCTCCCCCCGGCATGGCCCAGATTCTTCCTGGTCTTGCCAAGGGGACGCAAGTCGTGGGCAGACGCTCGGTTGGACGGCCAATGTACATTCACACAGCCGCCTTGGAGCTCGTGGCGGCTGGCTTGGTCAATCTGGAGGCTCATCGTGCGGATCGATCGAGTAGGCTGCGGTTAGCCATCGCGGATGATGAAGTGAAGATGGCGCTGCGTGATGACGCCGATCTCAAGGCCATGGGTCTGACTATTTGAATGGAGCAATTAGACTCCATTTATCTACGTTCCACATATTTCTTATAATTCTCTGGGGGGCACAAATGGGAAAGAGAAGAATATTTTCCTCCTTAGCATACTTTTTTTTATACTGCAGCCTTTGGTATGTTTGGATACCAATAGTAGAATAGCAACGATGCCATGATCTATAGAATGAGGAGAAGCATTGGGATCAGTTTTCTAGGTAGTCTTTATATCAGTTTAGCATACACCCTGTTCATGGTTAAAAAATGAAAGAACGGAGTTTTGATGATTGAATCCCCAATTTCTCGAAATCATATAAAGTCATAGCGTATTAAAAATGCTTCTTTTATCGACATGAACCAATATCCAAAAGATTTCTGCCATCATTCTTGGCTATGTCCCTTCGATAATCCGGAGATGCATAAAAAAAAAAGAAATATCCGTAAACATACACGTATCCGCCTGTGATATCCCGAGGCGCGGCGCAGGTTCTACTCTTTACTCCGTCACCGCTCGATATATAAAAAGATTTCCGACGATTAACAACAACATATAGAAAGCACTCCCATAAAACTCCTGGCTAAAATTTCCTGTGTGCCAATGACGGCGTCCATTGTATCGGATGCGTCTCCTCGGACGCTTTTTCATCTTGTTTCCATATTTTGACTTTGAATGAGTTAGCAAAAGGAAAAGTCGATATGGTCGGATGAAGGGGCACATACTGGTCTTGTCAGCCTCGCCTGTGATGAGACGCAGACCGGAGCGGTCAAAGGTCGAGCTCATGATTCCTGATTCGGCGTCCAGAGAGCCAGGCTGTGCGGTTGTATCCATAGATTGGAAGCGATAACCAGATTTCCAGTCCCAGAAGCTCATTGAGCCGTTGTCACCTGAATTGCACAGTTAGAACATAAATCACGATTTAAAAAAAGGATGAAGGAATGAACTTACCGCCTGAGAAAAAGACATTATTACTATTCACACTCATGGTATTGATAATGGCATTATGGCCCTCAAAGTTTTGCATAAAAGCGCCCTCAGGGCACTTCCACTGCTTGATACCGCCAGTGCTGCCTGATGCAAAGGTGAATTCGGTGGGATGGACAGCCAAGGCTCGGACGCCCTTTTTGTGGTGGGTGAGGACGCCCATGGCCTTTCCGGCCGCCAGATCCCAGAGCCTGACGGTTGAATCCAACGATCCCGTGATAACCTGGGGATCGGCCTCCTGGCACTTGACGTCTGATACAGTGCCGGTGTGGCCCGATAGGACGTGGATGTTGCTCCGCGTACGCATGTCCCAAACTCGAGCAACGCCGTCGCGACCGCCTGTGACGAGAACATCCAGCGTGGGATGCAGAGACAGTGTGTAGACGCCGCTGAGGTGGCCGTGATAGTGGCGAATCACCTTGTTCGTCTCCAAATCCCAGCACTTGACCATCTTGTCCTCGCCACAAGAAAACAGATATGGGTGTCGTGGAGATACGGCCAGGCCGCGCACAGTGCTGATGTGACCCGTCAGCGTCAACCTCAGCGATCCCGTCGCGAGATCCCAGATCTTGATGGTCCTGTCGCCGGCGCCGCTGGCAAACCACTTGTTCCCCGGCTCGACTGCCAGGCTGCGCACCCAGCCCAGATGGCCCGAGATGACCCTCATCAGCTTCCACGGCGGGTGCCACTCGGGCTTGACCTGCTGGAGAGCCGGCGATCCTCTGACTGTCAAGCTCATGCTCTGGGGTGCCGTCGCCGTCGCTTTCGTCGTCGTGGATTCGCCTCCGTTCGCTGTAGATGCCGTCGATGGAGATGCCGTGCCACCAGGTCCCGCCTCGAGGAGCTTGGGCGCCTTCCGCGCTGGTGCTCCTGCTGCCGTCTTTGCCGTTTTCCGCAGCGGCTGCTTCGATGGCTGCTTTGCGGCGAGTGCTTCGGGCAGCGTCTGGACAGCGGCGTATTCGGCCTCGAACCGCCGCTTCATGACGGGATCCTCAAAGACGCCCTCGAGCTTCTGGCGCTTGCCGTTGGCCAATTCGAGCCGCGAGTAGAGATGCCTCGTCGCGGCCGCATTCTGAGACGCGAGCGCGCCGAGGTGGAGCGCGTCTTGCGGCGTCTGTGGTGCCTCCATGGCGCATGAAAGAAGAAGACAGAAAAAAGCTGGAGTTGGCGATCCGCGTCTGCAATGGAAAAGCAGCAAGAGGCGAGTTGAATTGAAATCCGGTCAGCCTTCTGTGGCGCGTGGGTGGGTCTGAGTGGCTCCAGCTCGAGACTGTGGCGCAAGCGTCAAGGCAAGGCAAGCAACGAGCAGCTAATACGCAATACGGCGGCGGCCTACCCTGGAGATTGTGATTGTAAATCCGGCATCATTGGAGCTGTCAACTCGTCTGCGTCAACAGTTTTGGACTCATCTTTCCACCGTATTCATTCGTTTATCTTATATATCTTCTCTCCGGCCTACATTCGTCATAACGCCATCGCCGCCATGACTGATACAGACAGTGATCGATTTCCTCTACACACAGCTGCCAGAGAAGGCAGAGGTACTGCACAACCCAACCACTTCTCAACACAAAGGCAGTGACAAAGCTAACAGTCTCTTAGTGGCCGCAGCTGAAGGGTTCCTCAAGGTATGTCAGACAGACGAGATATACATCTTACCCGTGTCTGTACATCTGTACGCATAAAACTCGTTGGCCCAAAATACCAACACTTCTCATAGACAGATCCCAAGCTCTCAAAGCGCAAAGACGATGACGGCAGATACGCAATCCACTGGGCAGCCTCGTCCAACAACCACGAAATTGTTCTCCTCTTGGCAAACCAGGCAAGCTTCGATCCGGACATCCAGGTAAAGCATGCCCTATCTTTGAGCTCTACCACCTTCGTCATCTCTCGACGGGAAGATACAACTTTCGTTCAATTCAACTTGGACCTTTTCGCTCACAACGCATGTATAGGACGACAGCGGCTGGACACCTCTCATGATCTCCGCCAGCGTCCCAAATAGCGAGCCAATACTAAATCTGCTTCTATCCAGAGGCGCTGACGTCAATATCAAGAGTAAGCTTCACTCAAAAACACGTACACTGTAGATCAGTACTCATCTAACGAAACTCATCTCTGTAGACAACAACGGCCAAGTAAGTCAATTTATCATCTCCCTTTCAAACCAATTCCCTTTCACGGGAGATGGTGAAATCTCCAATAGCATATACAAGGCTTTATGGCCATATGTTTTCTGTGTAGACATATAGCTGACGCAAACCCCAGACAGCCCTCCACTTCGTCGCCTCCAAAAAGAACCTCGACGTCGCCCGTCTCCTCATCGACTCCAAGCCTCCAGCCTCAACCCGCGTCCGAGACCGCCGCGGCCAGTACCCTATCCATCGTGCCGCGGCCGTCGGCTCAGTGCCCATGGTTATGCTCCTTCTCAAGAACAGGAGCCCCCTGAACGCCGCTGACAACGAGGGCTACACGCCTCTCCATCATGCAGTTGCAGAGGGCCACGGTACGTTTAGTTTCTTTATGCCTTGAGGCCCTAGTTTTCCGTTGATTAATATATCAAAGTCTCAATGTGTTGCTGTTAAAGGTAATCTAAACTAATATATATATTGTGTTTATAGGAGACACTGCTGTCGCTCTGCTGCGAGAGGAAGCTGATTTTACACTCAAGACTAACGACGGAGAGTTGGCTATTGACTTGGCTCCGGACAAAGAGGTAAGCATGGCGTGATGACACTGTCTGATCTGAAAACCTTCAGATACGTGTATTAACACTCAGCAAACAGGTTCGCAACTTCATCATCCAGGGCGCTGAGAGGGAAGGCATCCAGCTGGTCGATTAGCTACCCAGCTATGTGTATCGTAGTCAATCAGCCATAATCTAACATAATACATGAAAAAAATTTGTACAAATCTAATCTACAGCTGGTGCCATACCCGTCATTTCATGTCGTGGTGCTTCATTACCTTTCTTGGTTTCCCCCTTCTCCCTTTTAACCCATCACATCTATTCCCTTATTTTACTGTCCGTTCGACCAGCTCCCGGTACATCGTCTTGACATCATCCACATCCGCCCTCAGCTCATCAACTAGCTCGCTCTTCTCTCCCAGCAGCTCCAGTGTGGTTTGATATCTCGTATCCAGGTCGGCAACTTCCTTCTCCAGCTCTGGTACCCTTGCAGATGCTGCTTTTGCCTCCTCCAGTTCCTTCATCAAGGCCACCATGTCCCCTCTTGCCTCATCCCTCTGGCTACACACCCTAGCCATCTCTTCCTTGGCTGCAACTCTTTCAGCCTCTAGACGTCGTATCGCGGCACTCATCCGTTCTACCAATTGAACAGACGGCCCCGCCGCTACTGTTGATACCGAAATCATATCTTGCGCGAGATTACGGGGCGAAGAGGGGACCGTATCGCTGATGCCATTCTCCCTCTCAATTACAGATGGGGGTAGCGCGGGAGGTGATCCCAAAGGCGGATCCAGAGGAGAGAATGGAGATGGAGGAATAGACCCAGTAAGCGACATTGTCCCTGTTCCCGTGCGGGTCGGCGGCATATACGTGGGAGGCCGCCGAAGAATGCCAAGACCTTCTCCTACAGCATCTGCTATGCTCACAGGAGTGGGCGATCGTCGTATGCGGTTGGGAACAGATAATCCGACAGCCTCGGAGCTGAATGTCCGTGGGACAGAGAGTAACGGCGACTCTGGACGACTCTGGTTTCGCGATGTAGCTACTGCAACTTCATCGGCCCACTGTCGTCCCGCCTCGGCTGTAAAGGATCTGCTTGCTGATTGCTTCTCCTTTTCTAGATCGGAGCGTGTTCGCTCGAGAGCTGTCTCTGTGGCCTTGGTGGACTTTTGGAGTGCAGCCAACTCTTCACGACAACTATCCAGCTGCAGCTGGGCGTCTTGCAACTCATCCTCTAGAGTCCTACTACGTTTGGACTATGAGAGCAAAATCAAGTTAGCATTAGATTAATGGCAATCATCAAGTAGGAATTCAAATTAAGACTGACCGCATCTCGCGCTTTCTTGCGCATTTCTGACTCGCGGCGCTCAGCCTCGTCTCTCTCCCTCTCCAGGGTTGTTGTTTTTGCCATCAGGGAGGCCTCAATGCCCTGCCAGTTTTGCCTGGCAGATGCATACTGGGACTGTAGCGTCTCTATTTGCCGGAACAGCTTCACTTGGGCTTCGCCACCTGTGCCCGATGCCGCCTCCTCCGCCGTCACCCGCACACCCTCTAGCTTGCGCTCCATATTCTGAAGCTCAAGGCGTAGCTCAGCCTCGACTGTGGTACCGCGCTGGACGGCGCGCTCAAGCTTCTCGCCCCATTCTATGCCGTCTAGGCGAGCTTTCTCGCTCAGGGCCTCCAATTCCGCTCGAACGGCAGCATTAGCATCTTCGAGCTCCTTTTGCTTCACTCGCTCTGCGGCAATCGCCTTGCTCAAAGCATCGGCCTTGGCAACCTCGCCTTGCTCCTCTTTGGCCTTGACTTCTTGTTCGAGCCGGCGGATGGCTGCATCTTTATTGGCGTTCTCCCTTTTCAAACTGTCAATTTCCTTCCGTAGGGTCGCAGTAGCTCTTATCGCCTCTTGTCGACGCTTTTCCTTCTCTTCATCTCCATCTAAGCGGTTTCGGAACGCCTCAGCATCTGATGCTGCTTTATCCTTAGCTTTCCGTGCCTCATCCAATTGCTTGTCACGCTCGCTTATTTGAAGCCGCAATGTCTTGATCATCGTTCGGTATTTGTGATCTGCTCCAGCCAGCTTCTGACCTTCCTCCATTAATAGTGCGATCCTTTCATCCTTTTCCGCTAGCTTCTTTTCCAAGCTGCCGGACGGGGCCGAGGATGCAGTCTTATTTGCTGATTCGGCGGCACTCTTGGAGAGATACTGGAGTTTGGACTGTAAGGAGTCGATCCGTTCGACATACTCTTGAATCTCCTCTCGATGGCGTAATTTGGCCGCCTCAAGCTCGCGAGATAATTCGGACACATCAGCTCCATTCTCCACCGCTGCCACTGTTTCATGACCATTATTCGTTGGGATTTCGTCTTCGACCGGGGGTGGAGATTCGGCCTCCTCCTCTTTTGAAGGTGCTTCCTCAGACGCTGGTTGAACTTCAGCCTCTGGAATAGCATCTTTGGCTTCGTCGGGAGCGGATTCTGATACAATCTCGGCAGTAGTGTCATCATCCGTTATCGTTATAGGTATTGTCGTGGTTGTAGTCGTCGCTGTCGTAGAGGTAACAGTAGTGGCAGAATCGGTAGCAGCTTGGGGGGACTCGGCTTGGGGTTCGGGCTTCTGCTCCGGCGGAGGCTCAGACCTGTCCCCTTTATCCATCGAGGGTCTCTCCATGGAGCTTCGGCTGGCCACATCAATCGAGCTGCGCGGCGAGGCATTCGCCCGATTGTCTCCCGTAGCAGGCGCATTCTTGCCAGCCATGGCCTTGGCCAGCCTCGCCTGCAGCCGATCATTTGCGCGGTTGGTCGACGATGCTCGCGAGTTTGCTGTGCAGATTGCCTCTGGTTAGCCAGCTACGTGTAGAGACTGCCGGAGAAGCATTCCCGCTTCCCCTCCCCCTCCTCGCGTTGTTCTCCTTTGCTACCCCTCGACACGTCACCCCCGTCCTCATCTTCAGCACTTACCAGAACTCGTCACCTTTGGGCTGGCAGTCGTTGCAGCAGCAGCAGCTGCAGGTTGCGCCGCATTACGATCGTCGTCCGACTCGGCTAGAATCGTATCTAGGCGCGACTCAACACCGGCCACGGCCTGCTGCAGAAGCGACCCCCATCGCGCAGCCATGGTCTAGAGAAGCCCAGACGAGGGGGCTCTAGTTTTCGATTCTGCAGTGCGTATCAAGTCAAGCAAAAGTCTGCGTCCCCTCAGCCCCTGGAGGCACAAGGGCGTTAAGGGAAACAAGCGGCGAGTTGGTTCGTTGTTCTCAACACAATGAATTGGCACAAGTTGCAACGAAAGCCCGCGCCACGCCCCGAAAAAGGCCAGGTTTGGGGAGCGGCTCCGGACCAAGTGCCCAGCTAAATTCGATCCGGCGATTTCGATTTCGGGGCCCCTCTTGCTCTTTTTTTTTATGGACATGCCACCTTGGAGCAATACGGTATGACAGGTCTGGGGGAAGCTGACACGCGTACATACTCGTACATACTCGTACATGTACGGTTGCGTATACTTTCCTAGTACTCCGTACTTGTACTTGCCTTTGGCTACCTGAGGTACCTACCTCTACGAGTACCTAGGTATTACTGAGCCGGGCTCCTAATATTAGTACTTACCGGCACCAATCAGCTATAAATTCCAGAACAATAAACATTCTCTACCTAGGTTATCATCATTTCCTGGTTATATGCAGCGGAATTTGCCTCTCTGCCATCAACATGGCGAGACACATGTACTCTGGCCGTCAAATTACGTTATATACAATACCTACAATACGAGGAGGTGGGGAGCCAACCACCCACCACCACTCATCCAATCCAGTATGCAGAATCATATATTGCAGTTCTCTCACGAATACTTTCTATTCGTTGTCACCTCTACTCATCAATTGCCTACAACAGTCACCCAAATTCGCTGTATATATTGCCACAATTGACACGTATCGGATGTAAAAGCGGGCGGCCCTTTTTGCCTGGTCAAAGCAGCCAAAGGCGCTACTGCACAAGGTACATATTGCTTGGATACAATCGATATAATTTGCGAGTCCAAGACTCGAAAGCTACCCAGATACCCACTGCGCGTATGCATGATAAAGAAAAATACAATTATGCGAGGCAATTTGCAGCATTCATCTCATGACAAGTGATACACCTGGTCTCAAGCGACCATAAAAAAAAACATAAATCCAAAAACCCTCAACCCTCGTACATCATGCCAACACCGCTGGCGAATAATAAAAAGGAAGAGAAAAAGAAAACAACCGCCTCCTCCATCTTACACTATCCTGGGGTAAAGATGACTGCAGATATCCTGGATGGACTGTTTTCCATGCAGGGCGTCTCCGAGATTCCGGAAAGAATCGGCAGAACTGTAACATGATACCGCTTGCCGCCAAATATTCATCATGGCAAACAAAGCAAGAAAACACACATGCGAGAGAAGCTGGGAGAAGAAAAAAAAATTAAAAAGACAAAAATAGATCAAACACGCTCGCTCATAGTTCATGCGACTACCCACTTCATCCAAATCTTCGCCACCAGCTGCTTCGAGGCTGATGCTCTGCCGCTGCAGATTCTCGTCGGCTGCGGTGGCGGTCATCGCTTCCATCTGATGCGCCATTGCGCTTCTCTCGCTCTCGTCGTTCCCGCCTCTCTCGGCGGCGTCTCTCGTCTGCATCCTCCACAGGCGCTTCTTCGTACTTGGCTTTCCGCCGTGCGCGTCGGGCCTCACGCCGGGCTAGCTCGTCGTCTTCTGTATACGGCACCGCATCTGTCGTATGTCCGGCATCATCCAGATGGGGAGGGGGAGGAGGGTCGGAATGCTCCTTGACCCATGACGATGTCCCCGAATGTGGCCACGCTGTCGCTGGCGCTCTCTTGCCGTCTCGTCGACGATCCTTGACCGGGTAGACATGGTCATCCATCACCGGTTCCGTATATCGTCGACTGCTCTTCCTCGGCCTATCATATGCTGCAGCTGCAGCCGCCGCCGCCGCCGCCTCCTCCTCAGCAGCTTTTGCTGCACGCCTTGCCTCACGTCTACGCTGTCGCTCGGCAGCTTCATCTTCAGATGGATCTGGGTGGGATCTACGCCGCTGGCGCTTGGATGCTCTCAGCATCTCTTCCTCCCTCTCCCTCTCCCTCTCTTTCTCCCTTTCCCTTTCTTTGCGAAGGCGATGCCTCTCAGCCTTTCGAGCCTCTCGCTCTTCGGCTGCACGCCGCTCCTCTTCTTCACGATGGCGAGCGGCACGCCGTTCGCGGCGAGCTTCCTTTTCTTCAAGTTTGCGAGTCTCGCTATCGTCTCGTCGCTTGCGTCGCCGTTCACGATCATCGGCAGCTCGCTCTGCTTCTCGCTCCGGTTTCCTGCTCTTACGGCTAGATACCCGTGGACCTTCTCGGTCAGTATCCACTACGGGGATATCAAACTCCACGCCTGTCTCAACTTTAGATGCTCTGGGTGTCATGAAGCCGCTGAAGAGCCCAGACAATCCCGTCTTCTTAGAGAGTGACGCTCCTCGCCGCCTGCCTGGCTGCTCAGGACTGGGGGGATCCGTTGTGATGATATCCTCATCGCGAGATCTCCTATTTCGATGTCTTTCGTGGATATGAGCCGCGTGGGCATCGACATCCGCATCGAGAGCGCCCGTCATAATAATATCATCGTCCTCCTGCGGGCCCGTCTTGCGAGATCTCTTTTTTGAGCTTGACTTGTCGAAGCCGAGAATTTTAGCTGCCTTTGACGTTACATCGGGAACCTCCTCTGGAGGCGGAGAAGCAAGGCCGTGGGTGCCAATGGAATGCCTCCTGGAAGGTTTGCTGCTACCATTCATACCAGATGATCGCTTCTCGTTCTCTCGTGTAGACATTGATCTGGTAGGGGGCTTGTTGCTGAGTATTCCCGTGAGTTGCCGCCCTGAGGACTTAGAAGGCCTTTCTAGTCGCTCTGCTCTGTCTGAAGTGGAGTCTCTAGAGGATGTCTTTTCTATTGCCCGTCTAGAAGACTTTTCCGACTTGTGCTTGGATGACCTCTTCTCTTCCCTTTCTCTGCGTGGAGGGGATGCCACTGCGGGCCACTTTTCCTTTTCTCGGCTAGATCTCGACCTTTCTTTCCTTGATGGTTTTGGCTCCGGAGGCGGTGTTAGAGGCAGATCAGGAACAGCAGGCGGAGGAGGAGGCATAGGAGCCGGTGGTGGAGGAGGAGGAGCCGGTGGTACCACTATATCCTCTCTAGGCCGATGTTTTCTACTCTTCCTCTCTTTCCTTGGTGCTTCATCGATGATGGCAACGATCTCGTTTTCATCGTCATCATCAGGGAATGTGCCTGGAACATCCGACGCTCTCCGATGCCTCCTGGGCAAATCTCTGTCTGGTACGGTTACCGGCTCCTCCATCTTCTTCCTTCTCCTAGTATGGTCTTCTTTTGGCGGCTCCTTCTTGGCGACTGGTGGTTCTTCAGCATCATCTCCATACTGCAAATCTTCAACCGCCTGTTCAAAGTTAGCTGCTGATTCTTTTTTGGCCACCTGTTCATCATCTGCCGCTTTTCTTCCATGTCTACCCGCGGTTTTCTCTCTTTTGTCCGAGTCTGATGCTGGTGGTGGGGATGGTGGGAGGGTGGGATCGGCTACTTCTTCCGGTGCTTCTTGGAAAGCCTTGAGGCCGATAGCGATTCTACTGCCCAGTGATTTTGGCTGTTCCAAGGATTTTTGAGATACATCATCAATCGATCTTGTCTCTGGTTCCTCTGCAGTTGTAGAAGTGGTTAGCAACATTCCTTCAACATGTCAGTGTATGAAAAGAGCCAACAAACCTTTTGGCTTCGGCTTTTTAGCGCTACTGCCGAGACCCCAAAAGCTGAATGCGCTTGCTGCGTTTGTCTCCTTGGGTGCGAGCAGCTCCTCTATCTCAGCAGGGCTCATGTTAAAGTCAGGGTCTGGCTTGATCCCTGCTTCTCCTTTCTGCTCTGGCCCAGAGTGCTGATCTGTAATCGGCTCTGCCTCCGCTTCAGATGGGAGATCCCGAGACTTCTTATCTTTCTTGTCTTTCTTGTCTCGTTTATCCTTCTTGTCGTCTTTCTCTTTCTTATCCTTCTTGGAGCTCTTCTTTAATTTCCTCGCGGCCTCTTCAGCTTCGCGTGCAGCATTCTCCTCAGCCTCTCGGGCTGCCCTCAACTCTTCTTCTCGGGCGGCTTGCTCCTCGGCCTCACGGGCTGCTCGTTCTTCTTCAGCCGCTCGGATGGCTTCTTCGTCGTCATCGGCATCAATGTCATCATTGTCATCATCAGCATCGACATCGTCGTCGTCGTCATCGTCGTTAGCATCATCACCTGCTTCATCTTCGTCGTCGCTATCTTGAATGGCGTTGGCAGCCAGCTCAGCTTCGCGTGCGGCTTGCTCCTCCTTCCTCTTCGCCGCCTTATCTCGAAGATGAGCCAATCGCTCGCCGTCTTTCTTCGACAACTTGCCTTTCCTGTCCCTCTTGTGCAGCAGGTCGGCTACTTCTTTTTCTTCTTCGGCAATGGCGGCCTCCTCCTTGGCAGCCTGCTCTGCTTCGATTGCGGCTTGCTCTTCAGCTTTACGAGCCGCTCTCTGTTCAGCTTTAGCCTGAAGCTCGTTCAGTCTCTGCTCTAGTTTATTTGACAAGCCCATAAACGAGTTATGCTTTTTGTCAAGGAGCCGCGCTATTTCTTCCTCCTCTTCAGCGATTGCAGCAGCCTCTATGGCCTCCTGAGCGGCTCGCTCTTCTGCTTCAGCTGCTTGCTCAGCTTCCAAAATAGCCTGTTCTGCAGCCCGTTCTGCAGCTTCTCGATCGGCCTTCTCTTTCATCCGCCTTGCCGCATTTGCCTGCAGTTCTTTTAACCTTTGCTCTGATTTACTTGACAGGCTTTTAAACGAACTGGCTTTCTTCTTTAGTAAAAGGGCCATTTCTTCCTCTTCTGCAATAATAGCGGCAGCCTCCTTTGCCTCTTGGGCGGCCCGTTCCTCGGCTTCTCTAGCTGCTTGCTCAGCTTCTCGAGCAGCTTGTTCTTCGGCTTCTCTAGCAGCTTTCTCCTCAGCCCGTTTTGCTGCGTTGGCTTCCAGTTCACTTAACCTTTGCTCTGCTTTACTGGGCAGGCCTTTATATGAACTGGCTTTCCTTTTCTGCAGAAGGGCAAGTTCTTCCTCTTCTGCAGCAATTGCAGCAGCCTCTGCAGCCTCCCGAGCGGCTTGTTCCTCAGCTTCCTTAGCTGCCTGCTCCTCAGCTTCCTTAGCTGCTTTTTCATCGGCGCGCCGTTGGGCGTTGGCTTTTAGCTCGGCTAACCGCTCTTCAGCCTTGCTTGGCAGGCTCTTATATGAACTTGCTTTCTTTTTCAGAAGATAGTCTAGTTCTTCCTCTTCAGCTGCAATAGCGGCAGCCTCCGCAGCTTCCTTAGCAGCCTGCTCTTCAGCTTCTCGTGCAGCCTGTTCTGCGGCTTCCTTAGCTGCCTTTTCATGGGCACGCCTTTGGGCATTAGCCTTCAGCTCGGCCAACCGCTCTTCAGTCTTGCTTGGCAGGCTCTTATACGAACTTGCTTTCTTTTTCAGAAGATAGTCTAGTTCTTCCTCTTCTGCAACAATGGCGGCAGCCTCCGCAGCTTCCTTAGCAGCCTGCTCTTCGGCTTCTCGTGCAGCCTGTTCTGCGGCTTCCTTAGCTGCTTTTTCATGGGCACGCCTTTTGGCATTGGCCTTCAGCTCGGCCAACCGCTCTTCGGTCTTGCTTGGCAGGCTCTTATATGAGCTGGCTTTCTTTTTCAGGAGATACTCTAGTTCTTCCTCTTCTGCAGCAATGGCGGCAGCCTCCGCAGCTTCCTTAGCAGCCTGCTCTTCGGCCTCCTGTGCCGCCCGTTCTGCGGCCTCCCGTGCTGCCTTTTCATCGGCGCGTCGTTGAACGTTAGCCTGGAGCTCATTTAACCTTTGCTCCGATTTAGTCGACAGACTTTTGGACGAATTGGCTTTCTTCTTGAGTAAAAGGGCAAGCTCTTCCTCTTCTGCAGCGATAGCGGCAGCCTGCTTTTCGGCTTCTCGCGCTGCCTGTTCTGCTGCCTCTCGCGCTGCCTTTTCATCGGCGCGTCGCTGAACGTTAGCCTGGAGCTCATTTAACCTTTGCTCCGATTTAATCGACAGATTTTTAGACGAATTGGCTTTCTTCTTGAGTAAAAGGGCAAGCTCTTCCTCTTCTGCAGCGATGGCGGCAGCTTCGGCAGCTTCCCTAGCGGCTTGCTCTTCGGCTTCTCGTACTGCCTGTTCTGCTGCTTCTTTGGCTGCTTTCTCATCGGCACGCTTTTGGGCGTTAGCTTGGAGTTCGAGTAATCTCTCTTCTGCTCCATTTAGTAGCTGCCCTTTATGTGATCGAGCCTTCTTTTTAATGAGATAGTCCAGTTCTTCTTCCTCCTTGGCGATTGCAGCAGCCTCTGCAGCTTCCCGGGCGGCCCGCTCCTCAGCTTCTCTAGCTGCTTGCTCAGCTTCCCGAGCGGCTTGTTCTTCAGCTTCCCGAGCAGCCTTCTCCTCCGCTCGTTGTGCAGCCTTGGCCTGAAGCACTTTGAGCCTTTCTTCCCCTTTAGCGGAGAGCTTTGTCGTGGCCTTCTTCTCAAGTAACATTGCTATTGCCTTTTCCTCTTCGGCAATCATGGCGGCTTTCTTTGCTTCTTGAGCAGCAAGTTCCTCGGCCTCTCTGGCGGCTTGTTCGGCCTCTCTGGCTGCCTGCTCGGCTTCACGAGCTGCCTGTTCTTCAGCTTCGCGAGCTGCCTTCTCTTGAGCTCGTCTCGTGGCGTTGGCTTGGAGGTCGATTAGTCTCTCTTCTTGCGAATTCGGCAGTTTTCCTTTATAAGCCTTGGCCTTCCTGTCGAGGAGGAAAGCTAATTCCTCTTCCTCTTTAGCAATCGCAGCAGCCTTCCTAGCCTCTCGAGCTTCTTGCTCTTTGGCTTCCTTGGCTGCCCGCTCGGCCTCCCTGGCTGCTTCCTCAGCTTCACGAGCGGCTTGTTCTTCAGCTTCGCGAGCAACACGCTCTGCTTCTTCCTTAGCTCGCTCTGCTGCAATAGCCGCTTGTCGAGCGACTTGTTCTTCAGCCCGCTTTTTGGCCTTTGCCTGGAGGAGCTGTAACCTTTGCTCTCCTGATCTGTTCAGGCCCAAAAAGGAATTGTCCCTTTTATCAATTAGTTGAGCGATTTCTGCCTCCTCTTTGGCAATTGCAGCAAATTCTGCAGCCTGTGCGGCCTCCTGGGCAGCCCGTTCTTCAGCTTCTTTTACTGCCTGTTCGGCGGCTTCTCGATCGGCTCGCTCTTGTGCTTCCCGGGCAGCCTGTTCAGCTTCCCGGGCGGCTTGCTCATCTGCCCGCTTCTTAGCGTTAGCCTGAAGTGTAGCGAGCCTCTCTTCGTCTTTCTTAAGGAGTCTGCCAGCTCGTTTATTCTTCTTTTCTATTAGAGCGGCGATTTCCTCCTCTTCTATGGCAATAGCAGCCGCTCGTTCCTTGGCTTCACGCTCTCGCTCTTCTGCTTCACGGGCGGTTTCCTCGGCAGCACGCTCATCCGCCCGCTTTGTAGCATTTTCTTGAAGTACAACGAGTCTCTCTTCGTCTTTCCTAAGAAACTTGAGGCCTTTTTTCGCTTTCTTTACAATCAAAGCGGCTAGCTCCTCTTCTTCTCTGGCGAGGGCAATGGCTTTTTCCTCAGCCTCACGAGCGCGTTCTTCTTCTTGGCGGGCGGCTTCCTGAGCGGCTGCTTCTGCATCACGAGCAGCTTGCTCTTCCGCTTCTCGAGCAGCACGTTCCTTCTCCTCGGCTGCTCGTGCTGCTTCTTGGGCTACTCGTTCCGCGTCGCGTGCTGCTCGTTCTTTCTCTCGTTTTGCGGCATTCGCTCGGAGTGTAACAAGTCTCTGTTCATCAACTCTGAGCAGCTTGCCCCTCTTGGCTTTCTTTTCCAGCAACGCTGTCATTTCTGCCTCCTCGTCTTTGATGACAGCTGCAGCTCGCTCTTCCGCTTCACGGATAGACCGCTCCTCAGCCTCGCGGGCGGCCTGCTGCTTGTGCTCGTCATCGTCATTTTCACCTTCTGCCACCTCGACAGTGGCAGCCTCGGTGTTTTCAGGTTCTTCGGCGGGGTTGGGCTGTGGCTCGTCTGCCTCTTGCTGTATTTCGGCTTCTTTTGGAGCATTATCTTGTGCCTCGCGAGCAGCACGTTCTTTAGCGCGTTTTGCGGCGTTTCCCTGCAGGCGGACGAGTTTTTCTTCATCTTTCTTAGGCAGCTTGCCCTTTTTGATCCTTTTCGTGATCAGTGCCCTCATTTCTGCTTCTTCTTCAGCAGCTATAGCCGCTTGTTCTGCCGCTTCACGGTCGGCTCGTTCCTTTTCTTCTCGTGCTGCTTGCTCTTCAGCCTCTCGGGCTGCTTGCTCCTGGGCGGCCCGTTCCTCGTCTTCCCGCGCCTTAGCCTCTCGCGCAGCTCGTTTTGCGGCTCGGCTTGCAGCGTTCTCTTCCAAAAAGGCAAGTCTTTCTTGATCTTTCCTGATTAACTTGCCCCTTCTGGCTTTTTTCGTATTCAGCGCAGCCATTTCCTCCTCCTCTTTGGCAGCAACAGCAGCTTCAGCTTCCTCCTCGAGTCTAGCCTTTTCTTCTGCCTCGCGAGCGGTGAGTTCTTGTGCCCTTTGTTCTTCTTCTTGACGGGCTCGTTCGTCGGCTTCCTTGGCTTCTCTGTCGGTTTTCTCGGCCTTCTTCTTTTCCTTCTCGAGTTTCTTAAGGTCTTTGTCGGTCAGCCTGGGTATCCTGGACAGCGCCCTATCTGCTTCCTTGTCTTTCGGCTTGAGCTTTGACGCGGCGGCATCGTGATCTCCTGCTTCATCTTCAGGTTCAGTAAGGTGCATTGAAGGGGGTGTGGGCGCACGGGGAGGTGGATCAGCTAAGGCCTCCTTCCGAGATTTCGACTTTGCCTTGTTGGACTTTGTCCAGACATAGCTATCGACATCCTCGACCTTGCTGCCCCTGACCTCCTCTACGTCATCAGGCAGGACAATCTCACCGGTGGTCTCATCCACAACTTCAACTGGATCGCCCCTGAAATTAGGCTTCTTCTTGTCTTGGGTCGAGGTGCGGTCGGTTGGCTCTTCAATGCCATCGGGTTTCCACGATGAATCCTCAACATCTCGTCGCTTTTTGTCGCTTTTGCCGATACCCCAAGAGCCAAAGAAACCTTCGCTGCCGAACGTGTCCGCCGTGTCCAGCCCTATGTTGTTAGAGTCATCTGCAGGCGGGTTGTCCAGGGCACCCAGTCGAACCAAATCGGTGGTTCCTTTCTTCTTGTCCTTCTTGGCATCTTCTTCGGTCTTGGATTTTTCGGATTTAGATTCGGCTTTGGAGGGGTCAGAAGTTGAGCTTTTCTTCTTCTTCTTGTCCTTGTCCTTGTCTTTATCTTTGTCTCTGTCCTTGTCCTTTTTAATTGTCGTCTCATCGATGAGGTCTCCAGAAGACTTGGGACTTTGCGTATCTGCCTTTGAAGACCCTTCCCTTGGCTGATCTGTGCCGGATCCAGTAACAGAATCATTTTTCTTATTTCCAAAGCCCCAGAAGCTCCACCCCTCTTCAGAAGACCTCCCTTTGGCTAAGTCGGCATTTGCTTCGTCTGGGTCAACCCTCCCCTCTCCGTCTTTGGCGTCAGCGCTTCTTAAAGGCTCGTCGCCATTCACACGCTTCTGTTTAGAATCAGGTATTGGCAGAGGAGTCTTTTCCGAAATTGGTTCATCAGAGGCCGCTAGCTTTGACTTCTTCCTGTCCTTCTCTTTCTCTCGCTCCTTTTCCCTCTCCTTTTTGACTGGCTTTTTAGTAGATAACCCCCAATCGTCGTCAGGTTGCGGAAGCTCCAACTTAGACTCAGGTTTAGGTTCGAGCTTAGATTTGAGTTCAGGCGCCGGCACAGATATAACGGGCTGCGCTAGTTTTTCGCTCTTCTTCTTCTTCTTGTCTTTTGAGGTGGGAACAGAGTCCGCCCACCCATTTTCTTGGAGAAGAGCTGCCTCCTGAGTTGCGAATTGTGGAGGTGGCGCTGGGGGAGGCGGCGGAGGCGGGGGGATTTGCTGCTCATACTGTTTGACATTCTCCTCGGCTTTCTTTTTATTCTTTCCGAGTCCCCAGAATGACCAGCCCTCGTCCTCCTGCTTGGGCGCTCCCTTGAGCGGCATGGGATCTGGCTTTACTTCGTCTTCAACTGATGGGTCGCTTGCTTTCTTGTCGCTTGTCTTTCCAACGTCGCCTTTGGTGAGATCGTCATTCACTGCTGGCGCCGTCGGCGCAGCAATTGAATCGGGTGCGGGATTGACCTTTTTGCTCTTTTTCTTGATTGGATATCCCCACGGGTCATCATCCCCATCTATAGCATCCTGAGGGGCCTCTTGTTGTTTTGGGGCCTTGCTCTGTGTCGCATCGGTATCGGCGACTGAAAATGCTAGAGAGCTGGATTGTTTTGAGTCGCTGGCGGTCCAAGGATTGCTATCGAGGCTATTGTTTTTGTCGCCAGCTTCGGTATGGGCATCGTTACCACTCGAGGATCCGCTGGCGCCACCACCAACAAACGATACCAATTTACCCCAGGCCCCAAGCCCACTCTTGACCTCGTGCGCGTGCGACCCCGAATCGGAATTTTTCCCGGCGTCGTCGTTGAGATTTACGTCGTCAAGAGAGTCGTCGTCGATCGCGTTGGTTGCGGGAGGAGGAGACTCGGCCTCAGGGCCCTTTTTGGTCTTGGTACCCTTTCTGCTGCCTTTGGGAGGCGCCGACAAATCATGTTCCGCGTTGTCATTGTTTGCACCCCGGTCGCTATCCTTGTCCCCATCACCGCCACCACCAGCATTACTCCCGTCACCTGCAGCTCCGCCCTGGCCTGCATTACCACCACCATTACCACCCTGCTCCCCACCGCCATTTCCTTTGGGGTTCTGGCTGCCTTCCTTGGATGGCCCCTCTGGAGGCCGGCTATTGTTGTTGTTGGCGCTGCCGTTTTGCCCTCCTTTATTCTTATTCTTCTTGCCTTTGCAGCGAACAAAGCCGTCTTCAGACGTAAAATCAATTGTTACATCGAAAATCGGATCGCCGAAGAAGCTAGATCGAGATCGCCTGCGATGCGCCGATTGGATCGGGTGGGGTGAAGGTTGATGATGCTCCGCGCGTGGTGCATCTCGGCGGGCAAGCGAGTCGGCGTGGCGAGAATTTGTGACATGATGGGCGGAAGAAGTAGCTGCAGGTCTTGCATGATATCGAGAGAGCCACCGCGGGAACAGATTGGGCACGATTAGTTGCCTGTCCGGCTGCGATGTGCGGATCGAGGACGAACGATGCTATAATTCCCAGTCAATGCGCTGAACCGAATAACGAAGATGCCTACATGACAATGAGCCTTCCCCGCAAGGAACATGATACGCACCTCTCTGCCAACGATCCAAGCTCGAGAGATGAGCTGCAGCCGGGCCTGCAGGTTGCGCTCGTCCCATCCATTATTCCTCGGTTGCCTGGGAGTTGTGGTCTCTGCGCATCTCGTCCAATGTTGATTGAACGCCACTACATCGGCGGCAGCCATTGTTGGAATGGGAGCTGATGCAATGGCGCGGCGATGTCGCAATCATGGAAGCTATGCGTTTCTCCAGAGAGCAAAAGAACCAAAGGCGAGAGAGTGTGTGTATAAAAAGAAAGCTTCGTTATGAAGCTAGAGGTCCCTTTCTAAGGGCATCAAGGGAGAAGGCCGATTCGAAGCCGTAACCCTCAGGTGAAGCCGAGGATGTTTGTCGAAAGCACAGCAAAAGAAACGACGGTATCGTGATCGGATGTGAAAGATATTGCGACCTACAAGCGCGCAGATGTAATGTTTCGGCAAAGTATCTACTGCGATGGTATAAGTTATGGCGGCCCGCGCGAGCTTCGTCTCTAGCAATCGCGGCAGCTGGTCGATTCCATGAGCAGCACAGACAAGAAGAAACAACAACGAAAACGAGAAGAAAAAGAACAAAACAGGCCTGTTACTAGCAAGTAGAACTGGAGTGTTACTGCAAGACGGCGGTTGCATTAGCTGAGTCTTGTGTTTTCCCAAATGTTTTTCTTAAATTTTTTTGGGTAGGTATGGTACTAACCCGAGTTCTCTGCAGAATCCAGTGAAGGCGCGTTACAAGCGCAGCTCTGGGCAGCACAAATAGATTGCCGACTATAGTACCAAACCTTAGCACCTAACCCAGCAGCAGTAGCATGAACAACGGATAAGATAGCTGGCCTGACGATCTTGGTGCCGCGCCGTCCGCCTCTCTGGCTGGAGGTACTCCTCGGTGTTGGTAGTACAGAGACGGGAGCTACCAACCTGCAAGTACAAAGAGGTACTAAGCACGGTGCTACCGGTAATAGCGAAGTCGAGTATAAGTGAGCAAGGCTAGCAGATGTGGGATAGGTCCGGGATCCTCTCAATAAAAAGAACGGCCAAGCGAGGCGGGATGAAGTGGTGAATGATGGTGGCGAGGCTGTCCAGAGCGAGGAAACAAACAACTGGCCGCGGCCCAGGGAACAAGACTTCCGGACAAAGTGACTGGCCTCCAGTAGATGCGGAGGGACCAATGATACGGGTGCCCTTGCCTTGGGATTGCCAACCCACGGAGGGAGAAGAGGCGAGTATCTCAGCTTTGAGGTTGCACAAGGGCTGCGGCCTCGACACCCTCTTTTTTCTCTTGCTTCTTCTTTTTAGAGCATCACGCCTGGTGTCCCCTGTTGGGCGACTTGAGGACTACATTGGGCACTACGTAGGTAAGGACTTTAAGGGTGCTAGTGCGAGTAATGAATGTGATATCGCAGATGGTGATGCGATAAGTACCTACAGGTAAGTCAAACAATCTGCAGTACATCTGATGGGGTCCAGCGGGCGTTGGCGAAAAGGCACTTGCGCTTAGGAGTGCAAGTACATGCCCGTCCGATCTGCGATTCGGCACCTGGAGAGACAGAGGGTACCGCCATGTCTCGTACACTGACAGCCGCCTTGCAGCGCGGTGTCTTGGAAGCTGGAGGTATCGCTACCGTAGAACACGGTACATATGTACGTACTATCGAGTCTGACCTACGATAGACGTGCCTGAGCCCTCGTGGGACATGCCCATGCCAAAGCATAAACGGGAGAGGACGACTAAGCAAGTGCTAAGCCGTTGAGCGCGCCCAACTGGGAAAGCTAAAGCCCTAGAGCAACAACGTGACACCAGCGCTGCCGCCATTGCCTCGCTTCTTTCCTCGCCTCGCCCTTGCCTCTGTGTACGAGCACTCGCACCCGCAGACCGCAGAACGACGGACGCAGGAAGGGCGGATGCGTGTACGACGAGTACACATGAGCAGGTACGGCTCCCAAGAGCAAGAGCCACCCAAGATGTGCCAGTTGATGCCGCGAGACGCAGCGGCCCGGCCAATCAAAGTGGCGCTCGGCGGGAGGGTTGGCTGGGCTGCGGGCCCCATTCGCTTGTCACCAGACCCCCAAAGTGCTTAGCGTGGCGTTAGCCCCTGTCCTGAGCTGCAGCCAAACAAGCCCGCTGCCATCTCGCATGCGGATTGGATCTCTGCGCCTCTTGTCCAGCCCTCCCTTGGGTACCTTGGAGGTACAGTACCCAGCATCAAGGTTGAATGGCATTCGATGTTTGATCCTTCGGTGTGGGTAAGTACCTACGAAAAGAGACTACGAAAAAAAGGAAAAAGGAAAAAAGGAACAGAAAAGGGTAAGATTAATTAATACTGTACGTAGGATTCCTCTCAGCTTGGAGTGGAAACCCCACCGCGTCATAAGCTCGCTGCTCTACAACAAGCATCAACATGTTCCAGGTTCATGATACCCCCGCGATACTTGCAAGCGACAACAGCCGGTTCGATGCTGAGAGCTGCATCCCATCTGCAGCCGTGGCCTATTTATTGATGCAACTCCATGCACCATGAGGCATTGCTGCAATGCATGCGTGTCCCACTGCTGCTGCTCGCTTTCTCTATCTCACGCAGCAATCTCAGCCGTCCTTTGTTTATTTGTTTATTTTCCTTTTGTTCCTTGACAAGCTCCAGACTAGCGGAGAGTGTACCTGCTTAGTACCCAGCAGTTGTCATCTATCACTTTTTATCACTCGCTGGAGGGGACTTACAGTGCTGTATATAGACCTGACTTGCAAACTCTCTCACCATCCATTTATCAGAAAAATAAAAATAAAATAAAAAGAACAGAAATAACGACTATATCGCCCACCCCCCAAATCTCGCATCCAAACAACCAAAAAATAACAACCAAAAAAAAACCATACGATCCTCCACCAAGTCACTCGGCTGCCCTCGTCGCGTGACAATGTACATGCACGTAACATGCAGGCGGCATGCAGGGCCTCGATCCACCCAGCTGCAAATAAAGTGAATCAGAATCAAGAAAAAAATATCTCGCATGCTCGTACATAGCGCATGCGCATCCGCACAGACACGCGTGCATGTACCTGTACTTGCCGTGCAGCTGGCATTTGGACGATTCCAGTTCACAGCGACCGCTGCCATTGGCTGCCCCGCCTCGAATCGAACGCGCCCTGCCCAGCTTGTGTCCCCAGCGCCAGGTACCGGTACATGGCACGGCCAGGCACCTGTGCGGGTTGCTACAGGTCACTGGCAGTCGGTTGACCGCTTGTCAGCCAGGGCTCGAATCCCTTGCTGCTGCTGCTTCTCCCTTAGACATGTTCATGCAGCATCGCATTTCCTACAGGGTTCAGGTCCAGTTTCCACAAGCACGGCAACACTCAGCTGACCCCCTTGAGTCATTTTGCCGTATACGGAATACATCAAATCCATGAGGTATTCAATGTTCCCCTCATTCACAGTAGAATAGGAGCAAAGTCGCAATATGTGATCCAAATAATGGGCAACGCATACTGGCAAAAAAGCAATAATATCGACATCAAATGCCCCTAATCAATAAAATAGAGACAAAGTATTGTTTCACACCGTAATGCATGCAATATCGGGCTGCAGACATGCAGCCTCCCGAATAGCTGTTTTTCCCAAGCCCGACATCGCACCAGGTCTTTCGAAGCGGTCAGACCCAAAGAATAATTCATCCGCAGCACAGCCAAGGCCCCAAAAACCGATCTGCTTGTCCCCAAGCTTGGGCTTCCATCATGCCACGGCAAATGCTCCGTGTTGGTGGCCTGCTATCAGACGATGAATGACGTCCCCGGCAATGATATCATCGTCATGAACTTATCCACAACGGCAGCAATGCAGACCATGAGTTGGGCACTTCATCCCACTCACTTCGTCACATGGCCCTACGAAAATCTCGTCCAGATAACTACTTTTGCAATCAATATTACAACTAGCAAGGTGAAATACATGCAGTGACTGCTTAGCACAATTCTCTAGGTTCCTAATGCTTGCTACAGGCCCTCTCCGCCACCCCACGTCCCCCCCAATCTCTCACAATCACACGCTCACAGCCACCCGCCAGCATAACCTGTCAAAGATTATCCCCAGACTAATCACAGCATGCACATCATAGCAACAGCAGAAACCCTGCCCTGCCCTGTTTTGTCTACCAGACCCTGCCTGAGCCAAGGGTCTGCCTGTACTTTGAATCGGACAGGAGCATAAAAAGAAACTTCTTGCCCCCGGTCCCGGCTTATACCGGAGTCCCCACATCTTCCGGCACTGATATCGAATCGCTATGCTGCTATCAAATGCTCCGGTGCAAGCATTGCCTCTCGAAATGCGGTAATAGTATTTATAATTACCTCCAATGAATAGTATTACATGGTCACTCTTTTCCTTTTTTTTATCAGTAATATTTCGCCATAAGTAATAGCACGGGTGGGTGAAGGCTGATGCCATAGATTCAGCATCACAGCTTCATTCGAGTTTCTACAGGAGGTACATGGTCTATACCCAGTATAGCTTAATATCAAAGAGATAATAAGAAATGTGGCCGGTCCTTGTTCCAAGAAATGAACTTGAATGCTACTTCAAGTCATCATCGCCCTCACATAGGTATGGGCTACATTCACACATACAGCAGGTGACATGCTAGATACGTCACAATAAAACATCATTCTACAAGTAGCACACAATCAGATACAAATGAACAAGGCTTTATTCGGTAGGACCAAGTCCCATCAACAGCATCACAAAGTGATGTCACGGAAAGTCAGAGTGACAATAAGCTTCAAGGGGTGGTATCTATGCGACGTGCCATCTAATAACCCGAGCCATCTCAAATTTTGTTTTCCAAAAGAAACGAAGTAAAAATCACAAAGTCAGAATTCAAATGCCACCCGTTCCACGCTATACAGCCAAGCTCGCTTCCCCGAGTTGACGTTCGGGGGGAGCTACACGATAATTAAACACCATCCTCGCGGGGTGAAAGAAACCGTAAAATGGGGTAAGAACACAAGACGGAGAAAGGGGGATAGTGATAATGGGGATGGGGATAATATAACAGAAGAAGAAGAATATAAATCTCAAGGCAGTTTCGTCCATCAGCGCCCATACTCTCCAGAATAGCTCATATCAGCGTAATTTTGGCCCATGCCTTCTTCTGGGTATCTGGCTCCAGAACTACTCATGTATCCGCCATCCTCGCCGTCATCGTAGTCACTGGCATCGAATGACGATCTTCCACTAAGCTCATCGTCTAGTCCACCTCCCATGTCAGTGGTCGACCAGTTCATCTGCGCCAATGCGGGATATTGAGCCAGGAGGGCTTGCGGGAGGCCGTAGTTTCCACTGGAATCCATGGGATAAGCCGGGCCAGCATCCATGCCCATGACCTGTGGGTTGGCCATGTTCTGTGCCATGTTCTGCTGCATCCGCTGCTCCTGCCACTGGCGCTGCCTTTCAATCATCTCTTCATCCAGTAGCGGTTTAATGCATATTCTCCCTGCTTCGGATCGGAAATGCCTTCCCAAGGCATCAGCTCGCGCAAATCGTCGACCACAGCCCCACTGACCACCAGTTTTCAGATCTCCCTTGCAAACAAACTTCTTCTCTCCGGAATGGAGACTCTCGTGTCGCTTTCTGTCGTGCTGTCGAGCAAAGGCTTTACCGCAGACCGTACATACGAACGGTCGCTCATCGGTGTGAGTACGCAGGTGAGACCGCAGATTGTAAGCTCGGGTGAAGCGTTTGGGACATAGAGTACACTGGAAAGTTGCTGGATGTTTCTGCATACGCTTGCTTGTCCCGGCATCTTGGCTATTCTGGTATTCGGGATCCGCCAAACGCAAAGCGATGACGTTGTTGGGCACTGACGAAGTCGACTGCCGCCTTCGTGAGGCCGATGAGCCGACCGATTGCCTATCTAGAGGAGATAAAGATCGAGATGAGGTATCGGAGCGGGCCGCAAGATCAACTCCGAGAGAGGGTCCCAAGTTGCCAGGGGGCAATATTCCGCCGGGATGGAACGGGTCCGTTACCGCTCTCGGGCGAGACTTTGGTCGACCTGTGATGTCGTGTTAGTTGCAGTTCACGTATATGATAAGCTAAGCTATCTCGAAGATGAAGGACTTGCCTCTTTCTGGGGGTGTTAGTGAATCCTGATCCATCTGCGACTTGGGCGGCTCAAAGCTGCCTTGTCTTGAATTGGTCGTGGGCGCAAAGTCAATGTTGATGGCTGGCGGTGCCATTTGGTGCATATCGGCACCCATGCCGCCTTGCAGTGGTGGAAAGGTCTCGTGGCTGGGTTGCAGGTCTGGGTATCCAGACACATTCTCGAACCCGGAATTCGGTGGGATCAAATTGAAAGAAGGCTGCATAGTGTCCGGCATCTGCTGTGGCATAATGCGAGGGCTGATGGCTGGGCTGTGAGAAGGGCTTCGACCGTGATAACCGGGGCTGCTGTGATCAGCCAGGCTGAACGATCCTATACCAAGCACTTCCTGATAGAGGCTATCCACAGGTCTCTGCAGAGGCGAGTGGCCCGACGGGTCGGCGTCAAAGGTATCGGAACTGATAAGGTGAGGAGAAGGAGCCACGGAGGAGACGTCAGAGTATTCCGATGGAGTTCTCCTATGGCCCTGGAATTGGGGTTGGGTCCAGTCACCAATCTGACTGGGAAGAAGCGCGGCCTCGGGCCCTAGAGAAGCATTCCTCGAATGAGTCGACGGGGGCGACGAGAACTGATGTTGGTTGAATGGAGGCGACTGAAGGCTATCTGATGGGTAGAGCCGTGGCGGGGTCGGAGACTGATGAGAGTGCGGAGAGGTCATGGCATTGAGGTCGCCAAGCGGCGGCTGCTCAAAGAGGGGGGCGTTGTACTGGTCGCCTTGCTCAGTGCCCGAGGGAAAGAGAGAGAAATCACCGTCGTGAATGTTTGGCGAGAGGTAGTTTTGTTGCGCCTGGGCGTTCAAAGAGAGGGTGGAGTCGGGGCCGGTGGCCGGCTGTTGTCCGAAGCTCGCGCTGGGATCAAAGCCGGTATTCGGGTCGGCAGCGTTGGCTTGTGCGCCGAGGAAGCCGTTTGCGTTGAACGAGTCGAAGTTGGGATGCAAAGATGCCGTGAAAGCTCGATGCTGCTGCTGCTGTTGTTGTTGTTGTTGTTGTTGTTGTTGCTGCTGCTGAGGCGGTTGTCGTTGCTGTTGCGATGGATCCAGGTCGGCACCGATCCCAAGACCAAGACCAACGGCTGGCTGCTCGCTTGTGGGTGCGAACGGGCTCCGTGCCGGCGAGTGAGATTGGTTTATATCAGGCTGAAAGCCACCGGCCGACGGTGACCTTCCACGCTGGGGTTCGCTGCTCATGATGGCTGCCGGGTGCTGGTCTGTTCGTCTTGCGAGGCAGATTCCACAGTCAGCCTTCTGGCTGCAGCGGGGAGGCTGTGCACTGGCGGCAGAGGTGCAAGGAGCTGGGGGGCGGCCCTATCACAGCGGCAGGACGCGTACAGCGGTGCGAATCACAGTCTGAAGAGTGTTTCAGACGGGCGGTCCTGAGGCCAGCTGCAACTCGTTCTCCGAGCGGGTGCGGGCGTCCAGGTACGGGGTGGATTTGGCGTGGGTATGGTTATCAAATAGGGCTGGACCTGGCCCTGGGAGGCGAGGCGAGGCGAGGCGATGCTGGCCGGATGCTATTTGCCAGATGCTAGATGCTGGTAGAGTTTGGGAATCGGCACGGCACTGGCAGCGTGGTGATGAGGGAGGGGCTTCCTTTCTGGCACCTTTCTTTGTCGGGGTTCGTTCGGGTTGGGCGCCAAATCATCGAGCAGAGACGCGGACCCGCGAGGCTGTGCAAACTGGAGCAGCAACCTTGTGGCCGCAATTCTGCTTGGACACAGAGGAGCAGAGAGAACTGCAGTGACGGCGTCTGACGGCGCTGCTGACGACGCTGCTGGGTGCTTGACAGGCTTCGGGTTGGTCCAACTGGAGGCGGGTGATGTAGGAGGCAGAAAGCTAAGGTCAGAGAGGTATCGCAGGAAGTGGGATGGTCGCAGCAGGCGGCGTGAGATATGGACCAGGCCTTTGCTTCAGCCGTTGGTTAGTTTAGCACGGCTAGAGTGCTGGAGCACGGCTTAGGCGACGGGCTAGCAATCAGAGGATGTGCCTTTTAGCAGTTGGAGCAAGCTTCTGTCATACCCACGTGAAAATCATATGAGGGACACAAAGAGAGGGAGATTTTTGAATGGGATGGCTTTTTTGCAGCGATGTGAGTGGAGGATGACTCAGGTGTCTTGCCTTGGGTATTGCCTTGGGTATTGCCTTGGGTATTGCCTTGGGCACTGTACATGCCTGGTACCTTGCATTGCAGGTTTACTGCCAAAGGTACATTGCTTTCTCAGCTCAGCTCAACTGAACTGAAATGAAATGAACGGAGCGCGCCGACGTGGAATGCTACAGCTACTCGCACTACGCCAACGGTACTGTTACTGTGCTGTCCTCTTCAGATCAAGCCCGTGCATTAGCGACATCCGGCACTGGAGCCAGGCTACTGCCGTTTAGCATCGACACCAGCGGCCTCCATCTTTTCCTTCATGCCAACGACTCGTGTAATCTCCAGCGGTCTTTCTGTAGCGTCCTTTGCCTCTTCTCCGTACATTGAATCAAACTCAAGCAACGACCCCGCACCCAGTTCGCAGAGGCTGCTGTCATTGGCGCCCCTCCACAGCGGCCGGGGGAAATGAGAAAAGGAACCTATTGGGTACTAGCGGTAGTGCATGGCCGTCGCGCGAGCTATTGAAGTATTCCAAAGGTCTAGAATATCTCCCAAACTTGACCATCTGCCGTGCTGTGATGCAACATTGTCTCTCTGTCTCTCTGTCTGACAAATTGCCTGAATCCTACCAACTAACCTTATAAGTATCCTAGCACAAGTACCAGCAAGGATTAAAGAGGTGACAGGTATCTTCTTGCAGTACTGCCCGCCAAACTACTAATTGTCACCTAATACGCAAGCAAAATGCAGTTAATATCTAGAAACTACCTATAGACCCAAGGTTCTGCCACTTAGACGTAGGTTACGCCGGCACCCTATAGGCAAAACGACTGTAACGTTCCCTTTTTTGGAGAATTTGCCGCCATCAAGCCATACTCCCATCCCATTGTCCCCAAAAGGCGGCAAACTCTTGCTTAACAGCAACCCTAGACAAAAGCCCTTCCAAAATGGGCTGTTTTGTCAACTTTTTTTTTTTTTACAGCCACCACTCAACAGCTGAAGGCTTGATTGAAGGGACTAGAACGAGCAAGTCCTGAAACCACGCATTTTCGCAGGCCCGATGAGATTGGAGATGATGCGTCGTCTCCCCCACATGGCTGGGCGGTGATGACGAGTTTGCTCACACTATGGCAATGCTAAGCTTTTTCGAACCCATGCCCTAGGGAGCAATTCGGTCATATCATGGGCACGAAAACGGCAATTAACCTTATTAGCTCAGTCGAAGACGGGGAAACCTGCAGAACTTCGAGGGAGAGAGAAGAAAACGCTGACGACAACCGCACACCCCCCCATGATCTAGGTACGCAACACATGCAAGTCTATCTAGCCAGGCGACGCTTTTCCCCCCTCGGGCTAAATATAGTGTCTATACGAAGTAAAATCTCGCGGAGCGTATCTCCTAAAGCGCATTAATTTCATGGCACAAGTTGTTTTATTGTTTCGAAACATCCAAGGAGATGAAAGACGGAGGGGGCTGTGAATAAAATAAAACGGGAAGACAGAGAATGAGTGAGGGAAAAGGCACCAAGGCAATAACACGGCTTTCCCAAAATAGCATCCAGACTGTGAAACAAAACATAAACGAGGCGAGCCTATGCGTCCCTGAAGCGCAAATCAGGGGCAAAGCCGCAGCAGTTTCACAGTTGACAGGCAAACACGAGAAAAAAAAAACCCCCGCCCTTGTCCATAATATGGAGCCAGATCCAAAATGCAAATGGTCATTAAAACAAAATCCTTCTAAAACAGGTGGGTTGTACCGGCCACAGCCACACAGCAGTGACGTATTGTGGCCAGGCTACATGAAGGCACTTGATGCTTTGGTACCCGGTACAGGCCTGTTAGCAGGCGGGTTTGTTTCCCCGATGGAAGGATGAAACAAAATTGGATTGCATCATTATGCTTTACAGCCTTCTTTTTGATTTGCTTCAAGCTTAATTTTTGCCGTCTTTGCCTTGATACAATCACGATTTGACTGGCATTCGACTCTTCCCATCCAAGTACAGCATTACTTACATGTCACTGCAGTACCCATAAAAAACCACTCAAGTACCTGTTAGGTATCCAGTGAATTAAACGCTGCAAATTCTCGGGTGCCGTCAGCCAATCGGCTAACAGCCCTTGTTGCAAATCTAGATCCCCGTCTTTAATTGGCCCGCGCCGGGGCCCTTTATTCGGATCAACTGCAAGGCTCTCCGCAAGGCTTTTTTCATCACCTTCGCACACTCACCACTTCTTCTCTTTTGTATTCCCTAATTCTTCCTTTGCCCCCCCCCTGGGTTTGGCATCCTCTTTTTTATTTTGCCGCCCCGTTCGATCATTCGGGAATCGGCCGAATTAAGGGGCGGTCCCGGACTGGCACCTTTGCGGGCGCCAACACACCCGACTTACCGTTGCTTTGACCAGTTTCAGAGGCCCTGTGGCCAATCGAGGCAGCCCAGAATGGCGCTTCACGCCTGAATAGGTACTTGATACTACCCGATATCGTAGCGCTCCGGGGCTTCTCGTATCGGTGCCTGGTGGCGGAGGCTTTAGTCTGAAATGCTGCGTCTAAACCGTGGCTCGTTCCCAAAACATGTAATGCAAAGGTCGAGTCAATGTCACCAGATCATGTTTACGACGCCACAGCCACTCTCGTCTATTGAATTGGCGGAATTATACACTCCCCTTTTATTATCAATTCTCCGTGTATAGTTTGTAAGAAGAGTCGAGAGAGAAATTTGCCCAGATGGCTATGCCAAATCCAAAACGCCGCAAAATTATGCACATTTCCAAGTCTCCCAGCCAGCCTTCTTTTTGCAATGTAGACAAAACAAAATCAAACACGCCGTTCCATGTATGCATACGTTTTTCCTTCTAGTTCGAATCAAAAGCATAGTGACTGTCCAACAACGCACGCCTTTTCCCCAATTAGATCACCTCTGAGCGCTCATAACCTTCGGGCTTGAGAGCAGGCTTGGGAACCTCCCTGTCTTTGAATTTGCTGACAAAGGGATTTGGGTCTTCCTTCTGGTTGAGGTTACCCAAGGTATGGTTGACTCCTCTGTGGCTGGCCTCGTCGGCTCGAATATACAGAATCAAGTCTTTCATGGTCCGGTTACCCTCAGGCATGTTCCAGTACTGTATTTTTCAAATGTCAGTGGGTTTGTTCTTGAACTTCTTTCTCTTGTTCCATTTACTAACCTGTACGGCAATATCAGGAATCCGGAACTTGGGATCAGCCCACTTGGGTAAATGACCCTCCTCGATTTCAGCAATTGCTCGAGTGTACGTGTGTACTGCCTCTTCCTCCAGGTAGCCGACGAATCGATGAACAATCTTGGGGTGCAAGAGATAGGCCACAAAGAGACTGTTGAAGAAGACTCCCTGAGCACCGATAATCATGAGCTTCATGAACAAGCCGGGCTCGCACATGGTCATAAATGTCAAAAGGTGCATCCGTTCGTTGTAGCTTTCTTCTAGGAGCGTCTCAATCCAGCCATTGTCTCGCTTCATGCCCCGAAGACTGCTGAGATGGCGAAGCATGCCGCCAACCATTCCTGGAACACCTGCTATACTTTCGAGAAACACGAATCGGATAAGCTATTCGCAAAGTTAAGTTAGCGATATATTCCATAACCAAGTAATAGTTTATCGGGTCCCTAGCATAGGAATGAGTGGAAACCATACCCATTGAGCCTCTGTCAGCGGCTTCTCCGCCTTGATGGCTGTTGTTGGATGCTTCTTATCAACCTGCTGTTCTCTATCCATGCCTGTGGCCTTATCCATCCAATACCTCGCGAACCGCACAATCTTCCACGCTGCCCAATCACCAAATCCCCGAGGCGGCCGATGCGAAGGCGTTACCTGATAGAGCTCCTCCATTGAGAAGCCGGGATGTGGCCATGCCGCCGGCGTTGTCTTGATGTGGGGGGTGTCTTTGGCAGGGAAGAAGTCTTTGAGCTGAGAGACTGGCGTCGTCGAGAATGCTCGCATGGTCTGGCCATAGAGGTGGTAAGACGAGGGAAGGGTCCGGCCTGTACAGCCCAGCCGCCGGGTCAGTGCCGGGTGCGCGGCGAGTCTGTAGCTTGCATGGCTGTTGGCCACGGCTTTGGCAAGCTTGACTGCTTGTCTAGGAGCGTCGGTCTTAGTGTAGCTCATTGCAGGAGCTTATGTAAAGCTATGGTTGGAATATTGCAAGGTTGGTTTCAATAAGTCATAGGATTCAGTGCTTGGGAACCTATGTCACACGATCTGATGGTGATGATATAACCAAACACCTTCTGTGACTCTGGGACACTTGAGTGCTTTATATTAGCCCCCCTTTACTACTAAGACGGCAAAAGCTTAAACAGGAAAATATTACAGGTCGGAATGCGTATTGGCAGCTTCGTCGGGTATCCGTGAGTCCACACACTGTAATCCGGCGCCGCCATGCTAATCCGCACCCGGCAAGCGGGTTGGCCGCGGTGAGAACCGATATGCATCAAGGCATCCAATAGAAGCGCCGTGTTTCATTCTCTGTGCCTGGTCATCTGCCCTGCAAAATGCTGCTTCATGCCTCACCTTGGCTCGGCATCCTGAAGATGTACGAAGTCCGAGCGCAGAGGCAAGGCTCACGCTTAGGCTAGTCGGGAGCTTCCGGATCGTAAAACCTCCCCTATGACTCTTCTCCTGGGTGCTTTCCGGTCCATTTTCGATTCATTTCGCCTCTCATATTTCCTCGGACGCAGCCCAGAGTGAAATCATAATCTGCTCGCCTCGATGCTCCAGTTTTGAGTCCCGGTCCCGCTGCGTCATAGTCCGTAGTATTGACAGAAATGTCTAACCAAATGTCCGGATCCAGGATCCTGTTTCTCCTCACTAGCAGGGCAACAAGCTCCACCCGCTTGATGACGCCGTGCGGCAGTCGGCGCTAGGCTCTTAGCATTAGAGTTTGCTCTATTGGCTAGGTTGTGTCAATTCATCTTTGTCTTGATGGCCGCAGAGGAGTTATTGGTCCGTACTCGTATATCGTATACCAAGTTGATCTTTGTTGATGCACAATCAAGTCGCTCGATGGAGCACGCGAGCTTGTTGATGGGGCCAATTCTGCGCTTCGCTTACGGCTTATTGCGGCTGCTGTTAAAATTTCAAATCCTGCAGCGGCAAACTTGGTACTTGTCCTCGGAAATCCACACAACGCCAGGCCTTTGCAGATTCAGGTGCATCCGAGGAGATGTGCGGCAGCGAGCTATCGATGATAGGCTTGTTTGGCGCGGTTCCTTACGCCCTTAAGTCTATTCCTCGAGTTGAAAAGTCAGGCCACTTGCTAAGAGGAACTATCTAACACCTGCATCCATTCATAGGGCTTACGCCCAAATATGGCAATGTCTAATCTGTCATGGGACTGCCAACTTTGAATCACTGCCATTGTTCAAATTTCATCACCGAGAGCACGTTTGATGAAAACCCAGTCTGATGGATACGATTGAGTCAGAGGCTTTATGCGGTTTTCACCGAATCTTTCTGTGGCTTTATATTGCTCATGTTTCTACTAAGATAAACCGGAGCCTTTTTTTTTTTTTTCTTGCGGCAATATTGCGGCCCAACGCGGCGCGGCATCTCAGGTGCCCATTTTTACATCCTAAACGAAGTTAGTATAAATAAATTCCGAAAATCAAACATTAAAGCAAATAGGGTTCCTAGTGCGTACCTCTCCAGTGGTGTCAAGCCAAGCAGCTTCATTCCGTTTGCCAGAACAATTCGCGCAGCATCGTAAAGCGCCATTCGGGCCTTCATCAGCTCCTTCTCGCTGCCAACCACCTGCAGGTGATCGTAGCTGCTGCTCACAGCGTGAGACATCTTGAACAGGTAAGTGAGCACGGTGGTAGGCTCCAGAGTCTTGAGAGTGTTCTGAACGGTGTCGGGCCATTGCGAGAGCATTCGCACAACATTGGTGGCATGCTGCTCAGTGAGCAATGAAAGGTCGGCACTCAGCAGGTCCTCGTCGGTCAAGTTCGCACGACGCTTGATGGAGCAGAGTCGAGAGTGGGCATACTGCAGATAAGGGCCGGTGTCACCCTCAAATGAGGTCATGGCTTCCATGTTGAATGTGTAGTTGTTGATCCTATAATCCAATGAGCATAATAAAAACACGGCACTCAGAAAGAACAGCTACTAACCTCTTTCCACTCATATCCTGGACCATGACACTGCTGATACCTAGAATATCAGCCGTGGCCACTGGGTTTTCGACCTGAGCGTATTTCTCCTGGTTCTTTTTCATGGTCTCGTGCATGTGATCTGCGCAGTCCCTCAAGATATCGTCCAAGCTATTGCAATTATATCAGCAAACTCCGTATTGCCAACTAGGAATGTGCTTTGGAGCACATAGGATATGTCCCGGGGTTACTCACAACTTGACGGTACCCTTCCTGGTGCTCATACCCAAAACCAGGCCAAAGTTGATATGCTGGCAGCGATCCGCAATATCCTTGTAACCAAGCTGCTTAACAATCTCGAAAAGCTGCTTGAGATGGAGATCTTGCGCACTTGCCACAACATAAATCATGTGGTCAAATTTGTAGGTTTCGTACTATACCTTGTTAATGGTCTCACTCCGACTGCTTGAAACGGCATACTAGGTAGAAAACTGGGGATGAGATTGACTTACTCGGGCGAGCAATTCGCAAATGTCACGGGTGAGATACAAGGCAGTGCCGTCCTTCTTTCTATGATTTCAACGCGTTAGACCATGCCGTTAGAAAGAAGATACATAGTTAGAACTTACCGAATGACAGTTACGCCCAGTCGCTTTCCTTCTTTGCCAGGAAGCAGTTTGGTAAAGTCAACGAGCGTTGCACCGTTGTCTACACGAGAAATATCCTTCATTTCCATCTCTACGGCAATCTTTGCCATGGCATCCTCAGAAACCTGACTTTCACCTACCACAAAGTTAGACCTCAACCCCGCTTCATTACAAGGATTGGAACTTACCGCTATACTTGTCAAAGGCAATGTTAAGTCGGGCATAGGTCTCTACACAATGTGTAAGTTTAATGACTTCAGAGTCAAGGACGCGATATTCTCGCTAAGCGATATGGGCTTACCCTTGTATCGAGCAATACTCAGATCTCGGAAGATCTGCCACTGCTGGAGCACATCTTCTTCCCTATCGGTCTAAGAGAGTAATATTAACAACTGACAATTAGTTGTCAGGACATGCCCATCACTTACCATACGCTTGAAGTACCTACGAGCCTGCTCGTCAAGGCATTGGGCTTCAAGTTCGGTAACATCTTTGCCCTCCTTCTTCTGCGCCTCGATGGACTCCTTCTCGGCAGTCATCTCGGCATTGATTTGCACATAGAGGTTGAATAGGTGGTTAATGGGGTCTTTCTGAAGCGCCTCCTCATTGCCATATTTCTCGTATGCCAGAGCCAGCAGTCCGTATTGCTTTCCCCAGTCTCCCAAGTCTGTAAGAAAACGTTAGAATGATTTCTACTAATTTAATCTCCAAGTGAAAAGACGATTGTAAGGAAGTCGTAGACTTAGAGTCCAAGATAGCCCTCATACGCAAGTCAGGAGGACCAATGATGCGTCTCCACTGGGAAATGCAATTACTCACAGTTCATTCGCACCACTTCCCAGCCGCTACCCTCGTAGAGGTTGGCCAAAAAGCTGCCGATAATGGTTGACCGAAGATGACCGGCATGGAACGGCTTAGCAACATTAGGAGAGCTGAACTCAACAATCTAATATACAATTAGCAGCTAACCAGTGGAATCCTGGGACGGCATATAATTACAATGCGCTTCTTGCCCTGGCTGGGGTCCTTGGGGTCCCTCATGCCATTGAATCGGTTACGGCCTGGCGGTAGAACGGTCAATATATATGCAACGATTTGATGGGCTTGTATATGAAGTAGCTTACCATACTCCTCGCCAAGATTCCGAATCAATGGGATCAAGGAGTTTGAGAGTGGGCCTCCCTTGAGGAAGAATGACATAAAGGGGCCACTGGTTGTGGGCTTGTCAAACAGAGCGTCATCCGCTGGGAACTGGCACGCAATATCTTTAGTTTTAGATATTATAGCAACAAGGAAAGTAATATACCTCTTCAGCCCACTTAGTAGCGAGGGCATCTGGCTTCTGGCCCTTGATCCTCAATGCCGGAACGGCCAGTACAAAGTCACCCTTGTCGAGACCGGTTGTCCAGTTGATGGCAGGATATATGATTTGAGTGTCTACGCCAGAGATTCCTGCCAATACATTGCTAAGGTGTGCCCTATAGAGATCAAGAGGGTTGATTTCGGGGTGAGCCTGGGGGTATTTCTCGGTGACGGAGTTAAGTGACAAGCCATTCACCAAGCTTGTGAGCTTGTCGAGTCCCGCTGGTGTAGCCATGGCTGAGATGCCTCTTATGCGAGAAGCAGTCAAGGAAGTATTGCAAAAAGAAGGCCTGCAGGTCGTCTGCTGAATACTCGAGGTGGGGTGTTTTGGCTCACGCAAGGACGTAAAAGGCCTGAGTGAGGTGATGAGTGGTTGCTGAAGACAAGATCTCGCAATCCACGGTGAACAGAGGCTTAATATACGATGACTGTTCCGACTGAAAGAAACCCGGCAAACCGTCATGAGAGGTGTGAGTTTTTGGGGCTTGGTACCTGTGACTCAATTTTGGTCCTGCAGGAAGTTAAGCACAAACACTTCCCCACCACTGGAGGAATGTAGGCTTGTGAGTCGCCTGGTGGGGGTTTTGCCGTATTTCTTGCACGGTATTTCGTTCCGCCGGAGCTCCGCACTCTGCAAATCATGTTTAAAAATCCCCTTATTTTCATTTTGCAATCACAGGCCAGCAAAGCGGCATGATATATGATGTGCCAAGGATGCCTTAAATATATTTTTGGATTTTATTAAAGGGCATGTATGATATTTGGTTTCCAGGGTTAACAGCAGCTTTCAAATATCCTCGGACCACCAAATTTTATCACGTTGGAGGGGCAGTTTGGTGCTTCACGTCTTACCTAATATGGAGAGAGTGAGTCTCCAAGTTACTGTAACAGGATGTGTCTCACTTTTGCAACTCTTGAAAATTTGCTCAGATGCCCAGAAATACTGTGTAAGTATCATGGATCAATAAAGCGGTACAACTCCAAGGTTAAGGTTACACTTGTGGTCTCGCGGTTGGACATATTCCATTGTACCTGCTACTTATACATGGTCCTGGAAGAAATAGGTATCAAAATGTGCCCCTCTTCCAGCAAAAAATCAAGAGTGCTGCTTGTCCTCTTCGACATGATAAAATACAGCTTCAAGTACATTGCAAACATGCCTATCTTTTCACCTTGTATCTGCCACTATGTAGGTTTTATATCTACATGTATCCATATATCACTGATATCAACACCGTAAGTGTTAGGCTTTGTCCAAACTAATAGCAGAGTGCCACATGTAATGGAAAACTTTTGGCGGGCGGTAGTTGGCTAGGCAGCCCTGAATTTTTCTGGCCAGGCACTAATGCCGACAAAAGTTTTTGCCCCTCGCCTCGACAAACCCCGCCATAAAAATATACAGCCAGCCTAATCGTACATGATCGATCCTGTTTACGTATCTTAGATTGATCACACGATTCACCCCGACCACGGTCGCACCCAAACGCAGCCGAATCATTACTTATTGCAACATCTCGATACAACGCTTTCAACATCTACTCCTCAGCCCTTTATTAGCGATCTGCAATCATGCCTCCTAAGAAGTGGGGTGAGTCACTGAAGCGCAGTCTGCACATTTTGCGGACAAATACCGCCAAATCCAGGCGTTTGCGACGCGCCAAAACCAGGGTCTTGGCTCTATTTTGAGGGTTCTTGGCTGACAATGCTTGAAATTAGACGAAGAAGAGAGCGAGGCCAGTGACTCTGGCTCCGAAGTCGCCCCTGTGACCGCCGCTCGCCGAAAGTTTGATGACGAGGAAGATGATAGCGACGTGAGTATCAACAACAGCATCACGCACTGCGCCACTGACCTGTTCGATTCCGTCTCTGACTTACCATCGAATGCATATAGGTGCTTGACTCTTGGGATGCCGCTGAGGACTCCGAAGTAGAGCGTGAGAAGGCCAAGAAGGCTGCCGAAGCCAAGGAAAAGGCCGCCGCCGCCGCCGCTGCTGCTAAGAAGCCCAAGGCCCAGCGTATCGCCGAACACATCGCTGAGCGTGCCCGTATGGCGGCCGAAGACGATGAGGAGAGCGAAGAAGAGACGGAAGCGGAGCGCCGTGAGCGACTTCGCCGCACTGAGCAGGAAGCCGACCTCAAGCACGCCGAGGATCTTTTTGGCGGCATTGGCATCAGCGCTGGGCGAAAGGCCAACCCTTCCGGCACCATGGTCGCCGACCCCAACAATCCTACGAACCTGATCAACCTCGCCAACGTCCCGATTTTCAACCCTCAAACAAAGCTGCAGTTTGAGAAGATGCGGGCTCTTCTTACCCCCCTGATTACTGCAAACACCAAGAAGGCTCACTATGGTCTCTTCCTTGAAGAGTTCTCCAAGGAGCTTGTCAAGGAGTTGAACAGTGACCAGATCAAGAAGATTGCCAGCACTCTTACCCGCGCAAGCAACGAGAAGCTGAAAGAGGAGAAGTCAGGAGACAAGAAGAAGACCAAGGCTGCCAAGACAAAGACCTCTCTTGTCACTAGCCGTGCCAACGCAACTGATACGGCGGCTTATGACGATGACGCTTTTGGAGAGTGAGTGAATCCTAATTTCTGCTCTACAAGAATAGCAGCATTTTATCCTCCCCTCCGCTGGTATCAGCAAGATGGTGCTAACCTTTTGTTTTCTCCTTTCTAGTGACGACTTTATGTGAAGCCCTTATTCAAGTCAACACACGGCAAAAGAAGAGGAAAAAGAAGAAAAAGACTGCTAGAATCAGCGTAATATTGGTATTCCCAGCGTGTTACTCTCCCTGTCTATCGATGGAAGCGCGACAGCTCTTGATTTCCTGGACTACACCCTCAACCATGCATGGCCTTTTCACCGTCACCATTTTCAGTGGTCTTGGTGCCGATGCAGCATCTCGGCGTGGGCGCAAGCTGACGACTATTCGACGTATACATTGAAATTGGACGATTTTATGGACATTTTTAGAGGAAGGGATGGCGGGAGTTAAGAATGGCATATTGTGAAATCTGTTTGCCCTTTTATTTTCGAAGCGCTTGGTCCAAGGCACGGGCCTAACAGTCCAATCGGATTTCCGGGTATACCATCAAAAGTTATGGCTAGGATAAAGATGCCAGTTTTTCTTCTTATATCTATACTCTGGCACATGTTTTAGAGTGGTTCTGTTTTGTATTGCACTGCTTCAGCAGACAAGAGGTTAGGGTATCAGATATAGATAGCCTCTCCTGAAGCGTCAAGTATTTCTCATAAAGATCCATTAAAACCCCCAATCGCCAAGAAATGCCCGGAGTGATACCCGTATAATAACGCCATCATTAAAATCCCGTCATATACCGCCCGTCCCGTCATGATTGTAAATATACAGCAATTCTACAGGAATCAACCGCCTTTTCCCATTGTGACAATCCCATACCTTTTTTTTCTCCCCTTAGACCACATTTCCGGCCATGCCCATGAAAAGAGCATGGATGGCCAGCGACAAAGTCCAGAATCCAACCTTTCGAAATCGCCTGACGCGGCTTTGCTGATCCTCGACATCCTTTGCAAAAGCCTCATACGTCTCAGCGGATGCATCATCCAAGAGCCCGCAGTCAAAGACTGTCCAACTTCCGTCAAAATCGCCTAGAGGCTTGATGATGCGGCTAGAGATGGGGATATACGTCTTCTTAGCATTGATATAGGCCACAATGGGGCGAACAAGCGCCTGGTTGACATAGGATAAGTCGGTGGTGAATAATGGTACGGCAGCCTTGACGTCATTGAGGTGAATACGCAAGTCCATGATAACAAGGCGTCTCTCCTCCTCAGATTCGTTTGCTTGCTTCTGGGCTTTCTTCTCGCTCGTTGCGCGCTCGCTCTCTGAGAATTTCTCAGGAGTGGGCGCTCTAGGTAGAAAGCGATAACGATTGGCAATAACTGTGCCTTCCAACTGATCATAGAAATCTGTTACGACTTTGGTAATGCTGTCGTCCATATCCTCTGGAAACATGACATCAGCAACGATGTCAACATTGCCTTCATATATCCAGCCAAATGGCCCTTCCACTCCACGGTTCAAGTGGTCAATCTTCAAGCCATCAATGCGTAGCCGATTGAATTTTTTCCACGACTTGGATTCTTCTAGCCCCATCATGACTCCCTGGTATCGACTTGAGACCGTACCGTGAACCTGTCGCGGATGAATCGTGAAGAGAGAGCCGTCAAATGACCCAGACATATGGCTGGCGGATAGGAAATCATAAAAGAGCCACTGTTTTCTCAACCGGGGGAGTTCGCAAGAGTATATACTAACGGAGAAGGGACGGAAGCCGTCGGGTTGGCGAATAGTAAGTAGTAGATCTTCCAGTTTGAAAGACTCAATCTCGAAATCGCCTGGTTGGTGTGTGTGGCGGTAAGAAAATGGGTCAATCTGCTGTAACGGCCAACGGACAGAAGTGCGGTCGACAATTCCTCTAACGCCATTTACTTCCACATCCTTGAGAAGCCCCTTGCCATTCCACCAGTTGAGGAATGAAAGCGTGACATTAACATTTGCAATCGTTACATCGTATTGTGTATAGTTGCCATCGTCTTCGGTAACGGTGCCGTTATGCTGAACCTGGCGCCCTGCAGCAGCAACAGCAGCAGCATCAGATGAGCCTTTGCTGACAGATGATTCGATCTGCCCAGGTCTCCTTGAAATAAACACATTGCGAAATGCGATAACGCCATTTTTCCACTTGGGCACTATGGCTGATTCGAAGACAACCGTGACACCAGCCGATTGAGTTAGATAATCTCCAACCCACTGCGCGAGCGTTTCTGAAGCTGCGTTAGCTTTGTTGGCAGCAACTGCAATATGATGGAAACATAATCATCGACATACCCTGGGCAAAAACAGTGTTGATCGAGAAGATGAGGATGGAGAAGAAAGTCGTGGTGCCCACCAGGATCCAGACAATATGGCCCAGCATAAACCAAGATACAAAAGCACCCCATTCATCAATATTCCAAGGCCGCATACTTCTAATGGAAATCCATTTGAACCTGACCTTGAACCTCTCCCAAAATCCATTCGCAGCCGCCAACAGCTCTTCTTTCGTAGGACGATGAGGCATCATTGGTAGATTCAGGTACTTGGACATCGATGCCGCTATTGACTCCTGTTCGTGGTCTTTTGCCTCGTTTCCGAGTTGATCGATATTAGTTTTGGATGCAGTCCCCGGACCTTGATTGAGACCTGCGGTAGATTTATGGCCATCCAGCTGGGCCTTGCCACTCCCTTCAACATCTTTCTTGTTGTCTGCACTATTGCTGCTATACTGATCACTTTGAAGCAACCACCGCGCAGCATTTTGGGAGGCATTGAGGGATGCTCGATGCCTTTCCAAGATGTTCAAAGGAGTGAAGCACCGACGGCTACCATGGAGAGGCAGCCGACTGCCCAGCCCGATTGACGTTGGCGAGCGGCAGCCATCCTTCCGATGTGCCAAGTATGAACCTGGGCCAGTCTGTGCATGCTGAAGCTTTACTTCCTGCGTGTGAAATGCCGAAAGAGCTGCTGATCGATTCGACAGTGTAACAGCATGTGGAGATCGCCATGTTGGAGGGGTTTGAAAGTGGCATGCTAGCTGACGGCGGACAATCAGCCATGATGAGATGCCCTTAGACATTCTTAAGGTTCATGGCGACCAGCAATCTGGAGGCGGTGCGCCAAAAAAGGATGGTATGAGCAACGCCTTTGGATCTGAGATGAAGCTGGGAATAGATATTTCCCTAAACGCTCGGTAGTTGGACATAAGCAGGCGGCGAAGCAAAAGTAATTGCATGACGCGCCACTCACGTTCTGCATTGTGGGTGGCGCCCAGCCAATCGATAAGCGGCGATAGCCCATCCACAAATTTTTTGATCGCAAGGTCGAAACGGCGTGTGGCTTGCCGATGCGAACCCAGCGCCGCAACTTTTTTTTTTTTTTTTCAGAGCGTTTGCGACGAAAAGAAGGGCTTATACAACGAAATATACCCGGCCACCTTCTGCTCACATTTATCAACTACTTGATCTGATTTATCAAGGATCCGAACGCACAATAAAGGCCCTCTTGCCCTCTCGCATCATGCCGGCACCCACAGCCCTCAAGAAGGCGGAAAGCACCCCGCTTGTCGCAGATGTGCCATCACCAGCTCAGGGTAAGAATTATTCTGCGAATATATCTCAAGCAGGACTATCAAGGCTTACTCGTACACAGACAATGACCAGGAGTTTCTCCTAGACGCACCAGATGCTGCATCGGCCGATGCTGAAGTCATGGTACCAGAAGCCGCGGACGCAGAGAATAGCATGGCTATTGATGAAGAGGGACGACCTCGCTTCGCACCAGCCAAAGATATTGTACGCCGAGGTTGCTTCTTTGGGTCTGCGATGGGCTGATTTGCTGATGTCTACTTAGGACCCCATGATGAGAGTCGAAACACGAAAAGTACCCATACCACCACATCGGATGACGCCATTAAAACAGGCGTGGCCTTCCATCTATCCTCCCATTGTGGAGCATCTGAAACTACAGTGCCGTATGAACATTGCGCGGAAAACAGTCGAGCTGAGGACTTCTAAATCCACTACGGATTCCGGTGCGCTACAGAAGGGCGAGGACTTTGTCAAGGCTTTCACTCTTGGATTTGATGTCGACGATGCCATTGCTCTCCTGCGACTGGACGACCTTTATATCGAAACCTTCGAAATCAAGGATGTGAAGACGGTCCATGGAGATAGCCAGAGCCGTGCTATCGGTCGAATCGCTGGCCACCAGGGAAAGACGAAGTTTGCCATTGAGAATGCTAGCCGAACAAGAATTGTGCTGGCCGATTCGAAGATTCACATTCTGGGAGGTTTCAAGAACATTCACATGGCTCGTGAATCCGTTGTTAGCTTGATTCTCGGAAAGCCCCCAGGCAAGGTTTACGGCAATCTGAGAACTGTTGCTGCCAGAATGAAGGAGCGTTTCTAAGTTGGTTGGACAAGCATCTGCGGTACTCTTGGCGTTCAGGTGGTGGGATAATCATGATTCATGTCTTTTGGCGGATTTGGTGGTCTATATATGTCGGAATTGTTTTTCTGCATAGCTTTTGAAATAGCATTTCACCCCAGCTTGATGGATCTGCTGAATGATGCGGTCCAAGAAGGGGGATATAGACAGTAATTCACGCGCCTCAACAAGTGGCAAATGAATTTGAAAGAAAAGCTCTTTTTTTTAACCAACTATCAGTAAAGGGGTATCATGGCCCAAAAATAACCTGTAGTATCGTACTAGACTGCCAACTCCTTGACGCCAAACGGCCCGATAGAAATATTCCTGCTCCGGAAGCTGCTGTCACAACAACAAATAATAGGCCGATGTTGTTTTGTTGCTTCGGGGACCTCTAGTTTTGACGAGGCTTGATCATTCCCTCTTGTACAATGTAATAGACGACGGTAGAATCATTATGCAAGGCAGCCAGCACAATCCGCTTGGCGCCATTGCGAGCCTCTGGAAGGGCGTCCATGACGGCGGCAAAGTTGGAGAGCGTCCATTTCTCGGCGAGATGGACGGCCAACACCCATTCAAACTCAGCGTCGTGTTGCGCCCTTGTGCCTGTTGACTTCTCATATGCAAGGGCTGCTATCTGGTCGTCTGGGTGGAGATATAAGAGGCGTGGCGGAAGGCCTCGAATCATTGGCCGCGGCAGCCCTGGGAGGCTACGGATTTCCAACGAGGCCCATTGGTGCTGGTCCAGCAGGTTGCGAAATACCGCAGAGGCGACATCGGCATCATAATGATGTGACACATCCATGTCTAAGATTGATAGCTGGCAATGGAAATGGTAAAGGAAATTAGATTAGAGGAGAGGAATGACTGGCTACATGGTGCCCGGAAAGGGCCAAGCGGGAACTGCGTCAGCCAGAAACTTTTTCCTGAGAGGTCGGAGAAATACTAGTGCCTGTACTTCGGGTTTCTCGCTGTCTACTGATTAACGTAAGTAGTGGCCCAATTATTACCTCACAAGCACACCAGCTCCTTCCGCCAGGAGCTGTTAGGTAACTTATCTTAGCAGCATGAACAGCCCCACCTTTCTCACCCCTCCATTTTCTTCTACAACAAAACACCAGCATCTTCCTCTTCTTTCCCAACGAATCTTGACTCTTTCAGTCTCGCAAGAAACACTTGAGAAATCCAATCGATCTTTTAAGTACAGGTACGGTATTTCTTTTTCTTTTTCTACGAGCAGCAGAGCTCCGAATCTGTCCCTCGAGCTTTGCCCCTCTTTCACACTTCAGCCCTCCCAGCTACCCCTCCATTGGCAGCAGAGCTGCTGAAAGAACGACGTCAAGCGGACGTTTTGAGGCATATTTCCGTCGTTTTCCTACTCTCTTGGCCGAGTGATTCCATCCACTGGAAATCGCTTTCATCAGAGGGAAGATGCGATAAAATGGCCTAGCTCTCCACCTTTTTAGAGCTTCACGGTCGACGTCACGGCCACCTTAGCTCCCAAGCTTCCCCCCCAAAAAAAACTACTTGCTAATAGCGATTGCCTCCCCCAGCAGCTTTGAAAATGGCCATTACCAAGATCCACGCTCGCTCTGTCTACGACTCCCGTGGTAACCCCACCGTGGAGGTCGACCTCGTCACCGAGACTGGTCTGCACCGCGCCATCGTCCCCTCCGGTGCCTCTACCGGTTCGTCTCCCCGATCTCACTGCATGTCCAGCTACAGAAAATAACTGGAATCCTAGGCCAGCACGAGGCTGTTGAGCTTCGAGATGGCGACAAGGCCAAGTGGGGTGGCAAGGGTGTCACCAAGGCCGTTGAGAACGTCAACACCATCATTGGCCCCGCTCTGCTCAAGGAGAACCTTGATGTCAAGGACCAGTCCAAGGTCGACGAGTTCCTGAACAGCCTTGACGGTACCCCCAACAAGGGCAAGCTCGGTGCCAACGCCATTCTTGGTGTCAGCTTGGCTGTCGCCAAGGCCGGTGCCGCTGAGAAGGTAAATCGCATCACTAGAAGCTGTGGTTGACGAGCAAAGACTTACCACAAGCAGAACGTCCCCCTGTATGCCCACATTTCCGACCTCGCCGGAACCAAGAAGCCTTACGTTCTCCCCGTTCCTTTCATGAACGTCCTCAACGGCGGGTAAGTATATTCTGTTTCCCGCAACTTTCAGCCAACCGTGTATTCTAACATCAATCAGTTCCCACGCCGGTGGTCGTCTTGCTTTCCAGGAGTTCATGATTGTCCCCTCGTAAGTTACCAACGCGTATCTACCTCTACCTTGGTAGCTTCATCTAACCGAGAACAGAGATGCTCCCAGCTTTTCCGAGGCCCTTCGCCAGGGTTCTGAGGTCTACCAGAAGCTGAAGTCTCTGGCCAAGAAGAAGTACGGCCAGTCTGCTGGCAACGTCGGTGACGAGGGTGGTGTTGCCCCCGATATCCAGACCGCCGATGAGGCTCTTGAGCTTATCACCGACGCCATTGAGCAGGCTGGCTACACTGGCAAGATGAACATTGCCATGGACGTCGCCTCCAGCGAGTTCTACAAGGAGGACGCCAAGAAGTACGACCTCGACTTCAAGAACCCCGACAGCGACCCTGAGAAGTGGATCACCTACGAGGAGCTCGCCGCCATGTACTCTGATCTCTGCAAGAAGTACCCCATCGTCAGCATTGAGGATCCTTTTGCTGAGGACGACTGGGAGGCCTGGAGCTACTTCTACAAGACCCAGGACATCCAGATTGTTGGTGATGACTTGACCGTCACCAACCCCGTCCGCATCAAGAAGGCTATCGAGCTCAAGGCCTGCAATGCCCTCCTCCTCAAGGTCAACCAGATCGGCACTTTGACCGAGTCTATCCAGGCTGCCAAGGACTCCTACGCCGACGGCTGGGGTGTCATGGTCTCCCACCGATCTGGTGAGACTGAGGATGTTACCATTGCTGACATCTCCGTCGGTATCCGTGCTGGTGAGATCAAGACTGGTGCCCCCGCCCGATCTGAGCGTCTGGCCAAGCTTAACCAGATCCTCCGCATCGAGGAGGAGCTCGGTGACCTTGCCGTCTACGCCGGTGCCAAGTTCCGCAACGCCGTTAACCTGTAAATGGCAACAAGGAGCTTGCTATGGCCACGGACATGAATATAAAAAGACAGATCGCCCGGAGAATGGATTGCCATGGGCGAATAAAACAAAATAATGATTATAAAGAAACGCCCATATGGCGGAAAATGAATTGAACTGAATGATAAATAATTACGCGCAGCATGTTTGTGAAGGCCCGTAAAACATGTTCCTCCAGCTAATCCATCCACTGGCCCCGGTGATTTACATAGCGTTTCTACCAGGGTTCATCTTCGAGTCGACAAGAATAGCTTATTAATATTCCGAGTTCCCTGCAGAAAAGATGGTAGATTCCGATTACAACTTTGAATGGGCGATGTTGGATGGAGCGAGCTAGTGCCAAAATATGGAGTACCCGATACCAAAGTTGTGATGAAAGGCGCATTTCCAGACAGATATTTAGTATGGGCAGCAGTGGGGCAGCGAACTAGCTGAATGTACAGGGTACATATGAGTGTGCTAAAAACAATCACCAGAGCAACGCGGGGTCGAAAACACATGCCACCACACACGAAAGCGTTAAACCAGATCACGTAGTAAGTTTATCAACATTAGGGAAAAAATTATATTAAATATTGCGATTGTCGAAAGCATCCCCCAGCTGGCATCTGGTATTATGTCTTGTATCTGACCCTGCACAAGGCATTTCGCTCTAACCCATAACAGGGGCATTTATAACCTATATCGTCTCGAAAAGCTACAGTGTTACCGCCATTCACTGGTAAAGCAACATGGCGGGCTCAGAAGACATCACCGACTTTGACGTGATTGAGAATCAGAAGGAGAATATCCAGTCTCTACCTGGGGGCCGCTCAGCGAGGAAACTAGCCAGTCTATTCTCCCCATCACCTCTACACAAATACTCGACACCGACACCGACCGACACGAAAAATGTCAACGACTGCATCCGCGCGGAATATGAGGCGGAAATTGAGAACATCTCCGAATCCGACGATCCCTTAGATGTATTTGACAGATATGTGCGCTGGGCAATAGACGCATATCCATCAGCACAAGCGACGGCCGAGTCACAACTTCACACGATCCTAGAACGCGCGACCAAGGCGTTTGTCACCTCGTCTCAATACAAGAACGACCCCAGATACCTCAAGCTGTGGATGTACTACATCCAACTGTTTTCCGACTCACCACGTGAGACGTTTCTTTTCCTCTCTCGACAAGGAATTGGCGAAAGCCTCGCATTGTTTTACGAGGAGTACGCGGCGTGGTTAGAAGGAGCAGGCCGGTGGGCACAAGCAGAGGAGGTATACAAGCTCGGGATTGAGCGAGAGGCCCGGCCTGCTCAGAGGCTGTTGCGCAAGTTCAAGGAGTTTGAGGCGAGGGTCGCTCAGCAGCCAGGCGCATTAGAAGGACCATCTTCGCCAGCCTTGCCGACTGTCCGCCCCGCGCTGGCCAGTAAGACAGACCCCTTCAGCGCCTCATCACAGCCAGCAGACCCTCAGGCTCCAAGGCAAACAAGCGGTATTGGGGGCAGTTCATCCCGGTCTGCAAAGTCCAAAATGGCCATCTTCTCCGATGCGGATGCTCAACAACCCGCCCTGTCATCAAGAGGCGCTTCTTCCAAGGGCTGGGATAGCATTGGATCTCTGACGGATCGCAAAAAGGAAAATGCGATGGAACCAAAGCCATGGGCTGGAGAGACGCTCAAGGCAGGCGGCAAGAAACCCGGGTCTGGGGGGACTAAGCTGGCCGTATTCAGGGATCCGGTATGTAACAACCCCTGATGGTGATATGCTCAGCTGTTGATGAGAATAGGACTAATGTATTGCTGTTTGTGATGTTATGTAATTCAGTCTCTTGCTCAAATACAAAATATCATTGTTGTCCCGTCCCAGCACCAAGTAACGACTCATCCGCAGACGGGAAAGAGAGAGCGCATCTTCGTTGACCTCGCGGCCGTTTACCCTACCCCAGAGGAGCCTGGAACAGAACTAAGCTTCGAGGAAATCATTGCCGAGCATCGTGGCTGGCTCAACCGCCTGTGGGATACTGACTATGCGAACAATAATAACCGTCTAGATCCCATGGTGTCTCTACATGAGGTGGAGGATTTGACACAGGATACAACTGATAAGCTGGCTATTTACGATGACCCAATGATCATTGACGAGAATGGCATGGCACAGGAAAAACCGCGAGAACCTCGCGCAGGCAGAAAAAAGAAGACAATGGAGGTCAATGAGACGCAGATCAGTGAGTTTCGAGATGTTCAACCACCAAAATGTTCTCTTCATAAGCTCCTAACACTTTGCCAGTTAAAACGAAGTTCGACTCTCCCTCAGGACCAAAGATCAAGAAAAAGAAGGCAGCGGAGCCCACGATGACCCTTCACACAAGAGCAGCCACAGATGATATTTACGACATTTTCAACGCACCACTTAAACCTACACCTCTGGAAGTCGACGATGATGAAGACGATGATGAAGACTCCGACGACTCCGACGATGGGGATGATGACGAGGACGAAGAAATGACTGACGCCGACTATGTAAGCGACGCTGAGAGCACCGCCACTACGAGACCGATACACCAAGGTAAGCAGGAAGTCGATGAAGTATTGGGTTTTAAGTAGTTTCAGTGGATGGAGGAGATGGTGAAGACAAATTTGAGAATCTAATTTTTCTTCGATATAGACGAGGCATCACACAACCTAGACGACGACTTTGAGGATGAAGAACCAGAACTGCCTAGAACTCGGACCATCTTCATTCCCGTCCCTCCCGAAGATTATGAGCCACCAACACGCCCGTATAGGGATGCGGCAGAGATGGCCAATAATCGACTACCTTTCATGACGCCCATCACCGAGAGAACCGAACCATCATTGGATGTCACTATGGATCGAGCATACCAATTCAAGACTCCTAGCAAGCTTGATGGTAGAGCCATGTCCGTCGAGGAGGCGTCAGACTCAGAATCAGAGAGCAGTTCTCTGAGAGAATATTTCCCAGGAGAGAGACCGTCTATCCAAGGTCGAACACCTCTAGGGTCCAAGGCTTCTAGAGCACTAAGTAAGAGTGCCCCCAATAGAGGTGTACCTGTCAAGGACCCCATCGTTAAAGAAGCACAATGCAGCCCCGTCGACGACAACATTCGGCGAAATATCTTGACAAATATACAGCCTCCGCTGGCAATGTATCCCGGTTTCTACGATCATCACAACCAGAGATATGAACGTGGTGCAGAGATCCGAAGATACGCCAAAGCCGTCAGGCTAGGCAGAGCGAATCCAGATAAAGTTGGACCGGGTAGCCCCCCGGCGGTCATCCGATTCATCGACTGCGAGGCTAGATACACTGTGAGGAGGGAACTTGGCGCTGGCGCTTTTGCCCCTGTTTACCTGGTGGAAAACTCGGAACCGGATCAACAGGATGATGGCTATGGAGATGGAGCCAGGATGGGTAGGGGGGCATTTGCCGTGAGCCGGCGAGCGGCAATAGAAGCCCTGAAAATGGAATCTCCTCCGACGGCGTGGGAGTTTTACATTATGCGTACTGCTCACTTACGCTTGGGACCTCAGCATCGAGCTACGGCATCATTATCGTTTGCACACGAAATGCACCTCTACCAAGACGAAGCTTTCCTCTTCCTGCCATTTCATCCTCACGGCACGTTACTCGACGTAATCAACTTCTTTAGAGCAGAACCGTCAGGTGCCATGGATGAGCAGCTTGCCATGTTCTTTACGATTGAACTGTTCCGCACCGTCGAAGCTCTTCACTCGAAAAATGTCCTCCATGGTGATCTGAAACCCGACAACTGTCTTCTCCGACTCGACTCCAAGCCGTCATTTGTCTCCTCCGACCAGGCCCTCTCTAGCCAATGGTATGCTGATGGACGCGGCGGCTGGGATTCGCGGGGCATCGTTCTGATTGACTTTGGGCGCGGCATCGACATGAAGGCATTTATCCCAGACGTGGAATTTATCGCGGACTGGAAGACGACGGCACAAGATTGCCCCGAAATGCGAGAGGGGCGGCCTTGGACGTGGCAGATTGACTATTACGGACTCGCGGGCATCGTCCACTGCCTGCTTTTCGGAAAGTACATTGAGACGATACGGGCTGATCAGGGGGGTCTCGGCCGTGGTGGCCGAAAGTACAAGATTCGCGAGAACTTGAAGCGCTACTGGCAGACGGACATTTGGTCGGATTGCTTCGAGGTGCTGCTAAACCCGGCGTCGTTCCTCGCGCATGAGGATGGCGGCAAGATGCCTGTGCTCAGGTCGATGAGGAACATCCGCGAGCGAATGGAGGCGTGGCTCATGGCCAACTGTGAAAGGGGGACGGGACTCAAGGCTGCGATGGGTAGGGTGGAGGCGTTTGCCTTGAAGAGTCGCAAGTAAATTGACCTTGAGTTTGTCCATATATTTCTTTTTTCTTTTTTCTTTTTTTTTCTTCTTTCTTTTTCTTTAATTCCCCTTTTTGCTCTTTGTTTAAGCCTTTTTCACGAAGTATGTATACCTTATGCCCGCATTGTTATGTATGTAGAAAAATTATTTTAGTTGGTAATCGCTTTTCTCCTGGCCTTTTTTGTTGTATATGGCTCAAGGAAGCGTTTCTCTATTAGATGAACATAATATTCATTCGCAAGATGAAGAAGCAAGAGCCTGGTACATTCGAAGGCTTAGCTCAAACATTATATAATACACATAGAAGAGGTCGTGTCGAAGTTTTCCAACCACTTTCACTAAAGCGCCCTCTGCATATACCCAGAGGTGTTATCTTGTTTGTTCTGTTTGCTTTTTTGTTCTAGTCACTCTCATCACTTGTCTCCTCCTTCTTCACCTTCTTAGCACCCCTCCCCTTCGCTGGAGTCTTTGACTTCTTGTCGACTTGATCTTGAATCTTCTTTCTTTCGTCGGCGCCCTTGGCTTGCAATTCCTTCTCCAGTTGCCGAAATTCTTCAGTCTCGGGGTCCATATCGATGAGGCTCTCCAGCAGCTTAATTTCATCGGCCCAAACCTGCTTGTCTTCCACCGATTTGCCGTCGGCACCCTTCCTATCGATGGGCGTTTCCAGGACCATGGGCTTATCCTGGAACTCTTGGTGGTTCATCAGGCTATGGAAGGCCCGAAGACCCAAGAAGCCAGTTCCAATGTTTGCATGGAGATCTCTGTTGGAGTTAAAGGGGGCTTTGCTGTCATTTACTGCAAGTGATGTCATGATTAGTTACTGCGAGTAAGTGGGCAGAAGAAGAAGGCAGACGACTCACAATGAAAAGCCTTGAGATACTTTGCGCCGACGATTTCGTTGAAAGAATCGACCGTCTTTTTGAAAGTCTCGGGGGTTCGCAGATCATAACCGGCGGCGAAGGCATGACAAGTGTCGATGCACACTCCGACTCGAGTTTTGTCCTCTACGAGAGCAATGATGTCTCTGAGGTCCTCCCATGTAGACCCCACGACGTTGCCAGCGCCCGCCATGTTTTCCAGAACCGTGATCACCGTCTTGGTGGCCTTGTGTGCCTTGTTCAGCTGAGTAGCGATACGCTTGATGGCAGCGGCCTTTGTGTCTCCTCCGGTGGACCCAGGGTGGAAATTGTACAGCTTGATTCCGAGCTGCTCACATCGGCCAAGGTCGTCCACGAAGCTGTCGTATGCCTGACGAGCTTTGTCCACGTCTGCCTGCGCAAGGTTGACCAGGTATGATCCGTGAGGGAGCACATGCTCGTTTGCGTGGTAGTGGTGCTCCTTGCACTGGCTAATGAAGCCGTTTTTCGCATCTGCCGTCATGGGAGGATTGTTCCATTTGCGCTGAGATTTGAGAAACAGGGCGAAGGAGTTGGCCCCAATATGAAGAGCATTCGATACAGAGTTCTGGACACCTATGGGAAACAAATGGTTCAGTATGAAGGATTTCTTACTACTACATTTTCATACAGGTAAAGATTGGTAAAATACCTCCCGCAGCGCTAATATGAGCGCCAATATACATGGCCTTGCTCAGCGAAGATACAGCGGTTCTCTCTACCAAGGGCATTTCGTCTTCGCCTCCTTTGGCTTGGCTCTTGCGCTTTTTCACGGCCTTTGAAGCTTGGGCCTTGCTATCAGAATCCGGTGCCGAATCTGCCTTTCGTTTCGCCGCAATTGCTGGCGTTGCTGGCTTTATATCCTTGGAGTCGATGTCGTCGTCTTCACGCTTGATGATAGCCTTCTGACTACCTCTGGCGGGACGAGGCATCCTGAACGCGTAACTGGGTATTTGGTGCTCGGATGAGTCGGTACTGGTGATGATATGCAAAATCAAGGGCAAAAAATCATCAAAGAGGCGGAATTGCTTTTGAGAGAATGGAAATGGTCTTGTGAACGTCTTCGCGGCGCAGGGAAGAACCGCGTCAGAACTTGGACGCGAAGTCAGGTGACTCTTAAACAGCCCGCCACTTACATCAATCGCAACACATTAATTGGGCGATTCCTATAACAATCAAGAGGACGAAGATAAATTGAAAGCTACTGCAAGAGCTATTTGATAACAGAGGAGTGATAAAACTGCCTGAAGAACACAAAAGAGAGAAGAGAAGAACAGAAAAAGAGGGGAAAAGAAGGAACGCTGCTATGGTCCCAAGATCTTAACCAAAGGCCTGCCTTGCAATGTATTGATTCATAATTCATGACGCCCCCAGTATTTCAACATGCCATCGACAACTTCATCGCTAACGACAGCCCATAGACTGCTGTTTTCATTCTGTTTTACGCATCCAAGTCCAGTAAGCCATTATCCTTATCCCAAACTTATTAAAACCACACACTGAAAGGTGGGGGGAGCAAAGAAAAAGAGCAACCAAAAGCCGAGATATCAGTGAGAAAAGCCAAATTAAGAGGAAATAACAAGGTCGGATGTCCGACCTTTGGCAAATTGGTCTTTGTAAGTATCCCATATCTTTTGAATCTCCTCGACGTACAACTCGTGATAACGATCCACATCCTCTTGGAGCGGTTGTTCACAAGGCTCCGAGTTGATTCGGATGGGCTTCCCTACAACGATATTGACAGGTCGACGGTAGGGCATGAGACCAACATCGTAATTGAGGATTCCTCGACCGTGAAGAGCAGGAAGCGTGAACTTGAACACCTTGAGGACAAACATTTGGAACTTGTGAACCATCGGGTGTGTCTTCGGACTAAGCTGGTCGTATAAGTCGTTTTCTCCAAAGGCGATGACAGGGACCAGATCAGCTCCCGTACGCAGAGCCATCTTTACAAAGCCTTTCCGCCCCTGGAGGATAAGCTGTAACGTGCCTGGCTGAGCTTGCAAGGATTCCCGGGCTCCGCCAATGACGATGGTAACGGCGCGGCCTTTTCCATCATTCTTGGGACCACCCTGCATCAAGATATTCCGTATGGATTCCTTGGACACTGAGGCCATTCCCATTGCTAAAATGTAGTCGCGATAAAAAGGAAGTCGAAAGTTGGACTCGAGCGTCAACAGAGTATTGGTGATGCCAGGGAACTTTTCATCGAAGCCTAGGGCACTTGTGCCAAAGGCGCTCCAGGCGCCGTGCGAGATGATGCCATGCGGATGATAGCCAAAGATGTACCTCCTGTCCGCCGGAAGATTGTGCGTTTTGTGCAGCCTCATAGGGAAATACGCCGCAAAGAACTTCCACAGGGGCATGGACCGGAGGTACTCTGATCGATAGCTGAGCTTCCCGTTTGTGGCCGCGTTGGAGAGGGTCAGATGCACCAGATACGGCACCAAGATGGGCCAGGTCAAAGGATTGGCGCAAGTGAACCAGAACATGGAGATCAAGACAACGATGGTCATGCAGTGGTAAAACACAGCGGCGGTTTGCAGTCGGCGAGGGAAGGGCATGCGCAGCGGAGCAAAGCGAATGCCTCCCGCCCTCCAGGCGCCAAACTCGTAGCTCTGGGGGTTTCCATCGTCTGGCAGAGCAGGATACGACGATGCTTCGGCTTTTTCGATGTTGGCATGGTCGCCGTTGGTCAAGATGGTGACAGGAGGCTTCGCAGAGCCGTTCTCGTCGCTGCGCACCATTTTCCTAGCTGCCTTCATTGTAAGGCCGGCTCGCGATGGGCCTTGCGCAGTGTGTAGGCTATGCTTGTCGATGAACTCTGGCGTCTACTTGAGTTTCAAGCTTCAAGCAGCATTGATACTCGATCGGACTCGCTTCGTCGGCAGGGTTTGTGGCTCGTCTTGACTCTGCCGCTTGACCCGAGGGTTTCGCGCAAATCGCCTTTGTTGATGGAACGGTGGTGCGAAAGGCGAAGTGCGGGCGAAGACGGTTGGTCGCTCTGCTCTGCTGGGACCTCTTTCTCCCTTTCCTGTCTTTCCTTTTTCTTCTCTTGTACTCTTTCGTGTCTCTTTTCTTCTTTCGTTATCTCTTCTTGCCAATCTCCTCCTGTCAGCTTAACGAGCTTCAGATGTGAATAGCGCAAGCCTCGGCGCGCCACGAGGCACCTTATACCGGCATTCCAGAGCCCATTACCTCATCGATGCGCCAAGCTTCAGGCTGTGCTGCCCCTGGACAGTGACGTGACCGTGCAACGGCTACAGTGCACCTACAGTGCGCATGTGAGATTGCGCCACGGAGAACCAACGTATTTGACATCAATGCATGTGCTCACCCAATCAATTAGCCCATACCCCGGCTACGGCTTGTTTTACTGGCCATAACGATGGATACTACGAGAGACCTAATGTATGGAGTATTTATGGCAGCTTTGAAGCAGTATAGGCCCTCAAGGCCCTTCAATATTCCTTTTGAAATATCATATCGACTGTGATATTACTCGGCTCTGAAATTGGGGGCTACATGAGAACAAGCGTTGCTCCATTCCTGCAATACTCTACTCCTAAGCTGAAAACAAAAGACATAACCTTTCCGAGAATGCCATAGCTAGAGGTAATCGCACAATTCTGTATACTACAACGTGATGAGAACAAGGAATAATCGTAATATCCGGTCGCCATCTTTTAGCGTGAAGGTTTCAACCATCCGCCCCAGATTCCCAAACCTGAACGCCATTTCCCCCCTTGATACGACTCTGGCCCCGATCCGAAAAGAGACCAACAAGACGCACCAGAGAAAAAGAAAGCAAAACGCATTCTAATGTAGATCCACTTAGGTCCTCCTAAAACACCATGGCGCTTTGTAATGAGGCGGGTCATTCTAGGACTTCTCATCCAGCAGGAACCCCTTCACGACTTTCGAGCTGCTTTTTAAGGACAGACATCTCGTGGTCAAGCAAAACAACCTTGTCTGACAGCGACTTGACCCTCTCTTCCAGCGTTTGGATGTAGGCCCACACGCTTGGATCGCTCTGCGCAAACATGTTGCCACTATCACCGCTAGAAGCGGTCGCCGTTGGCGGTCGGCCGTGGGAGAATCCTGGAGAGCCCGTCGAAACGTATCCCGGGTGAGTCAATCCAGGCAACTTAGGCCTGTTTTGTCCACCGTGAGGAGACTGCATCTCCGACTGTCGCCTTCCCATCTGCTGCTGCTGTAGTTGCTGAGACAGGCTAGGCGATCGTTGCCGTACGACACCAGTGCCGTCGTGGCCTTGGACACCGCCAGGACTCAGTGGCTTCCCGGCTTCCGGCACACCGGTCTGTGAATAGAGGCCTGCATTCCCGCCGCCAACCGCCACGGAAGAGATGCTGGTATTAGGGGTATGGCTGCCCCCAATGCTAGTTGACACGCTCGAGCTGCCGGTGCCAACAGCTTGATTCTGGCCGCCGCCGGGGGCATACAGACCGGCGGCAGCTGTAGTTCTCGCTCCAGCCGGAGGGTACGTCCGAGAATGGCCGCCGTACTGGTCCGGTTGACCACCCGGTATGTGCTGGGCAGTCATACTGGGCAAGCTCTGTCGCCTCAGCTCTTCTTCCTCAGGGTTCTCGTAGGCAATGCCCGACATGACAGCTTCATCTCCGTCCATGCCGCCATCCAGCTCATCTTCGCCGGCAAAGCTGCCCATGCTCGATCGTCTGCCTGCACACCCGCCCAGTCCCTTGCTGTGGCGAGCAAGGGCATCACCTCGAGCAAACTTGCGGTCGCACTTAGGGCACACATGGTTTTTCTCGCCCGTGTGAAGCTTGCCATGGCGTTTCAAGTCATGGAGACGGCGGAAGCGCATTTGGCAGTCGGTACATACATAGGGCTTTTCTTGACTATGCGTCAGGAGATGGCTTTTGAGGTTATGGTGCCGAGTAAATTCGGTGTTGCAGTATGGGCACTTGTGCTTCTTGTTTGCTGACGGTGGCGGAGAGCCCTGACTTTGGGTGGGCATCGGAAAGCTCATGCCACGGACTGGCGATTCCGGCATGCTACCACTGGTTTGCAAGGAGCCAGGATACGACAAGGATCCGGGCTGTTGCCGCTCTTCCTGCACGGCAACCTGTTGAGAGACGAGCGATTCGCCTTTAACGTCGACATCCATGGCTGTAGGGCTCTCGGTCACTTGCGCACCGGCAATGCTCGTTGGGCTCTGTGGAGTCATTTCGCTCCGTTCATCGATGCGATCGCCGCTGCTCTGTGATATGGACAAGGCAGCCGTGGCAAGCTTGGAGGAGGGCTCCATGGTGGCCGTAGGGGCCAGCTGAGGCGCGTCTGATGGGCGGCTCATGGCTTGAGTTCCTGCAGACAAGAGGGAGAGGAGGGCTCGCTGAGTAGGGTTCTCGCTGTTTGCGCGTAGACCGGCTGTCTGGTCGTGCTCGGCCTCCTCGTCCGCTTCTTCTTCTTCTCTACGCCGTCGCTCGTCTTCCAGAGCCGCGGCGCCGGTCAAGGCAGGCAGGGATTGGCCAGTTGCCAGCAGCAGCCTGGCGGATTTCGACGGGGGCGATTGGGAACTGAGCCGATGGGAGGCACGCGACGACTCGGAATCAGATTCGCGACGGCGTTTGGCCAGTCTCGCGACGTCGTCCAAAGGGAGAGCCGGGGGAGGGGTTGGAGTTGGGCCAGACGAGAGTGGGGTTTCGGTTGCAATGGCAGCGGCGGGAGAGGCCATATGAAGATGCAATGGCCAGGAGAATGCAGGCGACGGCGAGTCCAGAGAGACGGAGGGCATGCAGTCGCAAAGTCGAGGCAGCTAAACCAGCGACACCATTTCGAGGCTGCTCGAGGTGTGGCTGGAGATTGTGGCGAGAGCTAGGGTAATTTTTGCTCCTGGGATTGCTCCGGCAGCCTTGCCGCACAGAAACGCTGAGTATTCAACGGCAACACAGGCGGATGGCATGGAGCAGGCGGGTGCTCGGCGTGGTCCCGGAATTGGCAGGCGATGGCGATGGCAGAAGGCGGTGATGATGGTGATGGATGGAGATGGAGATGTGAATTGGGGCTGGATGACAGGCTGGGGATGGGAGGAAGAAGATGGTGGTTGAGGTCTAGCCTTAGCGCAGCACGCGTGCTGGGTGCTTGTGCTTGTGCCTCTGTTGTGCAGCCAAGGGCGGTGGACAATAAAAGGCGGACAGTGGGCTGCCTGCGCCACACTCTTGTCATTGGGCGCCGCGTCGCCAGCCTGCACCGCGGCACCTGCCGGATGACATGCCTCCAACCAGAGCGAAATGCACGGGGGGGAATTATTAACACAGGTAGGTTCGCTCTATTGCAGCAGGTATTAGACATGGGCTAGTTATTATTAACGTGGGAGGCGATGGAGAACGGATTTGAAATGCAATACTATTTATTATAGACGGCTTCTTGTGGCGAGCATCTTACAGTAAGAGGGTGAGTGGGCAAAATCCACACAGGAATGGAAGCACAGGGCGGTACCTACCTTGCGGCGTACTCCGTACGGTTCTCTCTTGTTTCTCGTCTTCCAAAAGCCCCATAGATGGCATCATGGACTGCCGTTGACGGAGAGTGGATCAGCATAGAACAGTGTACAGTACCAACTACATCTCGCGCACGGAGCACAAATGTGTACATGCGAGTACAGCCCTCGCCTGCTCCGCCCTCCGGCTATTACTTGTCAAGTGCCTGTATTCTCGTGTTTTCGGTGGCATGTCAACAAGGAAATAATCACGGCCAAACTAGCGTCCACCGCGATCCGCAGCTGCCGTAGTGACAGCGACTGTACGAATGCAGCCAAGTAGCGGGTTAAGGCACCACATGGATAGATTCTCGCCATAATACTGTACCTCCGTTCTCCCGCCCTCCTCGGAACAATCCTCAGCCTCTCTGTCACCGGCTATCAGAAGCCGAAACTTGAGATAGTGCCCGTGACGGCATTGCTCTCAACTGCGCACTGTGCATATTCCTTCTTGATCACGGAGCCGACTCCAGTCTTCTCTCTGCCGAGGCCTCGTAACGCTGCTGCTACCAAGTACCCAAGATCTTAGTCACGTCGGAAATTGCAACAGAGCGGGAACTCAGCCTGAATTGTCTACCAGGTACAGTACACGGAGTAGTGAACTCATGAACTGACAAACAGCCATCGCGCTGACACATCCCACGTTTGTTTGCACCCCTTCCCTTCCACACGAGAGACGAGCTACTACAGCTTCATATTAGTCCCGTCTTAGTCTCAGCCCGCCGGTGGCAAAATGCTGACAGGCGGATGGGCCAGTGGCTGGTAAGCCCAGAGCGTGCAAGCTGATTTTGTCAGCCATGACTTGGCCGAGGCCAGCCTGCATGCCGCCACAGTCATGTCCAGTCATATCTGCTGAAGAAAGCTTGAGAAGAATAACTCTGCATTATCTGCATGCACGGCGTCGGCGGCAGTGCCACGCCAGCGCCCGTTTCTTCAGGTGGGAGGCTCCCCCTATGTTTATATCCGTGGCTGGAGAGCGATGCCCCTGCTCGAGGATGAATTGGTTGGTCGACCAATCAACAAGTCACGTCCTCTGTTGCTCTGCATGAGCTGTGAGGAGTAAGTAGCTGTGTATCCGGCTTAATTCCAATTCCAGTTCAACGCACTCGAGACGGAGCCGCATGTTCAATTTCGATGGCGTACATGGGAAGAGGAAGCAAGTTAATGCCAATCGCTGCAGGTGTATTGCCGTCATCTCATATGGGTTAGCCGGATGCACCATTAGTTACCTCCTCCTTGGCGCTTCTAGACTGCCAGTACACTTATCTCGCTGTACTTCATGCCTCGTACAAGTAAACCGACGGCCGTGTCTTGTCGCCCTGGTGCAGATACGAAGGCGTAGGTTTTGGCAATACCTACGCTCTCCGTGCTGTCCAGGCCTTCTGTACTGTACAATCGTCCCTACAAAACTGGGTCGCGTCGTGGCGGTGTTGAGCACCGGCCACTAACTCAAGCGGCCGAGCATCAGCCACTGGCACCGCTACGAGAAGAGCTCTCCACTGAGCCTCCAAAGCCGAGGCGTCAGATGGTGAGCGCAACTGGTCAGATATGAGTGAACTCTCTTTTTACCGACCTTATCTTCCTATCTCGCCTTTATAGCCTGTACCTATCTATTAGGTATGATATTGCTCATCCCAAACCTCCTCCATGCATCAGTATTTCTCAAGGATTTTGTGTCAAGAATTCCTCTCTGCATCCCACATCAGCACGTGTGCAAGTCAGTCTGCCACGTTGCCCAGCCACAGGGCAGATAGACTCGGCACAAGTAGCCAAATGGATCTTGGCTCAGCCACTTGAGCGACGTCATCTCACAGGCTATTTAGCCCTTGTTGGGCCAAAGTACTACCCTATTGCTGCCAAGAAGATGAATGAAAAATGCCCTCCATTTCTGGTGATGGATCTCTCCACGGCAGACCCTGGCCTGTCGTATCCTGTTTGATAGGGACGATGGCACAACTACCGGTTTCAGGAACAGCAGACCGATCCTCTCGAGAAAATAGGTGGGATATTCCTTGGGAGCGCGTACAGAATGTACCCAAGTGATTATCCCGAATAACATCGACCTATAGGGTATCATAACCTAACGCTGTAGTAGAAGCATTTCCCATATGGACTTTATTATTTTCCAGAAGCAAGAAGTGCGATCGCATTCTCCGATAAGCGCCAATGCCGGCATACAATAGGCGTTTAGCAGTGGCATCTGTATCTCGCATGGGGTAAGTTCAGCAATACTGCACTCATCCTACGGCATATATCAGATAACGCAGCCATTAATTTATCAAAACCTACCATGGCAGAATCTATATGACGTACAGTATGCCTTCTGTGGTTGTGCGGGCAGTGGTGTGCTGCTTGCTGTCTGTGTCACATACCCGCGCTCCATATTTCCTCTGCCAACACGGCCCGTTGTTATTATTAGCAAAACCTGGCATGCCCTGTCTCGGGGTTTTAGTTGGCTCCAGACAAAGAACAGCAACCCCCCGTCTCAGACAAAGCTAAAAAAACACAAAGGAACAAGAAAAGAACGAACGTGTCCCCTGAGCTCGAGCCAAGACGTTCCGCATGTGCGGAAAACGAGCGCCATTCTCGCATTCCTCTGGTCCAGAACTGCTGCGACTTACTTGGCGGCATACACGTGAGATGGCGCGTGGCTGGTGCTCTGCGCGAATTACATAATGGCTGACAGCCGCGGCGTGCTTCGCAGAATGCCATCCGTCGCAGCTCGATTCTGCAGTCGGAAAATAATAGGGATGCTACTGTGCCGTATCTGACGCGCATTGCACTAAAGACTCGACAGCTTTTGACGTCGATGGAATACAGTTCTTATACGCCACCTAGTACATTTACAGGTAAGAGGCATTCTGTTAGTTAGTACCCGTACTAGGAAGCAGTATGCAACACTTGCGCCCAAAGCCTAAGCCGTGTTTTGCCTCGTATCGATTTATGGCTGATTCGGGCTGTTTGGCGCATCGAAGCCTCTTGACAGTACCTGGGCAAGCTGGGCCAGCAGCTGAGAAACCGGCGTCGTCCGTACCCGAAGCGAAGCCCAGCTCAGGAGAAAGCAGGTGTCTCGAACAGGTCTAGCTCCAGGCACCTGTGCCACTAGCTCCAGGCACGAGCACCGCACAAACGCGTATATCCACCAATCCGTCCTCTTGGCTGGAGCTTGGCCGAATGTTCTACGAGTGCTTGTATTGTATTGCGTGTGCAATCTAGTCTAATAAATTACGACATTCACACAAGAAAATAAAACACAATAAAATCCAACAGTTGTTTCCACGTCAAGTACCCGTACACGTAACCAACTAATATAGATATTTAACTACACCATACTGCAACTACACCTGTCACCGTATGCTAATATTACAACATGCTCGCCCAACGAACTTGATGCATGGGCGCCGGCATCCTTTTGCCAGGCGGTGGGTTTGTTGGCGCTTCCACGTCCCATTTTTATTATTCACTGGCACATTAGCACTCGTACCCTATTAAATGAAGTGGCACAAGCGAAATGCATCTGCTTGTGTCCTCGCGCCACCCCGACCGCCTTAGTCGCCTCTCGTCCTACCCAATCGACAGGATTGGCATCATTTTGCACCAGCCCGTCGACTCCATTGGGAGGCTTGGACAGACCCTGGCTTTTTTCTGCTGCTTCTGCGACGATCGTGCACTAGCACTGGTGCCTGTGCTAGCGGCCTCTTTGCGTAGGCCCGGCCGTTTCAGCACAGTGACGAAGCCTCTGTTTATCCGCAACAACGCAAATGCAGCACGGGGATTTTGTGCCAAGCGCCTTGGCCGAGCCGTCAATGCTTGTCCTTGTACGTGTACAGTCCACAGGCATCCCATCCTCTGCTTGTTCAGAGGACGATGGAGAGACGGAGTGAAGAGCGGCCTAATAGGAAGCGCCCCCCTTGGCTCCGGCACAGCATCACGGGCCACGGCTGATGCGAGCTGCCGGATAGCAGGCTCCGTGCCGGCATCATGCAATGAGGAATGCGGTGAGCAACACGGAGCAGCAGCAGTGCTACGAGTACGATACTCATTGGAGAGACGGAGAGAACGACGACTGCGGCTCTCTCTCCTCCCCGCATGGCAAATTGCGGCCTCTGTTTGCTGGCGCATCCCATGAGAGTGCGTGTACAGCTACAAGCACCAATGCAATGCTTCAAACAGCGCCATACTAACATCAGTGTTAGCACCCGTCTTCACACGACTCGCTGCTCAGCTGCAGGTAGCGGTACCTGGATAGCATATTGAAAAGCGCTTTTGGCGCCAGACCGGCGATAGAGGGCAATTTCCCAGAGGCCACCCCTTCTCAGGAGTGGCACCCCCTTGTCTCGCTTTGCATCCCTGGCCTCCTTAGGTTATTGATCTCCGTGGGTCAATGCCATGGAGACCGACAAGGGCCCCCAACCCCCATGCTCCAGCTCCGTTTTTTACCTGTCCTGTCCTCCCTTTTGACGCTTCGTCCTTGTTCATCATCTTCAGTTGCGTTGGGTTCCTTTTTTTTCCAACTGAGAGTTTGCCTGCTCTCCATCACGCTCTTTTTAAAGTCTGGCTCATCTCACTTCCGCTCACTTTCGTATTGATTTATTCCTTTTCTCGACTTCCAGGCAGCTCTTGTTTATCGTCTTCAGGTGAGTAACGACGTCCAGGGAGTCCATGAACAACTCTGGTTGTGCTCTCATCTCACCACCCCCGCCATTCGGTCATCACTCGATCTTGTAGTATGTTCGTCTGAGACTTCATCTAACCTGTGGCAATTCATGAGCAGAACGTATTAGAAACAAAACAAACCGCCAAAATGAAGTACACGATCCTGGCTGCCACACTGGCTGCCAGCGTTGCCGCCTCGCCTTCTCACAACCACCACCAGCACCACCATGCGAAGAAGAACGCTCCTAACAAGGTCGAGAAGCGTGTGGATGTTGTTACCGAGGTTGTCGTCGGACCTACCGCTACCGTGTACCAGCTCGACGGCAAGATTGTCAATCCTGCCGACGCCAAGGCTGGTCTGGCCGACGGTGACTACGTCGTCATTGGAGAGACCACCCCGACTTACGTCCCGCCTCCTCCTCCTCCCCCTCCAGCTCCGTCCTCGACCTCGACCTCGACCTCGTCCTCGTCCAGCGCCGGAGGCATGAAGGCTCAGTTCATCGAAGAGCCCTCATCATCCGCGGCCCCTACTACCACCTCCGCTCCCCCGCCGCCGCCCTCGACCACGGCCCAGCCCACGAGCAGCTCTGCCCCTCCTCCTCCCAAGTCCTCGAAGCCTGCCCAGCCGAGCCCCCCCTCTGGCGGCACCGGGCTGAATGCCGATTTCCCCAGCGGAAAGATCCCATGCTCTCACTTCCCATCCGATTATGGCGCCATCCCCCTCGAATGGCTGGGCACGGGTGGCTGGTCCGGTCTCCAGTTTGTGCCTGGTTATACAGCGGCTTCGCTCAGCATTAGCGAAATCATCACCGGTGTTTCTGGCCAGACCTGCGGCGACGGAGCCATGTGCTCTTATGCTTGCCCTCCCGGCTACCAGAAGACCCAGTGGTCCCAGGCCCAGGGAGCGACTCTGCAGTCCATCGGTGGTCTCTACTGCAACAACGGCTTCCTCGAGCTTACTCGTCCTGACCACCCCAAGCTTTGCGAGCCTGGTGCTGGCGGCGTTAGCATCCAGAACGACCTCGATGAGTCCGTTTGCACATGCCGAACCGACTACCCCGGTATCGAGAGCATGGTTATTCCCGCCTGTGCCAATGCCGGCCAGACCATTCCTGTTTGCAACCCCGACGAGTCTACCTACTATGTGTGGGATGGCAAGAGCACCTCCGCTCAGTACTACATCAACAAGAAGGGCTACGGAGTTGCCGATTCTTGCGTCTGGAACAGCCCTCTCGACCCCAAGGGAGCTGGTAACTGGTCTCCTCTCATCCTTGGTGTGGGTAAGACCGCTGGTGGCTTGACCTTCCTCTCCATCTTCCAGAACCTTCCCACCAGCACTGCTCTGCTGGACTTCAACGTTGAGATCACCGGTGATGTTAACAGCAAATGCTCGTACATCAACGGTGTGTGGACTGGCGGCAGCAACGGCTGCACGGTAAGCATCCCTCCCCCCAGATTTAAAAAAGAAGAAGAGATAGAGGAGTGAAAAACTAACGAATGTGCGAATAGACTGCCATGCCCGCTGGTGGTAAGGCTATTGTCCGATACTTTTAAACAACGGTAGCCTCGGAATGACGGTTCCTATTTTTGGTTTATTTTTTCCAGTACCATATAATTGGATAATTCGTGTGCATATTCGTTTCCTCGCAGCACATTGGTGGAAGGGGGAGAAAATGGTTGTCCTTATCTAGTCATCTTCGCCGCGTTATAGAGGGGGATGCGTCGAGGGAGGGAGGGAACTCGCGATACCAGGAAGGCCATTGGGGGGAAAGGAGAGAATGCGGCCTTTCACTAATGCACTTGCGCCTCTCTTCTGCTATTCCTGACTGCATGGCCGCCATGTCGTCGCGTGTGATATACTAGTAGACATACGCCCTGCCCTGGTGGCGAACAGTTTTGGGTTCTCATTTTAATGCTTTTTTTTTTTGTCTGTTGTCTACGGGTTATTGTTTCCAAATTAAAGAATCTGCTCACGCAGTAGTTGGTCCTGGGGTGAAGATATGATGAGTCGTTTGATATATTAGAATTCCATGGCAGTTCCTACCCCTGATTCCCTCTCCTTTTGTAGCTGCTCGTTCCTCTCTTCCTGGTCCTCTTTTAACCTTTCCTCCACATCATCTCTAAAGCTGCCCAGGTCTGGAGGGATGACCTGCATCTGTACGCTTGGCGCACTCTCGACGAACCGTAGTTGCTCTGTGACGTGCTGAATGATTTCCTGCAAACGCTTCTGGGGGTTGCGATTCTGTCGCGGCTCACCCAAAATCTGTTCAAGGGTTGGGAAGAGGGTGTCCTGACGGAACTGTTCTCTCCACGGGGCATGCTCCGGCAATATAGGGCTGATTTTGTCCTGACAGTTGATGGCTATACTTGTCTCGTATGTCCAAGCTCGTGCTACATTCCGGGGAGTGTAGCCGCCGCCGCCAAAGAGGATCATGGGAATATTGAGTCTCTTGCAGAATTCAACACACGCTCCATGTCCCTGCACCTGAAGGTTGAATCGACCCAGGCGATCTCCTGCGAGAGAATCGGCACCACATTGGAGTGCAATGGCACTTGGTCGGAATTTTTCGACTATCTTGCCGATGATGTTGTTAAAGAGCATGTCGTACTGTTCGTCTGTAATACCGTCGTTGAGTGGAACATTGACGGCATGGTGGGCTCCGGGATTATGTTCGCTCTTAGGTCCATTATCGTCCAACGCACCAGTGCCAGGGAAGAAATTGTTGGGGTCGTATTTATGAAAGGAGACTGTCATGACTCTGTCGGTTGAGAAAAAGGCCTCCTCAACACCATCGCCGTGATGTACGTCAATGTCGATATACAAAACACGTGGGTAGAACCGCAGCAGCTCCAGAATGGCAATAACAATATCGTTGATGTAACAAAAGCCAGAGGCCTCGGCCTTTTTGGCATGGTGCAAGCCCCCTCCCCAAGCAATAGCAATGTCAGACTGTTGGGAAACAATCTTCCTGGCGGCATCAAGCGCACTGCCAGCAGACATGGAGCAATAATCATAGAGGCCGTCGAATAAAGGGCAATCGGAGCCGCCTAGGTTGTATTTCAGATCCGGATTTTGGTTCTCAAGGTCCCGAGGAACTGCCTCCGGAAGAACAGTGCCCAGAAAGTCGAGATAGTCGGTGGAGTGGAAGGACGCCAGCTCCTCGTACGTAGCGGCCCTGGTTAGATAGTTGTCCATGGCAAATGACATGCCATATGAGTAAATCAGGCTCTTGGATAGCGTCAAGCGCCAGGGCTTCATAGGATGTGTCATGCCGAAGTGGTGCTTCTCCATCTCGGGATTGCAGTGAAAAGACACATTGTAGCCTTTGGGGCGAGTGATGCCCGACGATTCAGCCAGACGTTTGCACTGCTGGTAAAACTTTGCGTTTTCTGCGTCGTTGGCTATGCCGAGAGGCTGGACGTATTCCTCTACGATGTCGCCATCGGGATCGATGTCCAGTTTATGAGGGAGGTAGTTTGGTTTAGGAACCCGAAACCTGTAGTTGTCCATGACGGATGGTAGAGGCGAATCGGCCGGGTGATTAAAAAGTGATAAAGATAGTGCGTGATGAAGATTGCATCAACGGCTGAGAATGTAGCGCTGAGAAGGTAGACGGGATGAATGACTTGAGTTGCGTCCACTGTGGCTCTCAGTACACAGCTATAACTGTCAAGGGTCAAGGGGTGAGGCTGCCGATTCAGCTGCAGCTAGCATTATGCAGCTTCATCAAACGCATCCCAATGTGAACAGCCGAGATTGTGTTACTATTTGCTGAGGCCAGGTTGGTCTTTTCTTTTGGCCGCTCTGAGCTTGTTAAGGTATAAAAGTATAAAGCGGCAGTAGCATGAAGAAGGGGACCAAGAAGAGTGAGCGAACGCCACCAAAAGCTTCGAGCTGCCAATCTGGCTGGAGTCACGTGGAAGCAAAGTTGCTGGGCTTACATATGGAATCGTGGCTGCTGAGATAAGGTTGGTCGAATCCACTGAGGAAGGAGTACTGCCTACTAATGTAAGAGAGACCTGCAGGCACTGATTGGACCTTGGATGATCCTGATATAATGAGTAAGCATAGGTGGAAAGCTGGTAGCCGCTCTTGACATTTAACCAAACCTAGTGATTTCATCTTGTTCTTTACCTTACATCCCAAGGCACTACTTACCTAGATTTGTCCCCCAGCTCCACTGGAACTAGCACACCAAGGTACCTGTACTTGCCTGCAGCTTTACGGAACATTTCCCTTCTGACCCTCTGGCTAAGCCTCGGAATTTGTTTGCCACCCGACAAGTTCGCTGCATCCGCCCCAATTCGAACGCACCGCTTCTCTCTAGGCCTGCATAAACCTCGAAGCTCCGCCCATCACTAATTCTGCATCTCTTCCGAACCGGCAATCCAACCAAGTTATTTGTCTGCCAAGTTTTAACGCGCTGCCGCATCTCCATCTCCATCTCCATCTCCATCCGCCTTCAACCGGCCCAAAGCAGGACAGGCGCCGCAGTTTCAGTGGCATCGAGGTGAGCCCGGCCCATTTATCGAGTCGCTCTGCGCCCGTGTTTGCGTTGCGTTGCATTGCTCTGCGTTGCTCTGCGTTGCGTTGCGTTGCTCTTGACAACGGCTTTTTGCTCTGGGATAGGGCTGGTTGGACCCGTCACATCCACATCAGCTGGAGAACTCAATCATTCGTTGGAGACGTCTCCTTGCGGGGACTCTGGCCAGCTGGTGATTGCTTTTTCTTGCTGCAGAGCTACCGTCATGCACGCTCGTCTGCCTATCCATCTGCTCTGCCTGCTCCGTGTCCCCAACTAGATGGCCTCTGCCTCTTCTCTTCTCTTCTTTTCTTAAAGAGTCTTGTCTATTTTCTTTGCAGCATCTCCTATACGGCGAATACGGGATATATGGGACCGCAACAGTCGCGTCCTGGATGCACATGGCCTGATATCAGCACCGGCCTACTTTTTCGGTCCATCTATTCCCGTTTCCCGTAGCCTACGCTATTGCTTCTGCTGTGTACTCTATTTGAATGCTTCACGAACAACTTTACACTATCCTTTTCAAAAAAACCTTTCATTTTCATCAAGTCATATCAGTCTTAGAGACTCATCTGCTAGCCTGGGCGTCTCATCGCTGGTTATTGCACCCTATCCATCATCTGTTCATCGTCAAATTTGTGGACTCGGCGTCGCCAAGTCGTTAACCATCATGCCTAGAGACGATTTGTCCATTGACTTCGTCAAGAGGATGCCGCAGGCCGAGCCTCTAGACCCCGGCTTGATCCTCGATGACTGGATCAACCGCGTCCAGAATCTCCCCGAGGAGATTCGCTTTATTCAAGAAGAGATTACAGACAAGGACCGCCAGTATAATGAGTGCATCCGCATGATCGAAGACCGTGATGGAAAGATCCAAAAGTGGATAAAGACGAATGGGAGCCATGAACCCAACCCAAAGGAGGATATGCTGCGGGCCCAGATTCGCGAAAACTATGCCCGCGCTGATCAGTTTGCTCAAGACAAGATCAACCTAATGCAAAGGCTACAGCTTGTCATGGACAAACATCTGCGGAATTTGGATATCCAGATCAAGCTGCTCTACGACCGTGCTGAGCCTGGCTTCACAGACCCTGACGAGGTCCCTTCACTCCTCCGCCCCAGTGCGACGAATCACAGCGCTCCCTCAGCTCGCACTCTCAACCTATCCAACAACATCAATCCAGCTGGTCCTCTGGCTTCACCTCGCAACCCTATTGCTGGCTCTGCCAACCCAGCCATGGTTCGGCTACCCAACCACCCTCAAATCAGACATACTCAGGCGCAGCAACATGTTGCGCAATACCAGCAGCACCCATCCTCCGCACCGGCCACGCCAGCTGCAAGCATAATACTGAATAGACAGCGTGAGAGCTCAGCGGGCCCGGCAACTAAGAGAGGGCCGCGATCAATAACGGGGCCCGGAAACTTGCCTACAACCTCTAGTGGTTTAGCGAGACATTCATCCCTTGGACCTGGTATACCTAAGAGCGGTTCTGGAGCTAATTTGGGGGCCGGTGGTGCTGTTAGAGCAGGCAGTGCTGGGCCGAGAGCAGGATCAGTCAAAGGGGCGGTTGGAGTAGGAGGTCGCAGAGGCACCCCGACAATAAGTGGCCGGAAGAAACCACCTAACAGGTCATCACTTTCGCGGGTGAAGAAAGCCTCAAACAGAAATTCGCCTGCATCAACGGCAGATAGTGATTTATCAGACGCTGGAAGCGGCAGCGGCGAAGAGGATGACGGTATAGAATCACGGCCGAGAGCCACCTTGGCGGATGGCAAGGATGGGGATGAAGTGCTCGGAGACGCCGATGACGATGAAGACGGTGGTGATGACAAACGGTATTGCCTGTGTCATAACGTGAGTTATGGTGATATGGTGGCTTGCGACAACGATAATTGCCCCTATGAGTGGTTTCATTGGTCGTGTGTTGGGCTGAAGAGCGAACCCAACGGCACTTGGTATTGTCCTGAGTGTACCGAAAAGTTTCAACGTAAGGGGAAGTAAAAAACATGTAGTTATGTTTGCGCAAGAATTTTTAATATTACAAAACTGCTGCTGGCGATCTATTATTTGTGTGTTGACTTGTTAGTGAGCTCCAGGGAGTGCTCTCGAAGTTATCATTCGTCTTTGAATCGGCAGAGTCATGAGGCCTCATGACTGCTGCTGCAAGATGCAGTGAACAACACCGCGTCGTACGCCCTCGCTCTCCTCTCTTAGCTCTGAAACTGTGGCGCCTTTTGACCGGGCCGCTTCGATGAAGTCGTCCAGCGAGCCACCAACTCCAAAGTATAGTCTTTTTGCGGCTACATATGCAGCTGCTGTAGCACCAGAGCCCCTTTCTTGTTCTAGGATGGTAAAGATTGTTTGTGTAAATGCCTGCAGGGCAAATGGGGAGTAGATGGTCTCTGCGCCCACCATGAGTGTCGTTGGTGCTGGCAGGCCAGTTGAGAAGGCTGGCAAATCGTACAGGCAGCTGATGAACTCGGGGGACCATGCTCCGGAGATGAAGGACAAGTCAATACTGCTGGATGAGAGGAACTGCTCGAAAGCTTGGACTATACTGGGCGATAGTTCAAGCTCACCTTCGATGCTGAAGGCGTCCTGGAGAACCGGATCCTGTGTGTTATGGAGGGCCCAGGCGAGAACAAAGTTGGGCAAGGTGACGAGGCGGAGGACAGATGGGTTGTAGTCGGCCAATACGAAGGAGCAGGGCCTTTGATGCCATTGATTGCGTGATTGTCTTTGCATAATCCAAGTGAACATTGCAAGGGAGGGGAGAGCAGTTCCACAACCCAGCTATTGATTGAGTTGGTTAGTAAGCCATAGTTATAAGAGAACAAAACAGGAGAAGAGAGTTTCGAGAATCTCTCTGTGTGTATGCATACCTCGATTACACGAAAGGACGAAGCCTGCTGAGCGGCAGTCAGCTCATCCTGAGCAGCAAGCACCTTGACGAGATCAATGCTGCTCTCCCAGCTCTTGAAGCCGCCTTCATAGATGCCCGTCTTGACATCATGCTTCCCCAGCCCTCCATCGTCGACCCGATCCTCACCATCGACCACCTCGTCATCCTCAGCCATGAGCTGCACCCTTACATCCCATAGTTCGCGGCGAGGCAGCCGCAGGCGAGTCTCACTGGCGCCATCGTCGGCTACGTCGATGTCCAGCAGATCGTAGGCGAGTTTGGATGGCAGCTGTGAGAGAAAGTCGGATAGGGCGTGGCGAGTTGCTGGTATCTGGGGCTTGCCGGCGACGGGGAAAGCGCTGTATGAGGCTGGGGCTTGGGTTTGGGATGTGATGGCTGGGATTTGTGTGAGAGACTCATCGACGTCGTGCTCTATGTCGTCTCCAGAAAAGCCAAATGAGAAGGACATGGTTTTTGTAATGAGGTGGTGATTTGTTTGCTTTTTAGCTTGGTAAAGTGAATATAATGTATTTAGTTTAAGTGAGAGTTTGTGAAGAGAAACTCGAGCAAACTGAGTGAATTCGTGAAGAGAATTCGTGAAGAGAATGTAGAAAGTTATGGACTGATAAGAGGAATATTTCAAAGATTCAGTTGTCGTGCCCTCTGGTTGGTAGTGGTGGGGCACTCATTGACCATTTGTTAGCAAGGGAAAAAAAAATTACAGGTACCTGCGCCTGATTTGGGTCTAGAGACGGGACCTCGGGCTAGAGGTTTAGTGTTTAGGAGGTACCTACAGCGGTTGGGATTTCTAAAGAGACTTTGTGTCTTTGTGTGAAATACTGACTACTTGATGAGGCAGACCATGGCAGCATAACGGCTCTAGCTCTTTTTCTGTGGTTTGCACCTGTCTTAAGGCCATCTTGTCTGCATTTTTTCAAGAGAAAATAATTTTAGTCATTGTCACCGAGACGTCGACGTCACACCCGTCCCATCTAAGCATCATCTCATCTCATCTCGTCTCATCTCATCTCATCCGTCACCACCAGACATGCGCCCATCTCTCGCAAAGCTGGCATCGGCCGCGGCCATGCAGAGCGGTCTGCGGCCCAAGCCCATGGCTCTCCTGCCCCCGATTCCCCTCTACCGCCGGCTTTTGCGCGCCCACCGAAAATTCCTTCCCGCGGAAATGCGGCTTCTCGGCGACGAGTATGTCAAGGCCGAGTTTCGAGCTCACCGGAACGTGGACAATCCCGCGCATTTGGTACGTGTGAATGGATGAAGGAAAGCCCGGGGAGATGAGAGTATCTGTCCCTTTTCAATCTGTTTTTGAGTGTATGTGTGGTTGACTTATCCCTTGGATTTCCGGCTTCTTAGATTGGCTTCCTTTCGGAGTGGCAGATGTATGCCCAGCAGATTGAGGGCGAATCTTGGGTGGGTGAGAAGATTGATCAAGGGAAACTTCAGAAGATGAGCGGTAAGTGTTTCACCAAGATATCTCCATTTACCAGTTCTCTTGCTAATGTATGCATACCTGTTTAGACGAACAAATCCAACAGCTGTATGAGTTGATGCAGGCCATCCAAAAGCACCAAAACGGAGAAGACGCTGAGTGATTCACCATTCGGTACGAGTCTCACAGACGTTTAAAATTGTAGAATTAAACTGTAAATTTAAGAGCTGTACATGTATTTATATATTTCTAGCATCTAACAAAATTTAGAGGGTATCTCTTTATCGCTCATCTACCTCCCCAAGGCCTCGGCAATCCATGCTGCCTGGATTGCACTCACTTTCTTTGCGTAATTCTTGTTCGTGTACACATGCTCAAGGAACATGATGGCTTCCTTCTTTTGCCCATGCATGACACTGGAAGGATGGATGGCAACTACATGCTTGCCGTGGACAGTCACGAAGCTTCCATCTGGCGCCAGCATAGCCGTCCTCATTGCGAAGCCTCTCAGAAAGCACTTGATGACCGCCTCTGCCTTTTCAGGCGCCAGAGGGGTGAACGGCTGAGGATCCGGCGGCGGCATTTCTGAAAGAAGCTTTTCCTTCAAGCACATCCCTCGAAGCTGCCGGCGGATATTCAGCGCCTGCTTCATGTTTCGGATGTTGATTTTGCGCTTCTTGCACCACTCCATTCTATCCGAGTTCTCTGCAGTGTACATCTGCATTGTTGTCAGATATGTGATGATGTCGCCCTCTCGTCTCTGGATATCCTTGCGATATGATTCTACTTCCTCTGCGCCTTCTTCTGACTGTACATGTATGAAAATGTCGTCTCCTGACGTGAGGCATGAGATGGCGTCAATCACCTCTAGGACGCAGTCAAACTCAGGGCCTGCAGCGGCGAGGAGAACAGCACCTAGGGGAGCTGAGAGCGGAAATCGAGCCATCATTTCACCCGCCGGTGTGATGGTGCCGTCGTCTGCGAGAGCTCCAAGGAAATGCAAATGAAGCAACGCCATTTCGATGGCTGCGGGCTCTGGTGAGTCTATCAGTGGAAAGGATAATACATCCTGAATGCCGCGGGCTTTCATGGTAAGAACGGCTCCGAGAACATCATTTCTTAGAATTTCCGGGAGGTCTGATTCTTGTAAACTGTCAAACGCCTCTTCTGTATACAGCCTGAAGCATTTGCCTGGTCCCTCACGGCCTGCACGACCAGCACGCTGCACAGCAGATGATTTAGAAATCGGCTTGGCTAGCAGAGATTCCATGCCAAGCCGTGGTCGATACTGCTTCACCTTGGCTTTGCCGCAATCCACAACATATCTCACACCGGGGACCGTGACGGATGTCTCAGCAATGTTGGTAGCGAGTACGACTTTGCGTGTGAGAGGAGACTTGGCAGGCTGAAAAGCCACCCTCTGTGCTTCAATAGAGAGCTGTCCGTATAGGGGCACGGCGATGATCTTGGGCACGTTGGACGCAAGACTCGTGGCATATTCCTCAATCAGCCGCTGGGCAGATTCAATATCCTCCTGGCCATTGAGGAAGGCCAAAATATCTCCAGGCAACGGCTCTTCCACATGGATTTTGAAAATCTTCTTCAACAGCGCGTCTTGGAGATCGGCCACCGGTCGAGGTTCGTATAATATTGTGACGGGAAACTGCCGACCTTTGATTCGAAGCAACTCGACATTGCTTGCCTTGTCCTTTCCTGGCATAGCTGCATTGCCGAAAAAGTCCTGAATGACACCCACCTCGGCTGTGGCACTCATGATAATCACCTTGAGTGGAATGCCTCCTCTTTGTGTTTTATCCCCAAACAATATCTGTTTCAAGAATCCCGCAAGGAGATCAACGTCTAGACTTCTCTCGTGGATTTCGTCAATGACGACAGCGCTATACTGTCTCAGATAGGGATCCCGGAGAAGCTCCTGCAGTAAAGTACCTTCGGTCAAGAATTTGATCCTGGCACCTCGTGGCACTTGGTGATCGAATCGAACCGAGTATCCGACGAGGCCATCCGGCCTTCCCTTGCCAAGCGGGGTGCCCGCTTCGGTTGAAACACGATGCGCCAGAGTTGTAGCAGCAACACGTCTCGGCTGTGTAATGGCAATCATGCCTCCCACGTATCCGTCTTCTTCCCGGCCTGGTAGCTTAACCTTGTGTCGTTTGCACCAGGATTCTTGATAGAGAAACTGGGGCACCTGCGTGCTCTTACCGGAGCCGGTTTCTCCAACTATCACAATGACATCGGTGCCCAGACGCTTCACGACCGTTCGGATCTCGTCTTGGTGCTGCCATATTGGCAATTCCCGGCGAGCTTTCAGCAATGGATGATCCTTGGCACCTCTTGGATTCCGAGATTTGTTATTTGTCGCATTATTCTCGGGCGATGCCTTTTTTGTCGATTGTTGTGATTGCGATGCAACGTTCGAAAGCTGTTCTTGCGACGGATTTAACGGTGTTGGCTTGAGGCCGTTTGCTTCGACTTGTTTGGGCCGGGAAGATGTAAGATATCCTGCCACCGAGATGGTTTTGCCTCCAATTGTGACGGACCCAGACTCCTGCCGAGTCTTTCGCCTTTTGGGCGCATGTTCTGTGGCATTTGGCGCAGCCATTTTGATAAACAAAAGCGAAAGGCAGAAGATTACGAAGAGGTTGCGCAGAAGATTTGACTGGACATTGTTATTTCCTTCTGTAAGACGTCCGTCAAAATTTCACATGTTTGGATGCATGCTGAGCTAACTTGTCGTTGACCTGGTTTATCGATAGCGGCGAGTCTACGAAAATTCTGCCTTTGTTCCAGTCAGCAAAATTTAGAGAAATGTGTTTATAAATTTACGAATAATATATTTATTAAATAGTTTATTTTATTAATAAGTATTATTATTAGTATATTTCATGTGGATGTAATTAAACTTTGTATATCTATCATATTGTAGAGAATACAATGTTTGTCCATTTAGAGAGGCTTATTAAACTTTTTTCTTAATAGTTATTAGATTTTGATTACCTTATTTAAAATAATATCTTTGATAATTGAAATTTCATAAGGGAAAACGCCTGTAATCTACTTTATGGAGCGCAAGGGTAGGTTAAATATAGATTTTAGGGGCACCAGCACCTGCGGCGGTGTGAGCCTATTGAAACAGGGTCCTGGGCTAGTGGTTCTACGGGGTACGCTTGCAGTGGCTCAGATAGGGAGTCGACACCCAAGCCTCACCACTGCATCTTCTTTCTTCTCTCGTGACATCTCCTTTCTCTCGCATCGATAACGTACCGCCTTTGTTTTGTGTTTGTTCTTTTCCTTGCGAATCGCACATTACTCTCTTTGAATACAGTATTCTTAATCACGATGAAGAAATTCGGCTTCGGCAAGAAGAGCGACGACGGCGACGATTCCAACAGGAATGCCCTATTCGGCAGTCGCAAGAAGAACTCGCCCGCCCCCTCGGACAATCCGTATGCCAACCAGAACCAAGGCACCAACGATCCATATGCCGAGCAAACGAAATATGCCAACATGGGCTCCTATCAGCCAGGCCCAAACAACGGTGCTCGACCGCCTCCTGCTGGAAATGGCTATGGTTCATACCAGAATGCACCCCCCCAGCAGAATGCTTCCCCAGGATACGGCAGCGACCGATACGGCTCAGGCGGTGGCTATGGCTCCAACCGCTACGACAGCGGCCCAAACAACAATGCCTCGGCGGGAGCTAGAGGCCCTGGAGGTTATGGTGGCTTTGGCCGTGATGCACCCGACAGCAACAGAGATGCACTCTTCGCCGGAGCACAAGAGAGACTCGAACAAAAGCAGCAGCAAGCTGTCTCTAATCCACAGTCAGGCACCTCTGGAGGTTCCTATGGAGGCTATGGCGAGCAGCGGGAAATGACAGAGGAGGAGCAAGAGGAGGCCGACTACCAGGCGATCCTTGCCGAGAAGAGACAGGTTCAGCAGGAAAGTGTGGCATCAGTAACACGCTCGGTACAGATGGCCAGGCAAGCCAACGAAGTCGGACGTGCCACTCTGGCTCGTCTTGGTGCACAGGGCGAACGACTGCACAATACCGAGAAGAACCTGGACCTTGCGGCCAACCAGAATAAGATTGCTCAGGACAGGGCAGCAGAGTTGAAAACACTCAACGGCAGCATGTTCGCAGTCCACGTCGGAAACCCTTTTACCTCCAAACAGCGACAACAAAAAGCCGATGAGGAAGTACTGAATCGTCACCGGGCTGAGCGAGAGCAACGAGAAGCGACACGGCGAGACGGCTATGCAGCAACCCAGCGCATGGAGCAAAACATGCGCCAACTCGGGGGTGGCGGCATGGGCCGGGCACAAGGCCGCAAGAAGGATTACGGCAAGTTTAACTTGGACGATGAAGAAGGTGCCGACGAACTCGAAGACCAGATCGACGACGGTCTCACCGAATTGGAGGGCCAGGTCAAGATGATGAACATGGTTGGCCGAGCCATTGGCGCCGAGGTAGATGCCCAGAACACGCAGATCGATCGGATTATGAACAAGGTAATTCAGCCCTGGGACCCCTGTCCCGTGCTCCCTTTGACTCATCTAATACCGGTATCGGATGGCTAACCTAACATGTTATCACAGAGCGATGCTGTTGACGATGCTACGAGAATGAACAGAGAACGGTTGGCCCGTATTAGGTAAAAAACGATTAATAGAGGCTCGGGTCTTAGATAGACTGCTAGTACGACGTTTCATGCTTGCTTTATAGTATAATGTAGTTGATATGTTGTATACATTATATGAGTTTTATATATTTCATTGGATGTCTCGGGCTTCATGTTACTGAAGTGCTGGTAATAGCAGAATGTCTCTGTGGCGACATGTTGCATGTGTTTTACCACTACCAATGCTAACAAAGTTTGGAGATTTGGGCGCCCCGAGTTTACTGCTAGCATAATAGCACCCTCCCATTCTTAGTCATGAGGACCTACCTAGCTGGATTCGGCATCTGTCGGTTCTTAAGCTCTCCTTAGAGGGTACTTCACATTCCTACTGCCGCCGGGTTACATCAGAATGTCACCGCGTGGTATCCCTCTTCCCCCTACTACCAAGGCAGTCATCAGGAGCTCGGTCAGACTTGAGTCACACTTTCGAGCTGGTCAGTGGCTTGGCTTTGCTCGAATGGCCTCGTCCTTTTTTCATCTGATGGCCTGATTTATATTCTTGTATATACACCGTCTTTTCCCTTCCATCTTATTCCAGCCTTCATTCCTTAACATTCCACTCCCCCGTCTTATGCTTTTGTTCATACGTGTGATCCTTGGTCCTCAGGAGGCTCTTCGCATCGCTTGCACAGTGTCGCAATCGCTCCCCATAATGATTCTCATTGCTCGGCATTGCTTTGTGCACGTATCTCGGACCATGAGAGTATGAATCGGCTTGTCTTAGTTGAGCAGGGATATCTTCAGATCGAATTGTTTTAATCACCTCAATGGCCTCTGTCTTCACATACGACCCTGACCCTCCTCGGGTCTCCTCGCCCTGGATTCTGGCCGACGATGCGGACAGCCCTCAGGGGTCCGGAGCCGCGGTGACTCAGACCGGCTTGCTGTCTGAGTATGGCGTCACAAGGCTTGAAGCTGAGCCGCAGACTGGCCCGATCGAATACAAGCTCCATTTGCTATTGCGGTCGCGGCGCAGCTATGTGTACATGAGTACCGTGCACCAGAAAAGAGACAGGCTTCATGCCCAGCCCGGAGATGGGTCGGCAATGTACTCTGCGTCTCCTGCATCATCGAATCAACCGCGCCAGGAGCGTCTCCAACGCCTGACAACGCAGCTGCTATGGCGCTTGCAACAGTCGTCGCCGTACCATGCGACAAGCTCCAGAGAAGTGAGAATTCCAAAGCTATCAGACGGCAAAGATGACGCCAACTTGGATCTATACGGCACCCAGATCCCTGGACTCGAAGAGTCGCAGGGTGCCTTGTATGAGATTGGCGTCTCTGATGACGGAACTCTCATTGGACTCACCAAAGACGAGCTGGATGAGAGTATCGCTACTCTCAGGATCATGGCAGCGAGTCTTGGATGCGGTGTTGCCGTAATGCGGATGGTCATTGTGGGCGACTGTGAATGGATCGAAATAGCAGAGGTCGATGGCGATGCTACCAAGAACCCAGTTCAGGTTTCTAAACAGGATAAACTATGGGTAGCTGAAGCCTTGATAACGCCCAATACTGAGCTGCAGCATTCAAAGTCTCTTACAGAAAACGGGAGCCGCGATGGGTCGAATGGTGGAACTCCTTTGCAATCTTCTGCGTCAAACACAGTGCCAGGCCATGCCAAATCTACAACTCCGCAGCTGCGAGTTACCTTGACGGGCCCTATAGCGTCAGGGAAATCGAGTCTCTTGGGAACATTGTCTACAGGCACTCTGGATAATGGCAGAGGCAAAAGTCGCTTGGGTTTGCTGAAGCATCGTCATGAGATGGCATCCGGAATGACCAGTTCCATTGCGCAGGAGCTCATCGGATACAAGGAAAGGGAAATTTTCAGCTTTTCTCATCGCAACATCGAATCATGGGTTGACATTCATGACTATGCTAGCAATGGCCGACTTGTGTTTATGTCTGACTCGGGTGGCAACCCAAGATATCGACATACGGTCTTTCGTGGGCTTATGAATTGGGCGCCGCATTGGATGGTTCTCTGCATTGCTGCAGATGATGCCGAAGGAACCCCTCGAGCTCATGACATAGCTTCTCCTGCAATAGATTCGGGAGATACTGACTTGGTCAAGGCCCATTTGAATCTTTCGCTCAAGCTCGATGTCCCGTTGGCAATTGTCATTACGAAACTGGATCTCGCATCCAAAGTAAGCCTGCAGAAGACCATGACAAAAATCCTTACGGCCATACGGGATGCAAATCGTATACCAAAGCTCCTACAACCTGACCAGCAGCCACAAGACCAGCTGGCGGAGATTCCACAGGCAGACTGGGCTAAGGTGAAGAGCCTGGTTGAAAACATGTCCGAACATGGTGACCTGTTGAAGCATGTTCCGATTGTTTTTACTAGTGTCCTGAAAGGCGTTGGTGTCGGTCTTGTCCATGCTCTACTGGCAAACCTGCCTCTACCAGCCCATGGTTCTACAGAAACAACTCTCCAGCCAGAGCAGCCGAAAGACCTTTTCCATATTGATGACACATTCAGCTTGTCAAGATCGCTGGATGATTCGTTGTCAAATGCGGAAGGGGTCATTGTATCCGGCCATGTTCGTCTCGGTAGCTTCTCTGTTGGGCAAACCATCGTTGTAGGGCCATTTTCGTCTGGTCAAAATCGTACCTCCAGCTCCGAAGGCCATTCATCCGCCGACGACCGTGGATCGCCAATGCTAAATGCGGTGTCAGCCGAACATGCCAAAAGTACCCGGAGGTATGGCACGCCGCCATCTATTGCTGCAGATGAATGGCAGAAAGGGCGCATCGTAAGCATCCGCAACCTTCGACTACCTGTGGGAACATTGGAAGCTGGTCAAGTCGGATCCATTGGCCTTGTGTTTGAGCCAAACCAAACCGAACTCACTCCCCTAACGGATACGCCTCAAATTCAGAGGGGCATGGTAATAGCAACACTACCCATGGATACACTTGACGGCGAAATCCCCCTCCAGGCTTCGTGTGGATTCATAGCGGTCTTTGACGACGATGCTGCCCAGTTCCCTCCTCCGGGCACAACAGTCAATGTGCTGTTTGCTTGTGTCAGAACTGCTGCTCGGATTCTTGACGTCTCTGTCCAGCGCCGTGACGGAGTAGATGCAGGAGGCACAATGACGAAAGTGTCTGTGGAGTTAGTTCATAGTCGAAAGTGGGCTGAGCTGGGGACATCAGTCATCATCATGGGAAACGGCAGTCAGGATGGATCAGGTTTGCAGGGCTTTGTTGGAAAGATCACGGAGGTTGTGTGTTGATATGGAAACACGTGTCGAAGCTGCATATAATTTGGTTATTTCATTATGTTCAATAGATTATGGTTGACACCAGTCATGGTCGCTTTTCTGCATCGTACTTGATTCGCCACCCAACCCTTCCTAAAGAGCTTTCAAGCCCTCACTAAGCCATAGAATAAAGTCCACGTCAATATGAACCCAGGCAAGCCATTGAAGATGCCGCTAGTCCAGAGTTCCAGGGCGCCTTTGTAGTAGCGACCAGAGTCGAGCACACCGCGACCCTCTGCCAAAGAGCTCGGGGCAAGCTGGAAGATGTAGAACAGGACGCTAGTTGTTATTGAGAAGGCAATGTAAAACAAGAAGCCGTAGTAGGACTCGAGACCAAGGATTCCAGCACCGACGCCAAAGAGAGACGCCGTCAGGCTGTGGAGATTGGTGAGAGTCTGCTCCGCGGAGATGAGGTTAGACGAGTTAGAATGGTGGCACGACTCATGATACGAGGGAGGGAATTCGGTGTACCTTTGTGTTGTGCGCGACCGAGTCCTGGACAATGGGGTTGATCTGAAGCTCCTGTTCCGACATCGTTACGGTGGTGAGCTTGGGCGCCTGTATGAGTATGAATATGTGGTGATGGCGAGTGGTGACAGCTTGTATGTAGACAGCTTGCTGAGTGAGGCTAGAGCGGGACTCACAGTGTCTAAGAAACGCGGGCCGATGGCATCCGACCTCCAACGTCCGAAAAAGCCAGCTCTGCCTGCCCACCAACTGATGGTGGGGTTAAAGCACCGGTAAGCTAGCGGCTTACTTTTATACTTGCTCGAGTGACGAGAGCTTCTGCACTCGCACATTCCAACATTATATTCCTCATTGACCAAAATGGAGCACAATTTCGAGCCATTGAAGAACGACCTGCTGCTGCGAGCGGCATGGGGTGGGTTTCTGTCATTCATCTGCCCTCTGCGGTAGAGTCGCTATGCCGCAAATTGACTTTGAGTTGTGCTTATACGTATGTGCGCCGTGGATAGGCCAGGCCGTGGAACGACCCCCCATGTGGGTGATGCGCCAAGGTATGTTGCGTCGAGAGCTGGGCAGAAGAGAGAGAATTGCATCTGACGAACTCGTCCAGCCGGCCGCTACCTACCGGAATACCATGAGGCAAAGGGCACGCGCGACTTCTTCGAGTGCTGCCGAGATGCCGAGGTGGCCTCCACATTAACGCTGCAGCCCGTCGAGCGCTTCGAGGGCCTGCTGGACGCCGCCATTATCTTTTCCGACATCCTCGTCATCCCCCAGGCAATGGGCATGCAGGTCGAGATGGTGGACAAGAAGGGGCCCCATTTCCCCAGCCCGCTGCAGAGCCCGACGGATGGCCAGTACGAGCAGGTGCTCGGCCGAAAGGTGGATGTGGCCGCCGAGCTCGACTACGTCTACAAGGCAATCACCCTTACGAGGAAGAAGCTGGCCGGCCGGGTTCCCTTGATTGGCTTCTGCGGTGCTCCTTGGACTCTCTTCTGTTACATGGTCGAGGGAGGCGGAACGAAACTTTTCGCTCAGTCCAAGACGTGGATTTACAAGTACCCGGAGGAGTCGAAGAAGCTTCTGGCCAAAATTGCTGATATCTGTGTAGACCACCTGGCCCTTCAGGTGAAGGCTGGTGCTCAGGTATGGTTTCATTACCGAGTTGTTTCAACTCTTGGTGTCTATCCCATCTCGCATCAAGTCAATTTGGACAAGGCAGCTAATAGTGATGGTGGTGTAGTCGGTGATGGTGTTTGACTCATGGGCTGGAGAGTTGTCTCCTGCTTCCTTCAAAGAATTCTCCGAGCCTTACCTTGCTCACATTGCGCAAAAGCTACCGCTGAAGCTGCAAGAGCTGGCATTGGAGAAGGTCCCTATGACGGTATTCCCCAAGGGCGCCTGGTACGCCCTTGATTCAGTGTGTAACTTGGGCTACAATGTCGTCGGCATGGACTGGCTTCAGGACCCTGCTGAGGCTGTGCGGATTCGAGGAGAGAGAAACGTTGTCTTCCAGGGCAATGCTGATCCTGGATGCTTGTATGGCTCAAAGGCCGCCATTACTGAGGCTGTTGAGACCATGGTCAAGGGCTTCTGGACTGGTAACAAGGGCTGGATTGCCAATTTGGGCCACGGTAAGATATACACCCAAGAGGTTGTTGCTCTGTTTTCTTAATGCTAAACAATATGGTCTATAGGTATTACTCCAGGTGTCAACCCGGATAACCTGAAGTTCTTCTTTGAGGAAATCCATCGCCTGACTAAGCCCTGATTCTGCGGCAAAGGGGAGGGAGAAAATAAAACGAAGAAGCTCTGAATAAACAAAAAAAAAAGTGAAAAGGCGGCCAGCTCTCAATTCAGCGGCAGAGTCGGAATAGTATATTGAAATGACAAGCTGTATTGTAAGCCCGATCTAAAAACCAAGAATCGCTCCTCTTTTGAAATACCCTTTTGGTTCTGGATGCCGTTTCCTAATTGAAGCCCACAAACAATCTTTTTTGTTACCACCGAGAAGACTCCGTACCTAAACACGAACCATGACGAAAATGCATCCTACGAATTCCAAACACCATGAACAAAAGTAGTCTCTAAAATTGGGGAATTTGAAAAAGCGAAAGAGAGAGAAAAGGAGAGAGGATGAGGGTAAGAGGAGAAAATGGCGGGAACATGAGGGGAGGAAGAGGCAGAAACAGAGGAGGTCCATCAACGCCTTATGGTCTCTTGCCGAACAGCCATCTCCTCTTTGCATCGGTCTTCTCAGTCTTTTCGGCCGACTTGTCAGAGGACTTGTCCGACATCCTCTCCGGGGTTTCGTCGATAGCTTGCTCAACGCTACGGTTGCGCGCCAACTCTTCCAATTCGTCCTCGCCTTTGAATACGTTGCCAGCGCCGCCACGGCCAACGTACTGGGCTCCTGAACTAAGTCGTCGAGGCACTCTACAACACGAACTTTTGTTAGAACTGTATTTCTTGTGTATAGGTAGTGTGCTGGAGAGTCGCCGTCCACCGAAGGCACAGCAGAGAAGGTGAAGCCGTGGAAAAGGGCCCAACTTACGCCTTGACGTCCTGGCGAAGACGAGTCTCGCGCGGGTCGTTGTTCTGGGCCATGTTGCCGGTGCCCCCTCGGCCGGTGGTAACAACCGCCGTTTTCAGCACGGGGGTCTCGAGATCCGAGGGGTTGATCTTGGGCGACTGGGCGGCGTCGGCCATGTTGCCCGCGCCGCCGCGGCCGTGGGAAGCGAACTGAGCAGCCATGTGGCGTATGGATAAGATCTCTATGCGTATACTCTAAATTCTGAGGGCGCAGGTGTGATTCAACAGCCTTGGGAAAATGGGGGATGTGAGAGTTTGGTAGCCTTACGGGCCGGCGGGTCATCTGCCACAGGGGACTTTTCTCAGCGCTACTGTAGAGGGGCTTCCTTGCATTAAGCGTGAGCTAGCACGGAAGCGGCTAGGGGCACGCTGCTGGAGCGATTCCGTCCTGATTTGACGACATTGCAGCTAATTTGGACCACTCATGTGAGCACATACTAAGTATGTACACTGTGTGGATTTTGTAGTTTAATTTCATTGTTACTTTTTGAGAAAGAAATATCCCGGAAATATCCCGAAAAGAGGGCCATATGTTGATATAAACACTGTACAAAGTAATACTATCACATCATGATACTCTTGCCCAGCTACCATTTTCAACTACCTTTCCTTTTTCATAAGCACCTAAATAATACCACTCAATACTATATTTATACCGAGGGTGGTGTGTTTTGGCTATCAAATCAAGGCACGGCCCATCAACAGACACACAAAAACTCCACTTCTGTGTCATAACCCCTCACACCCAATCCCCTCCGTCCAACCACCACGCCCACCTCAGCTGCTGCATCACGATAAGCGCTAATGGGAGCGACTGCAGCGAAACAAAATGACGCTCAACTCCGAGACATGCACGAAGCAGTACCTGCACCTGCAGCTGCTGTTTGGCACCCTGTGGAGCCATGCCTGAGCCGCATCCAGTATAAAGAGGTACGAGCAGCTTTTTTACTTGCTATGTAACCTCCCCCTCCCCCCCACATTTCCTGCCTTGTCATCTGCCTTGTTCTTTGAGGTCGACGACTTTTGTTCAGCCTTTATTCTTCTTCTTTTCGTCTTCTTTCACGTCACGTATGGTCTAAGGCTTGACAAGAGCTCACCATGGCTAGCCGCTACTCCTCCGACGAGGAGAGGGAGCGCTACAACATCCACGTCACACGTCGCCAGTCGCCGCCGGGAGTGCGCTATGTGACGAACCCGTCGGTGCGGGGATCGGTGTATGACGGGCCCAGCTTCCTCCGGCCAGAGCTGCGCACCACCGAACGCACCACGGCCCTCACCAGGTCTGTCTCGCGCACTCGATCTCCGCCTCGCGAGAGCCCTCGTGACAGCCGCACGGCTCTGGGCCCTGCTGCTCCCGCTCCGCCTGCGCCTGCGCCGGCTCCCATCATCATCAACAACCGCATCTACAACGAGCATTCGTCCGATGAGGACTTGAGCGATGACAGCCCGCGCCACAGCCGCCGCAATGTCTATCGTCGTCGCTCCCGATCCCGATCCCGCTCGAGCTCCCGATCCAGCTCCCGATCCCACTCTCGATCGGGCCGCATGACACGAGAGGCGTGGGAAGCAGAGCAAGCACGCCGTCAGCTCGACGAGATGCGACTCACTACTGAGCGCGACAAGGAGCAGCGCCGTCTCGAGAAGGAATACCGCGAGGAGGCTGAGCTTCGCCTTACACAGCGACAGCTTGACGATATGAAGAGGCGCAACCACGAGGAAGAGGTGGAGAGACGTATCACGAAGGAACTCGAATATAAGCGTCTCAAGGAAGAAGGAGCTGCCGGTGAAGCTGCCGACGAGAGACGACGGCTTGAGAAGGAGTACCGCGATGAAGCAGAGCTTCGTCTTGCGCACCGACAACTTGAGGATATGAAGAGACACAGTGCCGAGGCAGATGTAGAGAAGCGTATCCGGGATGAGTATGAGTACAAGCGTCTCAAGGAGCTAGGAGCTGCTGAGGAAGCTGCCGAGGTGAAGCGGCGACTTGAAAAGGAGTACCGCGAAGAAGCAGAGCATCGTTTTACTCAACGACAGCTCGATGATATGAGAAAGCGCGAATCCGAGATGGCAGTGGAGAAGCGCATCACGAAGGAGATTGAGTATAAGCGCCTTAAGGAGGACGAGGATGCTGCAGAAGCTGCTGAAGAAAAACGGCGGCTTGAAAAGGAATTCCGCGAAGATGCAGAGCATCGCTATACTCAGCGACAGCTTGAAGACATTAAAAAGCGTGAATCTGAGATGGCGGTGGAGAAGCGTATTACAAAGGAGATTGAGTATAGGCGCCTCAAAGAGGAGGAAGATGCTGCCGATGCTGCCGATGAAAGAAGGCGGCTTGAAAGAGAGTTCCGTGACGAAGCTGAGCTTCGCTATGCACAGCGACAACTCGATATTATCAGGAAGCGCGATGCCGAGGCCGAGAACGAGAAGCGTATGCTGAGGGAGCTTGAGTTCAAGCGCCTCAAAGAGGAGGAGCATGCTGCTGAGGAGGCGCGCAAGGCTGCCGAAGAGAAGCGCCGGCGCGATAAAGAATATCGTGACGAGATGGAGCTTCGCCAGGCGCACCAGCAGCTTGAGGGCATCAAGAAGCGTGAGGCAGAAGCCGACATGGAGAAGCGCATTAAGAAGGAGCTCGAGCTCAAGCGCCTCAAGGAAGAGGAAGAAGCTCTAGAGGAGAAGCGCCGGCGTGAGAGGGAGGCTCACGAAGCCGTCGAGAAATACAAGAAGGCTGAAGCTGACCGCATTGCCCGCGAGAAGGAGGAGAAGGAGAAAATGGACAAGGAGTATAGACGCCGCCTGCACGACGATCTCCTCAAATCGGGCCTTGACGAGCATGCCATTGAGGCCATCCTCAGCAACAAGAAGGTGCAGCAGCATGCTCCTCCTGTGGCTCCTCATCCCCCTATTTCACCTCATGCTCCAGCTGGGCCACCGATTCTCGCTCTCCCGGCGCCAGAGCATCCTGTGGAACGCCCGACTTACACTCGAATGGCGCGTAGGTACCTCTCGATTGAGACGTTGCGAACATTTCAAATCGAATACGAATATGATAATGTAAGTTTGACTCTACCCCATTGTTCTTGTTTTTGTTTCTAGGAATGAGTACTAACATGCTTCATCTGCACAGGATCCCGATTTTATTTTGATTAAGCGATGGGTTCCCGAGTGGGAGCAAGACCAGTTCTGGCAACACACCAAGTTCATTCGGGAGAAGCGGACCAAGACTCTCATGGTTGAGGAGAAGAAGCATCACCACTCCGACCCTGACTTTGAGTGGGTTCGCAAGAAGCACAGCAGCAAGCACGATCGAAAGAGGAGCAAGTCGCCGGCGCTGCTCATGTATTTGGCGGGTGCTCGCCCGTCTTAATGACTCACGACATGATACCATGTATTGCGAATGTGCAGGCCAAATTATCTGTTTTATGTAGTCCGTATACTCTACTGCTATTTATTGATTGATTGATTTGAGGCTACGTCTGAGAGTCGACCTGAAAAAGGCTATTGAGTGAAGTGCTTGCCGCCTATGAAAATTCCCAACTTTTGTAACCACCAGCTCTCGTTGCATTCATTACACTGACTTGAGACTTTGCCTTGCGCCATAGCTGCCGGTATATCTGCGTATGAGTTCCTCGTATATCGTCCAAGAGAGCGCAGAGCTCAGTGCCTTACGGCTCATCCTGAGGCCCAACCCGCGCCAAAGCGACTGAAAGCCTTCTTCCACCACCATCCTGTAGCCGGCATGGAGTAAGTTGCGATATCGCTCAGGCTGAAGCTGAATGCGTGTCTTGCAGACGTCTATTGGATTTGATATGGCCGAGCAGGTTGTGCCTGCTAGAATCGCCGACGCAAAATTTACTGAACTGGCCATAGAGGAAGTCATGTTCTTTGTTGCCTCAGCCGAGGAGGTGTTGTGGGACACCAAGGATGACAGTCTCCTCTTCATCATCTCGTAGATTGTCACGTACATGCCGGCATAGGGACCATCCCGGATTGCCGTTGCGCCAAAGCCGGCGAAGAAGCCTCTCATTCCTCCCTGATGATGAATGTCTTTCACAGCAGCCCACATGGATGGGTATGAATAGAGACTAGATTCAAAACGGACCTTGATGACGGTCAGAGGCATCATGACGAAGCCTGCCCATGTCCGCGCCACAGCTCCTGAAACCATGTTTGCCGTGGGCGTCAGCGTAGGCAAGCTGGACGAGGAGCTGTGAGCATGAATCCTCTGGCTGAACGCATTGGACTTTTGGAGGAATTGGCGGAGGGAGTTGAGTGATGTGAAATACAAAGCAGATCCAAAGCCCGTGCGAAGAGATGAGGGCAGGGTGCCCCTCCACAGAGCTCGGATTGGTTGTGGTGACTGTGTTAGCTCTCGCCAGATGCCTATTAGCAGCGAGGGACGCCCTGATTGCTGCGTTCGCGTCTTTAGGAGATCCAGCGGCTGCAACAAAACAGCAGAAGCCACTCCCGATCCAAGACCAAAGACAAAGTGTTGCGCTACTGACTGTTATGAGAAGCCTCCAGAGAACATGCCATTGTGAGATGCGCACCTGCCGCAGCTGATTTTGCTGGTGATGCCGATGATGTACTCATGATATCTATGTCTTGGTCCAGGCCCTCATGCTAGTCCTCGGTGGTTGTTGTTGTTCAGAGTTTGTTGTGATGCTCACTCTAAGGTTTGCAATGACGCATCCGCGCACAGTGTGTAAATGGTCGAGGCGGGTGGTTGTTTTTACCGGTAATCGCCGATAACAGACTCCAGCCGCCCTGCGAGGAGCCTATGCCGCTTAACTAAATCCACCCATTCGCTGACTCCAATCATAGCTAACAGCATGCCAAAGTCAGCGCCTAGTCTGCCCAGGCTGCCTGCACAGTAGAGCACTTGTGTCAGGATGCTTTCTCGGGCAACCTTATCTTTGACGGCGGGCAGATAGATGCGAAGTGGCTCGAGCAGCATGTTGACAAGATGGATGGGGAATGTAGACAGCGCCGAGGGCAGGGGATGGAGCAGATCAAGACTGTCGGGGCCTGTGCCGCCCAGGTTTGTGTCTACGCTCTTAGACATGGAGACAATGCCAAAGCTGTGTTCGCGGAAGACCTCAATGAAGCGCTTCAAGAATCGTTCCGTGTGCTGGCCGCTGGGCCGTGATTGTCCTGGTTTTCCCTGGCTAAGCCGCTCATCTTCAGCCAGCAGCCGAAGAGGCTCCAGTGCATCAAGAGTAGCAGCCAGTGTGATGAAACGACATAGTAAGAAAACAACCGGTATCATGTCCTGTGCTGGCGCCCAAGCGATGAGATCGGGAATCGCACGTTTGAGCCACCCTACCGTACGCAGCGTAGCAGCCAGCTTCAGATTCGGGGCCTTGAGGGTGTTGATGAGATCAGTAGCAAGTCGAAGGATTGAGGCTTCAGACTCGCTCAACACGTCTGAGACAAGCTGCGAGTTTGGATATAGAGCTCCAAGCCGCTGGATGTGGCCATACAAGTCCAGCGTGGATGAGAAGCCAAGGGGGGAGATGTTGGCGGTAGACGACAGGAGAGTAGGCACTTGCATGAGATCCGTCAGGCGGTCGGCGTTTTCCAGCATCTTTAGCACCTGCCTCCGCCGCGCAATCGACTTGCTGTCGCCAGCCTTGCTGATGCTGGTGGAAAAGTGCTCGACTTGCGAGTCCAAGTTGGAGATGAACCGACTCAGCTGGACCGCGTTGCTCGACAGGGCGGGAATTGTCTCCCGCAGCGACGCATGGCTGTCAGCCGAACCAACGACAGCCTTGTATGACTTCTTGGAGAGGCTTTGGATCGAAAGCAGGGCCGAGTTGGACGCCTGTGAGAGAAGCTGGCGTTCTGAAGACCGCAGAGCATCGACTGGCTGTCCCGCCAAGTACGAGATGTAATCCGACGTCGTGGCATCAACTTTCTGCCCGATGCCCAACAGGTCTTGCAATGCTTCTGCCATGGCGCGGAAAACAGGAGAGTTGAAAGTCCAGTGTTACAAAATATGCATTGGGTGTTTAGTCTGAACGGCTTGAAAAGGGGGCCACAGAAAGAGAGGCAATGAGTGGTGTTTAGTATGTAGGTATGTAAGGCGGTATCAAGATAATCTTAGCTAGAGTAGAGCGGAAATCGCGTTTGACTATGGATCGAGTAACACCCACGTAGCGCATACCGAGCAGCACAGGCCAGAATGCGGGTACAGTGCTGTAAGTGCTGAGTCTCCAGCACGTATTCAGTACCTTCGGCCCCTGAAATTGTAGCCGCGCCAGTGCTATCTCTCACCAAGAATCTCCTCCGTATGACTGCGACTCTAGCTGCAATTGTCATTCTATGGCTGGGAAAGTGGGCCGATCAAGCATGCAACAAAAATCAGGACTCTCTATTCAGCATATCTTCATATTAAAATTACTTAGAATTTAAAGTATTATTTCTAGCGTTCTACTCATTATAAAGGCTAGATTTAAGCAGACAGTTTTGTTACGTTAAATCAGACTATATAATTAGCTATATATAACAGGTGTGGTATGGGGCTTTCCGTTTAGAAACCGAACGGATTTTCAGGAGCTACGAGGAAAGGAGAATTTTGTTAGCCACGGTAGCAATGGAGATGAAGTATAGGAGAAAGGACGACTTACTCGCTTGAGCCAGGTTGGCCCGTCGGCCAGTTGGCTGCGGCGTTAGCTTTTTGGTTTCTGGCGTGACGCCGAACCGGACTGGCGGCGGAGGTCCGGTCTTCTGAGGCACAAGAGGTTGCATAGGTGCCTTCAACTCGTTGCTAGGTCCTGGCTGCAGGCCCTGGAATCCAGTGGGTTGCGGCTGCAGAGGCGGCGGTAGATAGTTGTTGATGCTGCCAGCGCCAAAGGGAGACTGCGTCAAGGATGGCTGGAAGCCGGTGGGCTGGGGTTGGAGTCCTCCGAACTGGCTCATGCGGCTCGGGTCGATATAGCCGGGTGCACCAGTCAGCATGGGCTGTAAGTACGGGCCGGGAGCTCCTTGGGGGAACTGGGGGAGACCTTGCTGCTGGGGCCCAACGTATCCCGTTAGCATCGGCTGCATCGGCTGCATGCTTTGCAGTTGGGCAGCATATTGTTGCTGCAGGCGGGCTTGGGTAATGTCATTGAGGCTCTGGCCTGGTGGTGCAACCTGGCCCTGAACGAGACCAGTAACTTGCGGGACAAGCGCAGGTGCTGGAAACATGCCTTGAGCAAGAGTTGATTGCGGCGCAGAAAGGGGTCGCTGCGGTGGTGGCGGAACGATAAGAGAGCCTTGAACTGGCGGCGAAATAGATGGAGCTAGCGGTCGTTGTCTTCCTAGAGATTTCGGAGAGATATGGACCCCAGTGAGCGAGGGCTGGGCCGAAACAACCTGGTTTGGCTGCGGCACTGTTGAAAAGAAGGACGGGCTTGCTCCAAGCAGTGGCTGCTGGGGGGCCGGCGCAGGTACCTGTGGTTCGCTCTGCAGCGGAGCCAGAGGCTGAGGCTTTGGCTCGACCTTGCTGGGCTCCAATGGTGTTGATAATAGGGAAAGTTCCTGCATAGATCCAGTGAGCGCTACAGGCGCGGGAGCAGGGGCGGGAGCGGGAGTAGGAGCAGGAGCAGGCTCTACATTCTTCGGGGCCTCCGCTGCCGGCGCTGGGGGTTGCGATTGTGTTTGCTGTTCTTGCTTTGTTGGCTTCACATCCCAAGCATCATCGTCAAATCCTCCTGCGGGACGCTTGGGCTCCTTCACCGGGCTTGCAGGAGACGCGGGTTTCGTCGCCGTCTCGGTAGAGCTAGGGGCCTCCTTGGTCGAGAAAACGGCGGCATCAACCACATCGCCAGTTTGGACTGCAGGGGCGGGCCTGCCTTTCCTTGTGTTATTCCGTAGAGCACCTCCAGGACCTGAAAAAAGACCCCCGTCGGCATCGCCATTGGCCTTGGTGCGACCGAACTTGGCATCCAGAGTCCGCATTACCTTGATGATATCTCCTTCTCGCAGACCCAGGTTACGTAGGACGCCAGCGTCGACGTCTGGTAGGACACTCTCATCCATGGAGTCCCTCGTGAACGCCTGAGCATAGCGTTCACAAAGGCCAACAGCAACATCGCAAGATAGGAAAAACTGGAACCAGTCGTATTCCGGCCCTTTGTCCACGGAAGCTCCAACGGGGGCAGGCTTCGGTTGTTCCGGGACCTTTGACGCCCGTTTGACATCGGCGAGGGGTCTCTCATCATCCAGGGATATACCAGTGAGGTTCTCGACATATACGAGGTCATCGTGCGACATCTTGGCTATGGGCACGGCAATTTTTACACCGTTCATTTTGTGGAGGTGTAGCTTGCCGTCTTTGAGCCCAAGGAATTGGGCCTCGACACTAAATGACTTTGATCGATCTGTCCATACCCGGACTTTGGATGGGTCAGGCTCTGTAATTTGAATGTCAATAATCTATCCATTCCATTGTTTATGTACTTCGCATTTGAGGAAACGGAAAACTCACTCGATTTGCTTGAAGCATGACTGCCGCCATCGTTTCGTCCATTCTCGCGTCGAGGCCGCTGTTGTCCCAAAGTGTTACCATCATCCGGAGCTATGAGACTACTACCTCTTCGAGGTAAAGGCATTCCTAGGCCTACCTGTTGCTGCTGAGGCTCCCTGCTGGCAGCCTTCATTGCTTCTTTCGTGAGTCTTATCTCCTCCAGGCGGTTTTGCTCAACGGTCGACTTAGCGGAACTTTGGCCTCCAGACGGCCCTGTTGCCGACTGCACAAGTGGGGGCGTAATGGTGCCTGAGAACTCGATATAACTGCTCGGGACAACGCCTTCTTTGCCATTCTTTAGGCGGCGAACTTGCCACCAATCCTCGCTCCTTGAATCATCGATAATGGCCACCTCATCGCCCGCAGCTACGGTCACCTCGTCGTCGCCTTGGGCCATGAAGTCATATAGAATAGTTCCCTTTCTTTGACGCTTTTGAGAGCCTGCGGCAATCACCTCTCGCAGTCCCTCTGCTCGAGCAGCACCTGCAAGCTCACCGAGAGAAGCTACAATTTCTTCTGCAGTGTCCTTAGCTCCGGCATGAAAATCAATGCTCTTACTAGGCTTAACAAGCTCCATGAAGACGTGCTTGCCTTCACGAGAGTAATGGGTCATCTTATCGGCAGTCCATTCTTGCGGGGGGTCGTTCTCAGCTCTTTCGGGCGCGATAAGAATCGTACCCGTCAAGAGGTTTATGCCCAGGGTGGTCGGCATCTTCTTCTTCTTGCCCATGACCGATACCATCTCGTTGATGTTGTACAGGTGGAAGTTGCCAGGGATCAGATGTCCTTTAGGTTGGGATTCGGGAGTTCGCTCCGGCTTGGCTGGTTGCTCTGACGACACTGAATATGCCTGAGACTGTGGGCGTGGCCGTGAGGGTAGAGCGGGTGACCTAATAGACTCTTCATCGGACAACTGCGGTTCTTTGAACCTGATAGTCATGGGCTCCCTTGTGGATTGACGGTTTTGAATCACGCTAGCAATGGCGGCTGCAGGGTCCGCAGCCGCAGGTGCTGCAATCGCAGGAACTGCAGCCGGTGCATCATCAGACGGGGGAGTGCTATCGTCGGTCGCGATGCTTTGGGATGGTGGCCTTCGTGGTAATGCTGGAGCCGCCGGCAGCGACGGCGCACTTGCAGGAGCGGCCGCTTGGACTTCGATATAATTTGCGGGAACAAATCCATACTCGCCGTCTACTCCAGCAAGAATCCAATCCTCGTCAGTGGTGTCGAAGACCTCTAGCACGGCATCTTCGGAGAAGGACAGCTCCTCGTCGGTTTGGCGAGTATACTCGTAAATGGCACGGGCATGGCCCACTGTCTCGGCCTAGATTGCGGACGCGAACGTTAGCTTGGCATGCGCATCCCAGTGTGAAGTCGCAGATCTGCGAATACATGGAGAGGAGGGGAGAGGAGAGCAGCAGCTCGGCCAGCTCTTGGGCGAGGTGACAGATGCTGAGCTGAGCTGAGGGTCGAGACGAGGCCGGAACACGGGGACACGGGGACACGGGAGGGCGAGGATGGGCGAGGATGGGCATACCTTTTCAACGTAGTTATTCGGAATCAGGCCAGTCGGCTCGTCCTCGTCATCGGTACCGGCCTTCTTCTTGGCCTTCCACCAGCCGTCGTCGTCATTCTTCTCGAGGATGTACAGCAGGTCGCCCTGCTTGATGGCTAACTCGGCATCCTCGTTAGGAGTGTAGTCATAGAGGGCTCGGTAGATTCCCAGGAAGCCCATTTCGCCTTGATTGCCCCGTTGGACGCAGCTCGACGCTCGAAATGCGGATTGTTCCGACGCGGTGGAATGCACCTCGTTGCGTGGCCTGGGAGTGAAGAGGGCTGTCTGTATTGAGTGACGAAAAGCAAGCCAGTCCCTAGCAGTGCTAGCGAGTGTACTCCATACCTACTAAGGTAGCACTCCGTGGTTGCGGCGGCGAGAGGGAATGAAGAGTACGGAGTACGGAGTGACCCCCTGTCACGACCTGCTGGGTGCCCAGATATTGGGGGATCCACCGTAAACAGCACTGCCCACGCCAGTCTCCTAATTATTACCTCAGCCTTGTTTTTCCAGGCGGGTATTGATACAGGTATTATGATACAGGTTTAATTTACATGTACCCATTCTTTAAAAGTTGGAAACTTATATATATATATATATATTTGTATATAGGTACCTAGGTACTTTATTATTATCTATCTTTATAGGTAGTTGCCACCTGCTTTGATGCACTTAATACAACCCCCAGATCGGCTACCTAGGTAGATATAGTAGCATCACATCAACACATTCCTTGTCATCCACACCGTTTCTGATTCCGTCTGTATACCATGATGGATTTAATAGTTAGTAGGGAAACTTCACGTGTAATTAGCGCTTGCTCACAGGAGCGCAACAAGGCCGTTTTGCTTACCCCTCAGCTCACCCAACAACATGGAGAACAGAGCGAGGACCCCCGTCATAGCTCTCAGGCACAGGAAGAAGCACAGATGCAGCTGGAAGCAAACGCACCCTCGTGCTAACACAGATTACGGAGTAGTGCAGGAACTAACCGTGAAACTCCAGGCACTTGGAGGCGGGTACTGGCGCTGTGGAGATTAGCCTGATTGCCCAGCCAGAGTGGAATCACGCACAAAGCACGGATGACATTCTGAGGTACGGTAGTGATATTGATGCTGCTCGTACAAGTCTGGCCGAGTCCAGTGCCCGTAGCATCTATGAGTAAAGTAATCGTCCTCTAGACTCCATCCTAGGCAGATCTGATTTGGTATCATCTGCTGCCTAGTTTCCGTGTAACGGATCGGCGATGGCTCTTACTGTGGCGTTCACAGGCTGTAAGCCCAACAACATACGGCAAGACAAAGGCTTCCAACGGTCATCATCACCACCAACGCCGTCTGCATCAACACCTACACCAACACCCAGTCGCCCACTTCACCCCTCACTTCAACCCCTCTCCCTTTGCTCTCTCGCCACGAGTTCCCCCCTTCCCCCCATCTCAGTCCCTTCATTGATACCGAAATACCGCAAAGTGGCGAGGAAGCAAACTTTCAGCACAGTCAATTCTAGGGTATTCTGTTTCTTGCCAGCTACATACATGTCTTCATCCGTCCCAAATACGCTATACAGCCCTTCTATACCCAGCATCATTCAACCAATCAGTCCCAAACACACCTCAAACTCCTTCTATAAACCTTCTAATCCATGTACAGTCCGTTCCAAAGCACCACAAACCTCCTTTACACCTCCACCTGCTGATCACTTTGACCCATCCACTGCGCAAACTCATCGTCCTCATGGAATTCCTTGACCTCCCAGTCTGCATCAACTCCCTTGAGATATGCGTCATGGGGACTTGTGGTATTCAAACTAGGTAGCGTTGTCCTCATGTGTGATCTCTCCGTGGGCACCGGCGTCCGCTGTCGTTGAAACGCAACAATTGAGGGCATCTCATACGTAATGTTAGGTTGTTGATAGAGAAGAGAAGGGTCGACACAAGGATCAGCAAAAGTGGTATGGGGTTCCGCTGTTTCCACGAATAGACCATGAACAACCGGCGGCGACATCCTGCCCGTCGGGGGATTGTCGTTAGATGCTGCCATGTTCCGCGTTTGATATGGAGTAGGGTCAGGATAAACGTGATAATACTCCTCTGCATATACAACGGGAGAAGCCTGTATAGCGGGAAAGGCCCAATAAGGGTGAGAAGCAAAAGCGTTGGCCGGGAGAGGCTGTTGTTGTTGTTGTAGTTGCTGCTGCTGCTGCTGCTGCTGCTCCTTTTCGTCGACAGCCTGCAGGAGCACCTCTTCTGGCAAATATTGAAGCTTGGGTGCCTTTGTATTATTGCGCGTCACCCGACCCCCTTTGGTTGAGCCACCAGCTTTGCCCTTAGCTTTGCCCTTGCCTTTGACTCCCCCTTTCTTGCCACAGGGATCATATTTGTATTCAGGGTGAGCGAGCTTGTGATGTTGTCTCTCAAGTGCATACAGTCGTTCGAATATGTCATGTATTTTTTGAGGCTCCAGGTTTCGCCAGCAGTATCCAGTAGCTTTCGAAATTTCCTGGTGATTTTCTTTCTCACCCTTGCAGAAAACAGAGACCATCTTTTGAAATGTCCTGCGATATAGCATGAATGCATTAAGAGGGCGCTTGACCTGGCCGTCGTTCTTTGCCTTCTCTCGTAATCGTTTCTCTATTGAGCGAGTTGCAAAAGCTTCAACCCCTTGAAGAAGTGTTTCATAACAACCGAGTTCCATTGCAACCTGAGAGAGTCCCTTGTTTATAGAAATTATGCGTTCTAAAAGGTCTGATTTCGTCGTCTCCCTTCCTTCAATGAGCTCTGATTTCGTCGTCTTCCTTCCTTCTCCTCGCCCCTTGCTTGGACGAGGCTTGGATTCCCTCCCCGGAGTGGCTGCCATCAAGCTGCTGGAAGTTGGCTGAACATCACTTGTGTTGGAGTAGTTCAAAGATGACGGCTCCAACGTGTACTGTGCTATGGCCTGCCGAAATTATTAGCCATCGTTTTTCTTTGAGCACAAAGGGGAAAGCCTAGCTGCTGAGTAGCGCCATGGCTGTTGTCTCTTACCGCGGGATTATAGTATGCATCTTGTGGTTCATGTTTTTGTGGAAAGGGGGCCTGGGAGTTGTTAACACCATTGAGCGAGCAGATTGGCCTCACACACCGGCTCAGCGTACAGAAATGGGAGCTTGGCTTGGATAGTAATGGTTGGGGATTTTGACAAATCTCGTCCCACTTCCTTCGCCATATGAGGCCATGGGGGCAGGAAAACGGCCATGCTGGTTGAGGCCGGTAACTTCCCGATGTGCGGGCTCAGAGGCATCGTATTCTTTCTTGATAAGTTCCATCACGGCTCTTGTGGACGAATATTGACGTGAAGTGGCGTTGGAGGTAGTTGCATTGGCTCTTATATAGCCCATCTTGTTGAATACTGGGGGAAGACAACTGCCTGGATTTTCAAATACGGAAGCAAGAGGCGTTGTAACACACAACACATAACAAAGAAAGCTCAAGTCGTCCGGTGTAGGGAGGATATGGGGGGATACATGCATTAAATCACAATTTGGGTTGATAGGAAACATGGCTTGTTCTCTTTGTCTCAAGATCAGGCCCATTGATAGGTAACGTACTTCCACGCCTAGCTCTATGATTTACAACTTCGTTCCTAACACATGACTTCCATGTGAAGGCCACAAACAAACGAATATCAAAGCTTTTGCCGCATGCGGTGCTGGAATCTTGGTGATATTGCTTTTCCCCTGCCCCATGGGCCACTATGTGAACCGTCGCAGTAAACATGAGGCCCAAACTCAGTCGCAGATGCCCCAAAACGACACCCTGCGAAAGCAACGCCCGCAGCCAAAAGCCGAAAAGAGAAAATAGAGGGTACCTGGGACAAGTATCTGTTATGCACAGAACCGTCTCCAAGCGGCGCAGCAGTTGGAATGCGCGTCAATAATAGAGGTTGACCGTGCACCCCCCCTCATGGCTGCTTAAACGCATCATCAGCTTGATGGCATCACCTTCAAAGGGACGATTCTATTGGACAATCGTCCTTTGGAGTGAGTCACGGTACCAATACCAAGGCCCCTGCGCATCGTCATGCAACGGGACAGTTAGACGAGGTACGCCTTAGCTGGTGTTGTGCATCGTGGGTATTCCGAGCAGGCTTACTTCCACATAGATGCCTGACGTGGAGGCGTATTTGGAGAAATGACAGTTATGGCCAGAGATTGATTTTGATATATCACGTAGAGTTGTTGATGATATCCTCTGCATGTTATCTTGAGATTTGAGCAGAAGTGCCAAAAGGAAAGTACCTTTATGTAGCATAATCAACACACGGACCAGGGAAGAGCATACACAGAGAGAGTGGAGATATCAAAACTGCCGGCAACCGATCAAAGAAGTTGAGGAGGTAACTTGAACGTCCGAATTCAGCTTTATTTCTTTGTGTTGTTTAGACGAACACGAGTGGCTGAAACTCGGGTGGCTCGTGTAAACCGAAACAGCTATGCCCTTTGAATGGTCGTTTCCCGGGGTGTTGCAAGAGATAACTGACGTCTCTAAAAATATCTTCCAGAGCATCGAGTGGTAACTTGAACAGATGCCTTTACAAGAGTTGAGTTTGGCAAGCCCGGAGCCATTGAGAATGACCATCAACTGGTTCGTAAGAAACGTCCAACTGATGACAGTAAAGTTGATGAGAATGATGCAAGCTTCTCTTCAACTGCAGCTATCCCCAAGTAAAGCACTCTCGGTTGGGTATTGACGCTAAGGAGGAGCAACATGAGTAGCCGATGTCGGGATGTTTGATTTGAGTAACAGGTGGCGTCGTCGTCTGATCAAGTCCTTTGTTGTTTTGTAGAATAGGGGCTAGGCAGTCATCCTCACGACCGCGTTGCCTCACTTGGGGCATTTCGATACTATATTGAACCATCGATGACAGTAGCAGGCTCAGCACTGACAACTTCCCGCTCGGTGTTAACAGCAGCAACCTGAATATTGACAACGGCAGTAGGCTCGGTGTTGACAGTAGCGGTCTCAAGGTTGGCAGCAGCGGGCTCAATGCTGGCAGCAGTAGGCTCTATGTTGGTGGCAGCAGGCTCAATGTTGGTGGCAGCATACTCGGCGTTATTTTCAACGTCAAGCTTGACTTCAAGCTTAGCTTCGAGCTTGGGGGGCGAGGAGCTTTTCGGCGCCACTTCGAGAGCGTCCCTTTGACGACAAGAAGCACAGATGAAGTGAAAGTCTGGGTGGTCTGCAGCAGCCTCGCTGATTCCAAGGCACTTGCTGTGCTGCCATACATTACAGCGTTCGCAGGCGATACTGTGATTGCCATCATCAACCTGCCCATACAAGCCGCATGAGCAATCAAATACCCATCCCTCTTCTTCGTCTTGCTTATCCTTGATAACATGCGCGTTTCCACCAATTTCAATCTGAGATTGTGGTTGTAAAGGCGTTTCGTCTGCTCCTGCAGCTTCGCTACCTTCATCTGCAGATGCAGGCGTACCGCTCTCGCCGCGAACGAGGCGGCGCTCCTCTCTCTTCTTTAATCGTTGCTCTCTGGAAACAAGCCTCATTTCGAGCTCCCTTTGGATTTTCTCCCGTTTCTGCTCTTCACGCTGCTGGGTTGCGGCTGCTTCTCTGAGCAGTTCCTGCTCAATTTTTGCCTTTTCTTCTTGCTGCCGCTGCTCTGCCTTCATCGCAATCCGACTTGACCGTTTAGCATTGGCCATCTTGGCAAGAGTTTGTAGCTCTTTCTCGCGTTTCATCTTCCGGCGATTTCGATCCTCTTCTTGCTTCTCTAGAATGGGCACTAGATGGTCTCGCAGCTGTCTTCGGAGTATTTTTTCGTTTTCGTCTCTTGATGAAGCCAAGCTGTTAACGAGGGCCTGGACTTCTTCAAGAGTCACTGCGACACACTCCCAAACCATACCCCCCAGGTGGCTATCTTCCAAGTCAAGCTCGGGTGCATTGCTGAGGGGGGTGGTATGGTCATCGACCGCTTCAGATATACGTCGCCGCTTGCCGGAACGCCGAGGCTGGCGGGTGGGCTTGGAACTAGCTGCTTTATGGCTCGGAGGGGCTTCTGACAGGCGATATACTCGATTGTCGTCAAGAACGTAGTAGGTGCGGTCTTCGCTATCCCAGCCGTAGGGTTCGATCCGCTACAAATAGAATTAGATAATGTACGTATTGTGGAGGAAGCGATGCGCACCCAGGTAGTTTGCTCTGTGTCTTTTTGCTCCTTCATTTTCTCCCGAAGGAGTTCAGGCCGAATCATGATCCATTGGGTGAATTGTTGCATCACTCTAATCTGACAGAACAAGTCAATTTCAATAATTCGTGAGATTGTGAGTGTAAGGTAGAGGCTACCTTGGTGAATATATCGAGATCGGCAAAGCTCCTTGGTTCGTCTTCGTCGCCGAATGGATTGGAGTCTGGTGATTTCAGGATGTACTGTCGTCGAGCTTGGTCGTCGAATGATTCATGGCTTCATTTGGGCATTGACTATTAGCCATTGATCTTAAAGATCTTAAAGAACGCTGGAAACTATAAAGAGAAAAATACATACGTGAGACCACGCTGCGAAGAGACCATTTTCAAAAGCGCTAAAGCAACATCGTTTAGAATTGTCGAATTCGGGTTGAGACACTCCGCCTCGACACACTATGATAACAGTCAACATAAACTCGCGAGCAAAGGGAAAAGAGCCCAGTACTTACATCAATGTCAATCGAATCGTCAATTGAGGCAGCTTCACCAAAGATATATATCCATTGGCACAAGTTGGCAAACTGCCACATGTTACGAATACGTTGAAGCTGCTCCATGACGTAGCTCTTAAAGGAAGCGACTGTTGCCCTTTTTCTTTCCGTTTTCATTCAACAGCCCTTGTTCACGGGTGCATGTTGTAAGATGACGGAAACTGACAGCGCAAGCGAATAGAGGATACAGACGTTAGAAACCCAAGCAAAGCAGAGACGTTTACACTCGTCGGCGTGGGCAGTGAAATGTTAATCGCGTCTTGCACTTGGACGCGTCGGAACTTAGTAAGAGATATTGCACGAGCTAAGGATTTAGGTGGTACGATTTACATAACCCAGATTAGATAATGGATTTTATACAGCCCCCTAAAACAGCTTAACTTTATTAAAAAATTATACATTCCGACTTAATTTCTACATTTAAAGATATGATATTGTCCTACTAGAAGCTTATATATTTTTTTCTTCAGAGGGTTATTTTTTCCCTCTTGAAAGCAAAAAAGAAATAATAATATATGAATATTTATACTTCGTTCAATAGTTACAAACCATATGCCATAGGGAGCAGTAGTACTCGCTTTACAAGGACTTATCTCAAGTATCCTGGTTTTAGTGTTAATTCATGATTTCATTAAATGAACTAACTAGCAGAGTCTACCATCTGTAGAACTCGTCAAATACTACATAGGTATTCGGTCAGGTCTAGCTTCAAGGTGAAATTTAGGGTACACGCCGACGTCTAATGGTCTCAGTGTAACTTGTCGTTATGAAATATGAAAGCTTGATATGTCCGCTTCCTGTTTAGATGGGCTTTGTTTGTCTGCTGGGAATGAATCATACAGCTGCCCTGCCCTTGAGCGTTGTTCAACAAGATGTAGTGACGCAGTTTTGAGCTGTTTGTAGCTTATTGCTGATCGCCCATTCGGATTGGATGGTGGTGCCTGGATAGAACGACCAAGGGAACCGAGGGACCTACCCAAACTAGGCTTTGGAGTTGCTTGTGGCCCACGCGGTGTGTTTTGAGTTAGGTCCAGTTTTGATGGCGAAGTAGTGTCACTATTGCTCCAACGGTGCGGAGAGGTTTCTGCTCTCATGGCCCTTAGGTTCAAGTGTACTGGTACTGGACCCCGGGGAGTGGTAGATGGTAAAGCAATACGTCCCGTATTAGAGGGTGGCTTGCTTGGAGACTTCAACATTGCGACATCCTCAGTGTCACTAGAAGTGACCGATTCCTCGTCGATTTCTCGCCATGAGGCCAATGGCTTTGCCGACATAGGGAAAGACATGTTCAATGGCATGCCCGTCCAGCGTGTCGGTGTTTCGATCGGCTTGGCCGCACTCTCCTGCTTATTGTGTCTTTCCGTCAGCAGATGTCGGCGCACAGAAAGTGTCCGCCAGCCGCTGCGACGGCTACTTGGGAGCTCAGATTTTGGGGTAAATCTTAGTTGATCTTGCTCTGAGCGAACGGCATCTGCGCTGGCGCAATATTGTCTCCAATGTTGAAATGCGCGGTTCCTTTTCTCGTTGTAATTCCTTTGCAGTACCTTGGTTGCACTGTGGGCTTGCCCGCTTCGCTGTAATGATGATATTGACCACGCTTTGAGGTGCTGCCGTTGCCTGCGGATGGCCCATATGTCAACTGATTGCATATCCATCCGCTCCTGCTCTTTGGCAGCATCAGCCCAAGTCGTTAGCATGGCCTGCGCATAATGCTTATAAGTAGCCAACTGAACGTCTAAATCTTCTTCAGCCTGCTTGCTCCACTTCGTTAGGGCGAGGTCAAGCTGGCCATAATAGTATTTTGAATTATAAAGAATAACAACATCGTTGTCGGAAGTAGCCTGAGCTGTCAGGGCTCGCCAGTGATCGAAAGCCTCATAAAAGTTTCGCTTTTTCCTTGCCGAAGAGACTTGTGTGTATCTCATCATCAAGTAGCGCCTGATCATTTCTTTCATCTGAGCCTTTCGTATTTCCACGGCAGAGTCCATGATAGGCAATATGTGCGTTGTGACAATGAAAAGCCTAGCTCGACTACTTAGATGCGACCGCTGCGCTTCGAGGCCACTAGACCGTTGCATAATGTGTAAAGCGTTTGATATCTGGAATGACTTCAGATGATTCGTAGCCATGTTTCGCCTCCATTCTTCTTGTATATAGTGTCTCCGCCAGCTTTCAAGAGCTCGCGTCACGGATATGAAATCTGCCCTCCATCGAAATGCTTGCACTCGTACCAACAGATTCCAATTTTGGAAAGTTCGACTAATCGTTGCAATGGATGTCCTGGCGCAATAGGCCGATGATTGCGATTTGACCTGGATCTGATCTCTCCACTCGGTGAGATAGCCAAATAACAGCTGGAGCGACCCTATTTGTCTAGCTGTGTGAAATTGACGGCTATTCAGTATTGCGTGATCTTGTAGTTTTGACAATGTGGTAATGACACCTTCGCGCTTATTGAATCTGCGAATGGCTTGGCTTCTGATGAGATTGCTAGAAGAACTTGATTTCCATGCCAAAAGGGCACTTTGTTTCGATTTCTTATTCAATTTCCGACGGCAGGCGAGTGATATCAAATGTGAGCACCATTGATCATAAACACGCGACGCAGTCTTTGCACGATGGCTTTGAGAGATTGCTGATGCCGCAAGACGGAGTTGCTCCTCTTGATACGACACAGCACGCTGTAGTTTCTGAACTGCCGTGAGGGCTTTCAGCTGGTCAACGACTGGGAATCGCAAACTTGGCGCACAGGTCCAGCCCTGGAAACAGCGAAAGCGAATCATATGTCTTCTAGCTACACCTTCCCGCTCAAGTCGCCCTGCGGTTCGGTCTGCCCAATGGTTGAACACTTTGCTTGCCAAGTAAATTTCGCGAGCTCGGGTCGCTCTTGTAAGCAGCTGCTCTTGTTGTTGTCGCGATAGGGTAGTTTCATTCTGCGAAGAAAGAGCCAGAGGAGGACCATTCCGTATTGAGTGTAATGCTAATGGAGCATCTTTGGGTATATAGTCGGGGGACGCTGGCATGTCCACACCATTAGGCTTGCTAGTATTTTGATTTACTTCGACCGTCTTCGCGGGGGGGTTTCGCTTGTCTTGCATTGCAGCCGTTTGGACCTTCTTTTCGTCTTCTTCTAGTTCACTGAGTTGTTGATCTTGATCAAGATCTCGGATGGATCCAGGAAGCTCATCCAACCCCATAACCAAGCTATTTCGTTTCGATTTTTGCTTCGAAGATTGTTGGGAAATATCGGTTTGTGGCGCCAATAGGCGCACTTTTGCGTCGTCATCAGGTGTGCCGCCCACAGAACGCAGATTAAGAGGCAGGTGATCGAACAGCGGGCTTGGGTAATAATGATAAGGATCAAGGTGTCGTGTGGCAGTCGTCGAGATCCGGGCCGAGGGGTATACCTCCGCCTCCAAATGAACATGTGAGAGATCATCTTTTTCGAGTTTATCATTTTTCTTCCTTGATTCTTGGGCTCGATTTTTTGGGAGGGCTGAGTCGTTCTCCAGTGAAGTTGCGCTGTAAGCACGAGGTCTGATCTGAGGAAAATCATCGTCTTCTTTGATGGGGAGGTCGTCAGGATACCAATGGCCAGTATCTATCGGATTTGGAGACAGAGGATGCTCCGGGTAGCCGTGCGGAGAAGTAATCGAGTCGTCGCTAAATTCGAGAACGATGCCTATACGGCCGAGGATTGACTGAAACTTGTCCAGCAGGCTTCCACCACCCTCTTCGCCACTAACTCTGAATACAAAGGCCGAGAGATGGTGATCAGAGTCCGGATCGACGCCATGCTGAGGAAGAACTTCGTCGTAGGCACTGAATAGCGCCGCGGCGGGTAGTGGTTTGGGGCCTGTAGCATTGTCGAGCTTCTCCTGGGCCGCTGCGATGATGGCGTGGAGTACAGCGATGTCTAAATCGTTAACTCAAGAGCAGCCATGGGCGAATAACATGATGCCCTACCTCGATTCGAGTAGTATGGCTCTTGGCCAGGGAGAACGCGACTGGGCGATACGCGAACACTATCTGGCCCAGAGCCATTGTCATAAGATTGCACAGATGCCACTGCAAGAGATGAGTCTTTAGATCAGATTGGTCATCAAAAACGGCGGCTTACTCGAGACTGAAGACTCTCTATGGCATTAATCCATAGCTAAAGCATCGCGACAAGGAGTTCACTTCATTGGGCAGAGCCACGGGTGCGAAAGGCGTTGGAAATGCGATGGATAGAATGCCTGTTAGAGGTAAGGTTCTAGTGGTTTAGGTACCTGACCGTGTCATCCAGCGCATGCGTCACAACAACATGTCAGAGGTACTGGATACTTAGTACCGCTGGAGAGGTATATCTGCTCCTAACCTGTACGTGGGATTTAAGATGCAGCTTCAAAGACCCAGAACCTGGAGAGCTCTGCTTTAAAAATGGCCTCGTGATGAAATCTGCAATGGTGATGCTGGATCTTTGATAGTTGCTTCTTCATCTTTTGATTCTACTCAACACCTCTGGTCAAATGTAGTGTAGACATCGCATGGAGCCCAACGAGAAGTGTTGGCAGGCGCCTTAGCGGGGTGCAAGTACAGGTACGAGTACTAAGCTCGGCACTACCAGGTACGAGTACTACCGCCCCACCTAGATTGACAACGGGTACTACGGAATCTACATCTCTTATTCTCTCTCATCATAGCCTTTTCCTTCTCTTCCGAAAGTATTTTTTTTTATTTGAATATTTTGTAAATTTATCGCGATTGTGAGAAACTGGTACCACTGAAAAGCATCGACATGACTTTATCTGCGTTTCGCACGGCGATCTGGTTCCCTTATCCAACCGCCAATCCCGGCCATGGATTCTGGGGAGAGCAGACGTCAACGCTCAACTTTTGCGAGGAGGTAAGTGAGCGAGATTGTGATTTTTTTTTAAAACTTACAAAATACTGAAAGTGTCAAAAGGACTATGCATTGTCATCATACTGCGCCGAGCTTTGCAATGTCAGTATTTGCAATTAATTATGTTGATGGCATGTCTCTCTAGTAACACGGCGCAGACAGTCACAAACGCCATTTTCATGTGGCTCGGGATAAGAGGGATTATAAACTGCCTGAAACAAAAACATCCATCAATATTCCTGATTTCTTATATCGGGTATATGGTTGTAGGGCTGGGCTCCATCCTCTTCCATACGACGTTGAAATGTAAGCACTGCCTCCATGGCGATGCTGCTGGAGAGCTGGCGGGAGCTAACGGCGAAACGTTGAGATCCCATGCAACTGGTCGATGAGCTATCCATGATATATACTACCTGCCTGATGATGCATGCGAGCTTCTCGTATTCACGTTCACGAGTATTTTCAGCTCTCCTTGGGATTAGTCTACTCTCGCTTGCTGGATCGATTACGGTAAGAGCTCAGATGTATACATATATATACATGAGCACGATAATACCCTTGCTCCTTGCTCTAGAGGTGGGACGCTAAGAGAAGCTCAGGTTTATTATCATCTCACCAAGGATCCTGTCTTCCACCAGACCGCCTATGCTGCGCTGACGGCAACTATCGTTTTCCGAAGCATGTGGGTGATGGAAGCGCAGTTACGGCCTGTATTGAGTGCTCGCGATCCAGAAAAGGCATCACGGTTGCTCAATACAATGTGGGCTATGGTAGCTACCGGTTCGTTGAGCTGATGACTTTGGTTAGATTGCAAAGTACAACTAGCTGACAACCTGTAAAGGACTTAGTATTTTCCTTGGCGGCTTCTTAATCTGGAACCTGGACAATGTTTTTTGTTCCCAGGTGCGACAATGGAGACATGCTGTTGGCCTTCCCTGGGCTGTACTGCTGGAAGGCCACGCCTGGTGGCACCTGATGACAGGGTTAGGTAAATGGAGCAGTCTCCTCTCCTGGATTCAAGATCCCTGTTGAAGGAGTGGCTAACTTGATTTGATAGGAGGTAAATATTGAATGCTTAGGCCACCCATTGGACGACATTGCCTTTTTCCTCTCTGCGTATCACCTTGACTTGGTATTTTAGTATCATTAATATGTTCATGCTGACGAAAAATTATAGCCTACTATTACATCACTTGGGGCACCTGGCTGCGGCATTGCCTTGCGGGACAAGACAGCAAATACATACTCGTATGGCCGAGGCTGTTGACATCCATTCCGTATTTACAAATGATAGAAGACGACCAATACCAAGACAAAAAGGTTCAGTAGATGCACAGCTGAATGATTGTATGGCATAGGCAAGGGGTATAGAGTAAAGACGGCTTTGTATATCGCCTGCACTGTTGATGCGGCAATGCTGAATGGCTTGTCGCGAGGAATCCCATTCTGAACGGAAAATAAAACACAAATGGGATACCATGGCTATTGAACCTCGATTCAGAGTGCATCCGTGAGCTCCATGAATTCCTCAAGGTATAGTTTCGGTGATGATGAGAGACTTGAGTAGTCTAGATAATGGTGTAATACAGCTCTCCCGGCACGTTTATTGGCCGACGCGCTAGTGCGCGCCCTTGCATGGATGTATTATTAATATCGAGGAGCCACTGAGGTTGAGAAGTCCCTTGTAAGAAGCTCCCTTTGCTCCTACAAGCTCACAAAGGATAAAAGAAGAGCTCTGGGCAAATCGTTCCGATTGCGCCAATTCGCGGTTGACGGACTGATCTGACATTCCACCAACCCCCAATGCATACAGCGCCAAGGGCCCTCTAACAATGACTTCTCCGTCCCCACAAGGGCGCAGCTTCACCGTTCGCGGTGTGGCTGCCGGCCTTGGTGTTGGCACTATTATATGCGCTGCCAACATGTATTTTGGTCTCCAGACCGGCTGGGTGTCTATCATGTCGATGCCGTCAAGCCTCATGGGATTTGCCGTCTTCAAGCTCCTGAAGCCTTACTTGCGATTCCCGTTCAGTCCGGTTGAGAATGTGCTGGTCCAGAGCGTGGCCGGCGGCATGGCAATTATGCCTCTTGGGTGTGGCTTTGTCGGAGTTGTAGGCGTTCACTCTTATAGATCGTCAGATTTCTCATTCTGACTGGCATATAGATTCCGGCGATGAACTACTTGCTAGGACCTGATGAGCAAGGGCCATTGTCATTGAGTATGTGGCAGCTCATCATATGGTCTCTAGGTCTTTGCTATTTCGGAGTTGTCTTTGCAGTGCCCTTGTAAGTGGTTTTTTGTACGACCAATTTATGCGAGAGTGCTAGTTGGCTGAGATGAGATTGTATGTGTATGACTGCAGGCGCCATCAAGTCATAATCAGAGAACGACTTCGATTCCCCAGCGGTTTCAGCACCGCAGTGCTCATTCGCGTGCTCCATAGTCGAGGACAAAAGTCTTCTCCCCAGGAGCTAGATGCCGCCACTAAAGGCGGGTTCGCCAGTCTTGCGGCCAAAGACGACGATCCCGCGTTGGTAGAGGACATCAGCCCCTCTGCTGAAGAGGAAGAGCCAGAAGCTCCAAAGGACCTGGACTGGGCGTACAACATGAGACTTTTGCTCCTCAGCTTCCTGGTTTCTGGCATCTTCACCATTTGCAACTACTTCCTGCCTATCTTGCGGGACCTCCCGGTATTTGGCACCATTGCGGCCTCTACCTGGCTTTGGACCCTGAATCCAAGTCTTGCATATGTGGGACAAGGCATCATCATGGGGACCGAGACAACGCTCCACATGACGCTCGGTGCGATTATTGGTTGGGGCGTTCTTAGCCCGTTGGCCAAGATGAAGGGCTGGGCTCCCGGACCGGTGGACGATTGGGAAAAGGGCAGCAAAGGCTGGATTGTCTGGGTGTCGTTGGCCATTATGCTCGTTGATGCTGTTGTCAGTCTAGCCTATATTGCTCTTCGCCCCGTTTTCACCACGCATGCTGTTCCAGCTCTAGCAGTACTACAGCGCCGCTTTCGACAGAGCAGGATTGCCGCCTTGTTTGGAACGCCTCATCAATATTCTCCAATTCCCAGCCAAGAGCAGCAGGAAGACGAGGAGCAAGAAGATGATGACCAAGCTTTTCCCGCCGAGGAGGAGGATGGTGGGCAGGATGATGCCCCGACTGACCAACAAGTCAACAATCGAATCGTTTTCTGGGGGCTTCTTGCATCCATACTAATCTGCGTTCTGTCCACACAAATCGTATTTGGTCACCTGGTACCTCTTTACGCGATTGTAATTGCTGTTCTCATGGCCCTGGTCTTGAGCATCATGGGAGTCAGAGCCCTTGGAGAGACTGATCTTAATCCAGTGTCCGGAATTAGCAAGCTTGCACAGTTATTTTTTGCTCTGATTATTCCACAGTCCAACAAATCGAGCGTTCTAATCAATCTAGTTGCTGGAGCTATTGTATGTTTACAGTTCCCCCTTTATGCTCCCTACTGTCTTCTATAGTTTTGCTAACAGTTGGAACCCTTGTAGTCAGAGGCTGTAAGCTCATCCAAAAAAAGCAACAAGCGTTATGGGATTTATCATTCCCTACTAACATCGCAATAGGGTGCACTGCAAGCCGGTGATCTGATGCAAGATCTCAAGACTGGCCATCTCCTTGGAGCTGCTCCCAAAGCGCAATTCTGGGGACAGATCATAGGCGCTACATTTGGCGCTGTGTTCTCTGCTTTTGCCTATCGTATTTACACTGCGTAAGTTGTCGACATCATTGGTGGACTTAAGAGAGTTTATGCACATACTACCCATTTTCTTACTACTCTACTAACCCGTGTTGTTGCTGGTGACAGCGTGTACGAGATCCCCGGCAAACTTTTCCAGGTTCCGACGGCGTACGTCTGGATCTTCACGGCTAGGCTTGTGACAGGGCAAGGCTTGCCGTACATGGCCAAGGAGTGGGCAATTGGCGCTGGAGTTCTCTTCGCCATGACTACTCTTGCGCGGACCTTGTCTGTTGGGAGACCCTGGCGCTCTTGGATACCCGGCGGCATTGCTGTAGCAGTCGGTGAGTAAAAGTCGAGTAAATCCGGCACGGGAGAGCTTCATCTAATTCATATGTCAAGGCATGTACAACGTACCTTCGTTTACATTGGCTCGAGCCATTGGGGGTATTGTTAGCTGGTACTGGCTAAGCGTACGAAAACAATCAACCACGCCACTTATTATCATTGCATCGGTAAGACCTTGCTTGTGCTTTGGCACGATCTACGCTCGCTGACCTTGCATGCAGGGCTTTATCCTGGGAGAAGGGTTCCTGAGCATTGTGAATTTATGGCTACAGGCGCTGAAAGTACCTCACTATTAGAGACTCGCAGCCGCCGGCCACTGTTATATGACAATTCTGAGTCTATTCGATGCTTAGAAACTGCCCGCTACTCTAACTTCCAGGACCATTTCTTCCCTTCTTGGCTTTCAGAGGAACATGTGACGTCGATTCTCAACGCTCTAGCATTTTCCTCCAGGGCTGCAAAGGTAATCTGCCCAGAGATAGTCTCTGGCAACACCGACTTGGAAGGGGGATTTTCTGGCGGCAACAAAAGCAACCCTTGCTTCCAATGAGTCACGATGCCAAACGGGCCGGTTGTAAATGCGACGTTGCCATTCTTGGCCTTTGCGAACACTTCGGGGGTCGTCATGGGCTCTGGCACGGGCTCATCTCTAGAAGTGGCGAAGAAGTTGTCGAACCAGATTAAGAAACCGTCCAGCCCATCTGGCCGTCGCAACAGCCGTGACTCCCATTTAGCTGTGAAGGATAGCTCTTCAGGCTTTATTGTGTGGAGGTCGAGTATCTTGAAGGGGAATGGTTCTCCACAAAGAGCGCTGTTGGGCATTGCTTCGACCCTGACATCATCGTAAATACCTTCTTGCATAGCTTTCATATCGAATCCATAGACGTCTCTCCAATAAGATATGTGTTCTGACATATACTCCGTATCTTGGATAGGTGCCATCCAGATGGTGCCAGAACTGGGAACCAGTAGGCCATTGGGCTTGAGGTATCGATCTCTAGCATAGAGAACGCTGGGAAGCATAGCTTCGTATAATAGGCAGTAGCCCATCCACTCGCTGACGATAATGTCAACCTCATCGACTGGCAGCTTGACCTCCTCGATGGCACCTTTGACACAGGTGATGATGTCAGAAAGGCCGTTGTTGAAGATGTTTTCAGTGGCTTTCTTAATAATGTCTGAATTATCGACAGCAATAACTCGAGATGCGCCAGCTTTCGCGCAGAACATGCTCAGAATTCCTACAAAGACAGGTTAGGTCTCCGGGCAGGTGAAAAATGTTTGATCATGAAACGCATCTCTTACCCGAGCCACAGCCAATATCGAGCACAACCTTGCCCTTGAAGATGTGTTTGTTGTTGTAGATGAAATCACGGTAAGCGTCAGTCCTGACTGTGTCCTTCAACATGGTTTCATGAATATCTAGTATTGTTAGTATCTGATCGCCTGAACTAAACATGGAGAAGCACTTACCGTTGTAGGCGTAAGATTCAAAATAATAGTTTCCACGATCGCCCTTGGCAGCACCCTTGGCAGGACTCTGTTCCGTGTCATCTCCCCACCGACGGTCCAAGGTTTCCTGAACAGCAAGCCGATAGTTTGAGAACTGACTTCGGACGGATTCCAGCTCGGCCTCCAAAGCTTGCTTCTGCGCCAATAGCTCTTCATGAGAGCTGTCCAGCTGGCTCGCAGCGGTGTCGGTCTTGACTAGGTCGCTGTCGAGAATCTCATCCAGAGACACGATAAGAGCATCATTCTCGAGGACAGGCTTGAAATAGGCGTCATCCTCAAAGTCTGCAATGGTTAGGTTTTTGGCTACAGGCTGCTGATCCCGGACTCGGCTGCGAATATAATTGACGAGCTTCACCGCGCCGTGGAAGTCGAGCTGGAGACTTTTAATAGTGGCAATAAAGTCAAAGCCGTGATGCTGTTTGCAGCTATCGAGCATTTCAGTCCAGCTAGAGAACGTCTGAGAGTCGAATAGAGAAATAATAGTGATGGATTCTTCATCGTTCTCAACGTCAAGCCATTCTCCCTCATCCGATACGTCGGAAGTGGCCGAGGACGACCCGGATACTGATCTCGCACTCATTTTTTTCCCGCGATTTTTTTCTTAAAGCGGAAACAATTTTTGTTGTTGTTGTCTATCAGTTGCTTCTGCCTTCTTTTTTGGCGTAGGAAATTTCCAGCACCTTTTTTTTTTTTAGTGTACAAACCTCTAGGTAGCACTGACATCAAGATTCTGAAAAGCGGCAAAAAGCTACTTCACACTTGTAAAAGGTACTTATTTGACACGCTACCGCAGAGCAAGCAACAAGTAGCGACCACTATTACAGAGTATACGCCCCGAGATCTTAGTGCGATTCAGGTACTCCGTACTCCGTACTGCTTGGGCAGTTTTTCCTTTGCAGACAGCAATGCCCCACCTTCCTGTAAACGGCAACCCCTCCCTCATGAATAGGGCTTCAGATACAGACAAGATCTTTCAGCAAATGTCCGTTACAACATGGGAATCGCGAGAGCTCTGCGTTTCTGCCTCTCTTGAATTCCATTTCAGAGTTTTCTATTCACACAGGATGTCAAAATTGCAAAAATGAAAGACAAAAAAAATTGAGAGAAAAAATCTCCAACTAGTGTTCGAACCTGGAACCATCCAGATGAGGTAATGCCAAAGATTATTGAAATGGAGTCTGTTGGGCCATTCCCACGGTCACATCTGGTAAAAGGCAAGAGGTGAGTTCGATGGGAGGTCCCACTCCAATCTTTACTGCACTAAACCCCCTTATATACCTATACTGTACTCCACCCAAAAATCTGAGATTCACAACACAGCCTTCCAACTAAACATCATCTAGAATCCATGGAACATTATTGCGATGACATCTCATATCTTCTTTCAATTCTTACTACAGATTTTATTTAGTTTATCAGATAGCGCTCAATACTGCTGCAAACGCTCGAACAGCCTCATTTCACGACTCCAAATCAGTCCACATCCTTCTCGTCCTCCTCAGCATCGCTTTCTTCCTCGCCGTCGTCTCCATCATCTTCACCGTCAGATACCTCCTGGCCAAGCCCCTTCAAACGTGTCTGATGGTACCTTTGTTAGCATATAGTGTTTCTTGTATTTGCGCACGGATAAATAGTATGCGCAGCTAGATCACCTACCTTGTATTTTCCCAGCTTCTCCTCTAGATCACCAAATACCATGAGGAGATCGTCCAGTTCGGATTGGACTGCATCCTTAGCCTTATCCGCCTCTTCCAGGGCTTGTTTCGTCTGAAGATAGGTGTCAGTAACGCTGTATTGGTATTGAATCCATCATATCTCACCTTTGCAGCTTCTTGCCGTAGCTTCTCGGCTTCCTGCCGTGATTTCTCAGCATCTTCTCGCAGCTTCTTGGCTTCTTCCTTTAACTTCTCGACTTCATCTTGTAATTTGTCAGATTCATCTTGTAGCTTTTCAGATTCGTCTTGTTGTTTCTCGGCTTCTTTCCGCCGTTCCTCTACTTCTTCCTGTAGCCGCTCAACCTCTTCTTTCAAATTCTTCAGCTCCTTTTCTCGTTCTTCCGTCTTCTCGTTGGCTTTCTTTAGCTGTGAGGTATGCTCCGTTAATACGTCAGCATGTTCGGCGCGAAGAGTTTGAAGCTCAAGAGTCTTGTTCTTGTTGGCCTATAGAGACATCCAGTTAACCAGTCTGCATAACAAACTCCGTGTTATATATCTTTGCTCGCTCACCTTCATCACGTCGACCTCAAGCCTGCTAACAGTCGCTCGCAGATCTGCAATTTCAGCTTCCGCTCTCTGTCTCGCACGCTCTGCTTCTACTTCGTGCGCTTTTTGAGCCTGATTTAGCTGAGTTTGAAGGTATTGATCTTTACCGCTGAGTTGGGTTTGTAGATACTGGTCCTTAGCAGCAAGCTGGGTTTGAAGATGCAGATCTTTCGCATTAAGCTGTTGTTGCATTTGCGCTGCCTTTTGTTCATACTCCGAGATCTTGACGGCTTGTTGGCTTTGCAATTTGCTAAAAAAAAAGAAAATAAGTTCAGTTTTGTTCTGAGAACTCATTATGTCAAGGACTTCCAACATACCGCATTTCTGTCATCAATTTCGTGCTAGTGGCCTCGGCATCTTCCTTTGTACGGCGGTGTGCTTCCTGTACCTCTTTAATGGCACCTTCCAGTGATTTATTGGCTTTGTTCGCTTCTTGAATTGTGCGGTCCTTTTCCTCTAGTTGGTGCCGCAAAGAATCCACGAGCTGTCTTGAAATACCCTGCTCCGTACCATTCGTAATAACCGAGACCTCCATATCGGGGACCTTATCAATGGCACGGATTGCACGGCTGTAGTTATCCTTGAAGAAATCGACAAAAACATCATCAAAGAACACGTTGACCTCTTCACCATCGGGCAGAGAGATGAGTTTTTGTGGTGTGACTTCGAACTCCCGGAGCAAGGGATGGTTTCGAAGTTTTGCTAGCCGATCCAAGTAACCATCTTTGTCAAGCCGCGACTCCAAAATAGAGTGCAACGTTGCTCGTGGTATGGGTGAGTCTTTCGTGGAGAACTCATAAACGACGCCCAACAACATGGCACATAAACCTTGCACGAGCTCCCCGGCCATACGAACTGGCTGTGAGATCACCTGTATAAGACCCTGGACATTGCTTCCTTCGGCAAGAAAATCGTTGACGGCATCGAGGTCCTCAAACAGCCAGCCAAGAAGTAACATTAGATATCCCACTAATACCCGGGTGTCGTCATCTCGACGTATCCGCACGAGAAGATGGGCTGTGATCGTTTGTATGCTGGTCACTACTTCTTCTCCCTTGGAGGCATCTCCTTCGGTCAAACCCTTTGCCACTCCCTTAGCAGCAGGATTGTCATAGAGTAGATGAAATGCGATAACAGAGGCAAACCACACACGGTACGGATCGCTCAGGAATACATCCCCCGGTAACCTCAGCAAAACACTCAGGATGTTGGCGGTTTCGTCCCGGCCAGACTGGTACCCTTCTATGGCTCTGCCTAAGAAGTGTGATTTTACTTCGGGGTGGTTGGAGAAATAAGCCTTTAAGCATTGGCAAGCAGCGAATCGTAAATCAAATGCAGAGATATCGTGCACGTTTAGTGTCAAGTCCAACAGGCCATCAATAATATAGACCTTAGAATGGCCATTGGTGGCACTTGAAGCTCCAGCCTTGGATTCTAGCGGTGGAGGGACCATGAGTGAAGCGAACCCTTCCTGAATGGTCATATTGTTACGGATCAAGTCGCCACATGCGACCAAAGCCTGTTCGAAGTGTTATGATTGTGGTTCAACGATTAAAAAGCAGGGTAGCAGGCCTTCGCACCTCAGCTTTGATTTGTATTTGAACGTCGGCATCGAACGCGAGCTGCAAGACAAGATAACTGAGCCCATGCCTCCAGAAGGTAGATTGATTCTGATGTGTCTCTGCGGAGCTTGTAGACAGGAATAAACGGATGATAGAAAGGAATGCGTAGATGTTGCGGTTGTGCTGGATCTGTGCCCACTTGGCAAGGTTGTCTTCCTGTTTCTGCGCTTCGAGTAGTCCCTTGAGCATCTCTGTGAGCTTGCCTATGCAGTCAGACTCCCGGAATAGAGACTGATTGGCCAAATTGCCCCTCAATAGATTGGCCAGGAGTATCAAACAGTCCTCCACGGTCCTCCCGCCTTCGGAGAGCGAGCCATCAGCAGTAATGATGGCAAACAATTTCTCGAAAGCATTTTGAAATGCAACGAGCTTTTGTATCTCGATAGAGCTAGACGTTAGTAATATCAACAGATTGACACCTTCATTGCGGATCGCCTCTCGTTGATCATCAAGAGCGCCAACAAGCCGACTGATGCCCAATGGCGCAGAGAGGACACATTCTTCCGTCCGTTGGGTTCGTGCTGTAAGAATTGAGCTAAGAAGTTGTAAAGAATATAGGCGTGAGTAGAAATCAGGGGCGTCTAGGAAGTCCAGCACAAGCGTAATATTCTCCTGGTGTTGGGTGAATTCGTCGGCCAGCCATAGTGCGATTTCGTCTGATGCTTCGGGGCTTTCCTTGTTTGGATTGAACAGCATCAGCAAAGTTTCCAGAACAATTTTGATTGTGTCGACATCTTCGGAGTCTTTGGATAGGCTGCCAATCAGGCTCCTCAACGCTCCAGAAGCTACAGATGCTGGGAAATCCTTTGCGAAGCTTCGCAAGCCTAGCACTGCGGCGCGCCGATCTTCGAGGAGTGTAGCGGAACCAAGTCGGCCACTGAGAACAGTGATGGTTTCGCCAGCGGACTGTTTCGCTGGCGTGCTGGAGATAGAGAACATGTCGTCACTTCACCCATGTCCTTAATTGAAGCTTTGGTGTTCGAAATTGGTTGCGCTACGGAGAGCTTCCACATACGGTACGAGCCATAATTAAATTGAGCTTTGCGGAAAGCTTCTAGAAAACGCCCTGGTCTAGGGGCATTATGCATGCCACAGCATTCTATGCTAATTTAGAGGCAGAGCACTTTAACCGTGGGTTTAATTTAAGACGATATCGATAGCGATATTTCCTCGTTTTTCTTCTTTCAATGTTTTATTTTATTTATATATTTTTATACGAAACAAAATTTAGTAAAGAAAAGCAAGGACAAAAGATACACTTTATAAAAAAAAAAAATTTTCTTCGTATTCTTCGTTTTCATAAAAGCATCATATACGATTAAAATCCGGAAATTTACATAATAAATATATTATAAAATATAATTTATCGCACCAATAGGATAGAATTCCCGTATTCACTAGCATTACGTTACTTATTATGTGCAATGATATGTACCTAGGTAGCTATAGTTTCAGAACCTCTTTACAGCTACGTATTAGGTATCGGTTTGCGCTTTCTGGCTACTTCTAAAAATAGCTAGCTCCAACGTGGGTAGTCGCGTTATCTTATCGGGCATGACTGTCACCGGGTTGACCAGCAACGCGTCGTTCCACCCGAACAAAATAATCTTTGTTCTTGGTCTCAATGCGCTTCGATGTAGCCCATGAGTTGGCCATCACGCATGGTTTTTCTTACCCAACGCCTCTTTTCACTTAATTGATACCCTCTCCACAATGGCTCCTCGTCAATCAACGTCAGGGGCTTCACAAAAATTGCGTTCCAGACCAAGCGATGTACAGCGTGCGTGTTAGATAGCCCTGTAGCTTCCTCACCACCGTTTGCTAACTGTTGTTTAGCGGGCGATCCATTACCTACGAGACAGAAACGACGATATCGCCCAGGCACCGTTGCGTTGCGAGAAATCAGGCAATACCAGTCAAATACGAAGCTGTTGCTACTAAAACTGCCATTCATGCGCCTTGTGAGTGCTGCACTTGCCTCCCGTTCCCACCTGGACGTGTTTTTTGATAGTGGTTAGGTTCGTGAAATTGGATTGAATTGTCGCCCGAGAGGAAAAGATTTTAGATGGCAGAGCCAGGCCATTCAGGCGCTACAAGAGGCCGCGGAGGCATTCATGGTACATCTTTTTGAGGATGCGCAGCTGTGCGCTGTCCACGCAAAGAGAGTTACCCTTATGCAAAAAGACATACAACTGGCGAGGAGAATTCGAGGCATCTGGGGCGGCCTTGGTTGAAATTGAAACAGTAGAGATGGAATCGGCATTGATATATCTATTACTATTAATCTTTTACCTGGTCATACACAGACATAAAGTCTTGTGCGAGGTAACTTGTTTACGTACGAGTAAGATGACTCTAGCGTCCATGGTTCGCTGGGTAGCATAGTATTACCCTTCGATAAACACTCCTACAGCAGATATGTATGTTCCAGGAAAGGCGAATTACCTCACACACGCACATGATGGCGAGTTATGTCAGTTACGCATAATCACGTCCGTGCCGATGACCGCCGCCATGAGGAGGCCGTGTTCCAAAGTTCCCCCCGCGTCCTCCTTGGCGGTTGTAGTCGTTCCTATTATCGGACCAGCCCTGCTGGGGTCGACCATATGTACCTGGTGGTGGGCCCGCTCTCGGGTCAAAAGCTGGTCCGGCTGAAGGCTGCCATCTCCCAGGTTGCTGCATGCCATAAGGCGCATTATGGTGTGGCTCGAAGCGTTGGCTGTCCCTGTTGTATCCGTTATAAGAACCTCGCGTATCCCTATAGCCACCAGAATAACCGCCCCTGGGCCGGCCACCATTGTTGTTGCCGTAGTGCTGTGGGGGTCCTCCATAATTGCGACCTGGTCGGTTGGTCTTTCCTCGAATTACCTCAATATCACTCCTAGTCAAAGCCGGCGGTGGCATTCGCACTCCGCGTAACAGCATGGATTTGTGGGTTTGCGATACCTGGGGCATGTCATAGTAAACGCTATGCTTGATTAGCTGAATGCCACAAAAGGTTGCGGGGGGATGATAGAATCATACCTGATGGAATGATCGTAATCTAAATCTGGCATAGATCGTCGCTCCAGAGGGTAGCTCAAGGCCCCATGAGGAACCTTGTCCTCTTGCTTTTCAATTTCTCCGGCCAGGCCGTTGCTGTGTTCTGTGTTGATGCTGAGCCTCGAGCGATCTTGCTTCTTGGAATAGAAAGTGGTCAAAATATCGTCGTAAAGGCCTTCATGGTTGTCGGATAACAATAGAACCTCCCTTCCCACTGTATTTCGCGCAACATCTTCTGGGCTTAGTAGTGGATACTTGCCTTGAACTGCGTTAAGGAGTCGCGGCATGTCGATGAATGGGAGTAAAGCGACTCCTTGCCATGCCATCTTCTTGCCATTTAGATCAACTTCGAAATCTTCGGGATAGAAATCAATAATCTCGCTGTCTTTTTCTGTCATTAGATCATGAAACACTGTGGGGAGAGCATGACGAGATGCTGCCGGTAAGACGCTCATTAGCTGTTCAAATGGTCTGGAAATTCGCCCCTTTTCGAAATGCATTTCCATTTTGCTGAGATTTTTGAAATCAGCGGCGAACGGGGCGTAATGGTAAGGATAATACCACTCCCAAGACGGACATCCTTGAAAGTAATATAATAATACCCAAGCCAACCCTTCCACGTATGCCTGGGCCACTTTGTGGCGAAATTCGACATCTTGTGGATCCTTACCGAATTTCTGCTGGTAGTAGCGATCTTCGTAGCCGTCTTCCCACAAACGAACATTATCGATTGGTTCGACCTCTTGGGGCACCATGGATTTGGGTTTAGATGACTCTGCTGAAGAAGAGTTGGCAGTGTCATCAAGCTCTGCAGCTTTTCTTTTCCCAAGGGCTGAAGGCAGTGGTTGAGTAATGTCTGCTGCGGTGCTGGATGCCGTCTCGTCTTTGTTAGCGTTATCTTTGTTAGCGTCCGCTCGCAGTCGGTCTCGCATGACACTGGCCGCACCCTTGTTGGCTAAGGTTACATCCTGGGCAGCACCGCGACTGACAACCATGTCGTGAGTGATATTGGCTAGCAAGTTTGTGGGTTGCTCTGCTGCAATGGGGAATAGCGGCAATCCTTTGGTAGGATCCGCATGTCCATTGGGTCTGGAAGAAGAGCCGTGCTGCCCATTCCTCGAATATCCTTCGTTTTGAAGCTTCCTTCTTTTGGCAGATGCTTCTCGACGATCTTCCTGTTCTTTCCTTCGCTTGAAAATTGCACTCTCTTGATTCGCGAGACCATCAAGTATGACTTGTGCTCTCTCCAAGTCAATATGACCATCTTTAGTAACATAGCCGCCCATGGACGGTAGATTGGTTCTCCAGATGGTGGTCAAGGTGTCGATTCCATGCTCCCGAATTTCCAGAGCAGGCAAGTGAGGCAGGAAATCGTTACCAACGAAGCAGCACATGAAGATCCAGTCATCAATGGCCCGTTCCAGGTCAAATCTGAAGGGGAGGTCTGGAATAGACAGTTCAGCCGCGAGATACTCTCTAAGAACAGAAACGTGTAGCCAAATAAAAGGCTTTAGAACGGGGGTTTGGATGTCCTTGCTTTTTTCATCGGCAGCATCCTCAGCGGGTTTTGCGTTCCCACGGCAGTTGTTTGCCTCGTGCCCTTTCTGGCCGCAGAGCTTGCATGTCCTGTTTTTGCCTTCGTTGAAGAACACATCTTCACGTAACACTCGGAAGTGAGGTTCGTGTGTGGCAAGCCCAAGCATGATGAGATCAGCATCCAAGCCATAAATGACATGGCGAGTATTAGGGTCGTAGTTAGGAGAGGTGCGTTGAGATCGGATGAAGTCCATGATTTTATGTTCACCTTCACCTGGCACCGTAGCATCAGATATGATGATCTTGAGCTTAGCCCAAGCGGGATCCGTGTTTAATTTGTATTGGCACCAATATCGCAAACTCAAGGCGAGGATATCCATGAATGGAGTGCCTGGAGTAATGGAGTTGGAATCGAAAGCTTTCTTGACAACCGTTTCCGAGTCTGCAGCTGGGAAAACACCACCATTTTGGCGTTTTAGTAGTTCGATTAGCGCTTTCTTGTCCTCTTCCTTTTCCTGGGCTTCCCGAGCTGACCGAAATCGACGAGATCGTTGCTGGTTCATCTTGGCTCTTGGTGCGACTCCGTCTGGTTAATGTTTGTTAGCATAAGATGAGCGAAAGCGATAGTCGTAAACCACTAGGGGATAACGAGAATGAAGGCTGGATGCTACACTTACCAACGGCAATCATGAGAATTTTACGAGGGCGGACCATGTTCACAACACGGTCCGTATACCTGAAAACTTCAAGCATCATCTCCTCCTCATCGGCTGGCGCAGGCCTATCCTCTGGATGGGAGCAGGGATGGACAATTCCATTCATGTCCAGGTACAGGTTGTCGAGCTCTTCCCCATTAGGATTGGGCTGAGTAGTGTCAACGGGAATGGTGATGCCATCTTCGGTGGTGATTGGCGTTTGTTCAATAACAGGAGAAATGATTTTGGGATATTTGTTGGATAGCCATCGGAAGGCTGCGGGAATACCCATGTTGGATTATGATTGCTACGAGGAGAATCAAATCGCTTGGTGCCGCTGAACAATTATCCCAACACCGAAATCGAGGAACAAGGAACGCGACTACGCGCGGCCGAAGTTTCGATTGGCCGTAGAGGATAATTAGTAGTGTGGTAGATAACCAAGAAGAAGCAGCTCTGATTCAGCTCCGCGACTCTTGATAGGTAAATAATAATAAAGACAAAAGGTTATGATGAGGTATTGTTGAAGTCTCGTCAACACAGGTGCTGCACGTGAAAGACATGCATGGGGGAAAAAATAGCTGGACCAACTTTGCAGAAGATTCAGTAATAGTGGTAAAGTTCCCAGCCTTAAACTGCGCACTGTGTTGAGACTGCTAGTTGGGTACTTTATGCTTTATGAGCCCAAAGTAATTTTTTAAGTAACTTATAAGAGAATTTACATACTAGAATATACCTATATGTAATGTTCTTTATACATATAAATTCTCTTTTAATATCATGAACAATAACCTCATTATTATAGGTATCGTTATGTCTTATTTCAGCATATAGGTATTCCAGTGATATAATACAGTACAGAGCAGCTAAGACCAACTAGTGCTAGCGTAGCAGCATTCCCCCATAGCAGATTCGGTCTCTTACACTGTGCAGAGTGGTTCTCTTGCGGACACGCTCGACATTGTTCTGTTAATTCGTTAGGCCTACCTTGAGCTACCTCAGGTAACAGTATCCAGTTGCTCATCATGTCTATATCTAATGAAGCTCTACAAAAGGTGAGCATGATGACTCCGGAGTTTGCAGCTTATACTGACCAATCGTGTTAGCTCGCGCTTGAGATCGAGTCGCAGGCCATCGCAGCGCAGCAGCAAATCGGCATGGTTCGAACACAAATAGCAGCCAAACAAAGAGAACAGCGCCTGCTGCGGTTGACCATCGGCGAAGTGCAGAGCTTTTCAAGCAATTCTGTCGTTTATGAAGGCGTAGGGAAAATGTACGTAAATATGGACAGTCGCGAGACATGACAGTTGCGCAGCGGTAGAACTAACGTTGACTCTTCCCCGGCCCTAGGTTTGTTTCTCTTCCTCCCAATACTTTGCACGAGAAATTACAACGCCAGATGCAGGATCTTGAGGGCGATGTTGATCGACTGAACCAAAGATTGCTGTACCTCGAGACGACACACAAGAATAGCCGAGAGCACATTGACCAGATACTACGTACTCGTTGAAATGAAAACAAAGAAAAAGAAACAAGAGGAGGGCCTGCCTACCTACCTACATATATCTCCTAATCTCGAAATACCCATTGCTTGTGTACCTTACCCGTCGTGTTCAGAAACCTTCCAAGGAGGGCCCCGCATAGAATAGGTACATCAGCAGCATTACCTATAAGGCAAGCTCGTACAACTAAATTTATGAATCATAAAGTTACCTAAATAAAAAAAAAATTCAAAACAATATGCAAATATAAGACTAGCCTTTCTTTTTGTTTTAGAACCTCTAGCAAACCAGCCGTAACATGTCGTATGCCTTTTTTGGTCAAGATTAACAAGTCCCCCCTCCCTCTCCAAGTTGGGCTGCCATCCTCTCTGGAGCTTCCCGCAGCTGGAATTGGCGTTAAAAACCAACGCGCATCATATCCGGCCCAACCCCTCTAGTCTCAAGTATCTGGCTTCTCTGCTCTCGTGCCCCACCAATAGCTGTGGCACCTCGTTAGTAACATCTAGCTGTGTGGTCTCTCTCAGCCCGCCAGTGCAACAGCAAACGACATCATCTGCATCATAAAGACTGATTGCTCCTTCAACAACCCCCGACCCTCGCGACTCTGCCACGCCCGAATCCTCACCATCCTGCAGCGGACTCATCAAGCGCCACGAACCATCACCCCTCATTGACCTCCTGTTCCGCTGTATCTCGTCACCCCGGCTGCCTGTGCCACCTCTGATCCCTGCTATCGCTGCCAACCAAAATGGTCGACAGTGAAGCGAGCTCACCAACCTGGAAGTTTACCCAGTATGTGCCCGTGCTAGAGCGCCTGTGGATTGGATTTTGCAGCTAAATCGGAATGCTAGATGCTTCGGCGACAAGGGCGATGTTGAGGATATCACCGAAGGTTCGCCGCGTCCTCTCCTCTGACGTATGCTGTGTGATACTGACCGCGGGGCCCAGCCGACATCATTTCAACGGTAGAGTTTGACCACACAGGCAACTACCTTGCTACCGGCGACAAAGGAGGGCGAGTGGTTCTATTTGAACGAAACGAGACGGTATTGCCTTGCTCAGCCCGCAACAATCTGGCGGTCGCAGCCTTTCTAATTCCTTGCAGAAAAAATCTTGTGAATACAAATTTCACACCGAGTTTCAATCCCATGAGCCTGAATTTGACTACCTGAAGTCTCTCGAGATTGAGGAGAAGATCAACAAGATCAAGTGGTGCCGCCGACAGAATGCTTCCCATTACCTCCTATCAACCAATGACAAGACGATCAAGCTGTGGAAGGTATTCGAGAAGTCTCTGAAGGTTGTGGCGGAGAACAATCTTTCTCACGATGTAACGCCTGGCGGTCCGGTGGGCGGAGGCGGTGGCCTTCGAGCTCTCCCCACGACCCAGCAGTTCAGGAATGCGGCCGATCTCAAATTGCCTCGCCTCACACACCACGATACTGTTGTTGCCGCCGTCCCCAGACGAACCTACGCAAACGCCCACGCGTACCACATCAACAGCATATCCGTAAACAGTGATGGCGAAACCTTCATTAGCAGTGACGATTTGCGGATCAACCTCTGGAACCTCAATATCCAAGATCAGAGCTTCAACATCGTTGACATCAAACCCGCCAATATGGAGGAGCTGACCGAGGTGATCACTGCCGCTGAGTTCCATCCAATCAGCTGCAACTGGTTCATGTATGCCAGCTCAAAGGGTACCATCAAACTTGCTGATATGCGAGAGAGTGCATTGTGCGACCAACACGCAAAATGTTTGTATCAACCCAAGACCGTCCTGATGTCCAGATTCGCGGAGAAGGCTGACCGAGAGGGGAAATCCACTAGTATTCGAACAAGAAGAAGACCCTTCATCTAGATCGTTCTTTTCCGAAATTATCTCGTCAATATCGGATGTGCGATTCTCCTATGATGGAAGATACGTCTTATCTCGAGATTATCTCACTGTCAAGATCTGGGACATCAACATGGAGCGGCAGCCTGTCAAGACGATACCCATTCACGAGCATCTGCGACCTCGACTATGCGATACGTACGAAAACGACAGTATTTTCGACAAGTTTGAGGTCGTCTTTTCCGGTGACGCCAAGAATGTCATGACTGGAAGTTACAACAATAACTTCATGATCTATCCTTCCGATCCTGATAAGGAGGTGGAAGTGGTTCTCCAGGCGGACAAGTCAGCTTTCAAGGCAAAGAAGGTGGGTGTCCCTACACCCATTAACTCATCCACAAGCCCCACAGCTGCGAATGGTGGTAAGAAGGGAGGTTCAAGAGCAGGCAGCCCAGCTGGTGGTGCCCAGGGTCAGAGAATGCGGAAAGAGACGGACGCGGACCAGATTGACTTCAATAAGAAGATACTACACATGAGCTGGCATCCATTTGAGGACAGTATTGCTATAGCCGCAACCAACAATGTAAGTCTTTCCCAGAGCACAGCCGACAAGAGAATCGACCTTCATCAGAAGCTAACTATTCGCAACAGCTCTTTGTATTTTCAGCACTGTAGCCACAGGTAGAAATTTTGGAACACTGAAGAGCACCTAAACGCAGTACCACCTCAAGGGTTGTATATGGTAGTCAATACTAAGGAGTACCTAACAGTGAATCAATGTCCTAATTATACTTGGGCAAGAAACATAAGAGAATTATAAATATAGTATAACTTGAAATAAGACATACTATTAATAGTCTATGTAAACAAAGAAAAGAAAAGAAGGAAAAAAAAAATTACAAAATCATGGTCATTTCTCATATCGAGAAGCTCCCAATTCCAAGTGGTTTCATTACGAGTAGAACGTTGTGGCCCTCGAAAATTCAATGCAGAAGCACATTTGCATGTCTATTCATTTATTCATTTACAAGACGTTTGTTACATTTGCGTCCGGGCATCATCTATGACAGTTTCATTACATTCGCTGGCCCTGGTATTACCGTCTCCGCAACCTCTCATTTTGCTTTGTCGATCCTCACTTCAGCGTCTATTACTTTTGGCTACACGCCCATTCGATGGTATATCCTCGTCGTCTGTTGATTCCTTAGAGCTGCTGGACTGGGAGTGCATCATCACCTTGTTACCCTTCATGCTTCTGCCAGTGCGCCTTCGGTCACCGTTACCCTCTCCTTCGTGTTCTTCAGAAGCGTGATGTATTCGAGAGCTTCTCTTGGAAATCTCTTTCTCAGTGAGGTGCTCCGTGGTTTGATCCATCTTGGCGCCTATTATTTCCTGCTCTGCTTGTACCTTCGCGACGCTCAGTGATTTTCGTGTGCCGATCTTGAAGGATCTCCCTTTAAGAGCCATCCGTTCAGCCATAGACATAAACCGAGAATTGACCGGCAAAATCACATTCAGCGAGGATCCACTTCGAGTAGAAATGTCGGATTTTCGGGGTCGACCTCTCTTCTTCTTCGGTATCTGGTCTCCTGTTTCATCTTCAATCGATAATTCTTTAGGGGGGCTAAGATGCTGATCCTCTTGATGAATGTGAGCAGCAATTGTTGTAACTCCTGAAGGCCTGGAGGGGCGCCGTCGTTGCTGAGAATCCTCAACAGCACTAACATCGCCATGATTGGACGCCTCTTGTACGTCTAGAGATTCCAATTCCCGAGTTTCGTCATGAGAGATGGCCACATCGTCTCCGCGTTCCCATGACACGGGCAATGACTTCTTCGGACGACCCCTTCTTCTTTTATTCTTCCCACCATCAGGTGGCGGTGGTGGCGTGTTCTCTGCATTCACTGGTGACGCCATCTTTGGCAAATTCCTCGGGGGGCGACCACGTCGCTTTGGAATCACATCCCCGATCGTCTCCTGGAATGCTCCATCAGGATGCTGAACTTCGGGGTTGCTCGATTCATGCTCCTTCTCAGCCGCTTGTATGGCTATTGAGCTGTCAGCCTTCGTCGAGCTCCCCACCGCCTTAGGAGAAGGCGCAGAAGCTGCCTCGGTTTCATCTAATTCATCTATATCCAGGTCGTCAACCTCCACATATGATGATCGTGGCTTGGCATGGCGAAGAATTGGTTCATTCATGTCAGGTCGAGGCAAAGATATCTCTGGGACTTTGGGATCCGATTCTTCCCGATGAGCCGCCGATGAGTTGGCAGAGACATGTGTGTCCAAGAGAGCAGTAGCAGCTGCTTGATTGAGTGTTGCTGCCGAGCCCCCGTCTGTGAAAAGAGCTGGATCCATGTTGTCAAGGAAATCGGATGACTCTGCTATGAGTTTTGGTCTTTTCTGGTGACTTTTAGGAATTATAAAATCGGGATCTTCATTCTCCCGTTTCGCCTTTCTCTTGGCCGCCCGTATGGTTTTCTTTACAAATTCTGGAACAGTTGGTTCCTCAGCTTGCATTGAATCCACGGAAGGCGCTTGGTATGGATCGAAGAGAATTTTATCCGGAGTATCGTCCTGTTCGTAGTAACCCATTCCTATACGCTGGCGTGCGAATACTGATGGATCAGGATACTGGGAAGAATCCACAGTCTCTCGCTCTCTAACATTGGCTGGGAGAGGGGCGGCAACATCTTGCGGCACGTTGTCGCCGTTGTTGGTGTGGTTATGGGGCACATCAAACGAGTGATCAGTCGAATTTCCTCCGTCTCGACCAAGTACTTGACTTTGGTCTCCGTAACCATTGATTGCAGAAGATTCTGCCAGCTGTGTACTCAAAACAGCACTGGATTGCATCCCAGGCTCTGCTTGAGCGTGTGTCAGTGCATCTTGTGCTTTGGCATTGTCTGCCTGCTCCCGCAGCAACTGCATTCTCTTGCTGTCTTTACTACGACTTTCTTCTCCTGCGGCTTTCAGCCAGGACAGGTTATGAATTCGAAAATCAACTAGTGCCTCTACACTGCGGTCATCAGCGATCCGGCGAGTATCGTGTCCAAGAGATGTGTTCTTTGGCATGTACGGCTGTGTGGTGCCTGCACGGCGGCAGTGACCACAGTTACATATTCCGAGGCACTTGGGGCATTGCCAATGTTCGTCTTCCAAAACAGCTTGTGGCATGAGATCGAACGCCCGGTATAAAACGCCGTAGCAATAGGCTTCGGAGCAGCCGGGGTTCGTGCATAAATGTACTCGATAGCTGTAATCTGGATGACAGCAGACATGGCATCGGTGAACTTCTCCTTTCTTTTTCTTTCTCCTTGATTTCTTATTTGGCTTATCGTCGCCATCCCCCTGCTCAGAGTCACTCGGCGTCTTTTCGCGCTCCGGTTTAGTAATATCTTTCCAAGGACGTCGCCGTAGGGCCTCTTGGCAGATCTGAGCAAGTGATTTCTTTCCTGCCCTCTGTCTAGCTACCTCGAGCGGGTGAGGAGAGGACTCCAAATCAACGTGGCCATCAATGGCGATAACAGTTGCTTTCCAGGATTCATAGCTATCAGTCAATTCTGACCATGACCACTGCTCACACCACTGAAGGCCGGAGAGGCAGGCGCATGATCGGCCCATTGCGTAACATTCCATGCATACGTCATATGCATCTTCTTCTCCATCGAGCAGGGGTCTAATGCAGTGTTTGCAGGTAAGAAACCGATTGAAAATGTTGGATCTGCAGTAGGAGCAAGTAACACAAGAGTCAAAGGGCAGATATTCGACGTCTTTCTCTTTGAACGCAAAGACTTCGTCGACGAGAATTTCTGTAAACAGCTGAAATAGTTTCTTGAAGTCGGCCGCCAGCTGCTTCACCCGTGGAGAGCTTCTGAAGACATCTCGCCCAAAGTCCATAAAGCCTATCTGCACCATCTCCGCCTTCTTCTCAATACTCTGAAGTTCTGCATGGTATTTCTGGAGCGTGTAGTAAATTATGGCCTTGTTTTTATACTGTTCATCTCGACACACTAAGCGAGCTTTGGGAAGCGCTTCGTGGAGTGCAAGGTCCAATGTCTCCACCGTCGTGCGGTTCCAAGCGACCTTCATCGTCCTGGTTCCTCTGTTCCAAACTTGGTGCGCCGCGAGAGGTGGTATAAGGATAAAATCGCCCACACATTGTTCCACAATGTACACATCAAAGGGGGCCTTCTTCCAAGCATTGATTTGTGCAAAATGCTTCTCAATCTCAATATCATGACCAAGCATCGACAAGAAGTATTCTCGAACCACCTCGCGGTCTTTGCTCTCAGTCATGAACCAAATTGAGCTCCCCCTTTTCTCTCCATTTTCATCTCGTGACGCCTCAACCATGATGTTCTGCCCCAGCGATGCGCACATCTCCCGGTGAGCTGGTGTGTAGGTCCCTTCATGACCTATATAGCACATGAGATTTTGGGCTCGCATTTCCTCTGGCAAACTAGACATGAGATCTCCGGCTGGGGCTGCGGTAGTTTCACTCTCGAATATTTCCTCGTCGTGCATCCGTTTGCCTCCTTTGCCGGTAACATTTTCGTTGAGATAAAAGAGATTGGGATGTATGATCTTTTGCAGCATATCGCGCCATTCTACGGGACAGTCAATATCTTTGAGATAGAGCCGCTGTCGACGCTCATCGCGATACGTATTCGGGGTCCACTGATTGGTGAGCTGTTTCATAGACCGTAGATAGTGTCCAGTGGTCATAGGGATATCAGTGGCGTTGGAAATGTCACGAACGTTCTCCTCTGCAAGGCAAGATGATTAGTGGTTTGTCCATGACAGCTTCAGGGAGATGACGAACGCTTTTTATCATAGGCATTCTCAAGCCATCCCGCACTAAACAGCGAGGACGGTAAAGCAGCATCCCATCCTTCTATAACAAGAGGCTTGCCGCCAGCTATGACATGTATCGCAACGAGCTTTTCGAAGTCTTGCTGGCCGAGACTGCGGATTTGCGATCGAGATACTCGCTGAGCCCATCGGAAATTCGGTGTGTGATCTACCAATGAGTGTAGATCAAGATCTGGGGGTATCGGGTCAAACTTCGCTTGCGGATGCTGTGCGCTGGGCATCGTGTTTTGTGTGTCGCTGTTCAATAGCGTTGACCATGGGGGATTGTTTGATGGCAATCGAGGCGGCGGTGTTCAGTAGTAGGAGAAATGCTGCCTCGCAGTGCGCAGATTGGCCTTCCTATGCACACAAGATGGCCCAAGGAGGGCCTGCCAACTGGTCGTCGTGATTTTAAGAGTCACTGGGTCGTGAATATGATCGCGTAAAGCTGCAGTTGTCACTTGCGATAAGCGCGACATGAGGATGGAATAAATCAATTCGGCCTAGCACGGCGCACCTACTATGTAAGCAGGAGCTCGTATGGTTAGCGTTTTGGGAGGGGTGGGGTGATCGTGGTAACATAGCAGCCGACTCCATAATCAACCGCTACTAATCTGGGCAAATCGCTTAGGAGCTGCATTACCGTATATGGAAACTCAAGGGAACAATATCAGGATAGATGTGTTTAGCAATTATGATATGGGTATATGGAATTTTGATTCTCCACTGCCATGACCAGATCATTAGGTGATTCTGTTCGTAACAAGTGTGAGAGATTGCTGTAATGCTATTAAACAGTTGGCTTCCAGTTCTTGGGCTGCAGTCTTATCCTTTCAAGTGATAGAATATCAACTTTAACCGATCAAGCGCCCGATTTATGGTTGCCGGCTCGGTGCTATCATGCTCTCGTTCAAAATCCTGTTCTGGCATTTCCGACGTGGTTGTTGGATGTGAATTACCCCAAACCCGGGCATTGTACGCTGTAAACACATCCCTCCAATACCCAAGCCAAGTACTGCTTGTTTCTTCAATGTTCGCTGTTCCAAGATACGGTGCTGCTTGTTGCGACAGCTCGGGTCTAGTAATGAAGTCAGGAGTGAAATCAAGCTGGTCTTCTTGATCGGTAAGGGTTCCGGCCACAGCTCCATTCCATACTTCATCTTCGCCTGACATATGGATGTCATTCTCCGGATAAAGAGCTGTCTCGAGTGATTCATATCCTGGCTGAGAGAGAAGTTCTAAAACGGCCAAGCCATCTGATGCCTCTTGGTCCGCAAATGAGGACCCATAAACGTCTACGCGGTATCCATCATTCGCCAACGCATCCGTAGAACTGTTGGTGAATGTGTCAAATAAGTCATCCTGGCACTCTTGTGTAGGCCTTTGACTCTGATCAAGCAGCGCATTCTGGGGTGATTTGTAAGATGAGTACTCGTCAGCAATGGATGAAAGCGAACCCAGACTGCTTGAGCCGCTGGAGGATTTTAATTCTGATGTCAAAGTCGGCAGTTCCCGTAATGTTGTGAGGGCATTCACTACCAGCTTTGTGGAGGCCCCAAGTTGAGAAGCTGCTAATCCCAACCCTGCTTTCTGCTTGCCCTTGCTATCCGCAGATACTTTTTGTGATTCGTCTCCAGTAGAAGAACTTGAAGACGCAATATCTTCTGGATTATTGTGTCCAAGCTTGTCGTCCTTCATTATTAAAGAGTGATTGAAATGTGAAGAATCAGTGGGTTGTATGTCAAAACGTCATAGCCGAGGCATGTGAATGAGCGAAGTACTTATACACTACGAAGTGCCATACCTAGGTAGTACTAACTCGAGTTGGGCATCACACAGTGTGATTATACAGTACTAATTATATGCTGCTGGATGGTGGGATTCGTGAGGAAAATTATCCAAATCCGACCATTCACATACAAGGCTTCTGACAGGGCACCTTCATTCGTGTGTCGGCATCGAATCACTCCAGCACCTTATGACGTTGAGGCTTGCTGCCAGAGTGCCTATCCAGCACCGGGTGGGATGGAGATGTAGCAATGGCTCAATTGGCCCATTACGGGCGTTGCCTCACCCGACTGCTCCCTCACATCAGAATATCGCAGGTCGATTACTGGTTCATCGCCAAAGAGCTGTCGCTTTCCATCAAAGCTTGAGCAACCTAAAACCAATTCTCGACACTGCTAATGCCGATAAGTCAGCTAATAATGAGCATCTAGCAGAATATATCCCGGCTCAAACTGGGATCTTATCAATTGTGCCCAAGGCATGGGTCCCCTATGGTGAACTCATCCGCATCGACAAGCCTGCTGGGACATACTACCTATTTTTCCCATGCCTCTTTTCCACGCTTTTAGCAGCGCCAATGGCAGATCCTATAGCTCCATTCACCTCAGTGGCCACCACTGTGGCTCTGTTCTTCAGTGGAGCTTTGATCATGCGCGGTGCGGGTTGCACGATTAATGATCTCTGGGATAGAAACCTCGATCCGCAAGTTCGGAGGACTCGGCTGCGACCAATTGCCCGGGGCGCAATTACCCCCTTCCAAGGTGTCGTATTTACTGGATTCCAGCTGCTTGCCGGGTTGGCCGTCTTGGTTCAATTTCCATTGCCGTGCCTTGCCTATGGCATACCAAGTCTCGCTCTCGTCCTCACTTATCCGTTGGCAAAGCGAGTTACCTATTATCCCCAGGCTGTTTTGGGCTTGGCCTTTTCCTGGGGGGCAATTATGGGCTTCCCAGCACTTGGTATCGATCTGCTATCAAACTCTGCCGCGCTCATATCCGCAGCATGCCTTTATGCGTCAAATATTGCATGGGTTGTCCTGTACGACATGATATATGCTCACATGGATATCAAAGATGATGCAAATGCGGGCATCAAGAGTATTGCCCTAAAGCATGAACATCAGACCAAACAAGTCTTAACTGGACTGGCTATCTCACAGGTAGCTTTATTGGGCGCGGCCGGGATGGCAGCGGGAGCAGGTCCCATCTTCTACCTCGGTAGCTGCGGCGGAGCTCTCGTCACACTAGGAATCATGATCAGGCGGGTAAATCTCAAAAGCGTCAAGAACTGCTGGTGGTGGTTTGTCAACGGTTGTTGGATTACAGGGGGGGTCATCAGCATCGGAATGGCCGCGGATTATGTATCTCGTTCTCTCGAGGAGTCCGAGTCAAAGTCGGTACCGGAAGAAAGAAGACTGCAGGCCTGATTAAGCTGCACTATAATAGAACACTTCACTCATTTTGCGTGCACTTCGTTCGTTGTATGTGAATGCGAGAAGACGCCCGGTCCGGTGCCGCCTGGTATTTGAACATGCTGAAAAATGTTTCTAAAGGGATATTTGATCTCCTTCAAAATTTTAGCCTCCCATTATTGGGCCATGACTAGTGGTGCCAGTGTAAACGAGCCAAAAGAGCTCCTCACGATCCTTTTGCCAACGCCTCCTTTCCCCAAATGACAGCCTTTATGATCGAGGCTTCTCCTTCTTCTCCTTCCACAGAGCCAGCAGACCGACACCAGACACCTTGACAACCTTGAATCGAACACCGGGAATATCACCCTTGGCCTTGCCCTTGCGACCGAATCCAGCGAGCAGAACTTCGTCGTTCTCGTCAACAAAGTTCAAGCAACCGTCGTTGGGGACTGTGGTAAAGCTCATGTTAGCCGGGGTGCCAAGTAGGGGAGAGTCTAGACGCACCGAAAGCAGTGACTTTCTTTCCGTTCTTGATCAGCTGAACTCGGACACACTTTCGAATGGCGGAGTTGGGCTGCTTGGCTTCGACACCAACTTTCTCGAGAACGATGCCCTTGGCGTGGGAAGAGCCACCGAACGGTGAGGACTTGAAAGCAGTGCCCAGGGCACGCTTCTTGTAGGCGAGATCAGCCCATTTCTGATCTTTTCGGTTGGTGCGCAGCTTGCGCGCAGCGTTCAGACCACGGGGCTTGCCACCTGCCATGATTGCTTCGAGAAGTTAGTGGTCGTCGAGGAGTGGTGAATTGGGTGACGGTAGGTGAATGTTGAACGTACCGATTTATGCTAATATGGCGACACTGGTTGGGTGATGTGACAACACCGAAAAGGCAGAAGGTTGAATTGAACTCTCAAAAATTCCGATAGGGTTTGCGGCCCTAGAGCAAAAAAAGATGGAGTGCAAAAATGTTTTTCACGTGATCTCGGAACGCCATCCGGGTGTATTTTTATCCATCCCCGGCACCAAGTATTAGTCCGTACCTAGATCTCACTTACACATCTTCGAGCCCCACAGTTCCCGTCATCACCCTTATTGCCAAAGAGCTTTACATGATCCGCCCTGAATGAAATGCCATGTCGTTCACGGGTGAGCCCAAGTCAAGGGAGCGAGATCCCCCACCTCTACCTCTTCTATCTCCGTCACCCGGCATTTCTCGTGTCTCGCTTCCTGGCGCCATCACAACTACTGTCCCACCTCTGGGGAGGCATAACCTCAAATGGGACGCCAATGTAGAAGCCGCCGTGCAATCGCGCTCTGGATCGGATATGCCATTAGACCGACGTCCCGAGTGGGCATTGCCTGCTAAAGGGAGCTATGGAGGCGCCGACAGGACAGATGCTTTGTGGGCAGAAATGCAAGCCACGCTGGAAAAGGTGGAATTATCCGCTTCAGAAGGCACTCATGTATTTGGTCCCGAACACGATCGGAAACTAGGGGATCTCAGGACCGCTCAAATTGTACTTGCACAAGCCTGGGCCAGAAGTGAGGCGGACGATACTATAGAGACTGCCCTGCGTGATCACATGAATGATGCTAAAGGTGATGAGCTACCTAATCTAAGAGATGGGCTATTGGACACATCAAGGCCCGAGAGGGGAGAGGGGACCGATGCAGCAAAGAGCATGATGGGCACATCTAGTGGATGGCAAGGAAGTGACGAAAAGAAAGTTGATCGCCTTGGCGCAAAGTTGGTTGAGGAAACGGAGGCCGACATTCTACTTGCGAGGAAGCGTCGCGAGGCCAATGATGAATATTTTGAGCGCGTCAATGACGGCGTCATCGACGTTATTGCGAAATTGGAATCAGTAGCAGTGGCTATGCGAGCGGTGGAGGAAGAAACCAAAGATCTGTGGAACGACACTCCCAGCCCCCAAAGTACTCGGTAGGTGTAGAGTTGGCCAGACCGAGGATTCTTTGAAGATGCTGTTTGTACTTGACTTATACAACATTGAAGGCTGTCACAGGTTACTTAGTACATTAGGAGCCTGGATTGATAGAGGACCGGGGTGGCCATATTGGTGCCAGTACATACAGACACTACTTATACGCAGGCAGGTAGGCATCTCATGTTGCAAAAGACATCGGCACCACATTCGAGAGTGCCGGAAGAGCGCAAGCTCGTCAACGCCAAGGACTGCCGACAACCGGATCAGCCTCTGTGATGCATTACCCCTGCACTACCCCGAGAAAACTCGCCGATTCGAGGGCCGATTCTTTTAAGCACAAGTTATACCTCGGGTAGTGCTGCACAGTTCCATTCCGCCTGGGAAGCCCCAGTTCGTGCGTTAGTTTACGACCCGTGTCTGCGGTGACAGCTTACTAAGTGTTATCCGCTCGTCCGGCACTTTTAATAGGAAATTTCCTAAAGGAAGATTTATAAATATATACTCTGGTATTATAAAAAAAAAACCTGCAATCAATATATAATATTAAAAAGAAAGTATATATATATATATATATATATCACTAATGTCAGTATATAAATATTAATAGTATATTTAATATTGGATATAAAAAAAATTAAATCAAGATAATTATATCTATAGCATTTTACATAATAAAAATTACAAAACAAACAGAAGCTAAATATTAAAAAAATTCCGTATATATGTATTCAAGTATGTATAATAAATATTTGCTTTATGCATCAAATATGAATACTGTATATTTTTATGCTATGTAGCGAAATCGGTATTCGCAGCTTCATAGTTAAATCCGGCCTCACCACCATACCTCAAATTCCTCTCTTCACTTCCTTTCGACCTACAATTTTGTTTATAGGTGCTACGGTTGCTCCAATTCTTAATACTCTTCATTCTTTTTCATCACATTTTGCCGCCGTGCCCCAAATACGCCACAATGGGGTTTGTAGAAGACGAACTCAAGCACCTGCGCGAGGTGATCAGCGGCCTCGATTCGCGCATCAAGCAGCTCGAGCAGCGCACCACAGGAGCCGCTCCAATTAGCACAGAGAGTCTTCGGATGATTCTTATTGGGCCTCCAGGAGCTGGTTAGTGATTTGGTCCTGCTGGAATCATGTTGAATATGCGCCATCATACTAATATATCAGCCAGGCAAGGGAACCCAGGCACCAAAGATTAAAGAGCGCTTTTCCTGCTGCCACTTGGTACGTTGATGTCAATTGGGTAGTACGAAATGCGCGCATATATCTAACAGCAACCACCGCCTGATATATAGGCTACCGGTGACATGTTGCGGTCACAGGTGGCCAAGAAGACACCTCTCGGACGAGAAGCAAAGAAAATTATGGACCAAGGTGGCCTTGTCAGTGACGATATTGTCATTGGCATGATTAAGGAAGAGCTCGAGAACAACAAGGAATGCCAAGGCGGGTAGGTAACCACCTTTATACCCTGCGAAAAGATTTCATTCCCCCCCTTCTTAATCTTACACAACTGCCACAGATTCATTCTTGACGGCTTTCCTCGTACGGTGCCTCAGGCCGAAGGCCTCGATGCCATGCTCAAGGAGCGTGGCCAGACCCTCCAACACGCCGTCGAGCTCCAAATTGACGACGCTCTGCTTGTTGCCCGAATTACTGGTCGATTGATCCACCCGGCATCTGGCCGCTCTTACCACACGACTTTCAACCCCCCCAAGGAGGCTATGAAGGACGATGTGACCGGAGAGCCTCTTATTCAGAGAAGTGACGACAACGCCGAGGCTCTCAAGAAACGTCTCGGTACTTATCACAAGCAAACTGCCCCTGTAGTTGGATACTACCAAAACAACGGCATCTGGAAGGGTCTTGATGCCAGTCAGCAACCCGGTGAGGTGTGGAAGAATATGTTGGATATTCTAGAAGGAAAGAAATCTCATGGCTCTTCCGTCTTCAGCAAAATTGCTGGAAAGAGCTAAGCTACCAAAAAGTATTATACCCTGTATGCTTTGATACATGGGAGTATGAGTATGCTCAGTTGGCTGCGCCTACTACTATAAACCTATTAATTTTTCTCTCTCGAGCTTCTAATTTTAGAAAATAGCTCTGGGGCAAAAGCATTTTTTGCGAGATATGAAACTCATGAAGTGATACATTGACTTTACTGGGATTGTGATAGATTATGATGATATCTGCATAGTATTCGCATATCGACTGTGTAACGTGAATGAATATTGGCCAAGGTGTTATTCTACTCTAGAGGAGAAATAAAATATCTAGAACGAAACAAAAATAACAGGCTTTCAAGAAAGTCATCTACATGTATAGTGTATAAACGGGAATATTGCAACGCTAAATAATGAACTCTTTGCCAATAATTCGCCTAGTAAACATTATACCCCAGGGAGACTGGTATGGAGCTCAACCCCTTGAATCCTACCTCCTTGAAGTCGCTGAAGAGTCAGGTCAGTAGAGGTAGAGCATGTCGCGTTGGCGCAACTGACCATTCACCAACTGCCTCTGTTTGTTAAGCCAGCTCTTGGGGGCATCATGCCGGCGCTGAAGTACGACGTGGTTGCTCTGAAGTCGGCTCGTAAGGTCATACCAGGCAGTCGCAATAAGCGCGTTTTCCCTCTGGAGGTTCTTGATGATATGATCGGACGCGGCCTGGACGCTCAAGTTAGCCATGCTCTCTTCTGTACACAGGCAAGGGGTAGGGAAGCGAAAGATGAGCTGAGTGCCTCATCACCACGGCTAGTCATGGGCTGTTGAATCACTGAATATCGCACAACAAAGCATACCTTTTGTGCGGCTGAGATTTCCCCAAGCTGTGCTGCTTTCAGTCTAGTTTGTAATTCGAGCCTTTCTTGCTCCGACTTCTCAAGTTGCTAGAGAGAGGCGTCAGTAAGTTATGCCCATAACTGTGAATGGCTTATAATTACCTGGTTTCTCTGAATAAGGCGTTCTCGTAATTTTTCGACCTTTTCGGCAGCCTTCTTGGCAGCTTCTGAGCCGTCGACGTCTGTCGATGAAACAGTGGCGTCTTGCAAATCCTTGCTCTCATCTGACTCTTTCCTGAGTTTGTCGTTCGCTAGCAAAGCCTCAATGAGCTGTGATTTCAGTGCGTCCCGCTCATTCGTTATAAAACTAGTTTCCTCCCTCTGTTGCTCAAGCTCGCTTGTCAAAGAAGTTGATATCAGTTTATCCGTGTTCTTCAACTCATTCAATGCTGCAATGCTATCCTTTTGAACAGCGGAGAAGTCGGTCTGCAAAGCAAGCAGTTCTCGGGTCTTGTCTGCCAGCTGGGTTTCAAGGCTATTGGTCAGCTTCCTAGCTTGTTCAAACTCAAGTTCCAATCGTGTCAACTCTTGTCGAAGTTTAATGAACGCTTCGGTCCTATGGTGCACATCGTGAGTATTCGTCTTCCTCAAATAGTAGTACAATATGCACAACTGACCCTTCATCAGTATTATCACTCATCAAAGCCTGCATGTGGTCGTTCGTGATGGTATATTTCTCAAATATGGCGTTGAAGTTTTGCTGAAGCCGTTCTCGTTGGCGTTTATGCTCTTCTAGCTCTCGTCGGAGCATGGAGGCATCCCCATGGGATCCCACCGTCTTCCGAATCAATTCATTCTCTGCTCTCAGTCTAGAAAGCTCCAAGGGCATGTTAGTCTGCGTGTCTTCCGTTGACGCTATGAGGAGTTCATCCTCGAGATTGAACGGTGTAGGAGTTTCGCTAATATCAACTTCTTGCACCGTGCTGCCGCCGTTGTGTTGCAGCTGTTCCTGCAAGTCTTGGATGAAATGTTCATCATGAGTTCTTTGAGCTTGTAATCGCATAAGTTCTTCCTGGAGAGCCGTAACATCCTTCAGAAGCTGCGCCTTCTGGTTGCGCTCATCCCATAGATGTTGTTCAGACTGTGTAATCATCTTTGTTAATTCGTCTTCCGCTTTTTTGGTACGGTCACTCTTCTCTCTCTCTTCCATGAGTGATCGGAGCTGTTCTTGGAGCTCTGCTCGTTCGTACTGTAAGTTCTGTACTTCTCTCACTAGACTTTGCTGTGATTCAAGCTTCTGCTTGTAACGTTCTGCCATGTTGGCCTTTTTCTCAAGCTCCTCCGCTTTGTGCTTCCATTCTGCCATCTGGTCGCGAAACTCATCTGCTTGCATATTCTTTTGACTCAGGCGTTGCACCTCGCTCTCCAATTGAGAAACGGATTTTTGGCTGCTACGGATGACCTCCTCGTTCCTGGCGATTATCTCCATCTGTTCGTGGACTTGTTCTTCCAGATGCTTTATGGTCTTCGCACTATGCGCCTCGTCTTGGGTCGCTTTTCGGAGAACTTCGAGCTCGCGATCTGTTTTCTCTTTGTCATAAGCAAGTTCCTCGTGGCTCTGCTGGAGATGCTCCAAACGAGTGATGTAGTCTGATAGAGTCTTCTTCGTTATATCAAGTTGCTGACGCAAAGCAGCATTTTGCTCCTCTACGAGAAGCTCAATATCACGAGCCCCCATGGCAGCATCAATGGCTTCATCCAGCTCGTCGTCGTCTTTGGAGTTGGCAATATCTTGTTGCATAGCACGAATTATCTGCATAATTTCGGCTTGTGTGTCGCGATCTAGTCCATTCTGAATTCTGGGGACATATTTTTGATTATCTGGGCCCATCGCAGCGGCCGAGACCATGACAGCCAGGAGCTACAGAGACATTCCGTTAGGATCTTCCAGTTCAAGCACACGAAATGAAAAACTACCTGACTGATACCCTGCGGCTCAGGATTCTCGGTGAAGGCATGATAGTCGAACTTCTTAGCTTGGCAGCTGAGTTCAGGAATCTGGCGCCGAATAAAACGAAAGAGGCCCTTGTAAATGGCTTGTCTGTTGCGTTTGTTGGCCAAGGTTTTGGTTGCTCCCGGATTTGATTCAAGATGTGAAGGATCGAACTCGGAATCTAATTCATGCAAGATGTGACCAAGGGTTATCCCATTCGCCAGTCCATCGAGGGAATCGGCATCACGATCCAGATCGAAGACACGGTTGATCTGGAGGAACACCCAGTATTAGCGTCATGCTCATAAGACTTGGCATAGCTTGATCGAGAGAGTTTCCGAACTACCACTGACAGCCTTTAAGAGTGCCGTTTGGGCACGCTGATTATATGCCAGCATTTCGCTCGACATGTAGTTCAGGAGATAGGCTCGAGTTCCTCGGTCTCCACTGGAGATAGCTACTGGAAGCGCAGTAATTCAAGCAGAGTTGGAGGTCGTTATTTTCGAACATGCATATGGATCCGAGGCTATAGCATAGCGAGAGCTGTTTATATAGCCTCCAGGTAGGTGCCCAGGGTTGCAGGAAATGCCTATTTCGCAGGTTCATGCTATGCCATGCTTAATGGGATGGTCACTCCGGTAGTGTGATATGCATAACCCAGGAGCCATAACAGCTGTTACATTACATAAGAATTCAACAAAATGGGCCTTCTCTTTTTCTAGCTAGCCACGAATACAGAATTAGCGGCAAGTATTTTAGAATTATCCATTCTACCTTTATTATATAATGAAGATATTCCGTACGAATATCTGTTAAAGGGACACTAGCTAGCATGTATTGCTGGTGATTACCCCACAGTCTCCACCAATCCAAGCCGCACCTAAGTTTCCACATATGCTTACCTACTACGGTACTAGATTCTCTAGATAACTCAGCTCCCTCCAGCACCCCAGCGGGCGATATTGTCACTTCTCAATGTCCAGTTCCTCGCGAGCCATCGTCACAGTCCTGCCAGTGGTTCGCCAAATTCTTCCACACGATCCTTGCCAGTCCTCCTATTATCTCTTTGGCTTCTTATCTTCATTTACCGCTGATTCTTCCACGCTTGCAGCCGACAATGCTCCCGCAGGGTTCATCATTCCTTCAACAGCCCTCCCACGCCATTGGCAAAAAGCGGTCTCACGAGGAGGCTGCATATAACCTCGAGCCGGATGTGTCAAGCTGCACTTCCCAAAATGGTTGGACGAATGGTGAGGGAATCTTGCTCGTTAGACCATGTGCGGTTTCTATTCTTGAAGCAGATAGCCCTTCAGGTATTGAGCTTGACGACGTGATCACTGAACAGAAAGGGAATGGATTGCCAAATGGTCGACAACTAAGGAATCATAAATCTCAGAGGCTTCTTAATGGGAGCGACCACGCATCATCTAGCAAAACGACGTCGACGATGGCATCGACAACCGCGAATATTCCAGAAAGCAGTATTGATGACGACGTAGTCATTGACCAATTCACACTTCACCTTGGAATTGGTTGGAAACAAATCAAGGATGGTGACCAAATCCAAGCTGCTGCTAGGGGGTGGGCACGGTTTATTGAGAATAATTTCCCTCTCACTAACGTTAATGTCCTACTTGAAAGCAAGGGCCTGCAGTCATATCTGGTCGAGTCCGCTGAGGGCTTCTATCTCTTCACAGAAAACTTGCGTCAAGGACAGCTAGTTAGTAGGCATGCTGCGGGGGCAATACAGAATTTACAAACTAACCCACCAACGTTTGATACAAAAGATATATTAACAATTTAAGTGTAAAGATAAAATATTAAAAAAAAATATAAAATAATATATATTATAAAATATTCTATATTTAAAGTATTTATTTAAAGAAACTATATATAATATTAACTAAATTATATTAAGTAAATAGTATATATATATAATAATAATAATAAAAGTTTAAAATTTAAAATTAAATAATTTATTAATAAAAAATTTTAAAAGTTTATATATTTATAAAAATAATTTAAAAATTATTATTTTTAATTTTAATAATATTATAATAATTAAAATTTAAAATTATATAATTTATAAATATAATTTAAAAAAAAATATAATTAATATTAGTTTTTTAAATATTTTATATATATATATAAAAATATTATAATTCTTAAATTAATTAGTTAATATTTTATATTTTTTAAAATTAATATTAAATAAAAAATATATATAATATAAATTAATATATTAATATTATTATAAAATTATAAAAATAAAATTATAATAAATATTATATTTTTTTAATTTAATTTTATTAAATAATTAAATTTATTTTTTTTATTTTATTTATTTTTAAAATTTTAATTATTTAAATTAATTTATTTAATTATTTTAATTATTTTAATTATTTTAATTATTTTAATTATTTTAATTATTTTAATTATTTTAATTATTTTAATTATTTTAATTATTTTAATTATTTTAATTATTTTAATTATTTTAATTATTTTAATTATTTTAATTATTTTAATTATTTTAATTATTTTAATTATTTTAATTATTTTAATTATTTTAATTATTTTAATTATTTTTATTATTTTTATTATTTTAATTATTTATATATTAAATAATTAATTTATTATTAAATTTTTTATATAAGGTTTTTATTTTTATATTATATTATTTTATTACCCTTATAGTGCAGTAGTATATACCTAAAGGTCTTATAGTATTTCCCTAGGTATTTATAAAGCAGTTAGTTTAAATCTAGCTAGGGGACCCTATATTAATAAATTAACTATTCTATTTATTAAATAATTAAATTACTGTAATACTTACGTTTTTAAGCTAGTCTTAATAGCTACTGCCTAAGGTTAATATATAACCTAGGCTATACCCTATATTATAGCAGAGACTTAGCCTAATAGTATTAAACTTAGGCTATAGCTGCTATAATATAGCAGCGCTGCCTAAAGTGTTTCTGGGAGGATAAGCTGGCGGGCTACCCCTATAATAAGGGGCTACTATAAAGATATAGAGTATTAAATACAGCCTACAGCAGCTATAGACTAACAATATTTATTTAATTAATTAATAACTTTCTTTAAAGGGTTAAAAATATAGCGACTATAGGCTGCTATAGCTGTAAACTATAGTAGCTATAGGCCGCTACAGTAGTATTAATATATAAAAGTTTTTATTTTAATAATAAATATAGGTTTTTTATAAAAGGTTTTTTTATTATAAAAAAAATCTATAGGGGGATTAAAAAATAATTTAGTTTAGTTATTTAGCGTAATATTATTATTATTATTATTATTATTATTATATTATTTTATTAAATTTTTTTACTTTATAATTTATTTATAAAAATTATTATTATTTTTTATAATTTAATAAATATTTAATTTTTTTATTTTAATTAAATTATAAAATCATATTTTAAATAATTTTATATTATATTTAAATTTTATTCTTTAAGTTTTTTTATTAATATAT